TGGTACAAACAATACAAACATGATAAAACTTGCCGTTTTGACAAACAATACATACTTTTGACATGTTGGCAAAAATACCATGGCTCACCGCTCACAACTGTTCTCACTCTTCAATTCTCGTTTTTTATCGATGATGGTTTATATGCTTACGTATTTGCTATAGATCAAGGATAGTTTTAGGATTTGGATCAATCGTTGGTAATAATCAAAGACAATCGATTATAACAAGAAAACAAATGTACTAAAAGAAATGACATACTTTTTTATGGTCTTCACTAATCTTATAGATTCACCAAAAGAACGAATGGAAATTTGTGATTCTACCAACTAAAATGCATGATTTGTAAAATATAGACAGATTGGGTGAAAATGTTGAAAATGTGAGAGGTGAAAATAAAATAAAAGTATGAGAAGTTCTTTTTCTGGGGTCTTCGATGCGATACGCCACTTGGATGCTACATGTTGAGTATTGAGCGCTCAAAACTACATGCAATGTTTTCTTAGATTTCTTATGATTGGCTGTTCGCGTAGCTAGGTTTCTTCTATTAACTTTCCATCCACATACATAGGCTTTGTGATTTGATAGATTCTTTTCATTTTTTCTGTACCTATATATATCTCCCTGCCTATCCATATTGATATAGTTGCAATAATTTATCACTAAATAATGCCATGCACATAAATTCGTATAGCTGTATTATAAAACTCGTGTTTGCCGCCTACCAATAGATACAGCTAAATTGGTGAACTTATATTTTGGTTTCGGGCATGTGGTCTAAAATAGGCTTACAATTATTTTGAGAGATAATATATATGATAATTGATAATGATCTTATACATATGTTATGACAAAATTACTCATTCCATAATAACTAAATAATTAGTAATATCATTACCTTTTATTTAATATATCTGCAAACTTTTACCATCGCACCTACTTACTAAAAAAATAAGTCATTGAGGAAAATTGGTGAACAGTGAGCTAATTCATTGTCTTACCAAAACAGTTCAGTATTACTTGTTTCTTCTATGAAGTATATTTAGAACAACAACTTAGGCAGTATCAAATAACGTTGAAGCCGTTAACAATAAGTTTTACTAGTTTTGTTTTGAATATTACAGCTAAGCGAATCAATAGCTTTAAGTTTTGTATATTTAAATATACACATCAACAAATTTGACCATATTTAATGACTTTGATGTTTCTAAATATTTTTTCAGTAATGTAAATCATCAGTGAAAAAATAGATCGAGGAACTACAAATTTTACCCGATCAGTCGATCATCCTTTATATTCTTTAAAATGTGTTTTGCTTTTATTTTTCTTTCCGTGTTAAAGGGTCTTTTCGTTGATGGACAGGTTGATTGACCCATCCATTTTCGGGCCAGGTTTGTTCGAAAACTATCTGACACAATGCTACGGTTTCGTATGAATCCATGTAAAAAACAAACATAGCCTTGGTCCCTCCATCCCACTCACTTAGATCCTGACCGTTGATCCTCAATCAGTTTTAGATTATTAGTTTATCTCCATACAATTGAACCACTTATAATTGTAGTTGATTTAATTTATATGGTCCTGATATAGCAATGTTTATAAGCTTAAATATAAAGGGCTATAATTATTCACGGTCTTAAAAGCTAAATGATCCATACAAATTTTTGTTCACTAGTTTATGGACTAAATGATTTAAACATATTAAGCCACATAAAAATTTAGGAGCCAAGACAAATGTTTCATCCGCTGTCGTCAGTAAGAAGTATTTTAAGCTGTTAATATAGGTATATATGAATCTTTATGTGGTTCCTCCTTATTGTTATTTAGAAATTTTGAGCTAAATATTCTGGTTATTTAGAACTACTAGTGGGTACGGATGACATACTATGCATATTTTGTGAGCAAATATTAATATATACACGTAACACGTTAGTGGTTTTACTACTAATGATGAAATATGAATGCTCGATGCATGATTAAAATATTCTAGATATCTTGGTTTTTTTTTGGAATATAATGCAGAACAAATCACTGATATTATTCGAGCAACGTATGTAAGGTAAATGATTGATATGATTCCAGCAAATGGGTGTATGCTCAGTCATAGCTAGTAAGAATCTTATGAAACCTTGTGAAACTTTGTTGGTACAAGAGTTTGGAATCAATGGTTATAAAGTAAATAATAACTTTTATCCTATAAGAGTTTTTTCAGGTTTATTTGAAAGGAATCTCGTTTACAAGTTGAACATGATAGAGCATGACAGGCTAATAATTGATCATTTATGTAAGGGAAAAAAACAAAAGATTTCCACAAAATTAAATGTGAACATACCTGCATGCTATTATAGGAAGGGGACAAACTAACCCAGAATCAATATATCTGTGGACTACGATAAACCCAAAACCTCTGAAAGTTAGTACCTAATATTTCGGTCTTTGTTGCTCCTCCTAATCAAGACTTATATATGCACCATCACCTCTTGATGGACGTGAGCCAAATTTTTGTTTTCTAAATAATTTTTCCATTTTCAACCAAAATATACTTTAACCAATCCAAACGTGACAAGAAAATAAAAACCAGTCCAAATGTAGTACGTAGACAGAGACTGGCAAACAATTTTTTTTATCTACATTTTACACACTGATTTCATTAGTTGGGAAGTCTCACTCTTTGAAGTTTCAAGTTTGATGTAAATTGTTTTCAATAATCATTCGAGATTCGGTCTATACATTTAGACCATGTAAACAAATGAAGATACAAAAGGAAATCTTCTTTTGATACAAAAGAAAAAAAGAACGCGTAAAATGTATCAACAAACAAACAAATGCATAAAGGTGCTTTTAATTATATTTTAGAAGAATGCATCAGTAGCACTGTTATGTCCACTGCGGTCGGAGAATATATGCGTCTCACATATTTTAGTCAGAATTGGCTTCAACTTTACTATGTAAATTCTTAATCACTATTGCTCTAATAAGTTATTTTCTATATAAAGGAAAAAAACTATCTTCAGATGAAATGCGCACGTGCGTATTGGGGCATATGAATTTGGAACAGAAAGAAGAGAAACATCATATGATGCAGCAAAGTGTTAATTGGTTGTTGAGTTAACATTCTCTTTCGTTGGAAGTGGTCCTTAGTTTTTGTGTCTGTGGTCCATGAAACGATATACAAACTTTGTCTTTAAATTTGTATTCCTAATCTTAAAAATGTCCCCAAAGTTAACTAATTAAGGTTTCGATCCACTAGAAACGAGAAAGTTGTCTCTGGATCATTCCTTCACGCTACTTCTTTGCTTGTGGTCCTTCAAACACACGTTCTTTTGTAAGAGAAAGATATACGAGAACGACCCAACGGTACTTGTTGTGGGCCTGACCCAGTTTATAGCTTCGACTTGGTGATTCCCTGTTGGTTTTTATTGACAAGCGTAGGGCAACTTTACATTTCCAAGTTATAAATTATCCAGAAGGCTGTGAGGTCTAGCATTTTTTTCTTCTTGCTAGCTTATCTACTATAAAAGTTTGTAGTTCTACAAACATACATAAAGTTGGAGGAGTAGAAGCAGATGTTCTTGCCTTGATATGTTGCATTATTCTGGATGGAAGTGTACAAGATTTTGGAGGAATCTCAAAGAGTAACATTAATTATTACAGTGTCTCTCTTATTGAAAAAAAAAACAAGATTTCAGTAAAACGTGAGAATTAGCAAATGGATGCTTTCAAAGTTTAGAAGTGGCTAGTTTGATTAGATCCTTACGAAGTGTCTTGCCGGATGCAGTCTTTGGTATCGAGTTTATAAAAGCGACCTTTCTTATTTTTTTATATGGCGCCACCTGCTCATAAAATTACTAAATATATCAATATTTGATATTTACCTCCCAAAACTGACTAACGGATTGCAATATACAAACAAGATAAAGAAAATGGTGCTGACTCACTACAAGAAAACCATTTATTAGTGTCATTTATTTTGTATCATTTGTTAAAATGATGTTAACTTAAAAATTAATCAAATTAGAAAGTATCACTTATTCAAAATGACACTAAACCAAAAATAGTTATATCATTTGCAAACAAATGACACAAATAGTTAGCTGTTAGTATCATTAATCTATAAATGACACAAAAAACAGTTTTTAGTATCATTTATAAGAGTAAATGATGCTAAAAATCAGTATTTTCAGGATTTTTAAAAATCATTAAAAATGGTTTGACTTAAAAAGAACAAATTCCCAGTAAACAATAAAAGAAAAAAAAACCAGCTCTCTCTTAGCTTCGCGACGCTAGCTCGATCTCGATCTCCATCAAATCATCATCGCAGAGGTTGTCAATTGTTTCCGATCATCACCATCGCTGAACTCAGTACTCAGGTATCGCTGAACTTAGTACTTGCGATTTTGAGATTTTGAGATTTTGCTTGTGATTTTAGTCTAATTGCATGTTGAGTGATTTCGCTTGTGATTCTGGTCTCTACTTGTGAAATCGACCTCTATTTCGTGTTCTACTTGCTCGAATTGCTCTTCCTCTTAGTTATTGTTGAATCAGAGTTGGCGAAGTCGCAAAACGAGCCATCGAGTTCCATTAGGTGAATTTGTTTATGCAATTTCGATTTCGGGTGTATATGAGAAACTTCTCTTGATTCTTCTTCCTATTGTATTGTATTAACCTCTGAGAATTTAGGTAAATCGGTTCTCTTATCTCTTTATCATCCGCCATTGATATTTTTTATCTTCATCTCCGTTTCTCTTTTCTGTGTTTGGAATATGTGTATGAGAGTTGTTGATTCGGAGTTTATCTTATCCGATTTGTGGATTGCTATAGTTAGTATGAGTTATCTCTGAATTTTGTTTCACTGACGATCAGCTGATTACAAGAAAGTATTCACTGTTTTGTGTCAAATCGTGGGTTTGAAATTTCTGGATTTGAAATTGGTTTAGATCAAGCTGAGCTAGATAGAGTTTTGTTGTATTGACGATGCAGAATGAAAATGATATGGTGAAGGATGAAGCTGAAGTCGCTGCATCCATTTCGGCACTCGAAGGTGAAGAATGGGGATGTTGTTCATTGGAAGATGAACCATCTTTTCAAGAAGAAGATTCTGCGAAAGTTTCCTTTTGGTGACAAGGTTAGTGCAATTAAATTAAACTGAATGATCTTCTGTTTCCTACTTTCATATATAAGGCTTTTGTTTGTTTATTGAAACCCATATGAAAGAGTCATTTTGCTTTGTACTCTGTTGAAAGAAGTGGAGCTATTGTGTACGGTAACACAAAAGCATTATCTATGAGTTGCTTGGAATGTGATGTGGCTTCATTTCAATTTTTTAAAATGTTTGATTTCTGTGGAATATCTTACCAAAGTAGCAAACCTTTTTACTCTTTAAAACTCAAAACAATGGATGCTTTTGGCTCATCCTTGTGCAGGAACCTCTATCTAGTTTATCTCCAGAATACTAAGCAGGGAGTCCCATTTTTTGCTTAGACTTTGATTGTATCTCTAGCTAAAGTAGTTGTTTTTTATGCTTTATGTGTAGGAGCATATCAAAGTCAATGTTGAGAAGTGTAGAAAGACTCTGCATAATTTTCGTTATAGGTTTGAAACTACATTCAGGTACATTTCTTATTGAGCAATTGATTTTGGTCTTAGATGTGTTGGATGGCTTTTGCACTCTAGTAGTATGACCTTTGTAGGAGATTAAATACGAATCAAAAGTATCATCTTTATACACCTGTTGCTGATATCACATGGATTGTTTCTCTTGTATATTAGGTTGAGGGGCTTGTTCTGGATCATGGTTCAAGACACCCTAACATGAAAAGACGCGCGGAGAATTGTCACATCCTAACTTGCAATGTGTCACTGGAGTATGAGAAGAGGTATGTAATATAAACTTTTGGGTTGATTGGTTGAAGAAATATGAAAGACTAGAGGATCTATCTCGTGTATCACTAACTTTGTAATTTTGTATATATCAGTGAAATCAATGCAGGGTTCTTCTACTCGAATGCGGAACAGAGGGAAGCCATGGTTACTGATGAGAGACGTTCTGTTGATGAAAGAGTTAAGAAAATTATTGAGCTGAAGAACAAGGTGGGTTATATACATTTCATAAGGTAATTAACTTGTTCTGAGTTGGTATGAATTAAGTTGGTAGTCTTAGCTTCTTGATACTTGTAGTATTGGTATGTTACTTGATTGTTTCACCTGAAAAAATGTTGCTTGATGTAGTGGTGCAAGTTTTGTTGTTTAATGATCTTTGCATTGTCACATTCTGATCATATCTTGATGTCATATCTTGATCACATTGCTTGGTGTATTGGTATGAAACTAAGTTTCACTTGATGGTTTGATGGTTTCGTATAAGATATTTGATGTTTATGATGCAATTTGCTCTTTATTTTGGCAGGTATGAGAATACAAGGAAGAAGAGAATACAAGGAAGAAGACACAAATACACATTTATACATTTTACTACAAGTAAATTTGAGGTTGTATACATTTTACTACAAGTAAATTTTAGTTTAATTACTATATAAAGATATTTTAACTTGAATATATATATATATATTTTTTTTTTTAAAAATTCTAATCTCAATTTAGTATCATTTTTTAAAGTGATACTAAATGTCATTTTTAGTATCATTTAAAAAAATGATACTAATCTCAATTTTAGTATCACTTAAAAAATGATACTAATCTCAATTTTAGTATCACTTAAACCAATGATTAAAAAACCGGACCGGTCGGTCCGACCGGTTTAACCGGGAACCGGAGACCATCCCGGTTTGGGTTTAATGGAAAACCGTAATTATGGTTGACCCAAATAAACCGGCAAAAAACCGGTCAAAACCCAGAACCCGGCCGGTTTGGTTTAATTTAAAAACCCGGTTTTGTTATGCACCCTTAAAAACCCTAAATCTAAAACAGGTCGTCTTTCGTAAACGCGATTCTCCTCCTCTTATGTCCGTGTTTCTCCTCCAATTACTTGGAGTCTCTTGCGATTTGGTTTTGTTTGGTCAACTCCTAATTCTTTCTATCATGCGATTCTCTTTGACTATTTTTGTCTATTTGTTTATAATTTTGTCAAAGTTCTTAATTTTTCCATTTTGATATATGTTCGATCCTAGAGTTTTGTGTTTGATCTTATCTTGAATTTTTTACTTAATTTTGTATGTGAAAGAGATGGATCCAATAGATGGGTGTACACAATTTGATTCGACAAAAACATGATACTGGAATTAGGTTACTCAGAAAACATGATACTGGAAATATGAAATTTTGATTTTAGATAATGAGGATGAGACTTTATCTCAGGAAATAGAACGAGATACTCTTTCAAACTTGAAGTTTCTGAAACTTTTTCAAACTTGTAATTAACATTTTTATGAATTATCTTATTTAGTTATTTTTATATTATTTCTTTATATATAAATATAATTATTATTAAAAAATAGAAAACCCGGTTCAACCAGTCGGACCACATTGAACCATGATTCGATGACATATCCGGTTCGATGTCCGGTCCGGTTTTAAAAACATTGACTTAAACAAGTTTATTTTAGTATCATTTTTTTAAGTGATACTAAATATCATTTTTAGTATCACTTGTAAATAAATGATACTCCTTCCGTTTCTTTTTACTTGTCGTTCTAGAGATTTTCACACATATTAAGAAACTCATTAAATTTGCTATTTGACTTTTATTTAATACTTAGTTTTCTTTGATAGGAATAATCAATAAGCTAAAAAAATGAGGATAAAACTGGAAAATATATCATTAATCTACATTGGAAATGCAAAACGACAAGTAATATGAAAAAAAAAAATTCTCTCTAGAATGACAAGTAATATGAAATGAAGGGAGTACTAAGGTTTCATTTTAGTGTCATTTGTAAAAGTGATACTAAAAAAACTTAGTGTCATTGATTTTAGTGTCATTTTCTGAAATGATACAATAATTCTTGTATCATTTAAAAAATGATACTAAACTTTAAAAAAAAATGACACTAAAAATTATGTTTCTTGTAGTGACTTGTGACTATAGAATCACCTGTTTAGAGATGAAGTCAATAACTTGCTTCTCAGAGAGTTTGCTCTCAGGTTTTCGTGCCACGTAAGCCATCGGATATTGTCCTGCGTCTTTATCAGGAAACCTTTTGAGATAAACAAAAACGGAAAAGGAAATAAGAAAAACGTCAAGACGTCTTTATCAATTGATGATGGCATTTTTAGTGGGTAACAAAGTAATCGTAAGAGCTTACGGAATTACGGCTGCATCGAGAATGTCTGGATGAGTAATTAGGAGAGCTTCTAGTTCAGCTGGAGGCACCTGTTTGGTCAAATCCAAACTTTGTAATTATAGTAACTTTTGATATTATACCAGTAAATAAAAAATAAACCTGATAGCCTTTGTATTTGATTAGTTCTTTTAATCGATCCACAACAAAAAGAAACCCATTGTCATCGATATAGCAGAGATCTCCAGTTTTTAGCCATCCTTCCATGTTAAAGGTTTCTTTTGTAGCTTCTTCGTTTCTAAAGTAACCTTATTAACAAACAAACAAAAAATTATAAGCAATTGTCAAAATATTTTTCCTATATTGTCTTTTTCTAGAAGATGCAATATTTGTGGGTAATAAATCTCACTTTATAAATAAGATTTATATTCAATATCTTCATCATTTGCTTTACCTTTGGCAATAGAAGGCCCTTTAAGCCAGAGCTCGCCCGTTTGGTTGACACCCATGACCCGACCCGTATCCTGATCCACAATCCTCGCTTCCACATCAGACGACAACAACCCCACCGAACCGTATCTCCGGCTCTCCTCCACGGACTCAACTGAAGCTCCACCACCGTTCGATTCAGTCAACGCGTATCCTGGACATATATCAACCGTTGGATATTTCTCTAAAAACCCCTCCGCCACCTCCTTACTCAACGGCGCTCCACCGCACTTCACCGTTCTCAGGGAGCTCAGATCGTACTTGGCCTTGATCAGATCTGCTCCGTTGATCATAGCCACTACAACCGGCGGCGCTAAAACCATACCCGTGGCTCTGTACTTCTCCACCGCCTCCATCATTTGGTGTAGATCGAATCTCCGGAGGATCACCACCGTGGAGCCCAAAGCTACGGTGGCCATAGCGAACATCAGTAATCCGAAAGTGTGAAACATCGGAACGGTGCAGAGGAAGATCTCGCCTTGCATCCATTTCCTCGAGAGCATTCTCGCCACGTAAGCGGTTAGATTCCCGTGAGACGAGATCACTCCTTTGCTCGGTCCTGTGGTTCCCGACGAGTATAGCATCACCGCTGTGTCGACCTGGTTGACTCGTTCTCTGACTCGTCGCCCACTCGGTTGTTTATTCATCATGTCGCTCAAAATCCCGACGACTCTGACTCCGCGAGTTGATCCCGGGCCGTCGAGGAGAATTGAGATACCGGAATCGGCGAGTTTGGGAGCCAGATCGGGAGTTGTGAAGGCGAGCGTTGGGTTGCTGTCGGCGATCTGTCTGGAGATTTCGCCGGCGGTGTTGAGAGTGTTTGCGGTGGTGACGACGGCGCCGAGAGACATGACGGAGAGGCAGACGACGGGAATGTAGATGGAGTTTGGAGAGAGTATGAGGACGACGTCGTTTTTACGAATTCCGATTTCATGGTGGAGGCAGTCGGTGACGCGATCGACGGCTCTCCAAAGGTCGGAGAAGCTCATGCTGTGGCCTGTGGCGGCGTCGATGAAGGCGGTGGTGCCGTGGTGAGGTTGAGAGGAGATGAAAGTTGTGACGTCAAGAGAAGGATTTGGCGGGAGAGTCAATGGGTTGCGTTTGCTATAGAATGTAGAGTTTGATTTGCAAAAACCGCTTCTGGAATCAACGAGTGATGATCCTTCGGAATCCACCATTTTTCTCTCTTAAACTTAAACTTTAGTGTTTCATATCTTTCTAATAACGAATTAGCTGTTTTCATTCAAAAAAGTTAGTATAGTTTACATTTTTTCATTCCATTATGGAGGGGGAGCGAGATAATTACACTTAGAGGGACTTTTTGAGTTATTCTTTACACTTTGAGTGACTTTGTGAAAGTGGTGGACTTTCACAAAGTAAGTTTACATTGCTGCCCTTTTTTTTCACTTCAACTCTTTCTGTAATTCCCTATTTTCACATTTCACCTTCTCCTTCTTTCCCAACAAACACAGAAACGCCGGTTCGATACTTTTTCGCCGGTGACCTATTTTCCACCACTTCCACTTCTGGTTACATCTTCTCCCGCCGGCGAAAAACAAGCTGATTTCGTACTCTGATTTTGTTGCTCATTCTCGCTTCCACTCTGACAAGAAGATACTCTCGTTGATGTTTTTAATTCAGATCTCGATTTCGAATTTCTCCTCACCAATATGGAAGGTATGTAACTCTTAATTCACCAATCACACTCCAAATTTGTCTTTAGTTTACAGATTAGGATTCACAAATAATATCAAACTCGAAATTGAATTACCCAGATTAGGTTATTACATATTCTCCAACTTCAGATTTCGAAAATCGGTATTCCGCATCTCCAAACCTTTTTACAGAACAAGAACATGATAGAAAAAACTATACTTTGGACAACAACTGGTTGGATGATTCAGCCATACTCGTTGGACGCTTTCGTTTCCACGCTTTTCCTTTACCATGTTCTCTCTGCAAATTTTACTTTGAACAGCATCTCGTTGTACGCTTTTTGTTCCACGCTTTTCTTAACTCCTATTCTTCTCTCTACAGGTTCTACTTCCCAAGCAGGTCCTATTTCCTATCTTGATTACTTGGTACAAACTTTTGATCTTGATTCCTTAATGCTACTGCTTGCTTTCCTTATACTTTTGTGTACCCACTTTGTATTGAAGGTGCTATTAATTTATGATCTTACTGTGAAAAGAAAGCAAGCTAAAATGCATGTACGAAGGAACTATGGAAAGGTGGAGCACTTGATGTCTATGTTGAAAGTTTAGTATTTGAAAAATTTGTTCTAGTTACTACACATGTTTAGCTAGTTTTTTCTCATAGTATCTTGATCTTATCACCTTTTGTTTATGAGATTGGTTTCAATCGAATTCTCATTTGTTTTTTTTCCTTTCATTGGTTCTCTACTTCTATTGTTGTCTTGATGTCTTAAGTGATCAAATTATATTTGCTTCAAATGACACAAAACTGAGATTGTGGATATCAGACTGAGATTACTCAACTCTCATATATATATATATACGATGATACGATCCATGGTCAACTCTATCCATGATATATCGTCCATAAACACTTGTCCATCTCACAATGTCCAACTAAACTCTATACATCATAATAGATTTTGTCTTCTTATAATGCTATTGATCTTCGAGCAAGCATTGACTTTAAAGTTAGCTCAACTACGAAATCATATGGACAGATCCAAATGGACTAACTCAACTGGATAGTCTCTATGATAGCAAAGATTGGAACTTCTTGATACAAAAATCTCTGTCATAAAATTGCAGAAGCTGCAGAAATAAAACACAAACTAGTTCCATACATCATTTACAGAGCTTTATAAAGTGAACATAAGACACACGAGTACAAGACATTTTCGTAAATGTATATCCACAAGATGAGATTCAGTTTGATATTCACAATCATATTTACAGATTCAGTTTAAGCACAACAACACTTTAACGAGTTATTTTTATAATAACATCGACTCTGCTGGGAAACACACAAAGGCTATTGAAACAAACAACCCAGATTAACCACACTCTCATAAACTCAACGGTAGCAAATAAAGCGTACAATCTTCAACTGTCCAAAACTCAACCGTAGCAAGCAGATCTGAAATATAACAATAATGTCATAATGAAAACGTCCAAACCATCCAATTGTCCAAAAACAGTCAATGTGTCTTCTCACAACAGATCGTTATCCAAACACCTAATCGGGTTGGGAGGTTTTGTCTTCAATTGATCATCATCCAAACAACAAAAACGTCCAGCGGAAAGTCATCCACCAAAAACGTACAGGAAAACCTAAATCGAAAAAGGGGATTTGGGGATAAAAAATAGTCTTCAATGGATTGATTTGGCCATAAATTAGTAGAGGTGCTTAAATAATTTAAAGATTGCATTAGATTGAGGTTCTTTGGTTCATGATATGTCGCCGGATATTTTATCGATCTTCACCTCAACAAAACAGAGGAGGCGGTAGAACAGAGAGCATTCGTAATATTCCGGCGGTACAGATAGTCAGTTTCCGGCGGTACAACCCGTGTGGGTTCTTATGATTTTCCGTTCGCGAATGGCGGAGGAGAGATAGTTACGACACAGTGAAAAAAAGCTATTTTCACTCTCTGCTTCATTAAGGGCCAGTTGGTAATCTTCATAGGGCAAAAGTCCACTCCTGACCAAATGTCTTTTTTTTTGTAAAGATAAATCTAAAAGTCACCCAGAATGTAATTCACTCGAGGGGGAGCTGTTAAGTTTTTAAAATAATATTTTAGCGGGACGAGCAAAATCAAAATGATTTAGTGGGACCCACTGATACGTGGTTAAGATTAATTAAAAACTAATCAAGTTAATCAAATGATTTATTGGGTGGTTTCGAAACATATAATCAAGTTAGCAAGATCAGATTTTTATTTTGTTTGTCCACGCACTTACCAGTTCAATAGTCTCAATACTGGAGTGATTTGGTGAAACGTTAAACAGATCTACTTCTATTTTTTAAGATGGGTGTATTCAACTAATATTTGAGATGATTTGGAGTGATTTGTATTAAAATGAAAAATACTTTATTCTTTAAACTCAAAATTTTAAAGTTTGTTTAAAATCCAGTGTTACAAAACTTAAGATTTTAATATATGCTATAAATTTCATTCCTAATAAATATTTCAAGTGGTGAATTTAAGTGATTTCTTGTGATTTAAGATGTTTTAAAGGAGTTTCTTAGGTAAAAATGTAACACTCCAAATACCATGGTTTTCAAGGTGTTTTAACTGTTTTCATGAAAAAATCTAAGTCATAACAGATTTCTATAATTAACCCAAAATCATATAAAAATAAAATTATCATTAATCATCTAAAATCTCAAATTCTATACATCCCCTTAGTGTATTTTCCTGCATATAAATTATGATTATTTTTTCAAAAACTTAATAACTATAACCCATTTGGCAATTACAAAATTGCAAGAAAATAAATCTTTTAGCAATCAAATCGAAGAGATTACATGAAAGAAAGAATGAAATCATAACTGTATTTGGAGACTGGAAGACAGATAACACATAAGGCTTTAACACACGCCAACAAGTCTTTAACAAAAACATTAAAACATAACACAAAAACAAAATCAAGAACAGAGTGAGTGTGAGAGAGAGAGAGAAAGGTAAGGAAAACGAACCATACCATTCCACATTTCCACACCACATGTATCCTTCACTCATTCTAAAGCTTTCCACCCATTCCTCCGATTGTTTCTCAAACTCAGTGGCATCTTGGGGCAGCGTTGGACAATAAATTCTCTCAGGTTTGGAAGAAGATCCTTAGGTTTCGAGCATATCGTCTTTAACTCGTTCATACCACTTACTTTAAGGTGATCCACCTTCTCAAACGGTGTAGCAACCTCTAGATGCAAGGTTCTCTTTATTTCATTCACTTCACTTGCTTTAAGATGGTTAAACCTCTTGAACGGTGCAACGATATGTGGATACTCATTCTCAATACCCATCTCTTTCTCTCCATTGATTATCTCTTCTATGCTTGATGACTCCTCCCCAACTAGATACATGAGGTGTTGAGCAAATAGCAGCCATGTCAAATCCCTTGGACCTTCCAGATTTCTTATACGAACACCGTATAGTTTCTTGAATCCCCGAGGATTTGCACATGGAGAAATTCCATCGCTTTCTGTATTTTTCCAATCTATCTTTATCTCCGAGACTTTGCAGTTCATAATTGAGAGTATTTCAAGACCACTCAGAGCTACCGTGTTTAATGTCACAACCACTGCTGACATGTTTCTAAGACATAAAGACTGTATAATACTCGACAGTCGGACAATTCCTTGTATACTTTCCAACATCACAGCATCATCAAAAGTTGCTGTTAAAATCTTCAAGTGCTCCAAGAGTTGTAGCTCTTTCATCAGCACGTCATCAACACAAGCACCAGAGTCAAAGAGTCTCAACACTTGAAGGTTTGGGAAGCTTGTTGTTATCCCACCACTGCTTTGGAGTTTCCGAGTAAAACTCAGATTCAAGTTGATGAGTCTCCTCAACTTCTTCACACCAACCGGTAATGATTTTATCCCTGTCTCTGACAAGTTGAGGTATTGCAAGGAGCCTAAGTTAGAAATTTCTTCCGGCAATCCGATAAGACCTTCGTTGTTCGAAAGATTCAAGACCACAAGCGCCGGCATAAACCTAAAGAATTCACCTGAAATATCCACCAACTTGTTGTTTTGGAGTAATAAGGTTGAAAGCTTGGGACACAAGAAACTGCAAGATAACTCTTTAATCTCATTCCTCATTAAAGAAATCCTTTCTACAACCCTCAAATGGATGTTCTCGGGTATCTCGTGTAGCCAAACTCCGGATTTCACACAAAGTATTGGTTCATCATGTCCAAAGTGAGTCGCAACCCAAAGAGCCATCTCACGTACCACATCATGCATTCTCACTTTCGTTTTGACTTCACCTTGCATCAATAAATGCATACGAACTAACAACTCAATTATTTCATACCCTTTCTTTGTATCTCCATCTTCTATAAACCCTTGGCATATCCAATATTCTATCAACTCATTCGCCTCTATATCGTAATCTTGAGGAAACAACAAACAATATAGGAAGCATGATTTGACATTTCCATCCTCTAAATTATCATAACTGACCTTCAAAAGACGAAGAATGTTTTCTTGCGGACGTGAATAAAACTCATGGCCAGACAAAGGGAGAGCATGGATAGCTAGATTCCAAGCTCGAGCATTCATTTTACGATTCATAGATTGGCCAATGACTTTGAGTGCAAGTGGCAAGCCGTAACATAAAACAGAAACTCTTCTTGCAAGCGCCATATCCGGATGGAACCTTATTGTGAATGCATCAAGCTGTTTTTGAAACAGTTCCCAAGATTCATCTATTGACAAACGAACAACTTCCATCACAGCATCAGCCTCCATGTCTTTGCAAACTTTCTTGTAACGAGTTGTGAAAACTATTTTGGATCCATTTTGTTGAGTTACAGGTGGAACTCCTACCTTGTTCAGATCTACTTTGCTCCATAGATCATCCAACAACAACACAAATTTCTTCCCACTTAGGATTTTGTGTATCTCATAAGCTCTCTCCTCTTCTGTTTCTTGTCCCCATTTCTTGTCAAGATCCAGTCTTCTTAAAATCTGATCTTGAATGCCTTTGTAATGAAAATCTCTAGAGACCAAAACCCACAGCACAACATCAAACTTATCCGATGGTTCAAGAAACTTATTGTTAATATGAGCTAAGAGGGTGGTTTTGCCTATTCCTCCAATGCCATGAAGACCCAAAGTCCTTGGTCCATCCTCCATGAGGCTGTTCCATGCCTTTTTGACCTTTTTATCCATACCAACAGTTGTTTGGATATGCTTCTTTTCAACCTTACTTGCATGGATTTTTCCCGCCACCACATCAAAAACTCCATTAGATATTAGTCGTTTAATTTTCTCCAAATTCTTTGATATCTTTCTACCATATCCAAGAAGACCAAATCGTTTAGTTTGAGTTGATCTAGCCTCAAGAAGATCGTTGACTTGAGCTAACCATGCATGGACTTTAGAAAGCCGTTGCAAACCTCCATCTTCTTCTGTGACAACTCTTCTTAGCACATCCTCTCGTTTCTCTTTGAGTTCTTTCAAAGCTGTCTGTAGAGCCTCGAGATTTTTCTCACCCATGTGCATGTAATTTCCATCACGAGATTTTGGTAGTGATACAAGGTTTCCCATTCCTGCTCAAACTTTTACGAGAGGAGCTGAAGTTTCTGCAAGGATGATGATTCAGGAATCAAAACTAGAAAAGAGACTAAATGGGAAGAAAAAAATAAAGAGGAATACATGTTACCAAATTTCCACACTTGATCAGAACAAAAAACAAAAAAAGTCAACCTGGAAATTTCTTTTAGTTTATTGAAAGTGGCAGCTTCTTTATTGAAAGTGGCAGCTTCCAAGAAAGTCAGATGTGTTGTTCGGATGTCACTGCCGACAACAGTAATTCATAGACTATAATTAAGCATCAATTATAGATTAAACGTAAGAAGAGTAATTTATGAGCTTCAACATTCAGGACATAAACTGTGTATAGATTTGGTTGACTTTTCTAAAGGTGGTGGACATTTTATAAAACAGAGCTTTTATACGTAAATCTTGTGACGCATATACCCGCAAGCAAAACTACGGCTACGTACTATTCTGGCCTAAACCGTATTCTCCACCGAATTGTGAATTTTGGCCATTCACAGCTGCTCTTTGCTGGTGCAACGGTGGTCTCACGCGGAGTTATCAAGAAAACCCTGTAGTTACGCATATCCAAACCTCTAAGCCTTCTGGTGAAGCCCTTGTCCTTCTTGACTTTACCCGATACTAGGATCAAGTCCGCTGGAGCAGGAGAGTCCATTGCCCATAAATGTATGTCATGTAACATTCTATCACTTCTCGCGGATTTATTCTTCCCTCCGGGTAGGAAGTAGATACTTGATTCCCAAGTATTCTTCCTCAGAAAATCTCCACCCCAAGACCCTTCCTTGTCATCAACATAAGCCCATACTGACATCTCACCCTCAACACCCTTCTCACTAAAGGCTGACTCGATCTTCTCGTAGATCTCATCGGGTCTCCAACCAGCAGGGAACGGGAAATCCTCCACGTCCCAAAACACGCTTGCCATATCCCCATGCACGAACGTGATACTTGGAGAAATTCTCGATCACGTCACCGAGTGTATAATCTATCCTCATCGCTCTGGCGATTGGCTTTCCTCCATTTAAACCTTGTGTACAAGAAACTATCGACTCTATAGAATCAGGGCCGGCCCTGAAAAAACGGGGGCAGAATAATTTAGTAAGGTTTTGATGAATTTTGGGGCCAAAAATTGATTTTTTTTTTAATTTGGGGGCCAAAATCTATACAAATTTTCTTAACAAAAATGTGGGGGCCAAGCCAAAAGCCTCACTTGGCTTGCCTCAGGGCCGGCCCTGTACAGAATCAAGGCACATACCGTCATCATCATCATCATCATCAGGCGGCTTTACTAGGAAAATATTGTGATGTCTCGCTTCCAAACACTTGAGAACCCTGTGGAACTCACTGTCTGGATCTGGTTTTGGGATCACCATTAAATCTCCATGGTAAGAATTTGCGAAAGCGAGAACGTCCATAACCATTTCACGATACCCTTTTGGTTCGTATACGATTTTGGCTTTGTTCAAGTCATCTTTGAGGTGGTTCAGGTTCTCACCGTACGCATGTATAAACGTACAACCATGAGTGCCGATTTGTTTTAGAGCTGATCTGATGTTTCTTCCAAGAGGTTCAAGATTGGCGTCACGAGGGATTGGGTAGGTCACCAAGTCCCAAAAGACCATTGTGGTCCTCTCAGAAACTTGGCATGCAAGGCATCGTTACAATAGGTTAGATGATCCATTAACTATTTATTTTACTATGATGTAATCTAAAACAAACAATATGGAGAGAGATCTTACTGTCGAAATCTTCATCTTCTCCGTCATCTAAACAATAGGTAAACGAATAACAATACAATATAGGTCAAATAAACATATTGTTTTATGATGATGAAATCTAAACAAACAATTTCGGTGTAAAGGGTGGAGAGAGTTCGTACCGGAGATATTGGAGATATATTCGTCATATATCTTATCAACTATCTTACCAGAGCAGCAATCAATAATCTCTATCAAAACAATAGCAATAGGTAAACGAATTAAAATAAACAAATTGTTTTACAATGATGAAATCGCGCGTGTAAAGGATGGAGAGAGTTAGTACCGGAGGGATTGATGATATATTCATCTAGGCTAGGTCCATAAAAATCTTCTCCGACTATCAAAACAATAGTTAAAGAATTACAATATAATAGGTCAAACAAACGAATGATGAAAATTTTAAACCAATTTCGGGTGGAGCGAGTTCTTACGTGTCTTTAAGGTCATGGTTCGACGGAGAGAGTTGGAGACTTTGAACAAATTAATATGGTTTAGAATATATTTTTGAGGGTTAAACATGAAAAAAAAATATTATGAGAACGTTCACTTTTTTCATCCCTTTTTTGCCATATATATATATATATTTTTTCTTTTCTTTTCTGAATTTACTAATTCAATTGTAAAAAAGGAAAATCTATGCGTATTTTTTTATATATATTTTAAGAACTATAAATCCCTACATCTTATTTGTCTCCTCTGCTTGGCTCTTTTCTTTCACCGGCAACTCTTCCTCTGTTTTTGTAGTGCCCTCTCTTCCCCAATTAGCTCTTCTTACAAAGACGTAATTCGTTGTTTATTTTGTTATTGTTGGGTCTAGAGTTATTTGTGATTAGGTTCTGTAATGATTAATAGTTGGGTTTTCACATAAGTTTAAGTGTGTCGTCCATGCTGCACTAGCTAGATCTTTGACCTTAATCATAATTCGGTGTTTTCAAATTTTCAGAGTTAAACTTGTGTCATAATCTGTTAAACTATGCTAAACGTTGGTTTTTAACTCTATTGTTCTTAGTTTGGTTCTAACTGTGCAATGACGAAGGGAGCAAAGAGAATGAACGACAGTGATGAGAAGAATCAGGCACCAAAAGCTAAGAAAGCCCGAGCGACCAAACAACATGAAGAGCCTGAGTACTTTGAGGAGAAACGTAATCTGGTATGTTTTGCTAACCCTAAGTCTTGTAATACTGCTTAGCGTAGAATGAACGCAGTTTGTGTTGTTACGGTTATTTAATTAAGCCACGTGTGTTTTTAATGTGTGTTACAGCAAGATTTGTGGAAGGCTGCATTTCCGGTGGGCGCTGAGGTAAATTATTCTGAGGAACTGATTTGGCTAGCTACAACATTGACGTTACTCTGTTGATATTCTTTGCTCATAGTTGTTAAATTTGTGATGGCAGTGGAAACTGTTCGATGCACTTTATGAACACAATTGGGATTTCAAACATCTTGAAGTAAGTTATTTATATTAATATTCTCAGTTATCTAGTTGTCTATTTGTCATGTGTAAAGATTTGACATTCTGTTAATTTATATGTTTAGGAATCATTGGAGGAAGGAGGAATGCTCTATGGCAAGAAAGTCTTTGTTTTTGCCAATGCAGAACGTAAGATTCTAGCTTAGTTTGGCCCTTGTGGTTCTTCCTAATTCGCTCTCTTCCTTTTGTTTAATTTTCTCTCTTTCTCAAACTTACAGCTCAGATGGTCCACTACAAAGATGTAGACAAGGTTGTCCCTGTCCCGACAGTTGTTGCTGTAAGTTCATTGTTTAAATCTCTATACATCAAGGGTTTGCTTGCTCTGTCAGTATATTGTCTAAACATTGTGTGTATTATATATGCAGGTTGAATCACCCTTTCCGCCTTCTGATAAGATAGCAATCGCATCGATTCAGAGAGCAGCGGAGGAAATCTTTCCAATGAAGCAGATGAAGATGGACTGGGTTCCTTTCATTCCGTTTGGAAATAGGTACACCATGCACGTGCATACATGTTATGTTAAATCATTGCATGCGAGAGATGCTAAATATCAGTTGCTAATCACTTTTCCTTGCAGAGAAAGACAAGTTGATAGGATCAAGTTTCAGATCTTTATCCTGGCCTGTACGCAGAGGAGGTAAGAAACATTGTGTCGTCAGATGAGTAGTAATTTTCTAAATCTTAGCAGCTTTCTGGTGTTGTCAACTTAGCTTTGTACATTATTTTATCTGCAGATCTGCTCTCAGACATGTCAAGGAAGAGCGTGCTAGGGACTTCGAATATTGTCTTCCTTGTGAGTTTTATTTCCTCTACTACTTACTAATATAATATGTGTATGTGTACGATGACAAGAAAATCTGACATCATCCTTCTTTTTTACTTTCTTGGTTTGCAGACTTCTGTAACCCATTTAAGGAAGATGAACTTGAACAAAGTAGTGAGGTCCAACTAATATTCCCATCTGAACCGCCAGTAAGTTTTCTTGCATGCAATGAAATATGTTGTATAGATTCTTTATAATTGATCAATTCATTTCCCTGTTTTGTGCAGGTTCATTGTGAATTTGACTGGAAGTTTGATAGACTTGAGGAATTTGTTGATAACCTGATTGAAGGAGAAGAAATATCTGCGGAACAAAAGGATGAGTTCAAAGTAAGTGTTTGAGCTGTAACACAATTTGTTCTTGATGAGAAGGCTTGTAACACAAGTAGCTTATCGTTTTTCTTTCTTTTTGGCCAGGATTTTGTGAAAGAGCATGCTCGAGCAGCAAAGAAAGCCAGGAAAGAGGTTAAAATTGTAACCCTGAACTGAGATAATGCATTTGTATTCATTGAAACTGTTTTGCTTGATTAAGAGATTAAGTACGGTGTTATGTTATTCCCTCGCAGGCAACAGCTGCTAGAATGAAAGTGATAGAAGAAATGAGCGAAGATGATAGGCAAGCCTTTGAAAGCATCAAGGTCTACAAATTCTACCCTCAGCCTCCACCAGAAATCTCAGGACTCCTAAAGGTATATAATAGAAACGTAAAAACTCATACACATAAGAAGATATTAAAGGTTTTTTTCTGTTTTGTTTGCAAAGGCTCTGAATATGTATGTGAATCATCTTTGTATGCAGGCTCCGAAGATTAACCGATACTACGGGGATGCTCATCAAGTCTTTTGATTTCTAATCTGACAAACCGACCCATGCTTCATGTGCACATGGACAGATGGACTTTGAAGCCGATGATCATGCACTGTAGATTAACGAGAATATTGCAACTGTTTATTTAAAATAGTGAGAATATCATGCATCATAGTTTATCATGAGTATAAACAATTTAATTTTCATACCAATTTTCCATTCGTGTGTTTTGCAAGCATTACCAACTTATATCCAATAGAGTTTATGACTAACATAGGAAAAATGACATTTGATTGTTGGGATTCAAATCCATTTATCATGATGTGCAGTGTGTTATGGATGCTGATCGGTTATCTTCCGACCCAACAAGTTACCAACATAAAATTGTGACATTCTTTAGATTTTTTATTTGTCATTTTTACACAACATAAAATTGTTGTTGATTTCATAAGTCTATGCCCGTGCATAGTAGGGGCAAAATCTAGTCTTCAAATAAGTTGGATGCTCAAATAAGTTCACGATTTACATAGATTGAAACATTTGTTAATGTAAGAATGTAACCGAGTTTGCGAGATTTTCCGTTCTCGCAAATTCTCTAAGATTCGATCGTAGAAGTTTTCTAACGAAGAGTGAAGAAAATTTGGGAGAAATTACAAAATGATTTTGTAAAAAATTGGGAGAAATAGAGTTTTGGGACGAAATGATTTTTTTGTTAATAGGCATTATCACGTTTGACCGCATGTGTTGGACGTTCCTAACATTTATATCTCAAAATTTTAAAACACCTTAACCGAATTGGTTACATAAGGTCCCTAAACTATATGTTACATAGCTTAATTTACATAAACTATGCATTTTAGCTTAATTTAGCCCATCTGTTACATAATTGCTCCCTAAGGTCCTAAACTATCTATGATTCTAAGAGACTCCATGTTAACACCTAAATAAAACTCGATTTTGTTTCTAATCACACGAATGTGTAATGGTAAGGGTTAATTAGCCGAATATACATATTGGAACAAGAATTAAGAATATAGCCATAGCAATAATTTGGCTATAGTACATAGATACATTCATCAAATTTTACCTATATTAACCCTTAGCAAATTCTATACCATATTAAAAAATATAGTACAGTTTTTTCTATTTCAAACTAAAAATTACAACCCTAAACCTTAAACGCATAAATCTAAACCCTAAACCCTAAACCCAAAAAATTAAACTATAAACTCAAAAACTAAACTCTAAATCCATAAAACTAAACCCTAATTTAGAAAAAAGAACCCTAACTCCAAATCTAAACCCTAAACCTCATAAACTAAATCTAAATTTATGAAAAAGACCCTAATTCCAAAATCTCAATTCGAAACCCCAAAAACTAAACCCTGATTTTGGAAAATTAGCCATATCCCTAAACCCTAAATCTAATATATAAATCTTAAACTTAAACTCTTTAAACCCAAAAATATAAACTCAAACCTAATATATAAATATTAAACACAAAATCTAAACTCTAAACCTAAAAAACTAAACTCTAAACCATAAATGAGAAAAAGAACAAGTTATTCTATCCCATACATACACAAAAAATAATACGGAATTGAATTTTATACATAAAAAAAGGGCAAAATTTGGTATTATTATAGAAAATATGCTTTGTATCCTAGCCAAAACTTTGATATGGTTAGTTTGTTAATTTTGGCTTCCAATATGATTATTCACTACAATTTCCCTAATGGTAATACCTTGATGTGTACACGTCATTCTTGGAGCGTAGCATCAAACAACACTTCACCTAAAGTCAATTCGCTTCCCTTCATCCATATTACACCTTCTTTGGATTATTTCCACGTAACCAATTCAAATCTACATAACTAATAAGGCTTGGACAATCTCCAGCCTTTGACACGTGGCACTTTCTTTTTTTTTTTTTTTTTTTCGCCTATTTTTTTTTTTTTTTTTTTTCGTCTTACACCAAAACGACGTCGTTTTGCGCTTTATCTTTTTTTTTTCGTCTTACACCAAAACGACGTCGTTTTCGTATTAAAAAAAAAAAAATCTAAATCAAAATTATGTGTAATGCTGTTCGTTTTGATGGCTTGATTATTTATCGGACCTCTTCGTTTCCATGGTAGCTTTAAATGGGCTTACTGGCTAATTAGCTCATTTCATTTCCTTTTAAAAAGGATTGCAATTATTATTATCTATGAGTCTGTAGGATAATAATCAATCTATAATGATTGTTAGTATAAGGAAAATTAGAAGAACTCAACTCCAGTCGATAAATTATTGTATAAAAGAACAAAAAACATATGAAACTATTCACTATGAGTCTATATAAGATTTCACGTAAATAACAACTAAATTTTAAAACTATATGAAAAAAAACAAAATGCAAAACTTACAGAATCTAATATATTCGAGTAAAAAACAAATGATATATTCGAATCTAATGTTCTGAATAATTAAATTAAAAATATTTGGTTTAATAAACCCGCGCATTGCGCGGGTTCTCTCCTAGTTATTAAATAATTCAGTACGCATTTTCTATAATCCATTATTATTAACATTTCATTAGGCTAACAACGAAATTGGCTTGGAGCTTTGAATTTAACGGACCACGGAGAAACTCAAATTATTCTTAAACGCACTTTTCAAATCGCTAAAACTCACGTTTGAGCACGCAACCATAACTCTTTCCCCCGCGTCACTTCTGTTCCACGTAGCGTCTGCGTTACGCAGCGTCCTCCACTTGCAGAGCTTTCCTTCTTCTATCTCCGCCGCCACAATTTCTCCGGTCTCCGTCGCATTATGAACATAAACCATATCTCCCACGGCGTTCAACGCTATCGACGTTAACGGCCAATCGGAATCAACTCCCCTGAGTTTACCAAAACACGCCTTAGGCATGGATCCAATCGTTTCGAATTTCAAATTCAACAGGGATTCGTTGGATACTATTTCCCACAGTTCGATTCCCGTCGGATTATAATCGTCTCCGGTGATCCCCGCCATGATTAGACGGTTACCCGCGAATCCCATCACGCGTGAGTACAATTTACAGTCGCCGCCGTGTTCGTCTACGGGAGAGAGATCAAGGAGTTCCGTCCACGATCTAGTTTCTGGATCGAAACTACAAGCCATGCCTGATCTTTTCTCAGTCACGTACATCTTTTCCGAACTTGCTGCAACGGATAGCCACGTGGAGGATGCAGAGTTCCAGAGGAAATCCGGCATAGATTCACATCTCTCCCACACGGCACCGCCGGATTCGATGTCTAGACACTCGACGGCGACTTTATCGTCCTCGAATTCGCACACGCCGCCGGCTACGATCAGGCTCTGTCCGACGACGGCGACGATTGGATCGATCCTCCACACTCTCGGAGGTGCCACGTGTCGCCAATTCAGATGAAATGCGTCGACTGAGAAGGAGAATTTTGTCGGCGATAGCGCGTAGAGCAACGTGGAGTGGGCGGATCGAGCAGCGGACAGGTGTTCAACGGGGGATGCGGTTATGAGCTCGATCCACTCATCGGACTTGGGATCGTAAGCCATCGCCTTCGCCGCCATGGTGCACGGCGGGAATCTCCTCTGTCGGTAGACGATCAACCAAGGCATGGTTTTAAGAAGGCGGAGGGAGAAGAAGGCGGACCGGTTCCAGGATTTGGACACGTGGCAGGCAGAGTCGAGGTCGAGTAGCGGCAATTTGGAGAGGATCGATGCGAGTATGTCTCCGTCAATGGAACTTTCTTCTCCTCCAAAATCTCCATTGTTGTTGCTCTTATTCTCCATCAAAGCTTTGGATAATGCTGAAGCGATACGAGGGAAAGTCTTTATACAGAGAGAGACTACATAATTGCACGGGAAAGTCAAATTTATTTAATTTTGTTTCATACTTTACACAGTTTCTTATTATAATATAATTATTTGGCTTCAACTGCTCAGATATAAATCCACAGCCCCAAACGAAACAGTTGGAATCTTGGAATAAATAAAAAGCATATCACAAAGCATGTAACCCGAGGGACTAAACGTGCTTAACTCGAAATGATTAAGTAAGAATCATATACTTACTCCAATTCGAGTTAGCATGCATATTTGACCAATTCAAGTGTCTTCATCTTATCCAAATGGGTTATCTACTAACGGTTTTAGATTATCTATCTACCAATGCAAATCATAAATGCAGATTTGACCCATCGGCCACATATAGCTACTTCGTATAAGAAACCTTATCTATGGAATGTTTTTTTTTTTTTTCAGATTTGTGTACCGTATGTATCTTATACTAAACTCCACTAGATTAGTTGGAATTATCGAGCAGGACAATGACCTTTGTCCATTATCCAGAGTGGATCCAAAATATCTTTCTCAATGTGACTCATCTTGATACCATCGATACGTTCATGGTTTCATGCTCGGAAGTGGTTCCAAATCATATAATCTGCCGTATTGAAAAACCTACATTTATGATTTTTATTGTTGTCTGTAATGTAAAGCAGCACCTACTACTATAATATTCCTACGCCTCATCTTCTCTTTGATCACGTCCGAAGAAATTATGAAGTATAACCTGAAGAATGTTAATCTGGACCATTTGTTACTATCCCCCAAGAACCATATCCCAATCGTTTTCTTCTCTCACTGCTTATATTTGTGGTTCCAAATATTCTATCTAAAGTATCATATTCTACCACAGATTTTATATCAAGAACATTGAGCACAAACACATCTGCAAAAGAGGTTTAACTAAATCAACAGCTATTCATAACCTACATGATGAAGCTTTGACGTAGAAGAGACAAATCAAAATGTTATTGTGTGTTCACACACTAATAGTCTTTTTGTTGAAACTTGGAAGTCTCATCAATACTTTGAATTTTATACGCGATGCAAAATTTCAACATAAAGACCATTAATGTGTGAACACAAAAGTACATTGGACTTGTCTCTGCAGATATTTGCCTCTACATATGTTCTCGTCAAAGTTGCAGAGACCAGATTATCGTCGATGACAAAGATGATTATCCAGTCGATTGATTTTAAGGGTATGTGTTAACACTTGGTTTGTTTAGTATGTTTAATACATACATATACACAAAACAAGATAAAGTTACACAGTAACACTCTGGCTATATTTTAGTATCTCGGTCTCTCCCTAAGCTTCCTAACTATAATGTCAACGGGTAAAGATCCCACCGGACCCACCGGTTCTAGCGACTCATCATCGGAACCCTCGTCGACAAAGTCATCGTCTAAGTCACTATACTCTTCGGACCGGTCCTCGTTATCTACGTAATCCTCTGCACCATCATTACTCGGCAAGACTAAGGCTGTGAACGTGTGTTCTGCAGCCTGTGAAGTGCCTGCGAACTCTTCCACCTTCTGCAACAGATTGTCTGGACTGAGGTCAAGCTCTTCCAGAATCACAGCCTTGGATGATTCCAATGCTCGTTTCCATAGCGAAATCATTTTGGGGCTTGAGATCACCGTATTTCGATCAGACACCGTTTGTTCTATACTGGTTTCGTCTGAAAATGAAAGAACATATAAAAATCAATGTTTTGGTTGGATAGTGAGAATCCTTTTGTTGTTTACTGAAAAACTCAAAGAGTTGATAATACCTGAGAGATCAAGTTCTTCTGCTACGTTGGTCTCAGAAACGATTGGAGTTAAAGGATTGTCCAGAAACCGCGACTTCCAATCTCGTCCTCTCCACATGAGTATTTGCTCATCGTCAAAAGACAGAAGCACGCAAGGAACTAACTCCTGCGAAAAGATAAGAAATGAAGAGAAGGCTCTTCAGATACATAGAGAAATGATGGATGATGAAACCAAAAGAAATCAATGAAGATGAAGTATAAGAGGGAACTTTCGTCTTCCTGACAACTAACAGTCAACATTTGAGATTGGCCAAAAGAAAAGAAAAACCTGAAGGATTAATAGACCTTAAGCTTAGCGCCTATTTTCTTGTAGTCACTTGGTTCAAGTCCTGGGCAGTCTACTTTCACCAAGGGACTCAGTTCGAAGGCATCCTTAACATCTTTCACCAGAGACACGTAGACTCCATTTTTAGCTACAATGCAAAACCGAGACAACCATAGTAAGAAGTTAGCCGAATGTTTATCTCTTCTTGCACACTATGTGCCAATTTACTTCAGTGAATGCCAAAAGTAACAAAACAGGATCAAAGTACACTCACACAACTTGCATATGGGCCTAAGAGACTTGCCCTTCACCCTAAACTCATGAGCTTCCTCTATGGTCAATCCTTCAGGAACTTCTTGAATGAGCTTCGGATAAACAGGAGCTGCTGGTTTCCACAGCATCACCGGGTACTGCGGACGTGTGCGGTAGTTGTAGTTTCTACCCCTGAATAGGTATATAACTCCTCCGACTCTGTGAATGATCTCTCCTCCTGTCTTCTCCTAGTTAAAGAGTAAAAGACAAAGAGAACCGAAAGTTTAAAAACCTAGAAGAGAGTAAACATACAAAGATGCCATCTTTTGTGACTCTCTCAAGTTACAACCCCAAATTTTCCAATTGCTAATCAAAGTCTAAGCAAATACCTCAAGAACACGACAGACGTTATCCATATCAACGGTGGGAACACCTTTGCAGCGAACCTTGCAAACACGCCGTCTCTTCCAATGCGAATGTATCAGTTCCAACATGTTATGCGTAAATCCATCTCTCCCTGTAAACACACACACACACAATCCAGTGAGTGAAATTGGAATTATAAAGCTCCAGATTGAAAAAAATGTGGGTACACTCACCTAAATTGACCTGGCGATTATCATGCATATGCGGCTTAATCAGCATCCCTTTCTCCCACTTCTTCAACGGCTCTCCGAGAATCTCGTCTCTCGTCATCGATTCCTTCGGATACCTCCCGAAAGGGAACGGCCCAGGCATTTCCACATATTTAACCCCAGATTTTCCAGCCGGCGGCGGATCGAAGGAATCGAACAACGGAATCTTCTTCTTCGATTTCTTCAGCGGCGCTTTCCCCGTCCACGGTCGAGGCATCGTCGGCGGCGCGAACGGCATGAAAGCCGGCTCTCGGATTCCCAAAGGTTTAGCCTTCGGCGTCTCGGAGTAGCTGAACTGGAACTCGAACGGCGCCCCGGGAAGCTGGTAAGAGACGCCGGAATCTCCGATAACGATGGTTCGATCTCCATCCGACGAGATTACTCCTTCTTTCACCGGCTTGTAGTATCTGGTCCGGCGATGCGGAAGCTTCAGCGCTGGATTTGATTGCGGTTTCGGCTGCAGCGACTCACTGTGATTGCTACTTCTCGGATTACGATTTCTACTGGACGGCGAATACTTGGGAATCGGAATCGGCGGAGCTGGCCGGAAATTCCCCGCCGTTGAATCCGCCTTTGGAGGCGACGAAGGTAGAGAAGAGAAGAGATTAATATCTGGTAGTGAAGCTACAATCGCCATTGATAATGCATCATTTGAAATTTTTGGTTTACACAAGAGGAAGATAACGGAGAAATCCATTTCAGTTTCTCTCCTAAACGACATCGTTTTAATCATTACGGGTTTCACATTTCTATTTGGGCCTAAGGCCCATTAGGTCAAGATTAGTCCAAGTCCATAAGCTAGGAACCCTAATTTACTTGGTATAAAAGCAATCGCTAAACTCTCTCCGTCGTTCTCCGAGCAAAAACAGAGAGATTGAGAGACCATGCAGATTTTCGTGAAAACCCTAACGGGGAAGACGATAACACTAGAGGTTGAGTCATCGGACACGATCGACAATGTGAAGGCGAAGATTCAGGACAAGGAAGGGATCCCGCCGGACCAGCAGCGTCTGATCTTCGCCGGGAAGCAATTGGAAGACGGGAGGACACTGGCGGATTACAACATCCAGAAGGAGTCGACGCTTCACTTGGTTCTCCGTCTGAGAGGAGGAGCGAAGAAGAGGAAGAAGAAGATCTACATTAAGCCGAAGAAGCTCAAGCACAAGCACAAGAACGTGAAGCTCGGGGTGTTGCAGTATTACAAGGTCGATGGAACCGGAAAGGTCCAGAGGCTGAGGAAAGAGTGTCCTTCGGTTGGCTGTGGACCGGGAACGTTCATGGCGAGTCATTTCGATAGGCATTACTGTGGGAAGTGTGGAACCACTTATGTCTTCAAGAAGCCTGTTGAAGAGTGATTATTAGGTTGTGCTTTTTTTATTTTGCCTTAATTTTCGGATTATTACTACTATAGGTTTTTTTTTGGAATGTTGGATTTGTGGTATTGAGGTTTAATTTTTAATCGGATTAATTTCTAATCAATAGTTGCATGAAATCATTCTCCATTGATAATTATCTGTGCGGTTTCTGATATATGATTAGAGTTAGAGTTTATTGGAAAATTAGTCAGGTTGAGTGTTAATCATGGTTTGACTGATCGGGAATTTGTGACTTGAGCTGTAGAATTATGATATTGAGCTGAATCAAGAATTTTTGTCTCTTTTGTTTAGCGAAATGGATTGGGTTTTGTTGTTCAAAAACAAAATATTACACGTTAAAATGTTTTATTTCGATTTTTCAGTTTATTTCTGAGAACTTGTTTGCTAATATTGGCCATAGAATCTCTGTTCTTGGTGTTTATGTGGTAGACCTTTACCTGTGTTGTCTTGTCACGTCGAGTCTCAAACTTTAAGAACAGTGGAGTTTTAACAATCCCTCAATTTTCGTTAAAAGATTTTCGATTTTCTTATTGTGTTAAATAAAAGTATCATCTTCTACCTTTAAACGAGCGACAACAATTTTGTACTATGAAATCTTAGCCTCATCTGAAACGAGTTCCCACACTCTCAGTTGCATTGACTATTGAGTAAGAAGTGTACAAAATAGTCAATGGAAACAGAACAAGAGATGTTGACTTTGTTGTTTAAATTGATAAAACTGTCCAAATGAAAATGGGTTGAAACTTGTTCGGTCCGGGTTTGAGTGGGTCATAGCTCATAACATGGGATTCTGTCCACAAAATATACAAATGTGTATGAAAATTGAGTAATTAAATATTTATGTTGAGTCTTTTTCTCGTGGTTGAACACAACATAGAAGATGAGAGTAATCCAGACAGAGAGAGCAATAAAGAGAGGGACACTGGAAATAACATGAGAGCACTGAAACTTGAAGAGAGGTTGAGAGGGAGAGAAGACTTTGGGTAAAATGGTCAAGAAACAGTTAGCAATTTGTGAGGGGGAAGAAGGACAAAATCCTAAGATTCCGAGTTGCTAAAAGTGATGAGTCTCCTAGAAACACCCGCACTGGTCTCAACTCACTGCACTTTCACTCTCAGCCTAAACTCCAAAGACTGTTGAGTTTGTGAGAAACTCAATAAATCCCATTTAAAGAGACAACTACACATGAGACAAAGAGGCATTTCTTTCTCAACTTCACTTGTTTTTTTCTTTCTAACTTGCAAACCAAACCACACATTACCACATCATTTATTACCTGTCTATCTTTGATCTACTGTCTATCTGCTCCCCTGCAACGTGGCTTTCCTTTTTTACATTGTTCATTATTGTAAGATTTTAACACTTCTCTTTACCATTGATTAGATCTTTTGATATTCTATTGTTCAACCTAGTTTGATCTTTACAATAACTCATATCTATTATTTTGCACGTACGGTTACATATATTTATACACGGCTTAGGTATCTGTGGTCATGGATTGTTAAAAGATAGAATATGACCAAAATAAAAAAGGAATGAGAAATGATTTAGAGGGAGCTTATAATGTTTTGCGTTTATGAGCTCACACGGTGGTATTGTTTTACTTATTTTATCATGCAAAATATCTATTGTAGTGGTAAATCTTCATATGCGTGGCACATGTATATAGCTTGGAAACTCTTATTTAGTGTTTTGGATTTTATTTAACAAGAACAAGATCATAATATGCGAAAATTGTCACTAGAACTCTACCAACAGAAATACGTAATTATTTATAGAGATACATAATTCATTTTCTTTAGAAAAGAAAATGTAGTTTATTAGTATTAAGGAGTTAGGAATGTGATTAATAGAAAGAATGAGAAACATTTACTGCTCACAGCTCATCAAGACGATGAAGATTTCAATTATTAGAAGTGAGATAGAGACGCACATAAGAGGTCTTGAGTAGTGCATTTTACCATATAACCAAAGAATTGTTCACATGAAAGACATAATATTTCATTAATGATAACTCTCTATCTATATATACACACACCCACACACATACATTTCCTATCATTCATCGTACACTCCCTCACTTTTTCTCTCTCTCTCTTTCTCCATGACAACAAGAATCCCCAACATGACCACACTCAACCATCTGTTTGATCTTCCGGGGCAGATTTGCCACGTCCAGTGTGGTTTTTGCACCACTATTCTCCTGGTATATATATACCTTAACTTCTTCGCTTTCCTCTCTCTCTCCATCTTTAAATGTATGATCATTTGATGAAGTTATGTGTTATACAGGTGAGTGTGCCGTTCACAAGCCTGTCAATGGTGGTAACTGTGAGATGTGGGCATTGCACAAGCCTCCTCTCTGTCAACTTGATGAAGGCTTCCTTCATTCCTCTCCATCTCCTTGCTTCTCTCTCTCATCTCGATGAGGTTCCGGTAACATATCTACTATGCATATGGTCTCTATATTTATATAAACATGGATCACTCTAATTCTTATTTTATACAAATGTTTGAAGGCGGGGAAAGAGGAGGTGAATGCAGCTACAACAGATGGCGTGGAAGAAGAAGCATGGAAGGTGAATCAGGAGAAGGAGAACAGTCCAACGACTTTGGTTACATCTTCAGACAACGAGGATGAAGACAAAGATGTGTCTCGTGTTTACCAAGTTGTCAACAAACGTACGTTTATATATATTGTTTGAAAAATTTCAGCTTAATTTTGATTACTTAACTTGATGGTTTTTGAGTTTGAATAGCACCTGAGAAACGACAACGAGCTCCTTCAGCTTACAATTGCTTCATCAAGTAAGAAATCGATCCAAGCTATGTATATTATACCTAATTCACATGAGTATGTATATTTTCAAAAAATTGTAACATGGTTCATTTTTTGGTATCATGAATTTGAGCAGGGAAGAGATCAGGAGGCTAAAGGCTCAGAATCCAAGCATGGCTCACAAGGAAGCTTTCAGCTTAGCTGCCAAAAATGTACTAATTAAGCTTCATCTAACCTTAAAACTTGAAAAGAAAATCAACAGAAAAAACCCTAATTTATTCTACATCTCTTAGCTGACCAGTTTAATTGAGAGATCTAGCTGATATTTTTTTGTGTGTTTTCAATATTTTTTTTTGATTTGGGGATGGTGAAGTGGGCCCATTTCCCTCCAGTGCAAAACAAGAGAGCTGCTTCAGATCAATGTTTTTGCGAGGAAGATAACAATGCAGTACTAACGTGCAATGCTCTTGAGGTAATTTCAGTAACTAATTATGTTTTTATTATATAACTGTTACAGTTTGCTTCAAAGTCAGTTATAATGTACTTGGTAAATAAAATCCATTACTAGGCCAACAGAAATGTCATTTCCAAAGCAAACCAAATAATAAGCATTTACTAGATCCAAATAGCATCACTCTCAGTAAAAATTTCAGAACCCTAGCTATTAATTGAAGTTATTAAAAAACTAATTTTTTATTGATCCTCAACTACTCCAATGTGTAAAATTTATGACCTAAACCTTTTTATAGTATTGAAGCTCACACTGCCCACAGTTTACTTTTATAGAAACCCCATTCAACTAATTAAAGCATTCCAGCTGAATATGTATATTTTTCAATAAATTTAGCTTGGGTTTTAATTAATTGCTGAAATGTTTGGAATGCAGGATCATGATGAAAGCAATAATGGGTTCCGAGAGAGAAAGGCTCAAAGGCATTCCATTTGGGGAAAATCTCCATTTGAGTAATAACAGTACTTTGGCATAAGAAATGTGTGACGGTGACTATTTTCTTTCTAGGGTTTGATTTTGTTGCTTTAGGGTTTGTGTTGTTGGAGAGAGAGAGAGAAGAGAAGAAACTGAAACTTACGTAGGATTTGGGTGTTCGAGGAGAATCTTGGGAATGAGCGATTTAATTCTGTAGTTTCGTACTTCTCAACTTTGAACTTAGTTTAAAGAGACACCGACTCTATACCAAATCCTACTTTTTTCATTCATGACTACTTGTATGCTATGAGTGTTTTAATATTCCATGAATCACTTTCGTAAGAATCTTTGTTAAGCTATCCTTATAACTTTATAAGATACTTCTTGACTTCACTATAATGTAATGGTTTTGTACTATGGGGTAAAACCGTAAAACACAAGCTCCCCAAGCGGAAATCATTTTCTAGCGTATTACATTTTCAGTTTAACCTTATACAAATGACAATTCATGATGGAACGCGTAATGCATATCTCCCGAAAATAAAGTAATAAAGATGTCAACAAAACACGCGAACCTCTATAGCGTGCAATGAGAATATTAGTTGCACCACACCTAATTCACAAATTACTCTTGTGGAAAACACAGTGAAGAATCTTACCTTACCACCACCATATGTTTCGTGTACTCGATATCTAAATCCGATAATTTTTGTATTTTGTTTTCATATCACTTTAAACACCATAGTGGAATAGATTGAATTTCAACACTCTCAAACACTCTAGAAAGAGAGAACAACCTGAAAAAGAGTTTTTTTTTTTTTAAATGCATTTGCTATATCTTTTAACCTTTTTTCGAACTTTTTGTTTTGGCTTAAGCGAGTCAGGATACAATTATCTATGTTCTTCTGAGTGACCCTGACCGTTTCGTAGGTGATTGCATTCTAATATATTTCTCATTGGTTTGGGTCTCAACGATTTTAAAAAAGCAAAGCTTAGAATGTCGAAATTCCAAAATCCTAAACAAACATCTTATCTAAAGCAACAAAAAGCAATATTTAGTTTATCCTCAATGCCTCATATATATTTTCTTAAGAAGAAATCTAGATCACACGGTATTTGATTATTTCTTTGGAAATTTGAAATATTGTTAGTATATTGATTATTAATGTTTTCTTTCGTGATTTCATAATAAAAAAGGATTAGTATCTCTATATTTTCAAAATATAGTAATGACTAATTTCATATCATATTTTCATCGGTTTTTCTCATATTTTTCAACAATAAAAGAAAATATATTTTTGACAAAGCAATATGTGCACGTTTACTCGAACTAATAATAGGGGCAATTTCGTAAAATAAAAGCAATATGCATCGGTGGGTCCGTTTCCACCGAGGCTCAACCACTATCAACGTGCCGGAATCGCAACTTATTTGAACGCCTCCCAATAAAAACACGCCACGTCATTATTTGAACGCCGGAAACGCAACTTATTTGACCATATAAAGTAGAGTTTAAAATTTAAACACATTATTTGAACGCCTCCGAATAAAAACACGCCACGTCATCTCTCCTCCCCTGTCGTCGACTGGTTAACGACAACCTCGGCCGGTGTCGGAGACGTTTCTCTCCCCCCCTCCGACGCTAGTGGCATTTTCGTAGATAAATTCGTAATCGGTGGGCGTTCCATCGAGGTTTGTGCTTATAAAAGTCCACCGCGAGACGAACACTTGATTTTCTCTTTCTTACTCACAATTATTATTCGCCAGAACTAGAAACCAAAACCCAATTTTGTGACCTCTTTTCCTCAATCCAAAAGTCCAAAAAAAAACCAAAAGCTTTAAGCTTGAATTTTGGGTTTTTCATTCTCTTCTTCAATCGAAATTTCGAGAAACTCAGGTAAAGATTAAAAATCCGATCTTTAATCATCACATCACGAACTTGGTCAACTCTGTTTTCCGATCAATCGAGAATTGATTTGATCATCTGCTAATCTTATCTTAAATTAGTATTGTTTCGATAGAATTCAATTGAATTTTGGTATATGTTTATCACTTATGAAGGTTGGGAGATGGGCTCTGAAGGACCAAAGGCAATTACAATTCATGTGACTGGCTTCAAGAAATTCCTTGGGGTTTCCGAAAATCCTACTGAGAAAATAGCCAATAATCTGAAATCCTATGTGGAGAAACGAGGGTTGCCTTCTGGATTGAGTCTTGGAAGCTGCACTGTTCTTGAGACTGCTGGGGAAGGTGCAAAGTCTCAGCTTTATGAGGTTTTGGAGTCTAGTGTTGTTGCCTCTGGTGATAAGAACACTAATGGCACTGTTGTTTGGGTGAGACACTCTTACTGATTAGTATCATCTACTTCAAAAACTGATCCTTTCTGTTTATAGATTTTTAAGAAACTTTGACTGTCAATGAAAGTGTGATTCTTCTTCTATGTTCAGTGATGAGTGTGTCATTGTGTTATGCTTCTCACTTGATGTGTTTTGGAGCTAATAGTTGTTGAGGTCTTATAAAAAGTTTAGATTTTTGAAGAACTTATAACTTTTGAAATGTGGAAACTTGTTTTCTTCTTGGGATTTTGAGTGTTTCTTCTGATGGTTTAAAGATCTAAAAATCAAAACTTTGCTCTTGATTCTGGTTCTTGTTTAGCTTCATCTCGGTGTGAACAGCGGAGCGACAAAGTTCGCCATTGAAACAAAAGCAGTGAACGAGGCTCATTTCCGTTGTCCTGACCAATTAGGCTGGCAACCACAGGTAAAATGGTAGCATTTGTGTTTGAATTCACTTCAATAAGATCCAAAAAGATGGAGAAAACACTAATTGAGCCACTTTTTTAACGTTTTCTTTACACAGCGGCTTCCTATTGTTGTTGAAGATGGAAGCATTTCAAAGGCAATAGAGGTATACACACAAACTTCACCACTAAACTCACTGTTTCTTCTTGCAAGTTTTCTAATTTTGATTTGAATTTTTGTTGTCCGGAAGACTTCATGCTCGTCTGAGTCGATTTTCAAGTTACTGAAGAGTAAAGGCTTCGACGTCATGCAATCAGACGACGCTGGACGGTTTGTGTGCAACTACGTGTACTACCACTCTCTGAGATTCGCAGAGCAAAAGGGACACAAGTCTCTCTTCGTTCACGTTCCTCTCTTCTCCAGAATTGATGAAGACACTCAGATGCAATTCGTGGTCTCTCTATTGGAGGCAATTGCAGCTACTTGCTAGTTGCCAAGTGTTTTATCTACACTACTACTACGCCATTATTGTAAGTACTGTATCTATGTATATCAATCTCTCTGTCTTGCACGAAGCTTTATGTTCTTTTATTTGGGGGTTGTTTTGGGATTGTATAAAAAAGAGGATTGCTTTTGGCTCTCAAACTTTCTGAGTCTCTAGTAAACGAGATCAAGAAAGAAATAGCCTTTTGTGTTCGTCTCTGTAATAAAAAGATACTCTTTTTATTCAAAAATGTCAAAAGGTTTGATTTTTATGTTATTTTCTGTTGAATATTTCTTGCTTTTTTTGCTTTGCCCAATACAATCTTTAAATTCCTAATTTTGCTGTAAGAAGAAAAAAACGTAAAAGCCGGTTTCTTTGGAGAAACACTGATACTTGTTGAGCAAGGAGCAAAAAAAGATTCAATTTTTGTCTTTGAATTTTGATTTCAAATGCGAAATTGCGGCTAGAAGAGAGCTATTTCTGTGTTGGAGACATGCGAGGAGCTCGAGCTTTAAACTTTCTTCGCAGAACGACGACGTTAGCTCAACATATCTGTCCTGCACCGCCGCTTACGGCGGTGACTCGTTTGCAGTTGGGTTCGTTTCTCGAAGAAAACCCTAGCGACCTTGTGTACACCCATAACCGGAAGATTGATGAATTGATCAAATCAGGGAACTTGACATCTGCACACGATATGTTCGATGGAATGTCTGTGCGAGATGTTGTCACTTATAATCTTCTCATCTCTGGGAATAGCCGAAATGGGTTTTCTATAAGAGCTATAGAGCTCTACGCGGAGATGGTCTCTCATGGTCTTAGAGAGAGCGCTTCCACGTTTCCTTCCGTTCTGAGTGTATGTAGTAGCGATGAATGGTTTTCTAGAGAAGGAATTCAAGTTCACTGCAGAGTGATTTCGCTTGGGTTTGGATGTAATATGTTCGTCAGGTCTGCTCTCGTAGGTCTCTATGCGTCTTTGAGGGTTGTTGATGTTGCGTTGAAGCTGTTTGATGAAATGCCTGAGAGGAATTTAGCTGTTTGTAATCTGCTGTTGAGATGTTTTTCCGAGACTGGAGATTTCAGAAAGTTGTTTGGAGTGTATCGTAGGATGGAGCTTGAAGGTGTTGGTAAAAATGGGTTAAGTTATTGTTATATGATTCGTGGTTGCTCTAATGATCGGTTGTTGTGTGAAGGGAAGCAACTGCATTCACTAGTGGTGAAATCTGGATGGGACGTTTCTAATATCTTTGTGGCTAATGCGCTTGTGGACTTTTACTCTGCTTGTGGTGATTTATATGGTTCTGTGAAGTCTTTCAATGCTGTCCCTGAGAAGGATGTAATATCCTGGAACTCTATTGTTTCTGTGTTTGCGGATTATGGCTATGTGGTTGAGTCTGTTGATTTGTTTAGAAAGATGCAGTTTTGGGGGAAGAGACCTTCGATACGTTCGTTCATGTCGTTTCTGAGCTTCTGTAGCAGAAACGGAGAGATTCAGTCCGGGAAGCAGATCCATTGCTATGTCCTTAAAACGGGTTTTGATGTTTCGAGTTTTCATGTGCAGTCTGCTCTCATTGACATGTATGGCAAATGCAATGACATTGAGAGTTCTGTGTTGGTTTACCAGAGTTTGCCTGGTTTGACTCTGGAGTGTTGCAACTCGCTGATGACTTCTCTGATGCATTGTGGCGTCACTAAAGATATTAGAGAGATTTTTGGTTTGATGATGGGTGAAGGAACTGGAATCGACGAGGTCACTCTCTCTACTGTCCTCAAGGCTTTGTCACTCTCTGTGCCAGCAAGTTCACATAGCTGCACGCTTGTGCATTGCTGTGCTATTAAAGCTGGCTATGCATCTGACGTTGCAGTCTCTTGCTCTCTGATTGATGCGTATTCAAAGAGCGGTCAGAATGAAGTGTCTCGGAAGGTATTTGATGAGCTTGATTCGCGTAACGTCTTCTGCTGGACTTCGATCATCAGTGGCTATGCAAGAAACGGCATGGGAAGAGAGTGTGTTGAGATGCTGAGAGAAATGGATCGGAAGAATCTTGTACCGGACGAAGTTACAATCTTGTCTGTGCTATCAGGTTGTAGTCATTCCGGTCTTGTTGAAGAAGGCGAGGTGATTTTCGACTCGTTGGAGTCGAAGTACGGAGTTTCTCCTGGAAGGAAACTCTATGCTTGCATGGTGGATTTGTTAGGGCGTGCTGGTTTGGTGGAGAAGGCTGAGAAGCTGCTTCTTCAGGCAGGTGGAGATGCAGACTGCGTAGCTTGGAGCTCATTACTGCAGAGCTGTAGGATACATGGAAAGGAAGGGATAGGGAAGAGAGCCGCAGAAGTTTTGATGGATCTTGAACCTGAGAATTTCGCTGTGTACATTCAAGTTTCGAAATTTTATTTTGAGATTGGTGACTTTGAAATCTCCAGGCGAGTCAGGGAGATTGCTGCTTCACGAGAGCTCATGAGGGAGATCGGTTACAGTTCAGTCATCGTGAAACAGTGATTTGCTTCAGCATCAGAATCATTTTATCTACATTTCTGAAATTGGTTCTTTTGCTTGAAGCCATCACACATGATTGACACTCTACAAGGACAACACAAGAGGATAACATTCTTTATTTCCCAGGTTGGTGCAACAAACTCCTTTAATTTCTGCCATTTGATAATACTGCAAAATGTCAGCTTTTGGTTCTTTAGAACCACAACATGTCTAAAGATCCGAAAATAGCATCTTTAGGGTAAAGAAGTTGAGAGATTTTTCAGGGCATTCTTTCTCGTTTGTGTTTATTTTAGATCTCATGGGACCAGCATTCATCAAGAACAAGTTGACCACTAAGGTTTTTGCGTTGTAGAGGTTTTGGAGTAAAGCAAAGAAGTGTTAAAAGCACATGACTTGTGCTTTAAGCGTAGATATTGTAGAAAAACAAGGCCTTTCGTTCATGTGCTTTTAAGCCAAGCCAATAAACCCCACAAACCCCATTAATTAGTATGCATATAAATTCATATCCGAAACCAATCATCTCTGCAAAAAAAAGAAAAATCTCATTAGTGGGGAGTGGATAGAATCAAACCGGAATCTTCTTTAAGCGCTTTGATTGAAGCATATGATGGATAAGCTCTACATTCTTTGCCTTCTAGGTCTGTTGATGGTAACTGCTTATGGAGTTGCAGGGAAAATGGTTTACACGGATCTCGACATCCTTAAGAAGCTTGAGAACTTTGACGTAGTGCTAGATGATGACGCTGATGATAACGATGCAAAGCTCTTTGATTTGGTATCATTTACAAGACGTAGTTCTGGTAAGAATCTGGTGAATGTGGATACATTTGGTGCAGCTGGAGATGGAGTTTCTGATGATACTCAGGTGCGTTTGAGATCATTTTTTGCTTATTCCATGATCATGACATGTTCTCTAGATACCCAAAATGCTAGCTCTATGTCTTGGAATAGAAACATTTCCCCAAACTTACATACATGGAATAATTTTGTTATAAACAGATTTTGTGCACTCCTAGGCTGGACTTAGTTTGATATTTTGCGAAACTAATCTGTGAATGATCTTCTCAAATTAGGCATTCACAAACGCATGGAGCAAGGCCTGCTCCACACGAAAATCTGTGTTACTTGTTCCACAAGGACGGCGATATCTAGTGAATGCAACAAAGTTCAATGGTCCATGTGAACAAAAGTTGATAATTCAGGTCAAGTTTGACATTTTGAGTCCTTATATATATATATATATATATTTATTTTTTTGGTTATCTTCAGCAGGAAAACACAAAAAAACTATACAAATTCTATGGTATGTCTTATACAAATTCTGAAACTTTTTACAGATTGACGGAACAATAGTGGCACCAGAAGAGCCCAGCGATTGGGACCCGAAGTTGCCAAGAGTTTGGCTTGAGTTTTCGAAACTCAAAGGGGTTGTGTTCCAGGGGAAAGGAGTTATAGATGGTTCTGGCAGCAAATGGTGGGCTGCTTCTTGCAAGAAAAACAAGTCTAATGTAACAATCTTCGATACCTAAAATTAGCTTTCTTAAACTTCAAAAAAGTAAATCTCACACATCTTTCTTGCTCTCTTGCAGCCTTGCAAAAGTGCACCAACGGTAAGAAACCATTGCCTTCATTATGTACTTGTTTCTTCTTATTAAGGTGGCTTCTTGTTTAGCTTGATTCATTCAACTATGTATCTTTTGTTTTCCCTGCAGGCACTAACTATAGATTCTAGCTCAGGTGTGAAAGTAACTGGCTTGACGATCCAGAACAGCCAGCAGATGAATTTCATCATTGCAAGGTCAGATGCAGTTCGAGTCTCCAAAGTTATGGTCTCTTCTCCAGGAGATAGTCCCAACACTGATGGAATCCACATCACTGGGTCAACCAATGTTGTCCTTCAAGACTGTAAAATCGGCACAGGTTTGTTCTTCTTCTTAAACCAAAATCTTTACGCAAATGAAACATTTGACGGATGTAGTAATCTCTTAATACTGGGGGTTATAAACAGGGGATGATTGTGTCTCGATTGTGAATGCGAGCTCGAATATAAAGATGAAGAACATCTATTGTGGACCTGGACATGGAATCAGGTACATCATCAAATTTTCTAAGTAACATCTGTTTCAAGATCAAAGCATAACTCTTTGGGATTGTTCTCGCAGCATTGGAAGTCTTGGGAATAATAACTCAACAGGCATTGTAACAAACGTTGTGTTGGACACTGCGTTCTTGAGAGAGACAAGTAATGGACTCAGAATCAAAACGTATCAGGTAAGCAATAAAAAAAGCTGTGATCTTTACTCTTATAAACTTCTGTTTGGCTTGATCCACATCAACCATTGTTTCACTTTCGGATACAGGGAGGTTCTGGTTACGTTCAAGGTATTCGATTCACAAACGTAGAGATGCAAGACGTCTCTAACCCGATCATCATTGATCAGTTCTACTGCGACAATCCAACTTCCTGTCAAAACCAGGTTTCTTTACAACACAATACAAGTTCTTGATTATAGCTCACAAGATTAAAGTGACTCAAGATATGTTATCTTTCTTTTGTTTTGGTATAATGTAGACTTCAGCGGTTAAAATCAGCCAGATAATGTACCGGAACATAACCGGGACAACCAAAAGTGAAAAAGCAATCAAATTTGCGTGCAGTGACTCGGTCCCTTGCAGCCACATTGTCCTCGACGATGTGAATCTTGAAGGCAAAGATGGTCAAGTAGAAGCTTACTGTAACTCTGCTGAAGGTTTTGGGTATGGAGTGATTCATCCGTCGGCGGATTGTCTGTACTCGCACGACGACAAGGGCATGGACCAGAGTCACAAGTCAGAGGAAGCTGAGACTGGCCACGACGAGCTCTGATGGTGGTAATGTTACAAGTGTTTGTAGTGAGGGATGATATGTAAAATAGTTTTCTGAAGCATATGATATACAGTAAAAGATGATTTTTAATTTTTATTTTTACAGTCAACCAAATCATAAGGTTGTTGTTACTAATAGCATTGCTCTCTCCACCTTTTGTATCATACATCATATGCACATTTTTTTCATCATTGAAAGTTTAATGTTAAATGAAATTTAAATACGTAGAAATGAAATACAAAGAGGAAAAATAATTTGACTTTTTAAGATGAGAGAGGAACACATCACATGGGGACACCAAAAGACGAAATGGAGTTTGAGTTTTTGATATGTTTGGCACGTGCGAAACTCTCCCCATTTTTTCACAATTATTATTTTTCTGATTAATATTTCCCAATTTGTGTGTAGCTGTAAACATCAATGACCAAATGCCAACCCATTTATTTACTCTTTTTCAATACAACTCAACAACTACACAAGCCTCATCAGATCTAGTCTTGGCTTGCAATTTGCAAACTATTACTTTATTGTAATGTGAAACTAGAATTTGAATTTGTAAACAAAAGACAATTTTATATGGTATATTTTTTATTCATTGGTATATAACTACAATAGAAACTCTATAAATTAATACTCGATAAAATAATAAATACAATAAACTAATGAAATATATCAATCTCAAATTGAGCCAACATTAAAAGATGATACATTTCAATAAGATAATCAGATAATTTAATACTTATATGTAAAATATGGTCTCAATAATATCATATTAATAATTATCATATAAAAACTTATATATATATATTGAATGTTTTCTTAAAATCATCTATAATTATCTTTATATGCATAAGTAAATCTAAAGAAATTATAACGGTATGACAAAAATAAAATGTAATTAAATACAGAATATCAAAGAAAAAGTTAAGAAAATATACTTTTAAAGAGAAATTTCTTATATAATAAAAATAGAAACTGAGAAGATTATTATCATTAAATTTATTTGTTTTTGATATTATTTAGTCAAAAATGTTATATTAATAAATCTATAAATTAATAATATATCAAAGTTCCCACATTATTAATTTATAGAGTTTCTACTGTATTACTATTACTTAGCTGGTTTGTCTATATCCAAAAGAATGAAATTGTGCAAATAAAGATATATTATCCTACAAAACTTAGAAAAAGGGCCAAACTAATATGGAATGGAGCCAAAGAATCTAAGACGTGCGAGAATAATGATTTTCTTTACCATTAAAAACAAATAATGTTCATGTACATTCCATTTCCTCCTTATTGCAAATTATTGTGAACTCAGAAAAATTAGAAGAGAGTCCCAATTGTGAAGAAGCAGAAAGTGGTTGGTTGGTTTCTCTCTCTCTCTCTGAAAGCCAAATAGAAGAGATCTCTGTGGTGGCAAAGAGAAAACCTTCTTAGGTAAAATCCCAAACTCTACGATCTACATTTTTCGAAACCTTAGTTGACTCGCATTGCATTTGCTTCATCTTCATTTTCTTTCAAGTTCTACTTCTGATTCTACTGTAAGTGATAATCTCTAAAGGTTTATGACTTTTAGAATTACTCTTTTTGATATTTAATTAAGCACATGTTCTGTATCCATGGACCCCCGAACTTTTGCTTCAATTTTGTTCAAATGATAATGCAGATCCAATATGTGTCATAGATCAATCCATCACTCTTTTCCCTAAAGGCTTATCATTGTTTTCTTCTTGTTTTATGTTTTTAGATTTTCAGCTTTTAAACATTCACAAATAAAACCCACCCTACATCATGTTTTGTTTTTTTGTTGTCTATATGTTTTTCTTGTAAGAAAAAAAAACAAAGCTTTATTTGTTTTATTCAGTCTTGAGAGAAAAACACGCCATCAGAATTAATAAAAGTTTTGAAGAAGAGAAGGAATGTTCAATATTAGAAAATAGGAGGCAAATGTCAACATCACTTTTACAAATAAAATAACGATTACAACTGTAACATTTACTTCGACTTTATCTACCAGCGAAATGGGCAAGTTGATGCAATTGACTAAAGATGCATGATGCATCTCAACCAAAATCATAGCTTATACATTTAATTATTTAAGACCGATCCTTTTTTCTCCTCTCTTTTTAATTTGTTTAGATTATAGGAAAAGAAATGAAGAGAACGTGATGCTAGTAGCTATTATTTTTTAATGAAAAAAGTTGTAGATAAAAACTAAGATCTGGTGCTGACATTTTTATGAATCGTCAAACTCAGGACACAAACCAAGATCTCTGCTTAGAGGAAAACCTTTCCTCCATGTTCAGGTCTTGAGCTTCTTCAGAGCTGTTGAAGAAATATGTCACCATTTATGAAGTTCTTTCTCTTTCTTTATGATTCTCTCCAACCTTCCTCTTGGTTTCTGGTAAATCATTTCTCTCCCTCCCTCTCTGTTTTCTTAATTATGATTCTTATTTCTTTCACATTATATAACATCCTTTATATTTGGTTTTGGGGGTTTTAAGGTCCAAAGACACAACTTGGCATCATCATCAGTTACAGATGGAGTTACTAGAAGTGGCATTGTTGAAGAAATTGTATACATTTGGAAGCAGACAAGAATCTTTTTCTTTATACCAATCTTGAAATTCTTAGTGACATTATGTCTGGTTATGTCATTTTTGCTGTTCATAGAGAGAGTTTATATGAGCATAGTTGTAGTGTTTGTGAAAGTACTTAGAAGAACACCTGAGAAGGTACACAAATGGGAAGCTATTAAAGATGATGATCTTGAGCTAGCCAACTTAAATTACCCAATGGTTCTCATTCAGATCCCAATGTACAATGAAAAGGAGGTAATTAATTTCATTAGTTTCTTTCTTGTAACCAAAGTAAATTAAATGAATATACATATTAAACTAATCTTAATGAAGGAATCAAATTCTTATTGTCACAGGTTTGTCAGTTATCTATAGGAGCAGCTTGCAGGCTATCATGGCCATTGGATCGAATGATAGTTCAAGTTCTCGATGATTCCACAGATCCAGCTAGTAAGGTCCTTTGTTTAATTCTTTTGCCTTTCTTCACAAAAATATTTGGTTTATTATAGATAATTAATATTCCTCATCTTTGTATAGTTTTTGACATATGAAATGATTTTGGAAAAGACAGGAATTAGTGAATGCAGAATGCGAAAAATGGGCAAGAAAAGGTATAAACATCATGTCAGAGATTAGAGACAACAGGATTGGATACAAAGCAGGAGCGTTAAAGGCAGGAATGGTGCACAGCTATGTGAAACTATGCGAGTTTGTGGCCATTTTCGACGCTGATTTCCAGCCTGACCCTGACTTCTTAGTTCGAACCATTCCTTTTCTTATTCATAACCATGAAATCTCCCTCGTTCAATGCCGTTGGAAGTTTGGTAAGAAAATCATCAATCTTTTTGAAATTTAATGCTTATTATTTTGTTTTCCAGTGAGAGGGAAGATTAATTGCATTTGTGTATGTGTGTTACATTTGCAGTGAATGCGAACGAGTGCTTAATGACGAGAATGCAAGAGATGTCACTAAACTACCATTTCTTGGCTGAGCAAGAATCAGGATCTTCGATTCATGCTTTCTTTGGATTCAATGGAACCGCCGGTGTTTGGAGAATCGCAGCTTTAAACGAAGCCGGAGGATGGAAAGATCGAACAACAGTAGAAGACATGGATTTAGCTGTTAGAGCTTGTCTTCATGGTTGGAAATTTGTCTATGTCCATGACGTCGGGGTACGTACTTCTATAAACCTTTTAAACTCAACAATACATAAAAATATATAATATTAAATATTTCATTCAAGAAGTGGTTGACAAAAAAAGGGATTATATTTTCAAAACATTAATTTTTAAAAATTCAGGTGAAAAATGAATTGCCAAGCACATTCAAAGCATACAGGTTTCAGCAACATAGATGGTCATGTGGACCAGCTAATCTATGGAGAAAGATGACAATGGAAATTCTGCAGAACAAGAAAGTTTCAGCGTGGAAGAAGTTTTATCTCATATACAATTTCTTCTTCATCAGGAAGATTGTAGTACACATCTTCACATTTGTCTTCTACTGTCTCATTTTACCAACAACTGTTCTGTTTCCTGAGCTCCAAGTTCCTAAATGGGCAACTGTTTATTTTCCTAGTACAATCACTCTCCTTAACGCTCTCGCTACACCTCGGTACGTAACATCTCTACTCTTTATTAAAACTTTATTAAAAACTATGTTCTCTCATATCATAATATGATGAACTTTTTTTTGATATTGTCAAAATGCAGATCACTCCATCTTCTTGTCTTTTGGATCTTATTCGAGAATGTAATGTCGATGCATCGCACAAAGGCGACATTCATCGGGTTACTAGAGGCAGGACGTGTTAACGAATGGGTTGTTACTGAGAAATTAGGAGACACTCTCAAGTCTAAGTTAATAGCTAAAGCTACAACTAAGATTTTTACCAGATTTGGACAAAGGTACCAACTACTTTATTTAAAAAAAAAAAAAAAAAACACAAATTCAAGCATATATTTTTAATGGTATAACTAATATAGTCAATATTTTGCAGAATCAATTGGAGGGAACTCGTTGTTGGATTATATATTTTCTTCTGCGGATGTTACGATTTGGCATATGGAGCATCATACTTCTATGTATATCTCTTTTTACAGGCTTGTGCATTCTTTGTTGCTGGAGTTGGTTATATTGGCACTATTGTTCCCACCGATTAGACAGTTTTTGAATTTGTATTTGAGAGCAAATGTTTTGCTATTGAATTAGAACTATTAGGGATTGGATCATATGGTTGAACAAAGTTAACTTTTCCAATTTTTACATTCAAATGTAATACTAGAAAATGTTTACGATATTATAATGATCTAAAAATGTGGTTATGATTTAGCCAATGAACTTCTCATTAATTATACGTAACAGTTATTGTTTGTATTGTCTTCTAGGAATGTTCCATTTAGACAAACCAATATAGCCGATTCATATTTTAATAGCGAAAATGATGTAAATGGATTTGCTTTTTCTATACCCTACAAGTAAAAATACTATAGCATAAATCTTTCTATAATTATAAATATATTGGATTAAAATCCGAACCAGAACTGAAACTGCAAACGTAGCAAACTATTTATACTAAATTACGTTTAGCTTAAATAATATTTGTAAACCAAAAATCTAAAAATCAAATAATCCAAACTAAAACCAAAATTCAGATTAAGATTATATTATTAAATACTATTATTAATTGTGTTTAAGAAAAAAATTGGGAGAATTATACAAATATAACTCAACATCAATGAACATTTGATGGAGAGAGTTAGAGGCTAAGTTTATCAGTGAAATATCTTGGTATAACTGTATAATATGGCCTTTGGTTTATAAAATGTGTATTATACACACACACATGTTGGAAACTTGGTTTATGATAGGGATTTTAACTAACTGACCGGAAATCATAAGAAACTATATGAGAGAATTATGTAAAACCAAAAAACTATATGAAAGAATGCGGTCAGCTTTTATCGATTTCAAGATAAATGATTGTGGCATGTTGGAAATTGCATGTTCAGATAACTTATTGTTATGGAGAGGACGTACGTGAAAGAAGTAACAGAGATGATCAGATGTCGGATGGACTGAAAAACGAGGAATCGTACGAAAAATTGTTTACTAATTGGTTGTAACATGGCATGATAATAATTGTAATCTTAATTTAATTTAACTATAAGTATTTCTATTTAATTTTTCAAATTCTATTATTATACTAATGATCAACAATATTTTTTCGTACAATTATTTTAATTTTGTTTTCTATTTATTTTACAGTAATAATTTTAATTATTGGCTCTTATCATCAATACTATTTGATCCTAAATATACGTTGAATACTATTTTCTAAGAGATGAATTATGTTTACTCAATCTTTACCCAATATAGTTTTATCATCTACACGTAATGTTTTGTATATATATAAGCAACTGAACAAAATTTTACACATAAATTTGTAAATAGATTTCATGAATACTTAGTTATTATTATTTTTATTTGGATATTCGAACACTAACTTTCATTTTTTTACTGAAAGTTATTATATAAACGTGAGAATGTGAAGAGATACATTGAATGCATAAACTGAAAAGTCATGAAACTAGATGCCATGTTTCATTATCACAATCAACAAAAATACTGATGTGTTATCATCTGGACATAAATTATTATCTTATTATAGTATATATTTATCTCTTTTTTTTGTTTTTCCCTTCTTTTACTTTTCTAATAAATTAAAAGTACCATATCTATATTATTTGGAAAATATCATTTAATTATAGAGAAAATCATTTAATTATAGAAATATCATTTAAATTTTTTTATTTGCATAATAGAAATTCCAGGCTTTTCAGATTACTGTTTACAGGCCACTAATTTCCTTTTCTTACAGTAATCCTCATTGAGCCATGCATTCCAATCCAATTGGTCAGCATTCCAATTTTTACCATCTATCATTTTGACTAGAGGATAAGCACAATCAAAATACTGATAAGGAACTTTGTTTCCAACCTTTTTTCCTTTCGTTTTTGCCAGCCTTTTTCCAACATTTAAACACAATATCTCATGCATGCATTGAAATGAAATCCCCCTAGATTTAATTTACCATTTCTTTCAACTATTCGAGTATAAATACTAATACATCAACCTTTCATTTCATACACAAATATTCATCATCAATATCTACATATAAATCTATACTTAAAAATATGAATTTCTCTTCTCTTTCTACAATGCTATTAGCATTAGCATTGTCTTCTGTTTGCTTCTTCTTTGTTGGTCACGCTCAACAACCTTCGGGAAATGCATCATTCCCAGCACTATTCGCCTTTGGAGATTCGATTCTTGATACCGGCAACAACAACTTCCTCCTGTCTGCTTCCAAATGCAATTTCTTTCCGTATGGTAGAAATTTTCCAGGCGGCATACCAACCGGAAGATTTGGAAACGGAAGAGTTTTCTCCGATATAATCAGTACCATATCTTAACGTCAACATATTTTATTTATTTCTTAAAAACAATTAGATAGATACAATAATAATCATCATGATTAATTACTAATGAAAATGTCTTTATCTCACAAATATTATTTTTGTCGCAGCCGATGGTTTGGGGATTAAAACTCTCTTACCAGCTTTCCGAGATCCCAACCTTTCGAACGATGAACTTCCGACCGGTGTTTGCTTCGCATCTGGTGGATCCGGATTCGATCGAACAACTTACGGTTTCCAAGTAAAATTTTACTTATACTGTTTAGTAACTTTGTAGTCATTCTTAATTATCTTTTTATTTTTATAATAACGGATGAATGTGCATACAGAACGTTATAGGGGTTCCAGATCAGGTGAATGATTTCCAAAACTACGTCGGTAGACTAAACAACGCTGTAGGAAGCGAGGAAGCAAACGCAATTATTTCAAACGCCGTTTTTTTAATATCATCCGGAAATAATGATATTGCCATCAGCTTCCCGCAGAGGGGTTTACTATACGGTGGTATTGGAGGTTACAGTGATCAATTGGTCACTTGGACTAATGATTTTATAAAGGTACATAAATATTATTTTCAGGATATAACATAATATTGGTTGTCCCCAAACTAATTCATTTATTTAATATTTGACTTTTTTTTTTGGTTATTTGAAGAGTCTATATAATATGGGTGCAAGAAAATTTGCGGTTATGGGAACTCTACCGCTAGGTTGCTTGCCAGCACAAGCCGCCTTTCTAAGAAGTTGTTCAGTCCCTGTAAATCTATTGGCTGATACTTTCAACCAAAAATTATCTGCGAACCTTGATAATCTCGGGACAACATTTCCTGGTGCCAAATTTGCCTACGTAGACATGTATAGTTCTCTTCTTGGTGTCATCAACAATCCTCTAGCTTCAGGTAAAGGCATGACTCTCAATGAAAAAAAAAACACATATATGCGTTATATCGTTATAGTTATGTTTCCAAGAATATTTATTATCTTTGTTTTTTGGTGTAAAGATTAATGTGTTCTTCTATGTAACTGGGAATTATTAGGGTTTATTGATACGACTGATGGATGTGTGCTGATGCCTATTCCGTGCTTGGATGCAAATACTTTCGTGTTTTGGGACTATGCTCATCCGACCGAGAAGTCATATCTAACGATTGCACCGCCGCTTGTAGAAGAGCTCAAGGAGAAACTCGCATGATAGTTTTTTACATGTTTTTGTTTCTTTAAAAAATTTCTTAGCTTTGTATAACTATTACTCATTGTTCTGATTCAAGAGAAATAATTAGCTGTGACCAGATAAAAATCCAGTGTTTTTTTCTCTTAATAATTTGGGATCTTTACAATCGAGTCATTGACATATCTTGTCTTCTTTTTTCTCTTTTCAAACAATTCTCGTCTTCTCTAATCCAAAATGATTATAGTATATATGATTTCTGAAATTACCTAAATTTACATGGACTATAAAATTTTAAGTGGACATCAAATAGAGTTTCTAGGACCACATACGTTATAGTGTATAACGCTAGCCATAATCTAGCATATGTTATAAGGATTCAACGGATACCGGATTTGGTGTGTTTCAAACACCTCGGATCGCGGCAGCAAGATTTAGAAAATCTTGGAGCAGAGTCTTGGTGGTCTTGACCGTGATCCCACGAATAAACCATGAAACCGGTGGCACATTAAAGATAGAATTTGGCTGAAAGACCCCACCCATCGTCACCTTCGATGCAATCTTTCCTTGTCCACCGCTACATCTTCTGTATTCTTCTCGAGTCCTCGGCTTCATGTTCTTGCACAAACGTTCAGAATCTACGTATATTGGCTCCACTTTCCAGTGTCCCTCAAACATTTTCATGAACATAATTTTCTTTTTGTCATATACTCCCTGCCTAACAATAAGCCAGAGAGAGACCACACATTAGATTTTTCCACAAAAAGATTGATACTCATGAGAGATAGAGAGACGTTTCTATACAGAAAGATCTTTTCGGTTTTCGGCGAAAACTAGACTTATCGGGAAGGAAAGCAAGTTCCAGAGCACAGGCACAACTTTCTCCACCTCCACGATCTGCCCTGGTGGATCTTCCGACACAACTTTTCTTGATTTGTTTTCCTTCATAAGAAAAAAGATCACACTCTCAAATATTGTTACAATTACACTCATATAAATCATACAATGATATGTTAAAAGAACAGGACCAAGAGTCCACGCTTCTTGATGTTTCTGGAGTATGGTTGGTTGTCTGGATTTGTTAAAACGTCGTATGCTACTTGAGGAGGCAATCCTACTATCAATTCAATTTCCATAATGCAAATACCTTCTTGTGTCGCCACCTTTAAATATAAAAAAGGTATAAGGAGATTTTGCGATCCATTTGTTTTGGTAATCCTAGCAATTTTAAGCCATTAAATCAAAGTGTTGAGATTATGTTTGGTGATTTGGTCTTACCTTCACCTTAGGAGGAGTATCACGCCATGTTTTATTCTTCTCTGCCTCTCTCCAAAGTTGTAGTTGTTCCTTAGTATCATCTCTCTCCTCGTGAGTTAACGGTGACTTAAATGTAACATTCTTGGACTCCGCCTACAACAACAATTCAGAGTCATAATCTAGTTTATATAATTGAAGGATCGATATATAATTTGATATTGATGTTGACCTTTTTAGGCTGTTGAGTGTTCTGATTGATCCAGACACCAAATCCAGGAGAAGCACCCATTTCCTCTTTGAAAATATAGTCCACAAAGAGAACATGAAGGTCCAAAGAAAGTGTCGGAGGTATAATAAAAGAGGTAAAGAGAGAGTTGACTTACAGAGGAAAGGAAGTCAACGGACTAAGCTTGTATCGTATATATGTATTCAGGAACCTTAGATAAAAGGTCGATTCAGATTTAGACAAATTATAATATCAAACTAAAGAATAGCGAAGATGGAGTATAGCTTACGTTTAAGTACCGCCGAAAGAAGAAATAGAATCTGGGATGCTCAAGTCTCGTGACTTCTTTCTTGACGTACAAGCGAGTTCCAGATTTACACTAAATCTTGGCCTGATGATAGGTTATCACAAATCTGGTGTTTCTTCTCTTAACTAACATCTTAGGATCTACTAATGAGTCATTGACACGTCATATCATCTCTTTTCAAACCATTTTCGATATCGTCTTCTCTAATCCAAACTGATTACGTGTAGTCCGTATTAGCATGGCAGTCTTAATTCTGATTTCAGAAATGAGGCTTTATATAGACTAGAGAAGTTTTAAGTGGACATAAAAAAAAACTTTTTCTGTATAAACTTATGTCAGTTTTGTCATGTTTAATGCTTGAAGTTCTTATAAGAATTGTCTATGCTAATAAAACTTGGGAATCTCGAAAATTTACTTATATGTTAGGAATTTTACATCTGAAATGAGATGAAAATTAAATTTGTATATAAATAACATAGACTAATCCGATCCATTCTTTGTCACTGAATTTTAGAGTTGAGAATTCTTGAAAATTACTCAAAAAGAACTCGGATATTCTAGTCCAAAGTATGCGAGATGACTTGTCTGGCAAGCAACCATCTATAAACCATGGCAACAGTCTTATCTTTCCAACCTTGTCGTTATATTAAATACATTCAATTACTGATACTTTACACTATTTAGTTCATCAAGTGAAAATATCGAAATTTTGATTTTGAAGATTATAGTTTTTTGCTATTCGAATTTATAACAAAGTGGTTTAAGAACACTATATAATGCTTTTACAAAAACGATATAATCAATGGATCGGATACCGGATTTGGCGATTTTCAGACACCTCGGATCATAGCACCCCGAACTTGAAGATCATCGATGAGAGTCTTGGTGGTCTTGACAGTGAACCATCGAATGTACCAAGAAATTGGTGGCAGATTAAAAAGAGAAGAAGGCTTAAAGACTTGGTCCAGTTTCACCTTCGATGCAATCCTTCCTTGTCCGCCACTACATTTTCTGTATTCTTCTCGATTCTTCGGCTTCATGTTCTTGCAGAAGCGCTCTGAATCTACGTACATTGGTTCCACTTCATAGCTACCCTCGAACATTTCCATGAACTTCATTGCGTTTTTCTCTTTCCCATATTTTACCTGCCAAGTGACAATAATCAAAAGAAACCTCAATTAAAAATTTCCAAGACTGAAAAAAAAAATGATTCTCGTGATAATTATAGAGAGGTTTCTTACAGAAAGGCGTTTTTGGTTTTCGATGAAATATAGACGTAATGGGATAGATCCAGACAAAAATAGAAAATTCCATGACAAAGCTTTCTCAGACTCCACGATCTGCCCTTTTCCATTATCCTCCGACGTAACTTTTCTTGATATGTTTTCCTTCATAATAAAATAAAAATCGTTTTGTTGGTTTGTTTTTTTTTCGTTAAATCTCTTACATATTTTTTATAATTCTCATTTGAATTATACAATGTGTTCACGGTTTTTGATGATCCTGGAGTATGATTGGTTGTCTGGATTAGTTAAAACGTCGTAAGCTGCTTGAGGAGGCAATCCTAATGTAAAATCCATGCTCATATGGCAAAGACCCCTTTCTAGATCATTTCTTGTGTCCACCTTCAAAAATTATATGAAAGATTTGGGGATCTCTTTCTTAGTTCTCTAAAAGAAAAAAAAAAGAAAAAATCAAAGTATTGAGATTTGTTTGCTGATTTGGTGTCACCTTCACCTTAGGAGGAGGATCATACCATTGTTTCTTCTTATTTGAAACTCTCCAAAGTGTTAATTGTTCTTTCATCTCATCTCTATCCTCGTTAGTATCTATCTCTGACACTGACGACTTAGATTTAACATTCTCAGATTTCTTGGACTCACCCTACAACAACAAACATAATCGTAATCTATTTTCTGTTATAATTAACTGATGAGTAGAATTGTTGACCAAAAAGAGAGAGTAATTGCATAATGTGTGTAGAATTAGGAGAAAACAAACTAGAGAAAAGAAAAGTTGTGGTTTTATTATTCTTTTCTGTTTTTTCAGTTGATTTTTTTCTTTCTTCCATTTTTTTTTTCTGATTGGTGGAAATAAAGAAGAATGCAGAGTAACACACAATTTCAGAGGAAACATTATCATAAGCAACTAGTCAAAACCATATACTAGTTTATTTTGATTTGTGTTCTAGAGTTCTCTAAATCATAAAAATGAGACTGACCTTAAGAGGTTGTTGAGCGTTCTGATTGATCCAGACACCAAATCTCGGAAAGATACCCATTTGTTTCTTAAGAGAGTGTCCGAGAGATAGTTAGAAAAACATAGAGAGGGTTGAAATGAAAGTCAATGTTGCAAATATATCGTTTCAGGGACCTTAGCTGAAAGGTGGATTCATATTTAGACAAAATATAATACGAAAATGAAAGAATAACGAAAATGAAGTGTACCTTAGCGTTTACGTACCACCAAAAAAAAAAAAAATACGAAAGAAAATAGGCAGCTTAATTTTCATGACTTCTTTCTTGACGTACAAGCAAGTGGCTACACACGAAGATGTTTCTGCTGGGCTCTACGTGAAATTCGAGCAACATGGACCTAGATCTGTATTTAAAGGGGCTATAAGCCCACTAGGGCTAGTAATTATTCAATTTTGAGTTGATGAAGCTGATGGAACACTTTTTAGTTTTTACAAAGAGATCACTAGTGATTGTGGATAAGAGAGAATGAAGAAGAAACAAGTATACATATGCAATGATGGCTCAATATGGTTCAAGTTAATTAATATAGGTTAAGTTTCCAACAGAGTTAAGCAAGTATGAAGTGAAGAAAAAACTAGCTGGATCTTGCATTTGGAAGACGGAAGATTTCCCATATGGTGAAGAAATCAAGCTGGATCTTTCATTTGGAAGAATCTCTAGGAAGCATATGGTCATGGCTGGCGTGGAAGCATTTGGTAAGAAGAAGAAGAAGAAGCTCTGTTGTTCTCACTGGTGCATGAAACAGTAAACTCAGGTCCTGCCCACATGAGTTTTAGCCTCATACCGTTGGCGCCTAGCCACTTGGACAGGTCTTGCTTGGCCTTCTCTGATCCTTCTAGGCTTGTGTATGTGACAAACGCACGGCCCTCCTCAGCCAAGAATCTGATAGATTCGATTTGTCCATAAGCACCGAATAAAACTCGTATGTCCTGCTCACAGATTCTCGGGTTAAGTTCACGGACGAGGAGCGTTTTGATGCGTTTCTCCTCTGGTGGCTCCAAAGTGTCCATACTAGCTTTCTCAAGTAACTCTGCCCTCATCAACCTGTGAATGCGTAAAAGAAGATGATAAGAAGAAATTCAATCCGACTGTTTGACATGCATACATCAAGGCAACAAAATATAGCAAAGACCGTAAATAACAAGACTATTTGTCACACACTCCATCTTGTAACCTCTAAGCTTTGCCTCGGGTCTTTTTCCAGTTGTGCTAAAGCCACTTGGTTGAAACATATATAATGTTTCATAAAAGTAATTGAGGAAGGCAACTAAAGAGAATAGCTTACTCATGACGATGATTCTCTATCTTTCGAGCGGCCATCCGATCATGTCTATTAGGGAATAGCATATTCCTTAGATGTCTTTGAGGAGTTAAGGACCTTAAGGTAGTATCAGATTCATTTTCCACCCCATCTCTAGTCTACATAATAAGAGAAAAACAATCAATATCACTGGACTTAGATACAAGCTAATCAGAATCAGCCGCTATAACGACTTGGAACCAGACGAATTTGGATCTAATTAAACACCAAAGTTCCTACTACCCAAACCCTAAAAAACATAAAAAGCAGTTTAAGACGTCCAGTATACGTACAGAACGTCAACGACCAAATAGATGGAATAAGAGATGAGATCCGAAAATCTTCTCCAGGAAGAGAGTAACATATATACCATTGCAACGCCCGGATTGAGGGAAGAATCGGAGATGATCGGGTCGTCGGATTCATGATCTCTGTGAGCCATTCTCTGCGATTTCTCCTTTCTTCGGATATCAATCTCGGAGGGTATTTTTATTGCTAGGGCAGCAAAATATCAACTTTTCCTTCTTTTTTTATATATTAAACTTATTTCGAACAGAGATTACCTCTCTGAATTTAATACTATGATTGGTTACAACTTACAAGCTCAAATTCGAATTTGTATTTAAACTTGTTTTTGGTTTTTGTTTTTGTATTTAACACTGTTAACTTAATTAATAGTGAATTTCTGATGTTTCAGCCACTAAAAATGTCAAAATGAATCGGAATTGATGGAAGAAGAAACGTTCATCAGCCTCACGGTGTTGGGAGATATTTCCAGGATATTTGGGAGTAAATCTGTTTGATTATGGAACAGTTGACAGTGGAAAGAAACTAATGATGATTTCATGTTGATGACTTCACAGGGGTCTGTAAAGAAGCATCAATTTGTAAGTTTAAAAACCTGTAAAGACAATTGCTTTCTATTGTTGCTTCTGTTGTAGGTAATAGCAAAGTCAACTTGATACTTTGGCCTAGCATGTCAGGTGGGGCGTTACAACAAGAATTCAATGGTGTTAAGTTAACAGTTGTGAACACTGTTAACAACTGCATCTAAATTGAGACTTCATCAGAAAATATAGTGTCAAAACATTCAACTAGACTTTGACAGGTTCATTAGTTGTCTCTAGTCTCTACTATAACCAAAAAGAGAAGACTAATTTTGTTTTCAAAAACTTCAAAAACATAAATAACTACATAAAAGAAAGCTTTAGGCTCTGACCCCCATGAGAATCACCAAATTCTTCATCACAACTAAAGTCAAAGTACCCTCCACAGTGGCAAGTGCTCCTCACGTGAGCCAATTTGTTGTCCCACTCCACCAAGACTACAGGATAGACCGCATTCGGATTCACGGTCCAGAATGCATGGATGTGAACAAAGGTGTCACAATAGCACTGGTACAAGATCCTGACGACCTTCTTATCCCACCAACAAGAAATACTGGTGGATAGAGGCGGCATGATGCTATAGAGACAAAAATATCATCAATGCCAAAAACATATATCAAAGCAAAAGAGTAATTCCCATGTTTTCATGTCATTCAAACTAATCAGAAACATATCTCCTTTTGTGATTTTTGGTGGTAAACAACTTAAGATTTTGATCTACTCACTAATTTTCATGATAACAAAGCTTCACAATGGTAAACAACTTAAGAATTCGATACACACTAATTTCCAGACATCTACAAAAATCAGATTTCCTTCCGAAAACAGTTTTCTACACCACACAATTGATCATTCGGCCTGAAAATATCTTTGTTCCAAGGCGTTGAGGTTCATATGCATACAAGTGTTTACAACATTCTTTAAATATATAATCAAAATAATGCAATTTTAAAAATAAAGTACAGAACTTGGGCAACTGAGCCAGTGATAATATTTTTGGAACAAAAACTTATTTTAGTGGTATTTAAAGGTATCACTCAAACAGCAATATTTTACTCGTAAACTAATCCTTCTTGTTATCTTTCTGCAAAATTATTTATTAACTTCAAAAACTCGTTGGCAATACGTTCGTGTTTTCATGGCAATAGTTAATGCAATGATATGACTTGATGTCGGCTTTTTGGGTGTTTTATTTATTCACATTGTTAGAAACTTATAATATAAGTTTACTTTCAAATATCACCTCAAGTTTTGTCAGATTTTTTATAGTTGGGCTTTAAGTTGGAATTTAATTTGTATCTCTCCGTTCAAATGATATGCTAAAATAATACTACAATTTCTCCAAAAACTAATGGTTAATTATAATAACATAACACTCAATCTTGTGAATTCCCGTAAACAATACAATTATTGAGATGAATAAAGTGATTCTGAAGATTAGTATTCTGCTATTCGGAATCGGATCATAACAAAGCAAATTTAGAACACTATAAAAATGTTCCTACCAAGAATGTTTAACCGATCCATACCAGATTGAGGGCGTCTATCAAACACCTCGGATCTCGGCACCCACAGCTTGAAGATCTTGTATCAGATTCTTGGTGGTCTTCATAACGATTCCACGGATGTACCAAGAAAGCGGTGGCAGATTGAAAGGAAAAGACGGCTGATACGCCAGGTCCATTATCACTTTCGACGCAACCTTCCCTTGTCCACCGCTACATTGTCTATAATCTTCTCGAGTCTTAGGCAACTTTTGCTTGCACAAGCGTTCCGAGTCTACAAATATCGGCTCCACATTCCAGCTACCTTCGAACACTTTCATGAACACCACTTTGTTTTTCATAAATACTACCTGACGACAATAAGCAAGACATAATCCTTAAACAAATTTCCCAACACTAGACCAAATAAAGAAGATTGATTCTTGTGATTTATAGAGAGAAGTTTCTTACAGAAAGATCTTTTCGCTTTTCAGCGTAAACTAGAGTTATTGGTATAGCTACAGAAAAGAAAAGGAAGTTCCAAGCCACATCTTTCTCCTTCTCTACAATATAATTCTTTCCATCATCCGTCACAACTTTTCTTGATTTGTTATGCTTCATAAGAAAAAAAGATCACACTCTCAAATTATTTCTATAATACTCCAAATTAATTAATCATGCAAATATAAGTTAACAGAAAAATAACCAGAAGTTCACGGCCGTTAATGACTCTAGAGAATGGTTTGTTGTCTGGATTAGCTAAAACGTCGTAGGCTGCTTGAGGAGGCAATCCTAATGTAAATTCCATGTCCATAAAGCAAATACCATCTACTGTTTCCACCTTCAAACATTTAAAAATACAATAACTTTTTTTTAATATATACAGTATACTGTACATGTTCTACTAGTTCCTCTAAAGGCCAAAATAATAAACTCTATCACATTGAGAATTTGTTAGCTGATTTGTCTTAATTACCTTCACCTTAGCAGGGGCATCATCCCATTTCTTCTTCTTCTCTGCATCTCTCCAAAGTTTTAGTTGTTCTTGCGTCTCATTTCTCTTCTCATTAGTATCTATCTTTGACACTGACTTAGTTTTAATATCCCCAGATCTCTTGGTATAGCCTGTAACAACAAACATAACCATATGATGTTTTCGTTGATATAGAATGATTATGTACAGGGCCTACTCGATAAGAGTGAGTAACGGAATGTAGTATTTTCATATTTCTGTTCCTTATATCGGATTTTTGGAGTTTTATATATATAAAGATTGTCTTACAGATTATAATTATTCATTTACACAATGAATGAGAAATAATGGAAAAAAATTATATGTATACGACGAGTTCATCGATCTCACGATTCTCACCCAATATTCATTAAAAGAAATCTTATTTCTATAATTAGTGATTTGACTTCCTCGGATCCTCTGTTAGATGAAAATGAAGCTGACCTTTATAGGAGGTTGTTGATTGTTCTGACTGATCCAGCTACCAAATCCAGTAAATATACCCATTTATATAATAATAAAAAAAAAAATTAACTCTGAAAGAGAATATGATGGTCCAAAGAAAAGAGAGTTGACTTTCAGAGGAAAATGGTCAACGGGACAAAGCTAGTATAGTATTCAGATTTAGATTCAGATTTAGACAAAATGTAATATGAAGTTGAAAGAGTAGCGCAGGTGGAGTGTACAATACGTTTTTGTACCGGAAAAAATAAAAAAAGTAGCAGCTCAATTCTCGTGACTTGTTTCTTGACGTTCAAGTAAAAGCCATTGCCTACAATATATCACTTGGACTGATGATAAGCTTAAGCAGTGCCGTGCCTAGACTATGAGGGGCCCCTGGCAAAAAATAGAAGAAGTTTATTTTACTTTTATTAATAGTAATATTAGTAGAGTAATAATTATTTCCATTACAAAGTAAATCAGAAAATTGTCGACCAAAAAAAAAAAAAAAGTAAATCAGAAAATTTGATATACAAATGTTATATTTCTAACTTTAAAAATATTTTATGAGAAAAAAAGATCAAATTATGAGATCTTTCAATGTAAAAAGGTTACAAACCCATATAACATAATAGAAGTTCTCAACATTATTAAAAACTAGAATAAAAAGAAGTGTTAATGCCAATAAGAAGAGAAGAATAGAGAGATGGATAGTTATCAAAACCATATTACTGTGTGTTAAATAATTAATATGGGCCCTCAAATTCCAAAATATAAGAAGGGGTCCAGTGCTAATGCACCAAAATGTATAACATGAGCACGGCTCTGAGCTTACGTCAAGATTTTTTTTTTCGAAACCTAGTACAGTAGTACTTTATATATTTATTTTTTGTAATTGAAGGCGTCTATAGGATCTAGGTGCGAAAAACATTTCGGTTCTTGGAACAATACCGTTAGGTTGCTTGGCAGGAACAATAAACATGGTTGAAATTTAAAGAAATTGTGTTCAGTCTTCTTTGCAAATCAATGGGCTGGTATATTCAAGAAAAAAAACAATCTCACCACAACTTCTGGTATATCTAGTATTCATAGAAAAAAATAAGTTGTTATACAACGGAAACGTAGCTTTATGCTCAAACCCAGTTTATGTTTCTCTTAACAAAGAATTGGATCTTTACTTTTGACATCATGACATCATATCATGTTTTCTTCTAAAACTTGTTGATTTTGGGAGCTTCAAACACCTCTAATAATGGCACTACGATCTTGAAGATCTTCGAGGAGGTCCTTGGTGAATTTGATGGTGAAATTACGAACGTACCAAGAAAGCGGTGGCAGATTAAAAAGAGAAGATGGCTGAAAGAATTGGTCCATTGTCACTTTCGATGCAATCCTTCCTTGTCCACCGCTACATTTCTTGTATTCTTCTCGACTTTTCGGCAACCTGCGCTTGCACAAACGTTCTGAATCTACGTATATTGGTTCCACTTTATAGGCACCGTCGAACACTTTCATGAACTTCATTTTATTTTTCATATACACTACCTGCCAAAGATAAGCAAGCGAAACAGCAAGTTATTATCTTTGACCAAGACTGAACAAATAGATTGATTCTCATGAGATACAAAGAAGTTTCTTACAGAAAGATTTTCCGTGTCTTCTTGGAAATATAGACTTATCGGGATAGGTCGAGACCAAGAAAGGAAGTTCCAGGCCACTTCTTTCTCCGATTCCACAACTTGCCTCGTTCCATCAAACGTCACAACTTTTCTTGATTTGTTATCCTTCATAAGGAAAGAGAAGATGACATATAGTCTCAAATAATATTGGGATAGTACTTATTTGAATCATACAATGATAAGACGAAAAAATCAACCAGAAGTTCACGCTCATTGACGATTCTGGAGTATGCTTGGTTGTCTGGATTAGTTAAAACGTCGTAAGCTGCTTTAGGAGGTAGTCCTAACGTAAATTTCATGTGCATATGGCAAATACCCATTTCTGTTGTCACCTTTTAACATTAAAAAAATGTAAACGAAAAATTTATGATCAAACTCTTAATTCTGCGAATACCTCTAAAGGTTGTCGTTTTTATATTAGTTTTTGGTTATATATCTAATAAAAAAAATCTACATCTTCCCATTGGTCTGATTTGGTCTCACCTTCACCTTAGCAGGGGGATCATTCCATTGTTTCTTCTTATTTGCAACTCTCCAAAGTTTTAATTGTTCCTTCATCTCATCTTTCTCCTCGTTAGTATTTTTCTCCGACGCTGACTTAGATTTAACATTCTCAGATTTCTTGGAGTCATCACCCTACATAAAAAAAAAACATAATCATTATCTAATTTCTATAACTAACTCATATAGTAATCTATACTGATTTGACTTCCAAGGGTTTTCTCTGATTGATTGAAATGAAACTGACCTTAAGAGGCTGTTGATGAGTGTTCTGATTGATCCAGCCACCAAATCGAGGAAATACACCCATTTTTTAATAAAATATTTTAGAGAAAGAGCAAAAATTGACGGTCCAAAGAAAGTGTCCAAGAGATGTTGACTTACAGATGAAAGGAAGTCAAGCGGACAATATATGGTTTTACTTTTTAGGAACCTTAAAATATAAAAATATGGATTCAAATTTAGACAAAATCCTACAATATATTAAAGACCATGCAGTTTTGCTGATGTGGCGAACCCTCATTTTTTTGGAAAATTTTGATTTATTTAATTAAATTATTTAGTTGCAAAACGGATAAACACGCGGATCCGTCGTCAGGTCGGGTCACTCATTTAATTTGAAAATGCTTTTTCGAAACTAGATCACTGGGCCCTTCTTAAATTCCGTATGCAAGCCCGAATATATGATTTTTACTACGAGATCTTTACTATTAATTGCGTCTCTATTAATAAGATTTTGCGTGTGTATCAAACATACAATTCAATTGTTTTTTCCTTAGAAAGCTCCGAATTTTCTTAATAGAGTTATTTAGTTACCTTACTAAAAACCAAGTTTTTCATTCAAAAGATTTCGATTGCCTTAACCTATTATGACCATAACCTTTGTACGACCATTATATAAATGCAACCGGAACACTGCTTCTATCTTTCACCTTCAGAGAAAAACTTTATGAGCACGAACAGTTTTTTTAACATTTCATTATCTTCATTATAAAATCATGTTGTTTGTTAAAGCATCCATTTTGGGTTATCGTTAATATTGGGTTTTTCTGATTCTGATTTTGTTTTATACTTTGTATGCATGCCGAGGCACTTCTTCGCTATGTGAAGCCAAAGATGACGATGGGTCCGTCTTTAATTTGTTTCCATCGATATGTTTCTTCAATGAAACAGAATGAAACAGACCGCTGCCTACTCTATAAATCCTAGGTAGATGAATTCAATCTCAAGTTTCTAATTTTAATGCTTTATACTTTCTTTGTCAAACTTATGATCAGTACAATAACAAGTACGTACTCTTGATATGTTTCATTATCGGCATATTGAGTTTCTGGTTTCTGAACAAAAGAGGTTTGAGCATATTCGTGTTAAGGTATTTCATTCTCATCTAATATTCACATTTTTATTATTAAAAGTATCTATTGTGCTGAATTTCAATTTCTCTCCATCCAGATTTCATGAATTGAAGCTTGCTGCGCTTGGAGGATAGCGAGAGATAGAGTTCGATTGGTGGTAACTAAGGGGCCACATTAAAACTTGAACGAAGAGGGATGAGGTGAATTCAGCGGGAGAAGAGCTGATTCCCTTATTCATTGGACTGATCACATAGATGACAATGGACATACTAGGAACATGACATTTGGAGACACCCAATATTTTATTCATCATCTTCTATTTCTTTACGTGTTTTGCTACATACTGTATATTATGTTTTTTTTTTGATCGCTCAAATGTATTTCTAATATATAAACATTTTTTGGTACCAACGAAGATGTAATTGACTTACAAGAGTGAATCTTTATTTGTTTTTGGGTTTCAATTTCTGATTTCATGTATCTGATACTTATTTTTGTGTTCTGCAGAAAAGTATTATGGGTGATGTATTTTCTTAACCAGCTAATTAAAATTTTATAACGATATTTTCTCTTCTATCAAACAAGAGATGATTATATACTTATATTTATTTTCATACTATGACAGTTTTGTGCTTTTGTGTTTTGTTTTTTTTTTAAAATTTTTTTTTCAGTTTTCAAAATTGAAGACATTGATTCTTTTTTTGTTTTTAGGTTCAAAAATATATTACAGAGAATAATTTCTGTTTTGATGATTACCGTTGTATCATTAATGTAGTCTTAGGAAGTCTTGCATAGAAAAAAAAAACAAAGGTTAATTTCATTAAACTTTGAGTCATTTATCAAAGATGATTTTTTTAGGTTTTGTTTTTACATTCATGCGAGACTTATTCAAATGTTCTATGGTCACTGTTAATTTCATTCGTTTTTAATTTTTATTGAAAATAATTTAGTTTATACAAAATAATAAATAATGGCAAATTAAATATTATTTCCGATTAAATAAGGTTCATTGTATTTTACAATGAAAAAAATACTTACTGATTAGAAAGTTTCTATTTATTTGATTTTCCATTATTATATAGCCAAATATTCTCTATTATTTGAAAAAGAATAATCCTATAAATGATTGACCAACAAAGATAGAAAGCTGGACAATGCTATGGATATGCAAAACAAAAACTATGAAAATAAAGAGTAAGCTGAAATATTGAAGATGAAGACTTTAAAATCAGGTTGGTTTTTCTTTTCTTTAAAAAAAAAAAATATGCATAAAAACTTTAAAATCAACCTGGTTACTTAAAATTTGTTTTATGCAATTCACTCAAAACTTCTTTGGTAAACACCAAACAGTCCAAAACAGTTTTTTTTTAATGCATGAAAATAGTATATGAAGTTTTAGACACAAGTTTTGGTGAAAATTAGCAGAATTATATTTTTCATTAAAATTTAAAAATGTTTCTTTCCTACATGTATTTTAAGTGCAATATGTAATGGATATTGCTATTTACTTTCTTAATATAAATTTCAAAGAAGGTTTATCTTGACTAAATTTGATGATCAAAATTTATAAATGTATTTTAGATTTAGTTACATTATAATCTTTTGAACAAATCAATTCAATAATAATTTATTTTAAGTACGATAAATTTAAAGGTATCTTAACCCCACGCATTCGTGGGTAACCCCCTAGTGTAATATGAAATTGAAAGAATAACGAGGGTGGAATGTACGACACGTTTACTTACCGCGCGAAACAAATAAAACTAGGCAACTCAATTCTCGTGACTTATTTCTTGACGTACAAGCGATATAGAATTAGGAATGTTTCCGATATAGCCAACGTGAAATTCTGCTAGTGTTATGGGCCTAGTTAGATCCATAACTGATGGGCCTAGAATCCCATTAGATTACTGATTATTTTGAATTGAGTTATTGTTAGAAGATAAAATTTATAAATCTGTTTCATGTCCCTCTTGTTGAGAGAATGTATGACTTTTGTAAAGATTTTCTTAGACAAAAACAAAAAAAAGTGTAGCAAACCTTTGCGGCTAGAGTTATTATCGAATGTTTTTTCTTCATTAGCGGAAAATATAAAGAAGTAAAGATAACCAACAATCAAAAGGCGACCCCATTATGCACAAACACAAGAAACATTCAATTATTTGAACAGACATAATTAAGTGAAAGATAAAAGAAGGCAAGGCATGAAAGAACACCAAAGCGTGCTTTACGCTAATCCCTATGCTGTTAAAACTTTGAACCAATCTTTCTCGTGGAGCCCCATGATTAGACACCTTTATCCAATATTACTCGATAAAAATTATCACGAGACAAACAAAATCTTATTACACTTGAGTATATATAAGAACGAGTGATAATAATTCTTAAAAAATAAAGTCAACAGTTCTGTTTGGATTCAGTTATATCACACCAATTAACAATCACCTATAAGCATCTATATTGCGTAAATAAAATACACATCAATAAATACACTTGTTCAACATTTGGGCTGTTTTCAAAAGTAGTACACAAATTGAGTCAAATCAAAAGTAATACCCTCTTTTTTCTTCCTTTTTATCCTTACTATATTTGTGATAATAACGAAAATGCCATTACTTTCGTCTTGAAGTCTAACCGTGAAGTCTAACACGCGAAAAAAATGTCCAAAGAAACCTCATCTTCTTCATTTATTCACGAAAATGCCATCACCATCAATTCGTCCAACAACCATTCTCAACCAAATCAAGCTTTCAATGCACATGTACTCTTCAAACATATATACAAACTCATTATATCATCTCATAAACTTGTATTGGTCAATTTCTTCTCAATTTTCACCCCAAGAATACACATTTTCATCTTTTCAAAGTTTATGTTCTTAGATCTTCCCATTTTTGGTGTGGGAGATCATTATAACGGTTGGGGAAGTTTGCTAAAGCTCTAAATCGAAGTTATAGGCCGTCAACGAAACATAAGATCACGGCAAGGTAAATTTCCGGTAGATCTGAGTGAATCTCATATTTTTGCAGGTCCTTAGACTTCATAACGAAGTCTACCCATATTCCTTTGAAAACAAAAAAATATGGCGTAGGCTTCAGAATGAAGTCTACTCGAAAAATTAGTTTTGCAATTGACAGAATAAAAACTTTTTATGGGAAATCTATCTGTGAAGTCTGCTTGAATAAAAGACTAGTTTTGCAAACTTTAAGTAGTTTGTTTTATCGTGAAGTCTACCCCTGAAGTCTATTAATGTTGTATTAGGCTTCATTCAAAGTCTAATACTTCATTAGACTTCATTGCGAAGTCTAATAAAGGGTTAGACTTCATTCGAAGACTAATTCTTGATAGACTTCACCAAGAAGTCTAATAGTCAACGTTTATCGGATTAGACTTCACGATGAAGTCTATTTTCTAAATTCAAAAATTCAATCAATTGCAAAACTAATCCTATGAAGTCTAATTTTGTTGTAGACTTCACCGATAGACTTCATTACCTAGTTAGACTTCATTTTTAAGCCTATTCACGATAATGAAGTCTATTTGAAAAAGTCAAAGCTTGGTCAATTGCAAAACTAGTCTTTTTTTTTAGACTTCACGTGTAGACTTCATAAAAAATTCGTCATTTGAAAAATTGCAAAACTAGTCTATTAGACTTCACAGGGAAGTCTACAAATAGACTTCCTCGTGAAGTCTACTATTTAATGTTTTATTTGAAAACGCTTTTTTGGAAAATATATAACGAATTTTTAAGATTTTCTTGAACAATTAGTTGAGTTAGTCTGTTTAGTTGCTTGTGTGTTAGTTTGACATGCTTATTCGTTGTATATTTCGTGAAAACGGTTTTCTTGTCAAAATTGAATATTAGACAATACTAGGTAGACTTATAGGTGAAGTCTACCACTGAAGTCTATCAATGAAGTCTAATGCGGTTGGTTTTTGTTTACTTGCAGAAAATGGTTTACATTGCATCTGTTTATGGAGAATGGGTGAGAAAGGACAATTTGTCTTGGCATTTTGAGGTTGATTATCGGAAAGGAGGTAGAATGTTCTCGTTGAGGGATGGTTGTACACATGATGAGCTTATTCAAATGGCTTTAGATGATTATTCGGTGATGAAGATCGGGCACCGTTAGAATTATCATATCCATTACCAGAAGCGTTCACTCAGCAAATGTATTGATTCTCCGCCCATGTTTGTCACAAACGACAGACAAGTCCAAAGCTTGATCGAGCTAAGTAGAACTCATGTTCTACGACTTTTTGTCTCTAGCAAGAGGCGAGAGGATACACTGAGTCTCACAACCAGATACAGCAGAGGTGTCGCTCTTGTATTAATTTGACATTTTTATTTGTTATATATAAAGTGAAAACGGTTTTCTTGCTTGATTAGCACATTAGGTTATTGCAAATAGACTTCTATGTGAAATCTACTTGTGAAGTCCGTTCAAGAAGTTTTACCTAGATAAAATGCATCAACATGCTTATATCTGTGCTTTTTAAAAAAATCTGTGAAATCATCTAATGAAGTTTATCTATGAAATCTAATCTTAAATCTAATATCTATTTTGACTTGATTTTTTTAGCTAAATAAAGTGCATCACAAATGTTTATATTTGGTTTTTTAAGGTGAAATAATCTTATATGAAATATAAGGAAGTCTTATGGTACAATTTTGTTTTCATTGGTTATTTTCTACTATCCATCTAATATAAAATTTGATTCAGATAGACTATTTCATTAATCAACATCATAGACTATTTCTTACACAAACATCATACAAAAATAAGTGTTTCAAAACATAAGTCTTATACTACCATCTAGTCGCCAAAGCTGGCTTCAACTTTTCTATGTTGACCCCCACCTCTATGTCTTGCATCACACCTGTGAACTCTTTAGCGTTCAATGCTTTCCTCTTTCCCTTGTCTACTTTACTGAAAATTGCACCTACATCTTTCTGTTGCTCAACAAAACCAAAAACCAAGGTAGCAACATATTAAACTCAGCATCTGATACATTAATACAGCACAAATTATATATACAATTATACAAAATCTTGTACCAACTGTATTAAAACTGTGAAAATTAAAAAAGGATTTTTGACTAACTGCAACCTATGTTAATTCATTAAATGGACTACTAAAGCCTTCTTTCACGTTTGTTCAAGAATGCTGCAATCTCAATATCAAATATTTGGCTTACTTGGCTTTGAAATGAAAATTACACATTGCTTTGAGGAAACAAAAAAAAATCGGTTTTACAAATGAATCTTTCATCATATTGTAATGGTTTTGTGTTCAGAAAAATTCAAGAACTTACAATAGAAGCCAATGGACGGTTTTGCTTGCAAAGGAGAAGAGAGCTTTTGTGAGCTTCTCCGCATCTCCAAACCACTGTGCCAAACAATGGAAACAGTTGACATAGTCAGAACAAAAAAAAACACTTGATATAAAATGCATGTAACTGAACCTATAACCAAAAACAATCATAAAAGAGGCAATAAGGTCACTGGAATGTGGATACAGCTATGCAAGGACCTCATATGTATTTAGTTATGCAGTTAAAGCAAATAGCAGAAAGAGATAAACAGAAAAGTTAAACATTTCTCAAGCAAATGTCCATCAAAGTTAAGTTTAATCACAAGACAAGACAGAGACGAAGGATGGAATGAGAGAACAGAGATGAAGTGAGCTAAGACAAACCTTGGGGAAAATGGAGAAGAAGATGGTTATTCTCACCATGTCAATAGTTGCAATTGAACGGTTTTGCTTCAGAGCATCTGCAACCTTTTCAGCTCCCTGACACCATTGAAACATCACAATCTATGACAACAAAGCAAAGACAAACATGGTTTTCGAAATTAGAGAAGTAAACCACACGATCCAACTCCATTATTATGAATGACAACAACAATGAGTCAGAGATTGAGTACACAAAGAGAAGTACACAAAAATCTTACACAGAAATTAGAGAAGTACACAAAAATCCACCAGCAACTTATACTAACTCTCATGGAAGCTTGGAAGCTTGAAAGAACAAGAAAAAAAGTAAGACTCCAAATGGTCATAAAACGCAGAAAAACAAGCACGGAGCTGCAGTAAAAAAGCGTAGAATTTGACTCATCAACTCAAAGAAGAGGTTCAACAGAACTTACTTGAGACGTTGAGCAGCAGCAACCTTGGTCCCGATTCTCACGGTTGATGCAACATTGCTTCCAGCGAATTTTGAACCATCTTCATTTAGTCTCCAATCTCTGTTAATCAATCAAACACCAGAGATAAAAATACAAAAATTTAATCACTAAAAGACCTAATATTAAAGAGACATGATTTCTGATTTCATAGGAAGCTGTAATTAGCATCGAATCTATACCTCTCTAAAGCTTTCTTCGACTTCTCTAACTCTCTCTGTTTCCTCAAAGCCCTAACCTTTGCTTTATCGACGGGACCACCGATGTCCTCCGCGGTTTCCAGAATCCGATCTTCCAAATCCCCAGAATTCTTACATATAACCTCAATGTGGCAAAAATATACCTCATCAGGTAGATGGAAACAAAAGTGAAAAAAACCCACATTCAATAGAGATAAGAACACATTCTCAGCACGAAAATTGAAAACATGAATCAAAGTGAGAGAGAGAGAGAAGCGAGATAATGGCGGTGAAAAGATGAAGCGAGAGAGATTCACCTAGCAGAGAGAGATCCAACGGTGAGAGAGAGATGCGAGGGAGAGAGAGAGGCGGTGGTTATTGGCGACGGAGAGGCGGTAAAGGTTAACGCGAGTGGCTTCATAGTCTCCGGAAGGAAAGGTTGGAGAAGAAGAGAGAAGCGTCAACGAAGGTTGGAGAGGCGAGAAGAATCGGCGGAGGTTCACAGAGAGAGAGAGAGAGAGAGAGAGAGAGAGAGAGAGAGAGAGAGAGAGAGAGAGAGAGAGAGAGAGAGAGAGAGAGAGACGCCGTCACAAGTTACAGATTTTTTTCCACAAAATTAGGGTTAATTCATTATATAACAGAACAGGGTTAACTTTTCGGTTTGGTGAAAAAAAATTCGGTTAAATTCGGTTAAGTAGACTTTATAGTAAAGTTTATAAGAGAAGTCTACTAATGAAGTCTACCAAATCAACTAAATTGTATTATAAATTTGTTCGAGTATATTTCGGTTCCCGCCTATTCTCCCAAAATATTTCATTTCCCGCTTGTTTTGTTTTTGAGTTATAAACTTCATCGCGAAGTCTACCAATGAAGTCTACCGATGAAGTTTGACTAACTCTAAACCCTAAATCGAATATATAAGATCAAAACTTATAGTAAACATTAATATGTATATATAATCACAATTTGTATTACAAATTACAAATTTATGAGTTTTAAATCGTTAAACGAATCACAAACATTTTTTTATGTTAAAATTTTCTAAACCCTAATAATGATAATCACAAACCTATACATTAAACCTCAAACATTAAGCTTGATGATTGGTTTACTCATAAAACCTATAAATTGATTTATTTTCATAAAATTTCATTTTATATAGATAGGACTTGTCTTTATATAAATTATGTATAATTATTTTTATCAAAATTTTTTTTTATAGCTTTTAAACTTTAAATTTAAGATTTTGTTATTTAGCAGATTTTTTTTAGTAGTCTCCACACAATTTTTTTGGGTTATACCATAATTTGTCTTCTTTGATTTAAATTGATTAATTTATATGAAAATTTATTTTTCATGGATAGTACTTATCTTTGTTAAAATGAGGTGTAAATTTCTTTATCCAAATATTTTTTATAAATTTTAAACGTTAAATTTAAGATTTTACTATAACGTAGACTTCTCAAATAGACTTCACACCGTTTAGAGGTTACAAACCTAATTTCTCTAAGTTGACTTAAATGAATTCATTTTTATGCAAATTTATTTTTCTTGGATGCCAAATGTTTTAATCTTATTTATGTATAATTTGTTTTTATCAAATTAATTTCCAATAATTTTATAATTTAAATTTAAATTGTGATTAGGAAGTAGATTTCATCATGAAGTCTACTACTTAGTAGACTTCATGAGTAGTCTTTAAACAGAATAAAACAAACATTATGGCCCTCGATTTTTCTTCGCATAAATTCCGGTTCCCGCCCAAAATATTTCGTTTCCCGCTCGTTTTTTGAATAATAGACTTCATAGCAAAGTCTAACTATGAAGTCTACCGATGAAGTCTGACTTACCCTAAACCCTAAATCGAATTTTTGAGATCAAAGCTATAGAAAACATCAATTATGAATATATAATCACAATTTACATTATAAACTATAAATTCATTAGCTTTAAATCGTTAAACAAACCGCAAACAATTTTTTATGTCAAAATTCTCTAAACCCTAACAATCATACTCATAAACCCTATACATTGTACCTCAAACACTAAGCTTGATGATTGGTTTACTCATGAAACTTATAAACTGATTAATTTCCATGAAATTTTATTTTACATAGATAGGATTTGTCTTTCATTTAGATTATTTATAATTTTTTTAAGCCTAAATATTTTTTATAGATTTTAAACTTTAAATTTAAGATTTTGTTATTTGGTAGACTTCTTCAGTAGACTTCACACAATATTTTTTGGATTATACCATAATTTGTATTACCGATTTTAAATTGATCAATTTATATGCAAATTTATTTTTCATGGATAGTACTTGTCTTTTTTTAACTTATGTGTAAATACCTTCATCAAAATATTTTTAAAAGATTTCAAACTTTAAATTTACGATTTTGCTATATATTAGACTTCGGGAATAGACTTCACGCAGTTTATAGGTTACAAACATAATTTCTCTTACTTGAGTTAAATGGAGTCATTTTTATGCAAGTTTATTTTTCTTGGATGCCAAATGTTCTAATCTTGTTTATGTATAATTTTTTTGATCAAAACAATTTCCTATAATTTTATAAATTAAATTTGAGTTGTGGTTAGGAATTAGACTTTCATGAATAGACTAACATGATGTAGACTTCATGAATAGACTTTAAACAGGGTAAAACAGACATTGTGGCTAGCGTTTTTTTCTTTGTTCATAAGGGCTTGATTTGTAATTCTACATGCCCAGAAGACTAGTTTTGCTCTAAATGCAATATAGGGTCTAGTTTTGCATTTCAAATCAAATTGTGCACTATATTTGACAATTCCCCCTAAAGTGATTATGTCATTTGGGAATATAAAAAAGGGGTTAATATGGTTTTCCACTTCATAGTTTATTTTCCACCTGAATAGTTTTTTTTTTAACTTCTGCAAAATAAACATCTAGCTTTTCTAGTAATTTTGGAGCTCTGTTTCACATATACATGCACATACACACACCCACTACATTATATAAATTTTTTAAAGTGTTGACTTAATGTGTGTAAATAGTGAGTAATTGGATATAGAGGAGTCAATGATTGGTTAAACCCACTCCACAAATCTATTGATTTTTCTTGGAAAATATGATATTGTACAAAATCCCACTTTATCTCCTCACAAAGAAAACATATTTGTTCCAAAGTGCATCTCTCTCCATGCACTTACATATCACAAAAGAATCTCTTTAGTTGTCTCTCTTTATAAAAAGAAAAGAAAGAAAAACAACAAAAGAATGTTCTCAGTTTAAAATGTTGATTTTAGACCCATTACTCCATTAGTCTTATTCCTTTCATTACCTGTCACTTTTGTATGATACATATTGATTAGTAACTTTATTCCGGACCACAAAATATGCTACTATTAATATATACATCACCCCTAATCTCACATGGAATGAAGCATATTCACATTTCTTGTTCCACAAGTACCTTCTCAATAACCCTCCTTAATCTCTACTCAAGGAACACCGAAGAGAAACTTCTCCAACATCTCCAACCTCTAAAATCTTCTTATAACACTTCATAATTTCTTTGAGAACAAAACAAACACCAAAACCTAAGAGATATATATGGGAGATCAAGGAGTACAACAGATGCAGCAACCTGTTGTTGTATATCCAAACACATACCCTAAACAGTATCCAGGCCCATCTTCTTCTTCTTCCTCTGGCTCACGCGGTTCCTTTGGGACCGTATTCATAGTCCTAGCCGTGATCCTTGTCTTGTCGGTTGTGGCTTGTATCTTTGGGAGGCTATGTAACCGTGAAAGAGGCGCGGCTAAGCAACAGCATAGCAAGCATCCAAAGCATGAGAAAGGGTCGTCTAAGAAGAGCCGTGAGATTCGTCCTGTGGAGCGTGAGCCGAGGGAGAGAGGTGATTTGGAGTTTGGCTTGGATATGAAACGGCCAGGGCCATTTGACAAACCCTCTGGAAGAGATCACGGAGAGGACATAGAATTCGGATTTGATAACAAGAGAGGAGAAAGAGGAGGAGGAGGAGGAGGACCACCTCCACCGAGTATCAAACATGGAGTGAGATTCAAGTTACCGGAAGATGGAGATCATCATGGCAAAGGCGAAATCAGACGTGGAGGTCCTGACTTTGAGTTCCGACCAGGACACCAATGATCTTGATTTTTCCAAAGAACAAACCACTTTATGCTTATGTCTTAATTGCTTCCTTTCTTTTATTTCTTTTGTGCTTTTTCTTTTCTGGGTATGGAACTTAGAGCTAAAGCTAAAGCTATTATACTCGCTTGGTGTGTTACTCTTACTCTCGGTATATATATCTTAAGGCACTAAATAAATCCAATGTATGTAGAATTTTCTAAGTAAATTTTGTAAGAATCTTGATAAAAAAAACCAACAAATTTATGGAAGAACGTTTTAATAATCAGTATACAGAGTTCTTCACTATCCTCCTCACTCAAACAAAATCAAGAACACAGAAAGCAGAAAAAGTACAACAAGGTACAAATAAAACTCTTCAGGTCTTTTCTGTGTTCTAACTTTCCGAGGCCAATTAGAGAACAAAAACACTAAAGGCACTACCAAGAAATGCATCTCAACACAACTTACGAAAAGAATGGCTTTACAGAGATCAAGAAAAAGAGGCACATGTATGTGTTATATTTTCACCTATTTTGTATGATTTTAAAACCGTCGGTTATTGAAAGGTCGAGTCTCAGATTCATTGCCTGAGAAATCAGCTGAGCTTTTGACAGAGTAATCCCCACTGTACATCCCTGACTCTACGTTATCATCAAAACCAAACGCCATTTTCCTGAACTTCATGATATCTTGGTTGTATTGCCCTGAGTCATAAGTTGTGCTTTGTCCAACTTTTATTCCGTTGCTGATATCTGTCTCGTCGTCGTCGATGTCCAATGCTCTCACAACCTTATTTTACCAAGAAGATAAGTTTTTTAAATGTGATGAAATTGAAAATCAAGAACTGTACAGAGAGCAATCAAGAACTTGTTTCTATATATATGTTAGGTCAGAGTTTTTTACCTGCATCATTCGTGGACGTTTTGGACCAGAATGTCTAACACACGCAGCGGCTGTCTCGATCATCCTGAAGACTTCATGCTCTACGTAATGTTTCTCGAGCCGGCTATCAACCAGTTCGCTGAAATCTCCGGTCTCAATGGCTTTGATAAGCAGCGGGCGTGCCTGTCATGAGTTCATGCATAAGTATTGACATTACTAAAACTAGAGCCAATCTTTTAAATCTGTAACTGAAGAATGTATCAAGATTGGTTTCTTTACCCATTCGACCAAACTCTCTTCTCCTAGAGGCTGACTCTGGTCTACTGGTTTCCGTCCCGTTACAAGCTCCAAGAGAACAACCCCGAACGAGAAAACATCGGATCTATCCGTCAGTTTTCCACTTTGTGCATATTCCGGCGCCAGGTACCTGAACACAAAACATGTTACTTGTAAGCCTTGTTCCCATCAGAACAATAAAGAGTGAGCTTTGTGATGGAAGCTTACCCAAAGGTCCCCATAACACGAGTTGATACGTGTGTTTGTGTTGTATCATTGAGTCTCGCAAGTCCAAAATCAGCAACCTAAACACCAAAGACAAGTCTCATCAACTATGAAAATACAGAGTCATATGGTTATGTAGATAAAAAGATATATATTTTAAAAATTGCCTGAGCTTCAAATTCATCATCCAACAGAATGTTTGCTGACTTTATATCCCTGTGAATGATCTTTGGATTACCTGTAAAAAATCAAAAACAAGAATGTGACTCTGTTTCCCATCTGACACCATTACCAGTTTCTTGATTTACTTACAGTCTTCATGCAGATAAGCCAATCCTTTAGCTGATCCAATAGCAATCCGGACTCTCTTAGACCACTCCAAAACCGGCATTCCCTTCCCGTGCAAATGATGCTCCAGGGTTTGATTCGAGACATACTCATAGATAAGCAAGTTATGCATATCCGCAATACAATAACCAACAAGAGACACCAAATGGCGATGGTGAACGCGGCTGATGATCTCAACCTCGGCCTTGAAACCGCCGTCTCCTCCTCCTCCTCCGCTAGAGGCTTTAAGCTGCTTAATCGCAACGGCTTTACCGTCGCGCGTCGTGCCTTTGTAGACGCATCCGAACCCTCCTTCTCCGAGAATGTTCTGACGAGAGAAGCCTTGCGTTATCTCCGCAAGCTCCTCGTAGCTGAAATGAGTCTGTCCGCTTCCGAGGATCGCAGAGTCAGGCATTGCGCCGGAGTGCATTTGCTGATGGCTTCCTCCGAATTGGCTCCCGTAGCTGTTGTTCATGTTCATGTTCATGTTCATCCCCATACCGGAATGTTGCTGCTGTGAATTGTACATCATTGAGCCACCTGGACCGGAGAAGCCTTTACTCGGATTTTGACCGTACATAAATCCATCTACATGATAAAAAATTCAAATCATCAGTCTAATCATAGAGATGATCAGAGAGATATAGAGGATAGATTTTGAAACCTGATTTTACAGAGAAATTTTGGTGTGGCAAGTACTGTGAATGGTTATAGCTATCCATGTTTTTCTTTTTCTTTCGTCTGACTAAGCAGACGACGGCGATGAGCGCCACGATTGCGAATCCGGCGACGGCCACACCGACCATGGTTTTACCTTGGAAGCTGTTTCCGTTGTTGTTGTTTGTGGGAGGTGTTTCTCTGCTGGTGGGGACTCTGAGGTTTGGAGAGACGACGGATCCGCCGGGAGCGCCGTTGGGTCTGGGTGGTGATGCGAGGAATGGGGTCGGCGGGGAGTTTGGGTCGGCCGGAGGAGAATTGATTGGTTCTGATGGTTGAGTTGGGGGAGGTTGCGTTGGGTCTGATGTTGGGGCTGGAGGTGGATTGGTTTGATCTGACGGTGGAGCTGGAGGAGAATCTGACGGTGGTGGTTGTTCTGGATTTGTTGGAGATGACGGTGACGGAGGCGATTGGGCGTCTGGAGATGGAGGAGGGTTACCGGATTCGGTTGGCGGAGCCGGTGGTGTTTCTGAATTTGTAGGAGGGGAAGGCGAATTGGTGGATTCTGGAGGCGGCGGAGAGTTGATTGAGTCTGCCGGTGGAGATTCGACAGGAGGCGGAGGCGGTCTGGCGAATAGTGGAGGAAAAAAAGGCAGCCGAGGAAAATTTGAATTTGGAGGAGGAGGCGACGGTTGGGCGTCGGACGGTGGCGGCGGTGATGATGATGAAGTTGGTGGAGGAGCGGATTTCTCCGACGAATTTTCCGGCGGCGGAGAAGAATCGGCTGGTGGAGCTGGTGGTGATGAACTCGGCGAACCGCCCGGGTCTGACATTTTTTCAAATTCTTCTTCCGCTTTATAAATCAACACTCAACAAAATTGTTCCTCTAGAACCCAGAAAATTCCAATTTCGTAACTCAATTTACGAAGGACACAATTATATATCCTCCAAAATCCCTTAATTATTAAAAAAAAAAAAAAAAAAAAATCAGAGAGCACAATAAACTCCAATGTAAATTGTCGTTCGAGATCAGGTGGAGAGAGAGGAGAAAATGTGAAAAAGTAGGGTTTATAAATTGCAGGACCTCGAGATCAGGTGGAGAGAGAGGAGAAAATGCAAGAGCTATTACAGGTTAAAGACGATAATAGAAGAAGAACCTCTGTTTCTTTCTCTCTCTCCCTCCCTCACTTTCTTTTCCCGGGAAAACAAAAAAATTCAGAAGGAATCTCAACAAATCGCCATGATCTGTTTTAGTGTCAAGAACTTGTAGGCACGTCTCGTGTGCCCTTTGATCTAAAGCTCTTTTTCCCTCTCTCTCTCTCTCTCTCTCTCTCTCTGTCTCTCTACAATAATATTAGCTTCTGTGATTTCTTTTTTGCTTTCCTCGTATTGTTTCTTTTGGGATGTCACTCCTTGATTCTCGGGTTACCGCGTAATTCAACGGTATTTTTGAAGTGTGTTTTTTTTTTCAATCGGACTCTTTCGACCCGACCCGGTATCTCGTTGGGGTTTCTAGCACATATGGGCCTTCGTTAGTGTCACAATATTAAAGCCCATTATATAGGCCTTCTTCCTCCAATGTGTTTGTTTATTTTCTGTATAAATTAGAGGAAATCTCGAGCTAAGCCCTGAATAGCTAACTAATCATCGAAGCTTTTAGAAGATCTGTGGCAAGAGTCGCATAAAATTTTTACATGCTAGAATTTGCTATCTTTGATTTTGATCTACAAGACAGTACACCAATCCTATATCCATTTGAGAAAACTATTTGACACTACGTTTTTGGTGTTTCTTTTTTGTTTTCAATTTTCTTTCTCGACATTTGGTGATAGATTTTCTGGTAGCACATATTACATGGCCGATACCCGATACAATTATTGGATACTAGCAGAAGCAAACAATAAACTCATATCATCTTAATGTTCAGTGATACAATTTGGTGAAATTGACATAACTTAATTCATTTTTACCATTGTCAACTTAACGAAATTATTAACTAGTAAAGTTTTATAACATCGGTTATTTTAGTATTTTTTTCAAAATTTTACTACAATCTATCGAACTTCATCCAAAAACTGAACCGGTGATATTTATTTATTTCATCGTTGTTGTTGGCGTCTTGTCGTTAACTCGCTATTGTTCGTTGTAAACGCCATTGTTCAATACTTTTTGTTTCATCTTATTGAATTTGTTGTACTCATCGTCATTATTTCAAAGAAACAGTATTACTTTAATAATTGATCTAAATATTCTCATTCGAGATATTTTTCCATCAAATAAGTAAAACCAAACTTTAGCCAACTGAGCAAGGCATTGCTTTTAAAGGAATACCTACCACTGTAGCCAAATGTATTAACCATATATATGGCCAATATCAATCTACTCCAATTCTGACTTTTTTCTTCCGATATTATCTAATGACGTATTTACACTAGGGAAAAAACTAAAAATCTCATTTTACTGCTTGTGTAGAAATTTCTTGAAAACCTACTATCAAACTCAAGCACAGTTAGGATTCAATTTTTTTTTTCAATATTTTGTTTTGTTTTTCTTGTCGATTTTCAAGAATTTAATTTCATTTTACTGCTTTTCAATTTTTTTTTTTTCAGTTTAGGATTAAGAACCTAGCTTTATCCGAAAATATCTTCTTAGATAAGAAACAAGATGACGTCATAATAAATGATAGCCGTGTAGGGGGGGAATAAACAGTGACTCATAATTGTCCAATGGCAATCAGCGTAATTTAGTACTAGGGGTAATACGGTCATTTCGTGGTGAATAGAAAAAATGGCTTGTCGTGCAAGCAGAAAGTAACGGCACCGCTCTAAACCGTTTATACGGAGAGAGAGAGACGACCGACGACGAACTCTCTCTTGAGAGACTTAACAACTTTTCACCAGTAAAAAGCCTTTTAAACCTCTGCTTCCTCTTCTTCTACATTCTTTCCCTTTTTTCCCCTTTTCCCAAGAAAACTTCGCTCTCTCTTTCCTCACTTTCTTTCCACTCTGTTTTCCCTTTTCGTTGGTGATGGCGGCGCAGGTCGAGATTGAGGACCAAGCGTCCGTCACCGAACTTGATAATGGCGAAACATTCGATCCCCTCTCCGACGACGCTGATTCTTCGACCGGATCTTCCTCGACCGACTCAATGATTCTTCTCGGCGAAGGAAACCAAGAGCGCGACGTCATCACCACGTGTTTACTCTCCGGCATGGGTACGATCGCTAGCGACACGACGATCGTGGCGGTGCGTAAAAATTCAACGGAAGGCATCACGACGCGAGCGAAGTATCTCGCGTTCCGGATTTTCACGGAGGCCATGGCGAGGAAGAACGGCGGCGATCCCAATGTCAAATACGGCTGGTACGCCGGCTCCAGAGAAGAGATCGAGAGTGTTATCTCGTACGGATTTAGCAATCGCGAGGTCGGGAAATTCGAGAACGACGCTGGGTCTCACGGAATCGGAATCCATATCGTTCCTTCTAAGTGCTCCCGATTTGCGTAAGTCCCGATTTCTTCCCCTCTGATTTTGATTTTGCCATCGGAAGAAGATTCGATTTGATCCTTGGCGTCGAATTTCGATTTGAATTGGGAATGTAACAGTGAAATATATTTGCAGGGCCTCTGCTTCGGAGCCGGACGAGGAAGGTTTAAGGCATCTTCTCTTATGCCGTTTAATTCTCGGGAAGCCTGAGAAAATCGTCTCCGGCTCTAAGCAATCGTACCCGAGCTCGACTGAGTTCGATTCCGGTGTGTATGATCTTCAAAACCCTACCAAGTATGTCGTATGGAGCTCTCACATGAATTCGCATATTTTACCGAGTTATATCGTCAGTTTCAGGTCTCCTTCTCTTAGAGGTATAATAACACTTTATCCAGACTCTGATGAATTTTGTATTTCGGGTTTTCGTTAGTGTGTTTAGTGCTAATTTGAGAGATTGTTCGCTATGTTTATAGGTAGAGGTGGTTTTCCGGCGAGACCATGCTCGCCGTGGGTTAGTTTCGCTTCCTTGATGTCAACGCTGTCCAAGTCGATGGATCACATCTCTTAACCCGAAATGGCTGGGGAGAGGAAAGGTTCCTTTTTTTTAGGGTACTCCTGGGAACACATCCAGTGGAGACGGGGTGGGGCTTGTAGCTCAGAGGATTAGAGCACGTGGCTACGAACCACGGTGTCGGGGGTTCGAATCCCTCCTCGCCCACAACCGGCCCAAGAGAATTTGATCATGAGAACTTACGATGATTTTCGGGTATTGATTTCATTTCATTTGTATATATGTGCTACTTGTGTTAATAATTCATTAGTTTTGATCAGATATGTGTTTACTTATTGCAGAAACGGAGGATCCGGAGAGACGAGTTGGTTCGGAAGATGAGAGAAATGGCTGGAGACAATCTCTTGGCTGCGATAATCAAGAGCCACAGAGACAAAAACAAGGTTAAGGTTTGAAACAGAGGTAAGCAAATTCTTCGTTTAGAAAGGTTTGATTTGGTAATCAAAGGTTGAATAATAAATAATATAATATGTTGTGCTTTTCTTGCTCTTTTGGATCGTAATCAAATTATTAATGGAATGTGAAAGTAATAAAAATCATCTGATTCTTTCTTATGGAGCAAGGATTGTTTAGAACTTATTCTCTTTTTTTTCTGGGGTATATTTGAAAAGGGGATATTTTTTCTTGTTAAGTTAAGACTCCACGTCAGCATTTATACCTTTTGACGTGTGTTGATCCAATTCATGCAAAAGTTTGTGTCCATTCATTTCCTTTCATTACATAGAGAATTAAGAAATGTCTTGTTGACTTTTTTTGTATATATTACTTGCAGAGAAGTTCACACGTGTGATACGTATTAAAGATGGAAGAGCAGAGCACATACGTTTTACACGTATACATAGAAATCTCAATCAAATGTGGAAACTGTATGAGAGAGTTTTAAAGCCTTTTCTACCCTTTTGCGAAAGTATAGTTTCTGTATGAACTTTGGGAAATTTATAAAGAGCATTCTTTTACATAGCAATGAAATTTTCAAGAACAATCAGTAAAAGTCTAAAATCACAATCTCTTTAATTAGAGAGCCTCCTTCGATTCGTAAATCTCCTCCCGTTACTCCTCCTACGTGATCTCCATCTCTCCTTAATATCGTCATCTTTGATTTTATTATCCAATGCTACGCCGTTTTGTCCTTCATCAGAGTCATTACCATGACCTCCTCCTCCACCTCCTCGGACCCTAGCAGCCTCAGCGAAAAGATCATCGATCATACTCTCTGTGGTTTTAATGGTGATCCCATGAATGTACCAAGAAAGTGGAGGTGGAGTAAGAATAGCAGAAGGCTGAAACATCTGATCCATTGTCACCTTAGACCCGACCCTTCCTCTTCCATTGCTACAAGTATTGTAGTCTTCTCGGGATTTTGGTTTCGAGGTCTCACACAAATGTTCATCTATAAACAATGGTTCCACTGTCCAACAACCCTCGAACACTTCCATGAACATTGTTTGCTCTTGCTTATAATTTGACTGCCCACAAATAAGCAAGAGAGGGAAACCCAAATTGAGTATGTAACAAAAAGTATTGATTTCTTGTGAGGAATGTGTATATCATACCCTGAGATGCTTTCGGTTTTCTTGGACGATTAGATGTATAGGGAAAGTTCCAGCCCACCAAAGGAACTTCCAAGCCGCTGCTTGCTTCACCTCCAGAGTCTGGACTGGTCCTTCCTCCTTCAATACTTTTCTCGATATGCACTCCTGTTTAGGATTAAGATCATTGTCTCAAGGATTTTCTATAACTAATAACTTTCTTCGGATATTTAACAAGGCAAAGACCACGCATGCGAGCACCTTGATGTTCTTGAAGTATCTTTTGTTGTCTGGATGAGTGAAAATGTTGTAGACTGATTCAGGAGGCAATCCTACGTTAAACTCTACGTTCAAATGGCAATACGATCCGTTTCGTGTTTTCACCTGCAAAACATCAAAATTTGAAGGACAAGTCTCAAAACACATTTTTATTTTTGTCTGAATATTGTTAATTAGTACTAAGTTTTGAGATTTGTTTTAGCTCTCTCATCTTACCTGAACCTTAGGAAGTTGATCAGTCCATGAAGGGTTATTTCTCCAAGCTTGTATTTGCTTCTCTAACTTCTCATCATCTATGTAGTCATCATGAGTGGTCTCTATCTCTGACACTGACTTAATCGAGGTTTGCTCTGTGACATTCCTTAATCTATTGAACTTAGCCTGAAACAACAACAACAACAACAACAGAAATCATAATTTAACCAATTTCTATTTTTGATAAAGCTTCTCAAGAATTCAAAGAGATGGTAACAAAATTTGACCTTAAGAGGCTCTTGAATTGTTTGATTAATCCAGACCGAAAATTCAGGAAATTTAACATTGTTTTCGAAAAATTTGACGAGCCCTACACCGCTCTTCTCCTTTGATCTTGAAACTTCAGATCCACCCATTTGTTTCTGTAAAATAATATCACAAAAGAGAGCAAGATTAAAAAAAAAAAAAAAAAAAAAAATAGAGGAAATAACACAAGGTTTGGTTAATTATAAATGGTGATTGATAATGAAAAATAAGAATCAGTTGGTGGAGGGTGAGTGTACCATACGCAATAGAGACAAAAACATTAGAGGCAAGTCCCATTCTCGTGATTTTTTTCTCGACGTTAAAGCATGTGCGTAAAATCGGCGGGACATTGCTTTCCACTCGTGTCTCTCACTTCTCGTCTGCAAAACGGTAATTTTGACTATGCTTTGCAATTGAAATTTGAAAACCAAAATAATTGATCTTTCTTTTTTTTTTTCACTTTTTTTAAGGCTCCAATCCCTATATTATCCTTAGTATTTTCTTTTCTTTTTAATTTATTTTTATTTAAAAAAATTAAGTGCCCAAAATTTTAAACGCAAATGTCTTTGTTGAATAATAATTAACATTGTTCTTTAGTAAAAATAAGATTTAGTTGGTTGGAAGTTGCGTGTACCTGACGAACCGGGAACTAAAGTTTATAAGCTAAAATCAAAATGTTTGTAGAGACAGAAATCTTACCTTCTCATCGCAACGTATAACTAAAATCAACATAGATCGTTTCAATAGCCATGAAAGAACAAATTCTAATTTCTAACGGCTACTTTGAGTTTGAGTTCATGCCAAGATTAAGTCAAATGCGATGTGACATGTGAGGAGGTGATCAAGAGGCGACTTATGCTTACGGTAAAAGTAAAAAAAAAAAAATTATTTATTCCTAGTGATTTAACGGTTTGTATTATTCATTCACAAGTTTAATTAAAATAAATCTTATATGTATTTGCCTTAATTAATATTCGATTCTCTCTTATTTCACAGCAGCATCGAATTTTTATTATAAAATAATATACTTAAGGAACATAGGAATTAAAGTTACATTTGTATATATATTTGTGCTTGACCGCTAGTGTTTGCAATGTTTGTTTTATTTTGTTTTGGTTTGTTCTTTGGAGTAAATAACTGATTTTTTTATTTCTGTTCATATTAATTCGGATTATCAAGTGGTTCGATATTATCACCACAGTATAACCGGTTCACACCATGTCTGAACTTTTGTGGATGCTGATAACAAATTGTCTAAGGTCTTCAAGCAAAATCTTGGTGAATTCAATGGTGATCCCGCGGATTAACCAAGAAACCGGTGGCACATTTAGAAGAAAAGAAGGCTGAAAGATTTGCTCCATTGTCACCTTTGATCCAATCCTTCCTTTTCCGCGGCTACATTTTTTGTATTCTTGTTCACTAATCCTTGACCTAGACTTGCACAAGCGTTCCTGATCCGCGTATAGTGGTTCGATTTTCCAGCTACCCTCAAACACTTTCATGTACCTCATTTTCTCTCCAGACCACCCAAGGAGCTTCCATCTCAATATTTTGTCCACTTTCGTAATCTGCCTCGGTCCATCTTTCTTCAAAACCTTTGTTGATTTATTGTCCTTCATAGGAATTTAAAACCAATCCCATATTTCAAAATAATTAATACTCAATCTTAATCATACAATGACACAACTATATGAAAAAAAAAACAAAAAAACAAACAAACCAGACGCTGGCTAAAGTCGGCGCCGAAATGACGAAAGAAAAGTGCATTTCTTGGGTTAGTGAGCATCTCGTAGACTCCATGAGGAGGCCATCCCAAAGTGAATTCTATGTTCAAGTGGCAAATACCATTTTTTGTTTTCACCTTTAAACATAAAAAATAGAAAAAGAAAGTTTCAAGATCTGTAATTCTCTCAATTCTAGCATTTACTCTAAATGAAAAGAAATTCGCTATATTACCTTCACTTTAGCAGGAGCATCATACCATGGATGCTTGCTTTTTGGGAAAGTCCAAAGATCTGCTTGTCTAATTACCTCAGCTAAGTCATAATATTTAGGATCTGTAGCATACAGTGGCATTGATCTAACATGCTGCCCAGATTTCTTGTACTCAGCCTACAACGAAAAACCGTATACTAGTAATCTAATCTAATTTAATTTCTATTAACAAACAATCTAAGATTTAATATATTGTTTGCTGATTTTCTATTTCCTTCTTCTTAGGGTCCACATCAGGATCCCAATACCATGGTTCCTGAATATTAGTATCTTTTTCTGAAACTGAACCAGATTTAGCATTCTTGCCTCTCTTGGACTCGTCCTATAACAACAAAAAAAATTAATCATGTTCTCATTTTATTTGACTTCCTCCGGTCATAGAAAGGAAACTGACCTTACGAGACTCTTGCATGTTCTGATTGATCCACACACCTTTTTCAGTAAATACGCCCATTTCTATATTAGGAAGTTTAGTCCAATACAAACTATCCTTACCTGATGAGAGCAAGAGCAATATGACTATTTAAAGAAAGCTTGTATGATTCACATGGTTTGAGATATCTTAGATAAACTGTTTGCATCTTGAGAGAATTATGTACGTTAAGTTTTACGTACGGCCAAACAATGAAGTAGGCAGCTCCATTCTCGTGAGTTATTGACGTAGAGGAGAGACCTACGTGAGGAGAGAAAATATCGAAACTTGGCGCCAAAGTTATGTAATCTTCTTTACAAAAAAAAATGCAAAATATCGAATCTTGAGTTTTTGTTGGAACTTAGGAATCTAGATATGATGAAAAAAATAACAAAATGAATTTAACACTAAAATACTAAATTCACATGATTGGGAGTTGCAAAATATCGAATCTTGAGTTTTTGTTGGAACTTAGGAATCTAGATATGATGAAAAAAATAACAAATGAATTTAACACTAAAATACTAAATTCACATGATTGGGAGTTTTTCTTGCGTCAAAGTGGATGAATTTGAATTTGGTCGACATGTACATATACAAAGGACATTATTACACACATCAATAATATTTTTTAGATATCCACAACAGATCAATCAATACACTACAGCATAACCGGCCGGTTCACACCGTGTCTGAACTTTTGTGGATGCGGATAACATATTGTCTAAGATCTTCAAGCAAAATCTTGATGGTTTCAATGGTGATCCCATGGATTAACCAAGACACCGGTGGCACATTAAGAAGAGAAGAAGGCTGAAAGATTTGCTCCATTGTCACCTTTGATCCAATCCTTCCTTTTCCGCCGCTACATTTTTTGTATTCTGCTTCACTAATCCTTGACCTAGACTTGCACAAGCGTTCCTGATCCGCATATAGTGGCTCGATTTTCCAGCTACCCTCAAACACTTTCATGTACCACATTTTCTCTTTCTTATATTTTGCCTAGACGAGAAGAGATCAATCCTAAATCACCCAAAAACTGAAGAAAAAAAACACAATTGGTTCTTGTGAGGGACATGGAGAAGCTTGTACCGTAAGGTTTTTATGGTTTTCATCGATGATTAGATGAATCGGAATATCTCCAGACAACCCAAGGAGCCTCCATCTCAATATTTTGTCCACTTTCGTAATCTGCCTCGGTCCATCTTTCTTCAAAACCTTTGTTGATTTATTGTCCTTCATAGGAATTTAAAAGACCAAAATCTCAATTTATTTCTTATAGTTAATACTCAATCTTAGTCAGACAATGAGACAACTATATGAAAAAGAAAAAAAAAAACAAACAAACCAGACGCTGGCTAAAGTCGGTGTAGAATATACGAAAGAAAAGTGAGTTTCTTGGGTTAGTGAGCATCTCGTAGACTCCATGAGGAGGCCATCCCAAAGTGAATTCTATGTCAAATGGCAAATACCATTTTTTGTTTTCACCTTTAAACATAAAAATTACAAGAAGAAAGTTTCAAGATCTGTAATTCTCTCATTTCTAGCATTTACTCTAAATGAAAAAGAAAAAAAATTAATAGTAATGGTATTTTTTTTTTTTTTTTCTGATTCGCTATATTACCTTCACTTTAGCAGGAGCATCATACCATGGATGCTTGCTATTTGGGACTATCCAAAGATCTACTTGTCTAAAAACCTCAGCTAAGTCATAATATTTAGGATCTGTAGCATACAGTGGCATAGATCTAGGATGCTGCCCAGATTTCTTGTACTCAGCCTACAACAATAAACCGTATACTAGTAATTTAATTCTTATTAACAAACAATCTAAGATTTAATATATTGTTTGCTGATTTGCTGTTACCTTCTTCTTAGGGTCCTCAGCAGGATCCCAATACCATGGTTCCTGAATATTAGTATCTTTTTCTGAAACTGAACTAGATTTAGCATTCTCACCTCTCTTGGACTCGTCCTAGAACAACAACAAACATAATCATGTTCTTATTTTATTTGACTTCCTCCGGTCATAGAAAGGAAACTGACCTTACGAGGCTCTTGCATGTTCCGATTGATCCACACACCAAATTCAGTAAATACGCCCATTTCTCTATTAGAAAGTTTAGTCCAATACCAACTACCCTTACCTGATGAAAGCAATAGCAATATGACTATTTAAAGAAAGCTTGTATAATTCACATCGTTTGAGATATCTTAGATAAAATGTTTGCATCTTGAGAGAATTTTGTACGTTAAGTTTTACGTACGGCCAAACAATGAAGTAGGCAGCTCCATTCTCGTGAGTTCTTGACGTAGAGGAGAGACCTACATGAGGAGAGAAAAGATAGAAACTTGGCGCCAAAGTTATGTAACCTGCTTTTAAAAATTAAATAAATTGCAAATTTTAGAATCTTCAGTTATTTGTTGGAATTAGGAATCTTGATATGATGAAAAAAATTACAAAATGAATTTAACACTAAAATACTAAATTCACATGATTGGGAGTTTTTCTTGCGTCAAAGTGGATGAATTAGAATTTGGCCGACATGTACATATATAAAGAACATTATTACACACATCAATAAAAATTTCTAAATATCCACAACAAATCAATCAATAATGTCGAAATCACAATTGAATTTACATCCTTCTCTGAATGGTGAATCTCCTCCCTTTGTTCCTCCTTGATCTCCATCTCTCCTTATTGTCGTCATGATCATTGCTCTTCTTCTCCAACACGACGCCGTTTTGTCCTTGATCATCATCATGGCCTCCTCCTCCACCTCCTCCACGGATTCTTGCAGCTTCAGCGCGAAGATCTTCGATCATACTCTCTGTAGTATTAATGGTGATCCCACGAACGTACCAAGAAATCGGCGGTGGTGTTAGAATAGCAGAAGGCTGAAACATCTGATCCATTATCACCTTGGAACCAATCCTTCCTCTTCCGTTGCTACAGCTATCATAATCTTCTCGTGTTTTTGGCTTCGTTGTCTCACACAAATGTTCGTCTATAAACAATGGCTCCACTCTCCAACAACCCTCAAACACTTTCATGAACATTGTGCTCTCTTGCTTGTACCTTGACTGCAAGAGAGTAAACCCAAAAATGAAACATGTGAGGTCATAACAAAAAGATTGATTCTTGCTAGAAATATATATATCTTACGGTGAGATGTTTTCGGTTTTCTTGGACAATTAGATGTATAGGTAAAGTTCCAGACCACCAAAGGAACTTCCAGGCCGCTGCTTGCTTGACCTCCACGGTCAGATTTGGTCCTTCCTCCATCAAAACTTTTCTTGATATGCATTCCTGTTTAGGGTTTAGATAAAAAAAATTGTCTCACATATTATTGTAAATGCTTAATCCGGGTTTAACAAGGAAAACCATTGCAAACACCTTGATGTTCTTGAAGCATCTTTTGTTGTCTGGATGAGTGAAAATGTTGTAGACTGATTCAGGAGGCAATCCTACGTTAAACTCTACGTTTAAATGGCAAAACGAACCATTTTGTGTTTTCACCTGCAAATTCAATATTTAGAAAAAACAAACAATCTACCAATTTATAAGTTTTGAGATATGGTTTGGCTCTCATGTGACCTGAACTTTAGGAGGTTGATCTGTCCATGAAGGATTATTTCTCCAAGCTTGTACTTGCTTCTCTAACTTCTCCTCATTTCTGTGATCATCATGAGTAATAGTCTCTATCTCTGACACTGACTTAACCAAGCTTAACTCTTTCACATTCCTTAATTTCTTGAACTCAGCCTACAAGAAGTCAAGAACAACAATCAGCAACAAAATATATTTAACTAAAATTTCTAAATTTGACTAAGTTGCTTAGAAGATTATCTGAGATGGAAATGGAAGCTTGACCTTAAGAGGTTCTTGAATTGTCTGATTGATCCAAACAGCAAATCCAGGAAATACAACATTATTTTCAAACATTTTGACAAATCCTATACTGCTTCTCTCCTCTGATCTTGAAATTTCAGATCCGCCCATTTTAATTCTGTAAAACTCAGATCACAAAACAGAACAAGATTGAAAATTTGACAGAAACAGAGGAAATAGAAAGTCAACGATATGGTTTGAGGTAAACTCATACATATAGAAAGGTTTTGATTAATCAAGAAAGCTGATTCTTAATGATTATAATAAGGATAACAATCAGTTGTGTGGAAGTTGAGTGTAACGTACGTACCGGGAACTAAAGATAAGGGGCAAGTTTCGTTCTCGTGAGTTCCTCTCTGGACGTTAAAGCATGTGCGAAAATTCGGCCGGACATTGCTCTTCACTCGTGTCTCTCACTTGTGTACCGCAAGGTCCGCAACCGAACTCCGTGAAACCCTAACCCGTCTCCTGGTCTGCAACTCCGGTCGTCACTCTCGTCTCATCTCCGTCGAACTCTGCAACACGATCAAAACTCGAGACTGATTTGCAATTCAAACCCAATAATTGATCTTTCCTTTTGGCTTTTTGTTTGTTTCTTTTTTAATAAAAAGGGAGGTTCGACAGCGACGTGTCATCATTATCGCATCATGGAGTTATATATGTAAATTGTAATTAATGGACCTATGAACCGATGCCGATTATGATTAGTGTTTTTTTTTGGGGGTCAGATTATTAGTTAAAATAGGGTTGGTCTTAACTAAACTAACATTTAAATTTAATACACAATTTACAAAGATAATAGTTTGATGGATGTCTACAAAGAGAATCCTATTTCTTGTGGACATTTCTTTAATTCAAGAAGAGAAATGTTGGAAAGTGATTTTGTTATTTACTTTTTCTATTTGATATTTGGATATGATTGTATGATCATATCACATGGATATTTTCTTCAAATTATAAATATTAATTATATAACCACGAAAAAAAATAAAAATAAAATATCACAGACAGTATTTAAAAATTGCGGATTCAACAAGACTTGAGAAAACAAAAACAACAAGAGCCTTTTTATCAATAGAACAACATGGATTCAAACCAAAACATTCATGAAAACTCTGCACAACAACGGAAAAGTCAAGGTTCGCTTTTCTTTTACTCCCTCTCTTTCTCTCTCATTTTTTTTTAATAATATATTTCAATCATAGTACCTATTTTCATCATGGTAAAACAGAAGTTGTAAGAGCAAGTGCACCGGAGAGTTTTTCATAGTCTCTCAATCCCAAAAAGAAAGAAATAAGATAAATAAATACCTACATGGCATTAAAGTAGTTCAGATCCGTCTATGTGGAGAGAGACTGTAGAGACTTATGTGCATAAGATTTCTACAGGTATCACTATGTGGTTCATCACCTTTTTTTTTTTCTGAAAATCATTTTTCTTTATTTCAAAATTCATTTGTTTATTATTATAAAAGATACTCATGTGAAGCTTACCATTGCACATGCTCTACGAGCATCTGCATTGCAGAGCTGTTGATAGGCTCTACAACAAAAAAGAAAAATAAAAAAATAGCATTTAATGACATGGCAGGCTTTAGAAAGTAGAAACGCCTCTGGAAGAGTAACATGTGGAGTCGACTCTCATAACAAAAAATCTACAGGTGTCACCACTTAATTCACTAACTTCTTTTTCTTTATTTATTTATTTTATTTTTTTAAGAAAATTGCTTTTTCTCTCTTGAAATTCGTTTTTGTTTTGTGGATAAAAAATGTTAAAGAGCCTTCTCATAGGCTGAGCAATGCGGATGCTCTAAACAGCTGACTAAGCAATATCGGATTTACTATGGATATAAGCAGGCATTGGGTCACTGCTGCAAAAGTCACAAAGGCATTTAAAATCTTCGGGGTATCCGTATTCCGAGTCTCCTTTGCATCTGCCGCCTTCCGCTTCATTATTTTTCATGCACTCAAAATAACACAATGTTGGTACAATTGAGTCAACACATATTTCCGAGCTTATTTGTGAGGAATTGAGATTATTTGGACTACTACAAGATTAAACCAGATTCTCCAGTAAGATTTACTTGTTCGTCGGGGATCTTTTTGGTTTGCTTCAATGTGTATCTAAATTGTCTTTGATTTGAAACACTTATATCTCGTTGATTCTTAGTGTTTATTAATAGTTTTTCGTCTTTCTGTCTTCTTAGTCATCTCTATAACCGCTGTCAAAACTCTTAAAATGGTATTAAATCTTCAAATTTTACCAAAAAAAAAAGAAAAAAGAAAATTGAATTTGTTGAATTATTGATAGTTTTTTTGATGAAAGTAGTCGCACACTCCTTAAAATCCTTTCAAAACATCAAGTTTAAGAGGGTGAGCACAACCTCCAATATTTACTTTTGTAGATAAAGTTGACTTTTATAGGCTTTGACTGTTGGGTCGATATCAATTTGTGAAGGATTTTTAAGAGCATGTTTAATAGGGGAAGCTTAGTGGAGCACTTAAAAGATTTTTTTATTATTACAAATATGTTAGCATCCATGTAAGAATTCTCTGTTTTTTCCTACTCTAATGGGAGATTCTTAGTTAGGGTGCTTAAGATGATTTTTTTGTGTAAACTTTATTTTTATTTATGAACAAAACATAATATTGCATAAACTGAAATTTGAAACATAATTTACATACAAACATTTTAAACATATATTTTCGAAATCATAGACAGAACAAAAACTCAATCAAAATTTTGAATATCTCCAAATTTTATCATATATGCTCAATCAAATCATCTTTCAATTATTGATATCTTTGTCATGAATTCTTAATTCCGAATCAAGTTTAAACCAATAAATTTATGAGAGAAGTAACAAATCTCTAAAACTTTGGTTTACATATGAAAAAGAAACAATGCTAATGCTAAGAACATGATGAAACACAAAACTTACGCTAACATTGAATATATAAGAGCATGTATAATGGAGGGTGCTTATGGAGATGCTTAAAAGATTTTTTATTATTAAAATTGTGTTAAGCACTTCTATTAAAACTTCTCTATTTTCTCTACTCTAATGGGAGAAGCTTTTTTAGGGGTGTTTAAAAAAAATAACAGAAAGTCAAGATTTTGATATAGACTACGAATCCCCTTCACTATACAAAATCCTAATCTGTTTCTTGCTCGTCTTTCCCTTTCTTTCCCTTGAATATAGACATCAGCTCAGCCACAAGCTCTTGTCATCATGATTCCTCACATACTAGTCTAAGAAAGCTTCATTACGCCAATACAGGAGACATCGGAGGAAGTTCGCTTCCGAGCAATCCTTTTACAATGAGAGCTTGAATTACGTCAGTCCTCTTCTCCAAGCTGTATCCAAGCACTGCAGGTGTTGAAACCACAGCCTTTAATGGCCAATTCATTTGCTTCACAAGAAACTCAGTGTTCTTTTTCATCGACTCTGCAGATAAACCCATGCACTGAGGATAACGCTTGAACATCGTCCCAAAGGCAGATTTTCTGATCTTGTGAGCCACTCAAAAGATAACCCTCCTTGAAGGAGCTCCAAGCCAATCCATAACCTTCTTGTTCATGTCCCATTAGCCCTAGATCAAGATCACACTCACTTGATTGGGGCTTGGCCGAGTGTCTGGCGTAATCAAAAAGAAACACCTCAGAACCAATCGTTTTAGCACCCACTAGAGTTGGCTTTTGTGGCAAACATTGCGCTCTGTTTACTTCTCCATACACATATTTCCTGCCGAATCTCCACCTGCAAAAGATAGTCTTTAATAAACTGTCCCTAGTACTTTCATCGAACACATTGTGTGCGCATAACACAACATAGTAGTAACCATCTACAATTATTCTTTACTTCCGTATGACAGATTCCATAAGCACGACACTATTTGATATGGATAGCGAAGTCATCTAGCTATGAAGCAAATACCAATCAGAATCAATCCCAGTCTAAAAGCATCTAAAATCTGAAAGATAGTAGTGAAACACGAAGCACATACTCTTTGAGAAGACGAGGAGAAATCCTGCCCCTGATGCATACCCGACGCCATGGAAGTAGTTAGAACTTCACGCCACTTCTTCTGCAAGTTCTCCTCTTGATTTTTCGAATCGCCATGAACAAAGAGAGAAGAGAAGGGAGAGTGAAGAATGAAGAGAAAGTTATTTTTTCCCTCAATTTCAGTCTTCCAATCGCCGGGTGACATGTGGCTATAAGCAGCGACGCTTCACACGCCTAATCAAGCGTCGGAGCTATAATATTTGGGCATTTTTCATTTAAATTTAATCCTAAATTTAGCTAAGCAGTTGCTCTTAAGCGTCTACCGTTATACGTGCTCTAATGACTTGTGTTTGTGTTTTTCTTGCAACGATACAATAACAACATGAGATACAAATACAAGAGAAAACAAAATAGTGATTTGTGTTTGTGTTTCCAAGAGCTTGTGACTTGCAAACAACAAGGAGTTCTATTGTTTGGTTGTGCCAACATGAGTAGAATATTTGGTACATCACAAGTTTCCAAATATTTCACACCTGTTCATTTTCAAAGATCATCGAATCAGCCAAATAAACTTAAACACAGCATCACAAGGTGAGACCATAGCTTAATTCTCACCTTAAGATAACGTAAACTGGATACAAAACCTCTGTCATGGTGATAAGAATATGAAGAATAATAGCAACCTGCATCATTATCAAAAGAAAGTTATAAGTTCTTCAGGGCAAAAATTCGTCTTTAGTAAACCATCCAGTAACGGTTGAAGAGTAGTTTACTCACAGGTTCACTAAACTCATCACTATATGTATAAGAATGTAACTGTTAGAAAAAATGTCCTAATCAACCAACCGTACTACATGAACGATAGCAACAAACAATTGTTAAAGTTCTCAGATTTAGAAAAGGGTAATAAGTTGCTTTCAAGCAACATGAGAAACAAACAAGGAACTCACTCACTCACTTTCATCAGATTTTCGATGATGAGTCTACTATTTACAGCAACAAGAACTACATCATAAAGGTTAAATAATCCGGCATGGCTCTGCCATTGAAAACAATCACAAACTCAAGTCATGAAATACTCGAACCTCTACAATGCAAGAGCAAGCTGAGATATGAACCCAATTCAAAATTCTTCTAGAACATTTGACTGAAAATATGAGATTACTTGCTTGAAGATTGCGTCAGAGCTGAGTGAACTCTCCCCTAGCCCTCCGATGAGCTGGAACCAACGGCCGCATCGGTGGTTCCTCATCCTTGACCAACACCTCTTCCTCCACCGGTTTCCCTAATTTCGTTATCTCCGCCGCTACCTCCAGCCAAATTTTCAGTGCTTAACGAACACCTGAGCCCTAACTGACCACGATTTACAGCCGACTATTGAAGACAACTTACCATGCACATAGGAGAAACAATCGTCGATTGAGATCTGCTGATCGTTGTTTGTTCTTCGCCGATTCTCATCTCCGAACGGTTATGTTAAGCAACTGATTGTATTATCACTTAACAAAGTACAATTCCGATTAAAGCCAGTATCTCTCTGACATTCAATCGGATTCTCTCTTTGATTTGATGAACAAGTTCATCCAAATCAGAATTCTCTCAAGAACAATGTAACAAACTTTCTCTCTCAAATTTCTGGATAAGATGAGATAAAATGCAACAGACAAGTATTTATAGTGTTAGTAAAGAAGCTGAGCTTCACTTGTCCACGTCATCTTCTAAAATAGCCTCTTCTCCATTTAGCTTCTCTTCTTCACTTCTCTTCTTTCTTCTCACATAGCGATTCAACGTCCTAACAATACCCCCCTCGCCAATGAGAAGCTTGTCCTCAAGTTCTGGAAACTCGTTAAGAAGCTCCGACGCCAAAACCCAAGACTGTTCGTGTGTAGGCAAGCCCTTCCACTTCACTAGACCTTCCAAACGTCCTGCAGTATTATAGCGTGTCTCAACTATCTCTTCTGGCTCAATGACCAACGTTGGACTAGTTGCGAACGAAGCCGGAAGTGCAGAGACTTGATGGCTCGATCCCAACGCCGGTTTCAGCTGGGAAACATGAAACACCAGATGAATCTTCGAGTCAGGAGGTAGCTGCAAACGATATGCCACTTCTCCGATCTTCTCAACCACTTCAAACGGACCATAATAACGGGCTGCCATCTTCTGGTACAGTCTCTTTGCCACAGATTGTTGACGATACGGTCTCAGCTTTAAGAAGATCTTATCACCAGGCACAAATGACAATTCTCGCCTCTTCTTATCTGCATTATTCTTCATTCGTTCCTGCGCATAAACCAAGTTTGCCTTTATCTGATCCAACATCATATCGCGCTCCTTCAACATAAATTCGAGCTCAAAGTTGGTTGTGGATCCATCCTCATATCGCAAAAGCAGAGGAGCCTCTCTCCCAAATACCACACAAAACGGTGTTGCACCAATCGCTGTGTGGAAACTCGTGTTATACCACAGATCTGCCCAACTCAAGTATTTTGCCCACGTTTTTGGGTGAGATGAAGCAAAGCATCGTAAGTACGTTTCCAAGCAACGGTTGAGGACTTCCGTTTGGCCATCGGACTGTGGATGAAACGCCGTGCTATATTTCAGTCGAGTTCCCGCTTGTTTAAACAACTCCTTCCAAAACGAGCTGAGGAAAATTCGATCTCTGTCTGAAACTATAGACGACGGAAAGCCATGGATCCTCACTATCTCCTGTATAAACTTGTTTGCCACATCTACAGCTGTGAAAGGATGCTTCAAACGCAGAAAATGGGCAAACTTGCTTAATCGATCAACGAAAACCAAAATCACATTCACTCCATGCGAAACAGGTAAGCCTTCAATGAAATCCATTGAGAGATCTTCCCAAATACTAGTTGGTATCGGTAGAGGCTGCAACAAACCCGCTGGAGATAGTGTAGAGTATTTGTGTCTTTGGCAGATATCACATTCAGCGACAAACTTCTTGATATCTTTCGTCATCTTCCGCCAATAGAACATACTCTGGACTCTCTTCAAAGTCTTGAGAACTCCGGAATGACCACCCAGCACTCCCGTATGATATTCATGTAAAATCAACGGAATGTGTGACGAAGTCCGCGGAATCACTAGCCTCTGTTTAAACCTCAATCTTCCCGCAACCACTGTGAAACCCACTTTCTCTTCCAATCCCTCCTTCACACGTTGTAACTGAGCCTGAATCCCTGCATCTGCATCAATCTCTTTGAAAATGTCTTGCATTTGAAGGTTTGCAGGCATTGTCAAGGCTGCAAGCTGAGCCAACATCGATTGTTGATTTCCAGAAACAATTCTGGATAGACCATCCGCTGCTTTGTTCCCACGCCTGGTTTGAAAATAATCTCAAAGTTGTAACCGAGAAGTTTAGTCAACCACTTCTGATATTCCATCGAAACCTCGCGTTGCTCCAACAGAAATTTCAAACTCTTCTGATCTGTATGAACAAAGAACTTCCTTCCCAGCAAATAATGTCTCCACTTCTGAATAGCTAACACCACTGCCATCAGCTCTCTCTCATATATCGGCTTTATCTGTTCTCTGTCTGATAAACCGGAGCTGAAAAACGCAATTGGCCTTTGATTTTGCATTAGCACTGCTCCGAGCCCATAACCTGATGCATCCGATTCCACAATGAATGGTTCTGAGAAATTTGGCAGTGCCAACACCGGAGCTGTCATCATTGCATTCTTTAACTCTTCAAACGCCACTTGAGCTCTCGGAGACCATTCAAACTGGTCTTTCTTCAATAGATCTGTCAGGGGTCGTGCTATCGCTCCATAGCCTTTTACAAACTTCCTGTAATACCCCGTGAGACCCAAAAATCCCCTCAATTCCTTCACTGATCTCGGCACTGGCCACTTCTTCATAGCTTCTGTTTTTGAAGGATCTGTAGCCACACCGTTTGCCGAGATGATATGGCCCAAGTAATCGACCCGAGATTGACCAAACAAGCACTTTTTTCTGTTTGCGAACAATCGATGTTCTTCAAAAACCTCCAACACCGTCATTAAATGCTTGATATGTTCTGATACACTGCTACTAAATATCAGAATATCATCAAAAAACACCAATACGAAGCTACCCAAATACGGCCTTAAAATCTCGTTCATGAGTGCTTGAAATGTCGCCGGTGCATTCGTAAGGCCAAACGGCATAACCAAGAACTCGTAATGGCCATTTGAGGTTCTGAACGCCGTTTTCTCAATATCCGCTTCCATCATTCTGATTTGGTGATAACCAGCCCTCAAATCCAACTTTGAAAATACTCTAGCTCCATGTAATTCGTCAAAGAGTTGATCAATGACATGTATCGGAAATTTGTCTGCCACCGTGGCCTTGTTCAACGCTCTGTAATCAATGCAGAATCTCCAACTTCCATCTTTCTTTTTCACCAATAAGACTGGACTCGAGAAGGGACTCTTGCTCGGACGGGTCCCTGGTTCAAGCATCTGAGTCACCAGTTTCTCCATTTCTTCTTTATATGCATGTGGATAACGGTATGGCCTTACACTCACAGGGCCTACTCCAGGTAACAAGTTGATCGTGTGTTCTCTGCCTCGGATCGGAGGTAACTGCGTAGGTTCTGCAAACACGTGATCAAACCTTGTTAAGACTTCTTCCACTTCCTCCGGTATGTTGTCCGTCACTTCCACATTATTGACTTCAAAGAAATCCAAATCAAAACTCGCTAACTCCAAACTGTTGAGAGCGTGATTCTCCTTGAAAGACTTCCCTTCTTTCTGAAGAGCCGGGTCACCATAAAGAGTTATCAGTGAACCTTTGTACATGAAAGACATCTCATGCTTGTCCCACTCATGCTCGCATTTGCCCAATGTTCTTAGCCAATCGATACCTAAAATCACTTCTGCATTTCCCAGCTCCAAAACTACAAAATTCATCTCGAACTCATGAGATTGTAACGTTACTCCAACGTTTCTGCAAACTCCATGGCCATTGACAGTGATTCCAGTACCCAACAAGATCTCTAAACATCTGTTCTTCGTTGGTGTTAAACGAGTCTTGCTAAGTACGGATGGGTCAATGAAGTTGTGTGTAGCTCCACTGTCAATCATTACCACCACCTTGACATTATCAATCTCACCCCAGAGTTTCGTTACTGCAGGTGAATCCAAACCCAGGTACGATGATAATGACAATTCCATGAGTACTGGTTCTACATTTTCTTTATCCTCCATTTTCACCATCCAATCTTCCTCCACAATCTCAATTTCTTCATCATTTATCACCGTGAATACTTGTAACATCATGTTCTGGCACGCATGAGTTCTTGACCATTTTTCAGGGCATTTGAAGCATAGACCCAAGCGTTTCTTCTCTGCAATCTCTGCTGGTGTCAGTTTCAACATTCCACTGTAGTTTCTTCCTACACCATTTCTTCAAGGAGGTTTCCCAGTTTGACTTTGGGAATCCTTTGGTTTCTCCCCTGAATCACTGTTTGTGCTGCTACTGCTTCTTTGTGTACTGCAGTTGAGCGCAGATCGTAAGGGAAAGAAAGAGCGTCTTGGATTTGTTGCCTCGGCCATCGACTTACAGAACGCACTATCCTCCATTGAGATCACCGCATTGAAACAGTTCGTTAAACCCCTTGGTTTCTGCATCTTCAATACCTCTTTCATCTCCGTTTTTAGGCCAATGTAAAAAATGTGTTCCAAATTTTCTTCATCAATTCCTGTGACGATGGTAGTGAGCTCCTCAAACTCATTGACATAGTCTGCAATTGACCCGGTTTGCCTCAAGCTGAACAACCTCTTCCCTGGATTCTCCTCCATTTTCTGACTAAATCTCACAATCATCCTCTTCTTAAACTGAGGCCAATCTCTGAAAGGATCTCGCGACATTTCTCTGTTGAACCAATGAAGAGCTGGACCTTTCAGCGTAATCGAAAGCAGATCCAACCTATCCTCATCCGAGCATCGTCCCAATCTGAAAAATCTCTCGGCCAAGGAAATCCAAGTATACGGCTCTGATCCGTCAAGTTGTGGTAACTCAATTCTCTTCAACACCGCATTTCTACTTTCCAGAGCATTATTGATTCCCCGATAACCTATTGGTCTATGATCTCCAGGTTCCGGATGGTTTTGATTATGTACCTCACGCTCCGGAGGAGATGGCGTTGCGTAATTTCCCGGATTGTGGTTACTCGTGGATGGATTCCATTGATTCGCCGTCGGATTGCTCGGATTCGCCGTCGGATTGTTCTGATTCGCCACGATTCGAGTCATCATCTCCGTGAGGCGCGATAGATTTGATTGGATTTCCTCGTTCGTCTTCTTCTGTTGCTCCCAATTTTCCGCCATTGTCGCGACCGTCGCTGTCACAGACGCTAACGATCCGTGAAGTTCATCGGCGAGATCGTCAATTTTCCCATATTCGTCGTCTCGTGATCGCAAATCGCCGCACCAATTTTACCCATAAGTCTCCGTTACTTTCGACGTTATTGGTGCGGCGATCTTTGCGGACTAGCGGCACTTCGAATTGGGAAAAATCGACGACCTTGCGGCGGAATTTCACGGATCCACGGCGGATCTGACCGATCAACTCGCGGCGATGATGGAGAATTGGGAACACCAGAAGACGACGAACGAAACCGTCACGGAGCATTTCGATAAGATAAAGGCGACCATGTCGCAAATCATGGAGACCTTGGCGCGGATGGAGGCGAATCAGCGTTTCAATTCGGTTCACCGGAACAATATCACTTCACCGTCTGGTGTTCGTGAGGTGCGTAATCCTAATCAGTCGGAAACTGGGGAAAATCAGTCGTTAGGTTATCGGAAAGCTAGTAATGCTTTAGAAAATCAGAATGGTATGTCAAAGAAAATTGAGTTTCCAATTTTCGATGGATCATATCCGTATAGCTGGATTTCGCTCGCGGAAAGGTTTTTTCGTCTGGGAAATTACAGTGATGATGAGCGATTGGATTTGTTGTCGATGAACTTCCAAAGTTCAGTTCTGAATTGGTTTCATTTGGAAATTAAGAGAGAACCTTTTCGTGATTGGCTGCAATTCAAGCGACGAAGGATAGCACGATTTAGCACAACCAAGAAGCAGTCTCCATCAGCTGTGATTCTTAAAAAGGATTCAGTTTCAGAGATTGTTCAAGAGTTAAATCAGTATGTCTAACAGAATCAAACGGTGAAGCTCAATCAATGGTGACAGGAACGGACAAAGAAGAGACTGATCCTATCCAAGAAGAGGAATCACATGAAGCAAATACTACAAATTTGGTAACGACGTGTATTCCTTCAGCAGTGCATCTGCAGAGTGAGTTGCTTTCAAGCATAGAAGAGGATCATGAGGCCATACTGGTACAGAAGACGGCATTTCCAGTTGTGGATGAAGCTTATGCGAACATTGGGTACATGGACGAAAAAGCTGAACTGTTACAGACTTGGCTCTGTCTCTCAAAGGATAATGATGAACAGGAACTGCTTCACAGTGTTTTTAAACAGAACGAAGGGTTTAACACTAAGAAGAAACAAAGGAAGTGCTTCAAATCAAGGAGATTCAAGTTCAAAAAGAAATCCAGAACTCAAAAGGTTGAGAATTCAAACCACTGCTCATCAAACATCAATTGTTCTCATCAATGAAGCGTTGGAAGTATGATAGTTCTGTTTGGCATTGTTGGAGAAACAAGACTTTACGGAAATTCAAGTTAGAAAACCAACTGGAAAATACTGAGCCATATTCTACATGGGACTTAATGACAGGTTTGATGGGTTTTCAACAAGAGAATCAAGCTTTGTTGCTAGAGCAGAAACAGAAAATTGAGGAAGAAACTTATGAGAAAATTGGAGTTGCCTTGGAGGAATTACGATATGGTTTGGGAGTTGATTTTTGGAATACTCCGAGAGTAGAACAAAACCACGTATTTCAGACTGGAAAAGAGGTGGAGTTGGCTCAGGGTTCAGTGGATGTTAATGGCAATATAACTGCACACCACTTGGTTCAGAGGATCTGTAGTAAGAAGAAACAAAGAAGGTATCCTAAGACTTGGAAATTTAAGTACAAACAGGAGCATTCATGGGGAATTCTGCCTCAAAATGAACAACATGAACTCATGCGAAGCAAGAAGATTATATGTAAAATGAGGCTGAGACAGGACACATGGAGCAAGAAACAGTATTGTCAATTTCAAGGGAAGCCTGATATTGTTTCAAGTTCATCAAAAGCAGATGGTGCACCAGAATCAGCACAAGAGAACTGGAAAAGAACCATTTTTTATATGGCACATATAGAGAACAAAGCTATCCGTAATCAGTACGAGAATGATGGAGTTTCAGCAAGGAAACTGGTTCTTATTCAGCAAGGAATTGGTTGTGTTGCTAGATTAGTGTTGAGCTTATAACTGAAGCTAAAAAGGAAGATATCAATGAGGCTGATGCTGAGCTGGGGTTATAAGAGCAGAACGTCTTTGATTGATTCAGGTTTATCGAAATTTGGTTCAAGGTACTCTCCACCAAAAGCAGAAGCAGAGAAACGGTTCACAGTCTTGGCGCTTTAAGTTCAAAGACAGATTGTGCATCAGAATCAGAACAAGAAGACTAGGAATATAAACCTTCTCTATGTGTCACATATGGTGAATAAAGCTCTGTTACTATTCTGTGTTTTGAGGATTGAGACTTTGGAGTCGCAGAGCGTCTGATTCTCAGCTTGAGGACAAGCTGTTTTTCGAAAAGGGGGGTATTGATAAGTGATGAAGCTGACGTGGACCAATGAGAAGAAAGGAGGAAGAGAGCTTGCAGTTAGAGAATCGAAGAAGATTAAATAGATTCATTTTAGCTTCTTGTAGCATTATTGAGAAAATCAGAGAAATTGTGTGGGTGATTGAGAGAGAGATCTCTCTGTAATTCGGTGATCGCGAAGGCTTGTCTTCCGATCAATTTGGCCGTCGACTGTTATCGGAGAGTCTCCGTTACTTTCGACGTTGTAATTCTTTGTTAAGAGACTAATATCAGTTGGTATCTTAACAAATTCAATAATCTGAAGATCGCGTGTTCGATCCACGCTCACCGCACCAATTTGTTAAGCAACTGATTGTATTATCACTTAACAAAGTACAATTCCGATTAAAGCCAGTATCTCTCTGACATTCAATCGGATTCTCTCTTTGATTTGATGAACAAGCTCATCCAAATCAGAATTCTCTCAAGAACAATGTAACAAACTTTCTCTCTCAAATTTCTGGATAAGATGAGATAAAATGCAACAGACAAGTATTTATAGTGTGAGTAAAGAAGCTGAGCTTCACTTGTCCACGTCAACTTCTAAAATAGCCTCTTCTCCGTTTAGCTTCTCTCCTTCACTTCTCTTCTTTCTTCTCACATAGCGATTCAACGTCCTAACAATTTGTTAAGCAACTGATTGTATTATCACTTAACAAAGTACAATTCCGATTAAAGCCAGTATCTCTCTGACATTCAATCGGATTCTCTCTTTGATTTGATGAACAAACTCATCCAAATCAGAATTCTCTCAAGAACAATGTAACAAACTTTCTCTCTCAAATTTCTGGATAAGATGAGATAAAATGCAACAGACAAGTATTTATAGTGTGAGTAAAGAAGCTGAGCTTCACTTGTCCACGTCAACTTCTAAAATAGCCTCTTCTCCGTTTAGCTTCTCTCCTTCACTTCTCTTCTTTCTTCTCACATAGCGATTCAACGTCCTAACAGGTTATTACGAGAGCACACCACCGGAATCATGAGAAACGGACCGATTTCTCACCGGAAATCGATGAAGCTTTCCAAACGAATTTGAATCGCCAAATCGCCTTCGAAGAGCACCGGAGTAGTGAGAGAGAGGAGAGAGAACCGACAGAGAAAAATGAAGAAAAAAAGAGTTTTGTTCAGTCTCATTAAAGAGGAACCAATCAGCTCTTGCCACTTGGCACATAAACTTCGACGCTTCTCATGCTAAATAAGCATCGAATTCTCGTTTTTTTTTTTAGTTTTGATTTAAATTTCGCCTAAGCGCTCCACTAAGCTTTCCCCATTAAACATGCTCTATGGGGTGTGCGCAGCCCATCTCCAACAATAGTGTAAATCGAGAAATATATACCCCCAAAGTTTCCTGCAAGTAACATAACACAATGTTGGGTAAATCGGAGACTTGCAAACAGCGTAAACAGGTTCTTCGTCTTCGCTTGAAACGTATTCCTGAAGGCATTCAAATTTGTTGGCACTTTTTATCTTTGGTGTTTCTGTACGTACAAACAAATATCGAACTGTGTTACATTTCTCGAGCATGCTTTTATATATCAAATAGCATATAAATTTCCCACCAGACACCAGTTACAAATGACATGCAAGGTTGAGCCACGAAGATTAGTGTAACAATAATTAAACATGTGAATATATATATATATATATATATATATATATAAACAAAAAGAAGAAGAGTATATTGTACTGAAATAATATTTCAGTTCCGAAATAATATTTTAGTTCCGAAATATTAATGAGTACTAACTCTAAGATCTAATACCAAGTCTCACCCACTTTCAATTACAAACACATTACTGCTGGCAAACGTGGATAATATAATAAATTCTTTGGGTCAAAAATTCTATTTTTTTTAGTACTATCTATTTTTCTCGAGTTTAAACAATCTCGAATTCAACAATCATACTGCCATGTGAACCCGCGGCAGTAATCTTAGGAAGTTGAATTTGTGTTTGGTGTTTCTTTGTTGAGTAATTGATATACTAGGCTTTTATAGTTAACTTTTTGACCAATTCAACTTCAGGTTCATTTTCTTAGGTTTAGACTTTAGAGATCAATCTGTCCCTAAAAATGTGAATATATATATGAAAACACAAAAACAAAAACTAACATTTAATACGAAGAGAATGATTTGATATTAGTGTACAAAGAGAATCCTTTTTCTTGTGTACATGTTAGAAAGTGATTTTGTTCTATTATATTTGGATATCATCATATGAGTCATATCACATAGACAAGACACCTTCCAAGTATAAATACATATATTAAGTATCCAAAAACAAACTATTTCATTTAGAACTGTGGACAGTGGATTCAGCCAGACTTAAAGAAACATTTACCCCAAAAAAAAGGACTTGAGAAAACAAAAACCATATAGGCATATTATTAATAAAAAAAACAAGGATTCAAACTAAACATTCATGAAAAAACTTGCAGAAAGGAAAAGTCAAGACATGCCTTTTTTCACCTTTTCTTCTTTTGGACAAACACTCATGGGAACGAAGAAAAAACGGCGTTTGCTTGCGGTTTCTGTTAAAGGCTTACAGCTAGCAACTGCTAATTAAGCATTAGCGGATTTGGCATAGATAAAAGGAGGCTTGGGACAACGCTGCAAAAGTGACAAAGGCATTTAAGATCTTGGATTTCTTCTCCTTGGCATCTGCCGCTGTGCGCTCCCCTAAAGGCCCTGCATAAATAATGACACGCTGATGGGGGCATCGGCATCATGCAAGCATCGTGAACAGACGTTTCGTCTCCGATTGGAACGTATTCTTTAAGGCATTCATCTTCGTTGGCTTTTATCTTTTGGTGTTTTTTTTTTTTTGATAACTCTGGTATTCGGGCAGCCACATTCCCGACTATCCCCACAAGTGGGGTCCAGCGCCCCAACGGAAGGGATGTTAAATCTGTTGTGGCCGGGACTCGAACCCAGGTGGCGGGTACCTCAACTGAGGGTCCTTTACCACCGGGCCACAAGCGCCGGTTATCTTTGGTGTTTTTGTACAAGCAAATATCGAACTGTGTTACATTTCTTTATCAGAAAAAAAATTGTGTTACATTTTGCCAACATGTTTTTTTTTTATCATATAGTGTTCTCTGGTCCGGAGAAAATATAACTTTGCTAAGAAGAGAATATAATAACTTTGCCATTACATACAAATGGCATACTAGTTGAGGCACAGAAATTTAATACCAATAAAGCAACTGGATGTACATTTTATGGGATAAAATCATGTGGGATGCCTCATTCCACATAGATTCCACAAAATAGTTACCATTTGAATGGAATAAATCATAAATTTTATTCCATCAATTCAAATGGAATATGTGGGAATGAAGTGGAATCTAGTTAAAAAACATTCCACAACAAAAACCATCGTGAATAAGTGGAATAGAAAGGAATGGAAATAATTATAATGTTATATAATAATTTTATTTACTTTAAACTAAATTTATTTTCATTCCACTATATCCCTTTAAAGCATTACTATTCGGTGAAACTGGATGTATATTTTATGGGATAAAATCATGTGAAATGCTTCATTCCACATAGATTCCACAAAATAGTTACCATTTGAATGGAATAAATCATAAATTTTATTCCATCAATTCCAATGGGATATGTGGGAATGAAGTGGAATCTAGTTAAAAAACATTCCACAACAAAAACCATCGTGAATAAGTGGAATAGAAAAGAATGGAAATAATTCTAATGTTATATAATAATTTTATTTACTTTAAACTAAATTTATTTTCATTCCACCATATCCCTTTAAAGCATTACCATTCATGTTACATAAAATACTTGTATGCACATGTTTATTCCATTCCTTTTTTCTTATAACTACCATTATTCCATTTTTTTGTATCCCATTATTTCCATTCATCTCATTCATTATATTCCGAAAATTGATAATCAGTTGCAGCCAAAATACTTGTATGCACATGTTTATTCCATTGGTTTTTTCTTATAACTACCATTATTCCATTTTTTTGTATCCCATATTTTTCCATTCATCTCATTCATTATATTTCGAAAATTGATAATCAGTTGCAGCCTCAAATAGTTCAGTACTTGGGGTGCTATTTATCAATACTCGAGGACTTCAATAATCTTTAAATTATAAAACTCATGGTAAGGTACAGTTTTAAAGATTTTTCAATAGACACTATAATGTATTGAAATATATATTTTTTTCCATTAATGAGGGGGAGCACTAAGCCACTAACTCGAAGACTTTAATCCAAGTCTCACGCACTTTCAGTTAAAAAAAACATTACTGGCATTCTGGCAAACGTGGATAATATGATAAATTCCTTCAGTTCTACAAATTATATATTTTTCTCGAGTTACACTCTCAAGTCTCATGTGGAGCCATGTGCAGAAATCTCAGGACGTCAAATGTTGATATGCTTTGAATTTGTATTCTGTGTTTTGGCCGAGTGACCAACACATGGATATTTGTTTCAGTACAAATGTACAATTGAGTTACCATTAATCTTTTACTCAGAAACTGCAAGATTATAGTTTTAGGTTAAAATGAATTTGGATTAGTGATTTTTTTTCTTCCAATAAATACTCTTATTATATTAATCTCTGATATATTCTGAAACTTATAAATCAATTAATATATCAGAGTCCATTGTCTATAGAGATCGAAAGATCTTGATGGTAAATTTTCCCATATTACACAAGGAAGTTTCATGCTAGAGCTTTCTCCACTTCCGTGGTCTGCCTTGGTCCATCCCTTCATAAGAAAAATATCAAACTCTCCACAGTATTGCGAAAACTCTCAAGTAGTGTGCGGGAAGGAGTCAAAATCTGTAAATGACTTTGTTGAATAAGAATTAAACATTTAAAAGGCATAAAAATAAAACAAATAGGCGGCCGGATAGCTAAGTGACGTCCAAGCATCATGGACTTGATTAGATATGTTATTTGATGTTGCTCAAGCTACAAAGAGAATTCTGTTTCTTGTGGAAATGTCGAGAGTGATTTTTTTTCTTTCTCCTATTTGATATTTGTATATGATCATATGCGTCATATCACATGGAAACCTTTCAAGTTAAAATATTATATATCCACGTTCATTAGGAACTATACAAACGATTCTTTCGAAAATAAAAAAACTTGTGTCATTTTTTATATATATCACAAATATTGAAAAATTGTGGATTCAACAAGACTTGAGGAAAAAAACAAACAAAAGAGCCATTTTATTAATAGAACAAGGATTCAAACATAACAACACTCATGAAAAACTCGGATAAGAAAGGAAAAGTCAAGGCACGCTTTTCTCTTGGACAAACTGCACGGCACAGCACACTCACGGGAAAATGAAAAGTTAAAAATGTCTGCGTCTGCTTGTGTCTGCGTGTACAGCTAGCAACTGCTAATCAAGTATTAAGGATTTAGTTGTGAAATAAGGAGTGGTTGGGTTGCAATAGTCACAAAAGCATTGATAATCGGTTGTCTTATCTCTTTTGCATATGCCTCCTTTCGCGTCCCTAGTTCGCTGGCAAGTCAGAGAACACAGTGATGAAAATGGGTAACCCGGAATCCTACAAAGAGTGAAATCATCGAAATCGCCAAAGCCTGCATCGTATTCCCGAACGCATTCCTGTACCTGGGCTTTTATCTTTGGGGTTTCTGTAAATAAATATTGAATATTGTGTTAAATTTCTCGACCATAGTTTTTTTCTTCTAAATAGCACTCTGATCGGGAGAAGATATAAACTTTCCTTGTTACGTACATATGACAAACGTGTTGAGCACAAAAGATTAATAACACTATTGAACATGAAAATGTAGTATATGCTTACCAAAGAGCACAAAGAAGAGAACAAACAAGAGGGCTAAGATGGAAACAGACTTCATTGCCTTTCGCCTTTCAGTTTACACTTTGTAATATTTTTTGTTGGTGAGAATTGTTCGGTGCTTGCGGTGCTATTTATCGGTAACTCGAGGCCTTTGAGACATTAAATAATTTTTACAAATTAAAAGACACATGGCCTGGTGAGGTTCAGTTCTTAAGATTTTTCTAATATACATTATAATGCATGTATTGAAATTTTCATTTCGGAAATATTTTTGTTATTTTGTTCATTAATGAGGGTGAGCACTAACTCTAAGCAGACCTAATACCAATCTCACACACTATCTATTTAAAAATATTACTAGCAATCATGAATATTTACAAATCCTACTACTTTTTCTGTTTCAAAATATAAGGGGTTTTAGAGTTTTTTGTTTGTTTTATAATATAAGAGATTTTAAAGTTTTTATACAAAATTAAACATGTTTTTGTTACTTTTGATTATTTATATTATGCAGATTTAATTTAATTTTCATTGGTTGAATTTTTTTGAAATTGATGATAAAACATATTTTATTTCAAAAAGTATTAAAATTAAATGACTTATTAATCTATGTGCAAAAACCTTAAACTCTCTATATTATAAAACAGATGACGTATATTTTTCTCGAGTCACACTATCATGTGTGAACCGACAGAGCAACCTTAGGAAATCAAATGTTGATATTCTTTGAATAATTAATATGTGTTCTTGGCCGATTGATCACGACCTACCCATAAACCCCTATTATAAAACAGATGAAGTATATTTTTTATCCAGTCACACTATCATGTGTGAACCAACGGAGGAAATCAAATGTTGATATTCTTTGAATAATTAATATCTGTTCTTGTTTTGGCCGATTGATCACGACCTACCCATAAATTTTTGAGATGTATTTTTTTAATATAATTTGAGTTGTGTTAAACTGTTGGTGGTTTTAGGTGTAATATAAGCATGTTGGGCCGGCGTGTTACATTCACGTTTCACTCGGAAACTACAAAATTCAAGTTTTAGGTTTATGTTTTCTTTTTTTGAACCTAAAGGATTAAAGAAAAATTTCTCTATAAATTTGTTTTATTATTGGAAAAGCAATATAATTAGTTGAGGTAAAAAGTTGATGCAGTTGATTATAAAACAAATGCTTTCTTGCTGTTTGCTTAACTTGTTTCTCTGCTTGCTTTCTTGCTTCTTTGCTACTTGATTTTGTAAGTGTCCTCACTTACTCGCACACTAAACCTAATTAACTAACTTATCTGTCTAGCATGGTGTTTTTTCAAGTTATCGTTGTACACTTATGTTTATGTTACTTTAATTTTTAGCTCGTTTATCTTGCGATTAGCATTATTATCTGCCAATTCCTATCATTCTTTTGTTAGCTCGCATACTGATCTAACTATCTTTTTGGCATGATTTTTTCAAGTTTTCATCGTTCAATACAGATAATTACTTAAGTACTTATTACATTAGAGTTTACTTATTTCTGCGATTAGCATTATTATCTGCTACATTCTATCTTTTTTTTTTTTTTTTTTTTTTTGTATTAGAAGCAACTGAGACTTGAGAGATTTTTTAGGGGATCAATTTGTAACATGTTGTATGGATGAAAACTTCGATACAATGACATATATGTACCAAACTCTTTATATATAATAAAGCAATAATTTTGTTAAAGGTTTCTAATATTACGAAAAATAGAAAAGAGTGTCCGATCTCAAACTTTTGAATTTCTGCCCATTACGTTTTGTTACGATTTATGATTTTACGATCAAAAAAGTTACTTGGAAATACGTTCAAAATTAACCTGTTGGATATCCGTCAAATAAATTAACAAATACCTTTTTTTTTCATTTAAAAGAATAGAGTTGCCGACAAAAAGAGAAAACAAAAAAAAAGTGTTAAAACTTAATTTCCCACCTATTCGGATTACCTTTATAACAAAGTGGTGTGTGACATTACCACCACAACATAACCGGTCCATACCGGATTTGGGAGCGTTTCAAACTCTTCGGAACGTGGCACCCGCTTTTCTAAGATCGTCAAGTAGATTGTTGGTGGTTTTGATTGTGATCACACGGATGAGATAAGAAATCGATAAGAAACCGCAGCGAATTAAGAAAAGAAGAATGCTGAAAACGTTGCTCCATAGCCACCTTCGACCCAACCATTCCTTGTCCACCACTACATAAATTGTATTCTTGTCGACTATTCCGCAACGTTGCCTTGCACAAACGTTCCTGTTTTACGTAGTCTGGCTCCACTTTCAAACTACCCTCCAACACATTACCATCAGTTTCTTTGTCTTATATTTTGCCTAAGCAAGAGATCTAATACAAATAAATCCACCCAAAAATGTACAAAAATAATTGATTCTTGTGAGGGATATAGAGATCAAGCTTTTTACCAAAATATTTTGATGGTTTTCATCGATAGTTAGATGTATCGGGATAGCTCCATACTCCATAATACACAAGGAAGTTTCATGTTAGAGCTTTCTCCACTTCCGTGGTTTTCCTTGGTCCATCCTTTTTCAAAACCCTTTGTTGATTTTTTTATTTCATAAGAAAAATATCAAACTCTCCACAGTATGGCTAAAACTCTCAAATTATAGTTCGGAAAGGAGTCAAATCTTTAAATGTCTTTGGTGATAGTGAAGTCTAGCTACAAAGAGAATTCTGTTTCTTGTGGAAATGTCGAGAATGATTTTTTGTTTTTTCTCCTATTTGATATTTGGATATGATCATATGCGTCATATCACATGGACACCTTTCAAGTTAAAATATTATATATCCACGTTCATTAGGAACTATACAAACGATTCTTTCGAAAATCGAAAAACTTGTGTCATTTTTTATATATATCACAGATATTGAAAGTTTGTGGATTCAACAAGACTTGAGGAAAAAAACAAACAAAAGAACCATTTTATTAAATAGAACATGGATTCAAACATAACAACACTTGCGAAAAACTCGGATAAGAAAGGAAAAGTCAAGACACGCTTTTCTTTTGGACAAACGGCACGGCACACTCACGGAAAATGAAAAGTTTTAAAAGTCGGCGTTTGCTTGTGGCTGCGTGTACTGTGTACAGCTAGCAACTGCTAATCAAGCATTAGCGGATTTGCTTGTGGCTTATGCTGCAAAAGTTACAATAGCACTGCAACCCTTCTCTTGTTGTTAAGCACATGCCGCTTGTCGCGTCCCTAGTTTTCCGGCAAGTCACAGCGCAGGGGGATGAAGATGGATAACCCGGAATCTTACATAAAGTGAAACCATCGAATTCGGCAGCGCTAGCTGGAACGTATTCCTGAAGGCAATTTTCATGTAGCTGGGCTTTTATCGTTGGTATTCCTGTAAACAAATATCGAATTGTGTTACATTTCTCGACCATACTTTTTTTCTTTCCAAATAGCAATCTGATCGGGAGAATATATAACTTTCTTTTTTACGTACAATATGACAAACGAGACGCACCAAAGATTAATAACACTATTAAACATGAAAATACAGTGTATATGCTTACCGAGGAGCACAAAGATGAGAACAAACAAGAGGGCTAAGATGGAAACAGGCTTCATTGCCTTTCGCCTTTCAGTTACACTTTTTTTTGGATAAAGGGTTTTCTTTCAGTTTACACTTTGTAATATTTGTTGGTGAGAATGGTTCGGTGCTTGCGGTGCTATTTATCGGTAACTAGCTCGAGGCCTTTGAGATCTTCATTAAAAAATTTAAAAAATTAAAAGACACATGGTGACTTAGTGAGGTTCAGTTCTTAAGATTTTTTTAATATACATTATGATGCATGTATTGAAATAATTGTTCAGTTCCGAGATATATTTTTGTTATTTTGTTCATTAATGAGGGTGAGCACTAATTAACTCTAAGACGTAATACCAAGTCTCACACACTTTCTATTTAAAAATATTACTAGCAAACGTGAATATAAACTCTTTCAGTTTTACAAATTCTATATTTTTTCTCGAATCACACTATCATGTGGAGCCATGTGAACCAACCTTAGGAAATCAAATGTTGATATGCTTTGAATAATAAATACATGTTTTCTGTGTTTTGGCCGATTGATCACGATCAACACATAAATTTTGATTTTGCATTTTTTTTTATATAAATTGAGTTGTGTTAAACTTTAGGTTTTGCTTCAGGTGTAGATTCATGTTGGGCCGGCGTGTTACATTCACGTTTCACTCGGAAACTACAAATTCAATTTTTAAGTTTTATGTTTTCTGTTAGAACCTTAAGGAGTTTTAGTCGATGATCAGTTAGGATTAAAGAAAATTTTCTTTGTAAAGTTGTTATGTTATTTGAAAATAAATTTTTTTGTTTTTGTTTTTTAGTGAATGTTAAATTTATTCAACCAAAAAAAACTTTGTACAGAAGTTTTGTTTTGTACTTTAATCTGAAAGAGAAGCAGAAAGTTGATAAACAGAGCCACAGAAGTGATACAAAAAACAGAGATGGTAAAACAGGGCCTATAAGGTGTATCGCAGTAAGAATAAGTTGATACGATCCGATGCAGTTGATTATAAAACAATGCTTAATGCTTTGTGTCTTGAAAAAACTCTTTCACTATGTTATGACCCGCGCGGTGATATTTTAGTTCAATTTTATTTTAGCCCAAATTGTATCTTTTAATTTTTCGCATTCAAAACTTCTGGTGAACACGTCAAAATTACATTATCGGAGCTTGGTGTAAATAAGGTATCAGGTATGGCTGGGAAAATGCATGTTTATGGTTGTTAAATTGATTGACCAAATCTGTTTTGACCGATGCATGAATCTTTTCACCCTATCACCACAACAATTTTGTTTATTAGTTTAAGCAAGTATTTAGTTATTTAAGAACTAAAGATTGGAAGAAAACAGAATATAGAAAACTCACTTTTGCATCCATCTCAATGCAGCAGGGTATTGTCTCCAAAGACTTATGATATTTTCCTCGATTTTCCACATTTATTTGAAATGTTTCAGATACGTGATTGTGCTAAAGGAAAACATCGTGTAAAAAACTAAACGTTGGTACTTGTAAGTGATAATTCAAGATGATGAGAGCAACTCATGTGAAAGTGGTTCTTATATAGTCATTGGATTAAGCTTTACTGCATTCACTCGAAGAATCGAATCTCACTTACCAACTTGCTAGAACAATCACGTGTAATACAGTTTCCATTAACATCCCCATTATGGAGAACTGCTACCAATTAGCTCCTAATTAAATGCCAATAACAATTAACAATCATGATTGAAGAATGCCAATAATAATTAGCTCCTATACTTATGTTTGGTATGGTAATTACTTTCTTCCCTTAATTAAATCTTATATATAATGAGAGGATAACTCTCTCCAGAGAGTGACACCTCAACATTTTAACTTCATTCTGGAAATGCCATGTGGCATCTCCTTACTAAAAAAATTTATACTTAATGGCCTGGTCATTTCACGGACCCGACGACCGAACCGAAGTCGACTCTAAAAAACCGGTTCGGATCCGTGACTATTACTCTATTGGGTCTGATTTTTTTTGGACCCATGAGTGTCAAGGTCGGTTTTAACCCAAAACCCAAAACCCAAAAGTACCAAAAAAAATTAGTTATTTTATATTATTACTCATATTAAAAGAAATAAAAAGAGTAAAAATATATATATTGGGCTTAATGTTCAAGAAGCCCAACAATAACTATTAATGTACAAATGAGATTTTGTTCTTATATTTATAGAAGAAAACTTCTTTGCTTCACTTGCTTTGTTTCCGATGTGGGACAAAAGTAAAAACAAGAATTAAACATTATAATTTATCCCACATCGAATTTATATGATTGGAAAACTCATAACTTCTTCTATATAGATTAATATATTTTGATTCAATAATCACATGCAGAAAACATATTATAATAAATCAGAAAATCGATATATTTTCAGAGTTTTGCATTTAAATTTTTGTTTTCACAGGTTTTGGGATAATGATTGGATTTTTGGTATAAAAAACCCAAAAAACTGACCCGAATGAGACCCCAAAATCAGACCCGAATAAGAACCGAGGATCTAAAAAAATAGTCCCGGACCAATCCAAACCCGACATGAAAAACCCGAACCCGAACCCACTATTGCCTCTTCACACTTCATCTTGAAGCCGAACCGCCATGATTGGACCAATCAGAGGCAAACTACCTAGAACGCAATAAAATGTATAGGAACCTTAATTACCATAATCGCTTTCATCCAATAACTTATAACTTTTTTTGCTTTTCTTTTACCATAAAATGTATTGTTTTGCTTTTCTTTTTTATCAGACCGGCGAATCATTTAATCATATCAACGAAAGCGATGCCGGAGAAGGAGAAGGAAAAAGATCCACAACAAGAGATTAAAGAAGAGACTAATCTGTTGCTTGATGATTCTCATCCCTACAGTGAATTGAGGCTGCGGAAAGTGACGGCGAGGGTGCGGAAGAAGAGATCCATTTGTATAAGTGTAGAAAAGGTCTGATCGATGTATTCAAATCTCGGTGGTTGGTAGCAGAATCAGCTCGAGGTTCGATCTATTCTCAAGACTACTCTCTTGCTCGATGATTCTCACCCCTATAGTGAATTGAGGCTGCGGAAAGTGACAGAGACGGTGCGGGAGATGGAGATCCATCTGTATAAGTGTGGAAAAGGTCTTATCGATGCGTTCAAGTCGAATCTTGGTGGTTGGGAGCAGGATCAGCTCGAGGTTCGAACTATTCTCGAGAAATATAGATTAAAATCCATCTTTGCTTTCAACGTTTACAAATGTCGCTTCGAACTATTCTCGAGAAATATGGTTATTTATCACCCAAAATAAAAAAAATATATCCATAACCCAAAAAATACTCAAAAATCCGAAAAAAAATATTTGTAAATACTGGAAATATATCTGAAAATCAAAAAAGAAATTGAAAAACAAAAAAACTATTATTATTTATAATATCAAAAATTATCTACAATATCTATAATTCAAGTAATTTGGGTGTCCGGATTACCCAATATCCATATTACCAATACCCATGGCTATTAAATATTTACCCAATGGATGATTTGCTATATATCCAAATTCAATCAGGTACGGGCATTTTGGGTCGGTACGGTTTAGATTTTGGAGAAAGAATAAAGAGGTTCTACTCCAGAGCTGCAGAAATAGGAACTGTTGAGACGTCATGAGATGTCATGGAGAAGGCTCGTGGGTAAGAGAAACCTAGGGTTCCAATGTCTTGATGCTCACGCAAGAGGTTGTGTGAAGCATAATGAAGAAGACATTACTCTTAAAGAGACAGAGTCTACAAGTTCAAGGAAGCAACTTAGAGTTAGACCGAAACTCAATTAAGGGGAGTGTTGGAACATAATTGAGTTTGTTGATGTCTTTTAGTAACCGTTTGACGGTTTGCTTTGGTTAGTTTTAGTAAAGAGACACAAGTGTGAAGCGACACAACTATTGTCTTGTTGGAAATATATACTTCTCTAGTTTACGGGTTGAATTTACAGCCAATAAAAAATAATTCTAAATTTGAATTCAAATGTTATCCCCTATATTATATTATGAACAGAACGATAAATATTTGTTTCCTCGTCACATATTCATAAAGCATGTATATAAAACCTTCACCCTATTTTCTTTTATAAAATCCAAATATTTAGAAAACTTTGTATTGCATGTATGTTTGAACATGACATATTATGAGCTACATTTTGTATATAAACGCAAAAGTAAGTGAAATAATTAATATATATGTTTTTATTGTAAACAGCTTATTTGAACTTAACAAATCACATAAAGGTTATATAATATAGACCAACGTGAAATTTTGTTCTTATGAAAATCCCTTGTAATAAAAATATATTTTCATATGTTATTATAAGTAAAGGCAGAATAATTCACTTACTTGCTCGAAGTGTAATAAATGTCATTCGATATATTATCTATATTAGTAATATTTAGCATACAAATAAATAAGTCAAAATAATTCCTATGGCATAGCTGTAAATATTCTAGTAAAGAGAGTCTTATTTTAAATGAGCTTGATAGTGAGGCAAATGATGACACCTCATGACACAATTGAAAATAACACATAGAATAAATGTTGTTTTTATAAAAATCTGCTCTTTTAATATAAGGGATTTCCGAATTATTATTGCTCCATATATCTTATACAGTATATTATTGCTCCATGTATCTTATACAGTATATATACAGTGATCTCTCCTCTTAGAGTGTCCACATCAGCAAAAGAGAAATCAAAAACATTTACACCAGAATAAATAAATTAATTAGTTTACTCACCCTTATATTATTATCTTTTACTAATATAAATTTATGATTTAACAAAAAGCATCTATAAAAAAAAATAACTAGAAAGCAAACCCTTTAACAAAATATATATAATATAGCACACAAAAATATAAACTAAACAAATAAATAGAGATTAAATGAATATGTTAGAAGAAAAAATATTTATTTACATAAGGTTGAAGTTCAAAAAATATGACTAGAAATAAGAAAACATAATACCACATTTAAAATAGTAAATGAATTAACATTCATTTTGAAGATTTACAAATTACTAAAAATATAGAAAATTATAAGTTTATTTGTAACAGTATAGTATACTCAAAACTTTAAAAGTTTTTACTACAAATAAAAAGACTCATTTCTCAAGATAAAATACATGTAGACTTTAGAATGTCTTGGAATCATGATTAACATATTTTATGTACAAAGTTGTGTTAAAATTTGAACTGATTAGCTTTCTTCAGTTATTTTTGTTCTTGCTCTAAAGTCAACAATAAGTATATGCACTTAATTAATCAAATACAAAAGAATGCATAAAAGATTAAAAAAATGAAATTATGTTACATGTGAACAAAGAGATAAAAAATCAGTGTTACATGTAAATGAAGAGATAAAAAAATCTTTAGTTGTTGATACAAAATTAAAATGATTATACTTATGTTTTATCAATTATTTTTAGGGTAAGTTGGTTTAATAATTACTAAAAAATTTCTTAATTTGAAAACTAACCCTGGTTTTTAAATTTTTGAAAACTAACTTTTTTAATAAGTGAAAAGACAAAGAACCATTATCATGTTCTATTAATAATGAAAAAAAAAATCTTATTTCATTTAGATATATATAAAATTTAGATATATATAAGATATTTTCGAAAATTCGTTTATAGATTTTTTAATAAATATTTTAAAATACACATGTTATTGAGTGAGTTGGTTTAATATTACTAAAAATTTTCATAATTTGAAAACTAACCCTGGTTTTAAAATTTTGAAAACTAACTTTTTTAATAAGTGAAAAGACAATAAAACCATTATCATTTTCTATTAATAATGAGAAAAAATTTTATTTAATTAGATATATATTATATATTATATATATATATATATATATATATATATATATTTTCGAAAATTTTAGATATTTTTTAATAAATATTTAAAAATACACATGTTATTTTGAAAATATATTCATATTTATCATAAATATGAATCAAACTCTATAAATATATACACATAAATATCATTTTAGAACAAAGAAAAACTCACACTTCATTCTTAAAAAAAAATGATGGAATGTGTTAAAGTTAACTCATTCTATATTTATGAGATGTTAAATTTCAAATAAGATCTTCTAAATATCTTTTTGTTTTCTTGTTGTAATTTTATTCAGATTTTATGGGAATATCCCACACAAGTTTTTTTCTTCTTTATTTTGTTATATAAAATAAAAATAATTGTTTATAATTATCTTTAGAATAACAGATTTTTTTTTTACAATTTAAATAATTTTTAAATAAGATAAACGAATTTTAAAACAATTTTAATATCTAAAAAAATAAGGGTATTTTAGTAATTTTGAATATTAGAAAGATTAGTTTTCCAACACTTCAAAAAGAGGGTTAGTTTTCAAAATATGATTAATTTAGGTAATATTGGTTCAAATTTCCTCCATGTTATTTTGAAAATATATTCATATTTATCATAAAAATGAATCAAACTCTATAAATATATACACATAAATATCATTTTAGAATAAAGAAAAACTCACACTTCTTCATTCTTAAAAAAAAATGATGAAATGTGTTAAAGTTAACTCACCTTCTATATTTATGACATGTTTTTTTGGTAATGCAACGGGAGACAGAGGCCTCCCGTGGTTTTATTAAAAAAGTGGAAACTATTACAATATCACATCTCTCGGTCTTGTGACACCTAAATCCTCACTCAATAACAAATCTAGAGATGGAGGGACAGAATCAAACAAATGAAATCCAAATGGTAGTGAAAAAGCATGGTTCGCCAGCCCGTCTGCAAGCCGGTTCGCCTCACGATAGATATGTGATACACGGACTGTCCAGTCCTTTGATAAATAGCCCTGGCACAGATGCACCAGGAAAGATAAGGGATATGACTCGTTAATCCCTTTTTGTGATATATTTATGACATGTTAAATTTCAAATAAGATATTCTAAATATCTTTTTGTTTTCTTGTTGTAAATTTTATTCAGATTTTATGTGAATATCCCACACTGAAGTTTATTTTCTTCTCTTTTTTTTTGTTATATAAAATAAAAATATTTTTTTTTATAATTATTTTTAGAATAACATAGTTTTTTTTACAATTTAAGTTTTTAAATAAGATAAACGAAATTTTAAAACAATTTTAATATCTAAAAAATTGAGGGTATTTTAGTAATTTTAAATATTAAAAAGATTAGTTTACCAACATTTTAAAAGTGGGTTAGTTTTCAAAATATGATTAATTTATGTAATATTGGTCCAAATTTCATCTTATTTTTATTGCTAACAGGTTTATATTAAAATCACGCGCAACACGCAGGTGTATAAATCTAGTTTTATTAATGAGTGAGCATTAATTTGAAGACCTAAGTCTCACACACTTTCAACTAAAAAACAACTAGAGTAAAATAGTTGATCATTTTGTTCCAAATGGTTAATTTTAACGTAGCCAAGTAAACACATACGAAGCCCAGTAGTATAGAAAAAAAAAGAAAAAAAAAGAAGAAGCATAATTTGAATATTGGGAGCAAAAAATTTCGGTTCCTAAATTAATACAAACAAGTTGATTTATAAATTTATTTTATGAATTGTGATTTTTGTTCTACCAATAATTTTTATTGAGTATTTGGCATAAAAGATACTCCATCCGTTTCAAATTAGTTATCGTTTTGGGAAAATGTATCTGCAATTATCTGAATGTATTAAACTCAAAACATATCCACTTACATTCAAATAATTCCAGATACATTTTCCTAAAACGACAACTAATTTGAAACGGAGGAAGTAGTCCTTAAAACCCAGCGATATTAATAAGCGTAAATTTAAATAATTGGTTATTAAATGGTAATCATAATTACTCATAAACTTTTTTTCTTGCGATCATAATTTTGAGTTTATGAAAACGATGTCGTGTCCAAGTGGATTTACGATACAAAGCAAAACAAAACTTGGTTTGTAATGGCCATTTCGTCGTTGGTCCAAGGGCTTTTACATTCATACAAATTTGAAAACTCATGTTCAATTTAATGGAAATGGAATAGTAGCCGTAGAGGATCTTCCGCTTCGCTTCTGTGTCTTCTTCTCCATCTCTCCATGAAACAGTAAGCTTTTGAATCCAAATTTTTGTTTCCGGGCGATTTATTTGTGAAACAGTACTAAGATCAAATTTTGTTGTGCTTTATTTTTCAAAAAGTTTTTACCGATTGGGTGTTTGTATTAGGTTTTTTTTTTACTCATATCGCCCTATCTAGCTTGTTTCTTCATATATTCTTGACCATGATTTTCCACGTCCCATACTAGCAACTCTTTGGCAAAATATTTTTCCTTACATGTATTCATCTTTGACACATGACTTGCTTTAGTCGACTCTCTTAAGATGTTCTTGTCGCTATTAATGACCTTTTGCAGAACGAGCTCACTGTACAAATCTCGGGCAAAACTGTTTGAGATGGCAGAATTTTTGAAGAATTACACGTTGAACTCAATTACAAAAAAAATAAGGATTTAAGGTAACACTTCATCACTTACTACTCATGAAGGACACTGTATTTGAATCCTACTTTAGTTTCATCTTCAAGTTTCTTAATTTGAACCCTTGTCCCATGTATTTGTCTTCAATCTTTTCTCCTGCTTAGTCTTTTGCATCTCTAAGAAATTGTGTTGCCTATTTCAGGTCCGTCAAGAACTGAGCTATGAAATGGCTATGAAACAACCTCTACAATGTTTTTGAATTAAATCATTTTGTCTTGTATGTGTCTTTCCTATTTTATTTATTTATATTATTCTTAGTCGTTTGAGTCTGTTATTTGTAGTTTGAAGGTACATTCTCTTTTTTTTTTTTTTTTTTTTCTTGTTATTTGTAATCGTTTTCGTAGGTGTAGTTATCTTGGATTTTTTTCACCCTCTCACGATGAAGAACAGTTTCCAAAAGAATAACAATTCGTGAGAAAAACCAAGAACTAGAGCCAGAGCAGTAAGGTAAATTAGTTATTCATATCAGACATTTGGCAAATGCTTGTTCTACTTAAGCGTTCCAATCCTCAGAATTGATCTTTTGATTTATCTTATACTCTTAGGTGAAAACAGTAGAAATAATACACTCAGTAGCATATACTCCACCATGATGATGTGTTGGCCAAAATCTGATTAGAGAATAGACCGTCTATCCTTGGCGTCCACATGGGTGGGTGCATGCATACATACATTCATGCATTCATGGGTGCATGCATACATTCATTCATGCATATATGAGTTCATTCGTGCATTCATGCCTACATGTTCATGCATATTTTCTTCTTTGATTATTTGCTTTGGTTATTGCTTCCTTCATCAATTCTTTGCCTTCATGCTTAACCGATTTACTTGCTTCCTTGTTTCCTTGATTGCCTCATTTTATTTGCATTGCTTGCTTGCTTTTTTGTTCCTTTGATTTCTCGGTGCTTTTTGATTCTTGTTTTATTCATTGCTTGCTTCTTTGCTTTTTGGTCTGTTTAGTGCATTTGTTGCCTATGCTTCTTTGATTTTTCTGTCTTAGTTCACTGATTCTTTGCTTAACTTGTTTCTCTCCTTGCTTCCTTGCTTCCTTGCTACTTGATTTTGTAAGTGTCCTCGCTTACTCGCACACTAAACCTAACTAGCTTATCTGACTATTTTTAATCAAGTTATCATTGTACACTTATGTTTATGTTACATTAAATTTTAGTTCGTTTATCTTGGGATTAGCACCATTATCTGCTAATTTCTACCTTTCTTTTGTTAGTTAACTTGCATATTATCTAATTATATTTTTGGCATTATTTTTCAAGTTTTCATCGTTCAATACAAATAACTTAAGTATTTCTTACATTGAAGTTTACTTATTTTTGCGATTAGCATTGTTATCTGCTAAATTATATCATTTTTTTGTATTAGAGATTTGAGAGATTTTTTGGGGGATAAATTTGTAACATATTGTATGTAACTTCGATACAATGACATTATGTACGAAACTCTTTGTTTATAATGAAGCAAAACTTTTGTTAAAGGCTTCAAATATTACGAAAATAGAAAAGAGTGCCCGATCTCAAACTTTTGAATGTCTGCACATTACGTTTTCTTACGATTTTACGATAAAAAAAATTACTTGGAAATACGTTGGAAATCCGTCAATTAAATTAACAAATACTTTTAAAAAATAATAAAAGAAAAGAGTTGCCGACAAAAAAAAATGTTAAAACTTAATTCCCCACCTATTCGGATTTCCTTGATAAGTGGTGTGATATTACCACCACAACATAACCGGTCCCTACCGGATTTGGGAGCGTTTCAAACTCTTCGGTACGTGGCACCCGCTTTTCTAAGATCGTCAAGCAGGTTCTTGGTGGTTTTGATGGTGATCCAACGGATGAGCCAAGAAACTGGCGGCAAATTAAGAAGAGAAGAAGGCTGAAAACGTTGCTCCATAGTCACCTTCGATCCAACCTTTCCTTGTCCGCCACTACATATTCTGTATTCTTGTCGACTCTTCGGCAACCTTGTCTTGCACAAACGTTCCTGATCTACGTACTCTGGTTCCACTTTCCAACTTCCCTCCAACACTTTCATGAATTTAAATTTCTTTGTTGTATATTTTGCCTAACCAAGAGATCAAACACAAATAAATCCACCCAAAAAAATAACAAAAAAAAAAGTTTTTTTTAGGGATATAGAGATCAAATCTTTTTACCGAAAGATTTTGATGGTTTTCATCGAAAATTAGATGTATAGGGATAGATCCAGAATCCCCAAGGAAGTTCCATGTTAGAGCTTTCTCCACTTCCGTGGTCTGCCTCGGTCCATCCTTCTTCAAAACCTTTGTTGATTTGTTTTCCTTCGTAAGAAAAAAAGATCACACTCTCAAGTATTGCTAACACTAATGTTTAATTCAAATCATATAACGATAAGAAGAAGAAGTAAAAGAAACCAGAAGTTGGCGTCCGGCTTTGTCCTCTCTGAAGAATGGTAAGTTGTTTGGGTTAGTGAACATCTCATAGACTGCTTCAGGAGGCAACCCTATTGTAAAATGCATGTTCATATGACAAATACCCTTTTTTGTTTCCACCTTCAAACATTTAAAAAAGTTGTAAAGAAAAGTTTAAGGTTCTTAAAATAATTTATTCTACCAATTTTTGTCATAAGCCGAAAAAATATTGAAATATTGTTTTGATGATTTGGTCTAATTACCTTCACCTTGGCAGGAGCATCATACCATGGATGCTTCTTCTCAGCAGCCCTCCAAAGTTTTGATTCCTTCCTCACCTCAGCTAAGTCATAATATTTAGGATCTACCGCAAACACATGATTAGATTCAGGGCTCTTGGACTCTGCCTACAACAAACAAAATATAAGCATGATCCAATTTCTATACCTAACTTATTGATTTAACTTCCAAGAGTTCTCTGATTGATGGAAATGAAACTGACCTGAAGAGGCTGTTCACTGTTCAGATTGATCCAACCTCCAAATCGACCCATTTCTCTCTAAAAATTTAGTACCACAACTTAAATGATACTATCCTAATCAGAATAAGGGAAAATGACGATACAAAGTTTGTATGTATTATGGTTTGACGAATCTGAGAAGAATGGTGTACGTAATGGTTTAACTTTGTATGTATAGATTGTGTAGCGTTTCATGTAGCGTTTGTAATGGTGTAATGGTGTAGCGTTTGTATGTATTATCAAGCAAACTTTTGCTTTCAGAATTTCATTTTAAACGGTTTAACTCTGTAATGATGAGACCCGACCCAAGTCCGATGAAATTGTTTTTTTGAAGGGGAAAAAAAGCAAGAGTTAGCGTCATCGATAAAATCGAAATATAATGCGTCAAAAATACAAAATAGTATGGCGATACGTGTGCGTTGGAATCGAAGGATTACATTTTTGCACAAACATTTTCAGAACTGTGATTTAATGCAAATAATATAAATTTACATATGGTGTACAAACTTCAAAATCGAGATTTGGCATCATCAAGAAAATCAGAATTTTGTCTTTATGACGTCATTATCTAGTGATCTCACTAATTCTCTCGCATTGTCGCACTCGTATATTGAAGCATTTGGAGCAGAGTTTTTGTGGTCTTGATGGTGGTATCACGAATGTACCAAGAAAGCGGTGGCAGATTAAAAGGAGAAGAGGGCTGAAAGTATTGGTCCATTATCACTTTTGATGCAATCTTTCCTTGTCCACCGCTACATTTTCTGTATTCCTCTTGACTCCTTGGTAATCTTTGCTTGCACAAACGTTCTTGATCTACATATAATGGCTCCACTTTATAGCTACCCTCAACACTTTCATGAACATCATTTTCTCTTTCTTATATTTTGCCTGTCCACAACAAGCAAGAGGTCAAATCCACGTGAAGTCTCTCATATACAAAAATAAATATTAATAATTGTGATGGATGACATTGAGAAGCTTCTTACCGTAAAATCTTTTTGGTTTTCATCAACAATTAGATTAACCGGGATAGTTCCAGACCACCAAAGAAAGTTCCATGCGACAGCTTTCTCCAGCTTTGCAGTCTGCATCGGTCCATCCTTCTTCAATACCTTTCTTGATTTGTTTTCCTTCATAAGAAAAAATATCACTCTCAAATATTTACAGTAGTCAATATCAAATTTGAATCATATACAATGATAAGAAAGAAACCAAAAGTTGGCGCCCAGTCTTGTCCATATCGAAGAATGGTCCATTATTTGGATTACTGACAAGTTCGTAGACTGTTTCAGGAGGCAATCCCATTGTCAATTCTATATTCATATGGCAAATACCATCTTTAGTCGTCACCTTAACATCAAAAATAAAATAAAAATTTAAGATATTTTTGTTGTTGTTGATATTCCTTTAAGACCAAAATCAAAGTAAAGATATTCTGTTTGCTGATATATATATATAAAATGCAAGTAAGCGCATCGACTTCAGCCATGGGTAGCTTATTAATTCCTATAGTCAACTCGAATTTTCTTAACTTTTTGTAAAATAATACATTAAATTTACTACTGATAAAATATATGTGTATGATCATTTAGGCTAGGTTTTTTCATGTTTGTTGCTTGATGTCTTTAACGAGGGATCTCGCTCAGCCTCTCGAATCTCTTTAGCCAGATTTTGGACCATAATGAGAAGATTTTTAGTGGTCTTGATGGTGATACCACGAATGAACCAAGAAAGCGGCGGCACATTAAAAAGAGGATATGGCTGAAAGTATTGGTTCATTATCACTTTCGACGCAACCTTTCCTTGACCGCCGCTACATTTTTCATATTCTTCTAGACTTTTTGGTAACCTTTGCTTGCACAAGCGTTCTGAATCTACGTATATTGGCTCCACTTTATAGTTACCCTCGAACACTTTGAGAAACATCATTTTCTCTTTTTTATATTTTGTCTGTTTGCGGCAAGAGAAAACCTCAGTTAAATTTCACCAATGCAAAACAAAAACATTGATTATTGTGAGGGATAAAGAGAAGCTTCTTACTGTAAGAACTTTTCTGTTTTCATCGACAATTAGATTTACTGGGATAGGTATTGACCAGAAAAGGAAGTTCCAAGCCACAGATTTCTTCACCTTCATGATCTGCCTCGGCCCATCATCCTTCAAAAGTTTTATTGATTTGTTTTCCTTCATAATAAAATATTTCACAGTCTCATGTATTTCTATAATTAATACCATGCACAATCAAATCGATATAAGAAGAAGAAAAGAAAAAACCATCATTTTGCGCCTCTTGTCAAAATCGAAGAATGGACCGCTTTCCGGATCAGTCATAGTGAAGTATACACCATCAGGAGAATTTCCCACTATCAATTCTATGTTCATATGGCAAACACCTTTTTCCATTGTCACCTTCATACATGAAAATTACAAGAACTTTATCTTTAGTCTTAGTTCTACCAATTGGCAAAATTAAAGTATTTAGATTATGTTTGCTGATTTTTATTCCCTTCACCTTAGGAGGAGCATCATGCCATGGATGTTTCTTCTCTGCTTCATGCCAAAGTTCACCTTGCTTCATCATATGATCTTTATCATAATATACCTTCCTCTCCGCCACGGCAGGGGGAATGTGATTGTTAGTGTCTTTCTCTGACACCGACTTAGATTCAACATTCTCAGATCTCTCGGACTCGGTCTACAACAATAAACATAATCATTATCTGTATATAGCTATTTCATTTTCTAGGGTTCTCTAACTGATGTAAATGAAACTGACCTCAGGAGGGCGTTGAGTGTTCTGATTGATCCAACTACCAAATCCAGGAAACACACCCATTTCTCTATGAAAATTTAGTCCACAAACGTTACTTACCTGATGATAGCAAGAGAAAATAACGATCTTAAAGCTTGTATAAATTGGTGTTTGAGGAATCTTGGATAAAATGTCTGCATGTTGAGAGAATGGTGTACGTTAAGTTTTACGTAGGGCGAAACAATGTAGTGGGCAGCTCAATTTGTGTGTTATTGACGTACAAACTAGACTTACCCGATATTCTCTGTGAAGAATATGGAACATCACAAACGTTTCTGGCATCTTAGGAAGTAAACAATTGAATTTTTCTTGTACAGTATACTTTTGTAATTTATCAAACGAAATATTATTTTTAACGTGTAATATTTCCACTAGATATACAACATGTATTATCTCATGACAGATAATAAGTTTATAAATGTATTACTGTCTTGTTACTAAAAAAAATAGTGTTTCAACGTCTGAATTTTTTACTATTTGTATTGATTATTCTACAAAAATCTCCCTTCAGAAATAAACTTTGAGCTTGAGTATATATGTTTGTCATTTGCTGATGGTGATTCTCTTTGGGTGGAATGGATTAAGCTAACAGATTAAAAGATGAGCGTTTTGGAGTTTGTATTTTAATGAACAATCATCTTGGACTTAGTCAACTCTAGTTTTCTTAAAGCTTTTCTTAAGGAATATCTTAAGAACTTATAACATATATTTGTGTATGATCATTTAGGCTGGTGTTTTCCACGTTTCTTGATTGACGTCTTTCGCCTAGAAACCAATTCTCTCAGCCTCTCGAACCCTAGTAGCCACATGTTGAACCATTTTGAGCAGACTTTTGGTAGTCTTGATGGTGATCCCACGAACGAACCAAGAAAGTGGCGGCAGATTAAAAGGAGGATATGGCTTAAAGTATTGGTCCATTGTCACTTTCGACGCAATCTTTCCTTGTCCGCCGCTACATTGTTTATATTCTTCTCGACTCTTTGGCAACCTTTGCTTGCATAAGCGTTCTGAATCTACGTAAATTGGCTCCACTTTATAGCTACCCTCGAACACTTTCATGAACTTCAATTTCTCTTTTTTATATTTTGTCTGTCCACAATAAGCAAGAGTGAAACCCAAGTTAAGTTTCACAAGTACAAAACAAAACTATGTATAGAGGAGCTTCTTACTATAAGATCTTTTCTGTTTTCATCGACAGTTAGATTTATTGGGATAGGTATAGACAACCCAAGGACGTTTAAAGTCACAGATTTCTCCACCTTCGTGATCTGCCTTGGTCCATCCTCCGTCAAAACCTTTATTGATTTGTTTTCCTTCATAAGAATACTAATTAAATTAGAGTCAAGAATTGTTATAATGAATACCAAATGCTAATCATATAATGAAAAAAGAAACCATAAGTTGGCGCCACTTGTTAGTATCAAAAAATACACCGCTTGTTGGTTCAGTCAAAAGGCTGTAAACTCCATCAGGAGTCATTCCCACTACCATTTCTAATTTCATATGGCAAACACCATTTTTAGTTGTCACCTTCAAACATAAAAAAGAAGTTCTTAGGATCTTTACTCTTAATTAAATTACGAATTTATCTAAAGGCAAAAAAGTATTCACATAAATAATATTTGGTAATTTGATCTCACCTTCACCTTAAGAGGGGGATTATACCATGGATGCTTCTTTTCTGCATCATGCCAAAGTAGATCTTGCTTCCGCTCATGAACATTGTCAAAATATTCCTTCTTCTTCTTCTTAGCAGGGACGTTATTATTGTTTTCCTCTGACACAGGCATGGATTCAACATTCTCAGATCTCTTGGACTCGGCCTACAACAAAAAACAGAATCAAAATCTGTATATGTTTGTTTTGACTTCCTCAGGTCCTCTGGTTGATGTAAATGAGGTTGACCTTATGAGGCTGTTGAGTGTCCTGAGTGATCCAGCCACCAAATCTAGGGAATACACCCATTTCTCTATGAAATATTACTCCAAAAACGTTACTTACCTGATGATAGCAAGAGAAAATGACGATCTTAGAGCTTGTGTAAATTATGGTTTGAGGAACTTTAGCTAAAATGTCTGCATCTTGAGAGAATGGTGTACGTTACGTTTTACGTACGGAAAAACAATGAAGTATGGCATGCAGCTCCATTCTCGTGAGTTCTTGACGTACAAGAGAGACCTATCTGAGGAAAGAGGATATCGTTTTCATTGAATTGTAGAATGACACTTCCTAGCTGCTTCTTTCTAAGTACTTTTGAGAAGAATATAGAAACATAGTATTCTACGCTTTCTTTCTAACATTTTATGACTTGCTGAATAGTTTGTGTCTGTATATTTGTTTTAGAAAAATCTTAATATTAATATATAAGAAAGTATTCTACAAAATCTCCCATAAAAAAAATGTTATCAAAACTTTAAGTAATAGATTTTCAAGATGCTAAACTGATTTTTAGAAAATAAAAAGAATGATATCGCAATGACATGCATGATCGCACATGAGTGAATAGAAGTGGCCTTCCCAACAAACTATTCATAAACAAAAAGTCGTTTTATGTTCACGTGAATGTTTAGTAAATTTCTAAATGGTCAAATAATTCAAATTTACAACTTATAGCATTATGATCATTTAGGCTAAGTGTTTTCCACGAATGTTTGCTTGATATCTTTACCCAGAGATCAACTAGTCTCAGCCATACGAATCACAGTAGCAAAATTTTGAACCATTTTGACAAGAGTTTTGGTGGTCTTGAGGGTGATCCCACGAATGTACCACGAAAGCGGCGGCAGATTAAAAAGAGGATATGGCTGAAAGTATTGGTTCATTGTCACTTTGGACGCAACCTTTCCTTGACCGCGGCTGCATTTTTTATATTCTTCTCGACTTTTTGGCACCGTTTGCTTGCACAAGCGCTCGGAATCTACATATAGTGGCTCGATTTTCCAGCTACCCTCAAACACTTTCATGAACATCATTTTCTCTTTCTTATATTTTCCCTGTCCACAATGAGCAAGAAAACCTGAGTTAACTTTCACAATAATACAAAACAAAAGTATTGATTATTGTGGATGGATAACGAGAAGTTGATCTTAATTACTGTAAGATCTTTTCTGTTTTCGTCGACAATTAAATTTATAGGGATAGGTATAGACCACCAAAGGAAGTCCCAAGCCAACAATTTCTCCACCTTTGCGATCTGCCTTGGTCCATCCTCCTTCAAAACCTTTATTGATTTGTTTTTCTTCATAAGAAAAAAAAACATCATATTCAGGTATTAATATAATTAATACCACATTCGAGCCATATGATAAGGAAGAAACCACAAACCATAAAGTGGCGCCATTTGTCATGATCGAAAAATCCACTGCTACTTGGATTAGTGAAAATGTCGTGGACTCCATCAGGAGTCATTCCCACTGTAAACTCTATGTTCATATGGTAAAGACCCTTTTTCGTTGTCACCTTCAAACATTCAAAATATTTCTTGATTCTACCAACTCCTTTTTAAGGTAAAAGTTTTTGAGTGATGAGATTTTTTTTACTGATTTTCTATTACCTTGACCTTAGGTGGGGAATCATACCATGGATGCTTCTTCTCTGCATCATGCCAAAGTTGATCTTGCTTCATCTGCTCATTTACGTCATAATACACCTTCTTCTCAGCAGGGGCATTATTATTAGTGTTTCCCTCGGACACGGACTTAGATTCAACATTCTCAGATCTTTTGGAATCAACCTACAACAACAAACAAAAAGATAATCTGTTTATATCTATTTATCTCAAATTTTACTTACTCGGGTTTCTCTAATTAGTTGAAATAAAACTGACTTTGGGAGGCTGTTGAGTGTTCTGACTGATCCAGCCACCAAATCCAAGATTTACACCCATTTTCAAGAAATCCACACACTTATTTAATGGGAGCAAGAGAAAATGACGATCTCAAAGCTAGAATGTATTAATTATGGTTTGGGATCCTAGATAAAATCATACTTCTGCATCTTGAGAGGATGTTGTACGTTAAGTTTTACTTACGGTGAAACAATGAAGTGGGCAGCTCAATTCTCGTGAGTTATTGACGTACAAGCCAGAGTAACCTATATAAGCCCTAGGAAAGAGGAGAACGAAGTTCAATATTTGAATTGGAGAAGTCTTATATGCATAGTTCACTCTGTGTTCTTCTGACAATTATATAGAAGCATGAATGTTATCTACTAACCTAAATGAGATAGTTAAGTATCTATTAAGAATATGGAAGACAACAAACCAAACATGTTTTCTGAAAGTAAAATACCAATAAATTAGTTTTTCATCCAATTATACCATCACTATTTTTATTGTTCTAAAATACCAACAAATGTTTTTTTCCAAAAAATATCACAAACATTAAAATGATTTTGAGGGTTTATGATTTAAATATTTGGGTTTGGTTGAGTATTTACTTTTGGATGTAGTTTTTAAGGTTTATGATTTTATGGTATTTTGAAGAAAATCTAAAATAAGGATGATAATTTTGGAAAAGAAAAATATCTGTGTGGTATTTTAAAAATGTCCCATATAATACATTAAATTTACAACTGAACATCTATCTGTAAATATTCATGTATGCTAGTATTTTCCATGTTTGTTGCTTTTAGTCTTTTATAACGTCGTTGGCTTTCTACTCACTGGAACCTCTCTATATATAACACTCCTATTTTGGAGCATTTGGAGCAGAGTTTTGGTAGTCTTGATAGTGATCCCACGAATGTACCAAGAAAGCGGTGGTATATTCAGAAAAGAGTATGGCTGAAAGTATTGGTCCATTGTCACTTTTGATGCAATCTTTCCTTGTCCACCACTACATTTTTTGTATTCTTCTCGACTTTTTGGTAAATTATTCTTACACAACCGTTCCTGATCTACATATAGTGGTTCTACTTTCCAGTTACCCTCAAACACTCTCATGAACATCATTTTCTCTTTCTTATATTTTGCCTGTCCACAAAAAAAGCAAGAGAAACCCAAGTCATCTTCACCAAGACAAAACAAAAGTATTGATTATTGTGATAGGAATAAAGAAAAGATTCTTACTGTAAGATCTTTTTTATTTTCATCAACAATTAGACTTATGGGAAGGCTTCCAGACCACCAAAGGAATTCCCAAGCCACAGCTTTCTTCAACTGTGCGATTTGCCTCGGTCCATCGTTCTTCACAACCTTTCTTGATATGTTTTCCTTGATAAAGAAAACTATCACACTCTCAAGTTTTGCCACAATTAATACTATACATTAAAATCATACAGGGATATGACTTCATACCAGAAGTTGGCGCTTCCCCATAATGAAAATTGGTAGGTTATGTGGATTTATGAAAGTTTCGTAGACTCCCTCCGGAGTCATTCCCATTGTCATTTCAATGTGCATATGGCAAAGACCATTTTTCGTTGTCACCTTCAAAAATAAGAAAATATTAAAACGAAAACAAACTTTTTGGATCTTTATTCACTTAAATTTAGAAGCTCCTCTAATAAAGGCAAAAGTGAAAGTAGATATGTTTTGTTTGCTGATTTGCTCTTACCTTCACCCTAGGAGGAGCATCAAACCATGGACGCTTCTTCTCTGCATTACTCCAAAAAATATCTTGCTTGAGATCCTCATCTTCTTCATTATTTACCTTCACCTTAGCAGGGGCAGTATTAGTATCCTTCTCTGACGCCGGCTTAGATTTAACATTTTCAGATGTGCTGGACTCGGCCTACAACAAACAGAATCATAACCTAATTGCTATGATTTACCGATATATATAGTATTTTTCTTGTTGTGTTATGACTTCCAAGTGTTCTTTGATTGATGGAAATGAGACTGACCTTTTGAGGTTGTTGTACGTTCTGATTGATCATCAATCTACCAAACTCAGAAAATATACCCATTTTCTCTGAAATTGGAGTCTACAAATGATACTTAATTACCTGATCAAAGCAAGAGCAAATCACGGTCTCAAGCATGTTTAAATGATGGTTTAAGGAATATTAGATCAAATGTCTGCATCTTGAGAAATTGGTGTACGTTAACTTTTCCTACGACGAAAGGAAGAAGTGGGCACTCAAGTCTCGTGAGTTATTGACGTACAAGAGAGATTTACATGAGGAAAGAGGAGATTGAAAGCCAATAAATTGGAGAATGCTCCTTTTCCACCTACCCTTGAACGCTTTCATGATCATGAAGTGGGGAAGTGTACGTAACAAAAAAAAAGTGTACGTAACACTTACGTACGTATCGAATATATACGAAATGGTTAGAGAAGGAAGTAATTATCCGATTTACTCTCAACACATGTTAACATGCATGGCATGGACAATGGACTGGATTTAAATATGATAGAACACATCTTTAAAGAGCATCATAGAATTCGACCTAAGGTAACGGAAGTCCTAATTAATAAAAGTCGAATCAATTTTTTTTTAGACAATTTAAGGAATATAAGAACGTATATATTAAATTTACAGCTTACAACATTTAGCTAAAAGAAGGTTAAAAAAAAAGAAAAAAAAAATCAATCAACTGAAACCCTAAATTTAAAGAACATATTGAATTTCCAGCTTACACCATGTGTTTGTGAATAATCTCATCTAGGCTTATTTTATGACGTTGTTGTCTATAAATGACGCCAATTATTTTGAGTCTGTTTATAACCGACGTTAGTCCCAAATAAAAGCTACATCATATTCATACGCCTCCTCCTTTGTAGTAGGCACTAAATGGAAGCTCTCGGTGCACAGCACACTTATTCTGAATTATTTGGAGAATAGTTTTGGTCGTCTTGACAGTGATCCCACTAATGCACCAAGAAAGTGGTGGCAGGTTAAGAAGAGAAGAGGGCTTAAAGTATTGGTTCATTATCACTTTCGATGCAATCTTTCCTTGTCCACCACTACATTTTCTGTATTCTTCTCGACTATTTGGTAACATGTTCTTGCACAAGCGTTCCTGATCTACATATAATGGCTCCACTTTCCAGTTACCCTCGAACACTTTCATAAACATCATTTTCTCTTTCTTATATTTTCCCTGTCCACAACAAGCAAAAGGTCAAAACCCAAGCTATATAAATTTCAACAATACGAAACAAAAATATATTGACTAATACTATGGGCGTATAGAGAATCTTCTTACTGAGAAGTTTTTTTTGTTTACATCAACAATTAGAGTTACAGGGAGAGATCCAGACCACCAAAGAAAGTTCCATGGCAGAGTTTTCTCCAACTTTGCGATCTCTCTTGGTCCATCCTTCTTCAAAACCTTTCTTGATTTTTTTCCCTTCATAAAGAAAATATCACATTCTCAAGTACTAATGCTATATGCATATATCTAATACAACATTTGAATCATACAATGACTAGAAGAAAACAAACCAGAAGTTGTTGGCCCCTTCCCATATTGTAAAATATGCTATTTGGATTAATGAAAAAATCGTAGACGCCTTCCGGAGGGATTCCCATTGTCAACTCTATATTCATATGGCGAAGACCATTTTTTGTTGTCACCTTCAACATCAAAAATATAATCAATTTTTTAGATCTTTATGCTTATCTTTAAAAAGAACAAAAAAAAAAAGATAAAAGTATTGAGATTTTGTTTGGTGATTTGCTCTTACCTTTAACCTAGGAGGAGCATCATACCATGGATGCTGTCTCTCTGCATCGCTCCAAAGTATATTTTGCTGCTTTTGTTCTTCATCGTCTCCTTCTTCATAATTTACCTTCATTTTAGTAGAGGAATTATCAGTATCCCTCTCTGAAGCTGACTTAAATTGATTTAACATTCTCAGTTCTCTTGGACTTGGTTCAACCCAAAAAAATATACTCATCATCTGAACAATAGTAGTTGAAGGGTTTCTCTGATTGTTTGAAATGAAACTGACCTTTGGAGATTGTTGTACGTTCTGATTGATCCAACTACCAAACTCAGGAAATCTACCCATTCTCTATGAAATTTAAGTCCACAAATGATACTTACCTGAACAGAGCAAAAGTAAATCACGATATAGAGCTTGTATATATCATGGTTTGAGAAATGTTGGTTAAAATGTCTGCATCTTGAGAGAATGGCGTACGTTAAGTTTTACTTACGGCGAGACAAAGAAGTGCTCAATCCTCGTGAGTTTTTGACGTACAAGCGAGACCTATTTGAGAAAAGAGGAGATCCAAGTTTTCAATAAGTTGGAAAATGCTTACTTTTTGGGTAAGTAGGCCTAGAGTTAGTAATAGATATAACTACGTACTTTTGACTTACAATATCTATTCACAAATGTATGACTTACAATAGTTACTTTCTCCTGAAGCTTTTGTTTGAGTATTGTTTCTCAGTTAGTTTAGCAGGCCCTTTTGGTTTTATAACTACTTAGCGAAACTTGGCTTTCCGAATTTTATATCTGAAATTGTTAGTAGCAACATTTGTAAAGAACGATCAAGAATTTTTGGCTAGGATCCAAATCAACTATAGAGAAATAATAAGGGTGTTCCATTATTATAAGTTCTCTCAAGGAATTCATAATTTCCTAAAATTGTTTTTCTATATTTTTCTTTGAACGAAAAAGGTGTGATCTTCTGTTTTCTTTCGGGTTTCTTGAACAATACAATTTTGGGCTTGTGCATGCGAAGCACTAATGAGGTCTTTTTACACTCGCTCGCATCTTGGCACCCATATCTTGAAGCATTTTGAGCAGAGTCTTGGTGGTCTGGATGATGGTACCACGAATATACCAAGAAACCGGTGGCAGATTAAAAGGAAAATATGGCTGAAAGTGCTGCTCCATTGTCACTTTCGATGCAATCTTTCCTTGTCCACCGCTACATCTTTCGTATTCTTCTCGACTCTTTGGCTCTATGTTCTTGCATAAGCGTTCCTGATCTACATAAATTGGCTCCACTTTATAGACACCCTCGAACACTTTCATGAACCTCATTTTCCCAATCCTATAGCTTGCCTGCCCACAACAAGCATGAGAAACCCAAGTAATCTTTCACCAATACAAAACAAAAATATTGATTATTAAGAGAGGTATATAGAGAAGCTTCTTACCGTGAGATCTTTTTTGTTTTCATCGACAATTAGAGTTATGGGGAGAGCTCCATAAAAGCCAAGGAAGTCCCAGGCCACTTCTTTCTCCAACCTCGCGATGTGCCTTGGTTCCTCCTCCAGAACCTTTCTTGAATTGTTTTTCTTCATAATAAAAAGATTACACTCGATCTTAAATATTTCCATAATCAATGCCACATTTGAATCATACAATGATAAGAATAAAAAACCAGAAGTTGGCGCCATGACTTGTCACTAAAGAGAGGTAAATTGTTTGGATTAGTGAAAAGCTCGTAAGTTGCTTCAGGAGGCAATCCCATTGTCAATTCTATGTTCATATGGCAAACACCTTCTTCTGTTGTCACCTTCAAACAACAAAAATGTAAGTTAATATTTTTTTTTCTTTCTTAATTATGTCAACTCCTCTAGATGCAAATAAATAAATAAACTAAAGTGTTTGAGACTTTGTTTGGTGATTTGGTCTTACCTTCACCTTAGCAGGGGCATCATACCATGGATGTTTCTTCTCTGCATCTCTCCAAAGTTTTCCTTGTTTCTCCATTTCATCTCTGTCCTTAGAATTAACATTCTCAGATCTCTTGGACTCGGCCTACAACAACAAACAGAAACATACACTAATTTCTATAAGTAACCGATATGTAGTTTATATTTATTCAACTTTCTTGGGTTATCTGGTTGATGAAAATGAAACTGACCTTAAGAGGCTGTTGCATATTCTGATTGATCCAGCTTCCAAAGACAGGAAATACACTCATTTTCTTTCTGAAAGTTTAGTCTACAAACGATACTTACCTAATCAGAACAAGAGCAAATGACGATCTTAAAGCTTGTTTAAATTTCTGTTTGGGGAATCTGAGATTAAAGATTGATTATGAAACTGAAAGAATATCGACGGGCTAGTGTTGGGGAAGTGTACGTTACGTTAACCTACGGCAAAGAAATAAAGTGTGCAGCTCGATTTTTGTGACTTGTTGACGTACAAGCGAGAGCTACATGAAGAGAGATAGGGCTTCAAAGTCTTTTATTTTTTTCTGTTTGTTTAACTGTAAAAACTAAAAAGGTGCCATGGTAAGAAACCTAATTCCTCCTCTCTACATAGCTGCATGGAATTTGATTTTATTTTTATAACTCAATTTTATTTTCTTAAGCTCGTAATTTTCTTTTTTCAGTTAGTTAAATACTTAAATATGTCTTTTTGTTTGTTATTGTATTGGGCCCAATTTCAATATAAAAAGCCCATAACTAATCCATTATTTTCTCCGTATAACTTCCTTCTAGAGTTTCCCTCGTCTGTTTAGGCTTTTATCCTAATCTTCTTCTTTCACGTCATAAACAAAAACCACTCGATTTCAAAATCCAAATCTCCGCCTGCGTTTGAGCTCGTTTCTCCGAACAGATTACAACGGAAATTCCACGCCGCCGACTGCCTTCCGTCGAGTTATTTTCACGCTTTTTTTTCTTCCCCTCCGCCAGACAATTGATAGAAAAGACGAGAGATAATCTCTGAAATCGATTCGATCAGGATAATCTGATAATCAGTCAGTATGAGTAATAATTGTCTCGACCGTAGTGATTTTATTTTCTATTTTCTTCGAATCATCCGTCAAAAAGATCTCCATTGCTAATCTTCTGGGGGAAATTTGTGATTTTTCAGGTGAAAGAGGACGACCTAACAAGAAGACAAAGCACGTTCGTGTTTAGTTTTCTTCGCAAGAGTTTTATTTCTTTTATAGTCTCTTCAATGATTACTTACTTAACTGTGAAAAATCTCAGGACGATCAAAAGATGAAAAAGATCCAAAACGAAGAAGCATTATATTCAGATGATGATACTGGTGATCATGATGGTATATATTTTGAAGGTGAAGGAGGAGCGGTGGAGGAAACGGATTTTAGTAAATTGGAGTTGAAGGCAGACCATGCAAACAGACCTCTGTGGGCATGTGGAGGTGGAAGGATTTTCTTGGAAACTTTTTCTCCTCTCTATAAACAAGCCTCTGATTTTCTCATCGCCATAGCTGAACCTGTTTGCAGGTAATCTCATCTCAATCTCATCAATCATCATCATACACTTTCTTGAGAGATTTTCATTGAAATAAGTGGTTATATTCTTTTTTTCAGGCCAGAGTCAATGCACGAGTATAATCTAACACCACACTCGTTGTACGCTGCTGTTTCCGTTGGCCTTGAGACAGAAGCTATCATTTCGGTTTTAAACAAACTGTCAAAGACTAAGTTACCAGAGGATATGATTAGTTTCATCTATGCTTCTACTGCCAATTACGGGAAAGTGAAGCTGGTTTTGAAAAAGAACCGTTATTTTATTGAATCCCCTTTCCCTGAGGTAAGTTTTTTTCACCAAGTCTTATATATATCCTCTTTCTCTTGTCTTTGTGTCTTTGGACATTGGTTTTGTAATTTCTCTCCATTGATTTTTGCCTCAGGTGTTGAAAAAGCTTCTCCAAGATGGTGTTATAAACGGAGCAAGATTTTCTTCTGAGGTGCGTTGAAATACATACAATGATCTGTTTTCTCACCATTGTGTTCTCCACTGTATGTGGAACCAATTTAGATTAACTTTTTGTTGTTTTGTGCTAGCCATACTGTGGCGCTGATGGATTCACGGTTGGCAAAACAAGCGGTGAACTTGAAGCAGGACATGGGGAGCTGTTGAATGAAGCAGAATCGGCAGCAGCAGCAGAAGAAAAAGAAACTCACTCCTTTGAGATAGACCCGGCACAGGTAAAAATTGATCTGAAAGGCGTTGATATTCTTTACTTAATTTGCGTTGTCATGTTCTTTTTTTTCTCTTCGTGTGTAGGTGGAGAATGTGAAGCAGCGTTGCTTGTCGAAAGACTTGAATTACCCTATGTTAGAGGAATATGACTTCAGGAACGACAATGTGAGAGCAAAACAAATACTACACTTGAGTCCAATATTTGCTTTACTAGGTGATATTTTCATGATTGTTAATAATAACTTGATGATGTGTGTCAGGTTAATCCTGATCTTGACATGGAACTGAAGCCCCATGCACAACCGAGGCCATACCAGGAAAAGAGTTTGAGCAAAATGTTTGGGAACGGTATGCACAATTTGTATAAATTCATAGATATTAAGTCTTTGAAATTTCTCATGTGACAAGAGCTTCGTTCTGCATGCAGGAAGAGCAAGATCCGGGATCATAGTGTTGCCATGTGGTGCTGGTAAATCTCTGGTTGGTGTTTCTGCAGCGGCTCGTATAAAGAAGAGTTGTCTTTGTTTGGCAACAAATGCTGTCTCGGTGGATCAATGGGCCTTCCAGTTCAAGCTGTGGTCTACTATTAGGGATGACCAGATATGCCGTTTTACTTCTGATAGTAAAGAAGCATTCCGTGGAAATGCTGTTGTTGTTGTCACAACTTATAATATGATTGCCTTTGGTGGTAAACGATCTGAGGAATCAGAGAAGATCATAGAAGAAATCAGAAACAGAGAGTGGGGGTTGCTGCTCATGGACGAGGTAATCAGTTTATCAGTTCTTAAACGTCATGTGTGTCTTTGTTTGCTTTGCAGAGGAGTAATGGTTTTTTTGTTATAGGTCCATGTGGTTCCGGCCAATATGTTTAGGAAAGTTATCAGTATCACAAAATCTCACTGCAAGCTAGGACTTACAGGTAATTTGAAGGTCTTCATTTTCATGCATACACAAGAAAAAAAAAAAAAAAAAAAAAATCTTCTGTTATACTTGATAATTAAGTCTTTTTTGGTGTTTTGTTCAGCCACCCTTGTGAGAGAAGATGAAAAGATTACAGATTTGAATTTCCTCATTGGCCCCAAACTATATGAAGCCAATTGGCTAGATTTAGTTAGAGGAGGGTTCATTGCAAATGTTCAGTGTGCTGAAGTTTGGTGTCCTATGACCAAAGAGTTTTTTGCTAAATATTTGCAGAAAGACAACTCCAAGAAAAAACAGGTTCTTGATATAATAAGCTTTTTTCTCTGTTTGATTCATGAATCTTGTACAGGTGTTCTCACATGTCTTGTGGCATCTGCAGGCACTCTATGTGATGAACCCTAACAAGTTCAGAGCCTGTGAGTTTCTGATACGTTTCCATGAAGAACAACGTGGGGATAAAATCATTGTCTTTGCAGACAATCTTTTTGCACTTACAGAGTATGCGATGAAACTCCGGAAACCCATGTTTTATGGTGCAACAAGGTTTGTTCCAAGAACTTGTACTGAAAGCCACACTATTGCGTTTTCACTTTTGATAAATCCTTCTTTCGTTCAAAATTTGCAAGCCATGTCGAACGAACAAAAATTCTTGAAGCGTTTAAAACAAGCAAAAACTTGAACACTATCTTCCTGTCCAAGGTATTAGCATTTTTTTTTTGTCTTTTCCTTTGAATTTGTGGAAATTTCTACGCTCCATGCCATTTATTCATTGCGGTGTTGGTTTGTTTTTTACTACAGGTTGGTGATAACTCAATAGATATTCCTGAAGCTAATGTGATTATCCAGATTTCATCACATGCTGGTTCTAGACGTCAAGAGGCTCAGCGTTTAGGTCGTATCCTTAGGGCTAAGGTTTGGTTTTTCGATATCATTATTATTACTCATCATGTTGTTGGTTGGATGATCCAAAAAGTTTTATTTCTCCATGATGATGAAAACAAAAACAGGGTAAACTTGAAGATAGAATGGCTGGTGGAAAAGAAGAGTATAATGCATTCTTCTACTCGCTTGTTTCTACAGATACACAGGTATAATTTTAAGAAGAAAAACAGTTTTATTATCATCGAGTGTATGCTAATTTGATGGATTTTTAATGTGTGGAAAAACAATTTTGCAGGAAATGTATTATTCAACGAAAAGACAGCAGTTCTTGATCGACCAAGGTTATAGTTTCAAGGTTATAACAAGCCTTCCACCTCCTGATGCTGGTTCAAGCTTAAGCTACAGCACTCAACAAGAACAGTTATCTCTTCTCACAAAGGTTTGTTCCACATTTACAAGTTGTATTGTTGTGATTTTTCCTTTTTGGGTTTTGATATGTGAATAATCACACACACACACACACACACACACACACGCACACGCACAGGTGTTGAATGCTGGAGACGATCTGGTAGGTTTAGAGCAATTGGAAGAAGACACAGATGGAATGGCCCTGCAAAATGATAGAAGGAGCAAACGATCGATGAGTGCAATGTCCGGTGCCGATGGAAATGTCTACAAGGAATACAACTCTGGCCGTCACAAATCTTCAGCTCAACAGTCCAAGAAACCTAAACACCCTATCTTCAAAACACGTTTCGTGTCATGAAACGACTTGTTGATTTTTTTGGGTCATTTTCTTCTTCGTCTTATGAGTTTTTTAAGTTGTCACTTTGTGGACGATTTTGCTCTGCACAAGAACAACTTGCTTTGTACAGTTAATAATTATCATTTAACCATTATAGTAAAACTGCAACGACAGTAATATAAACTAGTATAACTCTATGATGTAGTTTGTGTATTAGATATATAATACTCGGATTTAAAATAAAAATGATTTTCTAATTATAACAGTATTTGATAAGGTTGTTTTATATTACTACCCAAGTATACATATATATAACCAAGCTATACATTCCCGATTTGGGGAATTTCATATTTCTCGGAGACTCTTAGCATTGCTTTGAAAATCTTCAAGAAGGTTCTTGGTGGTCTTGATGATGATCCTTTGGATATACCAAGAAAGTGGCGGTAAATTAAAAGGAGGAGAGAACTGAAAACGTTGCTCCATGGTCACTTTCGTCCCAATCTTTCCTTGTCCTCCGCTACAAGTTTTGTACTCTTCTCGGCTCTTCGGCTCCCTCGACTTGCACAAGCGTCCGTGATCAACATATAGTGGCTCTATTTTCCAGCTACCCTCGAACACTTTCATGAACATCATTTTTTTTTTCTTATATTTTCCCTAACAAGAAGATGAAACCCAAATCATGTCACAACAGAACTAGTCAAAAACAATAATTATTGTGAGGAACATAGAGAAGCTTCTTACTGTAAGATCTTTTTGGTTTTCATCGGAAATTAGATTTACTGGATAACCTCCAGACAAGCCAAAGAAGTTCCAAGACACAGATTTGTGCTGCTCCACGATCTCCCTTGGTCCATCCTTTTTCAAAACCTTTCTTGATTTGCTTTGCTTGGCCAAGAAATAGATCACACTCTCAACTTGATATAATCAAATCTACACTCAAGATCATACAAAGATTTATAAAGGGAAAATAGAAACCAGAAGTGGTCGATCATCCTTGAGTGTTCTGGAATATTCTTCGTTGTTTGGATTAGCGAACATCTCGTATAATGCTTCAGGAGGATATCCCACTGACATTTCTATGTTCATATGACAAAGACCCTTTTGTTTTGTCACCTTCAACAGTAAAAAAATATAAGAAAATTATAAATATCTTTATTCTTAAATCTTCTATTTCCCCTAAAGGCAAAAAAAATCAAAATGAATTGAGATTTTTGTTTGCTTATTTGGTCTTACCTTCACCTTAGGAGGGGCATCAGTCCATGGATGCTTCTTCTCTGCATCTCTCCAAAGTTTTATTTGCCTGTTCACCTCATTTTGGTCATAATATCTAGGATCTATTGGTGGCACTTTAGTAGATTCAACATTTTCTGATTTCCCGGACTCTGCCTACAAAAACAAACAGAGTCATGATTTATTTATTTTAAACTGATTCATGGTAACGAAACTGACCTTAAGAGGCTGTTGAGTGTTCAGATTGATCCAGCCACCAAATCTAGGAAATACACCCATTTCTCTACTAAATTTTACAACGAGAGAAAATAAAGATATAAGGTTTGTACATATTATTTTTTGGGGAATCTTATACCAAAGCTTGATTCAGATTCATACAAAATATCAAAAATTTGAAATTGATATTGAAAGATTGGCAAGGGATCGTGGTGGATGGCAGGATGAGTCTACGTACACGTTTTACGTAAAGGGGAAAAGAAGCGTGCAGCTCGATTCTCATGAGTTTTTTGACGTGGAAAAAGAAGTCCGTATTTTAAGGAAACTTTTTTAAAACAAACAAAATTATAGTATCATCATTTATTCCCAAATTTTTTGTTTGTTAAAAAAAATTCTATTTGAAAGCATGAAATGAAAAAGAAATAAAGATTGGCAAGGGATGGTGGATGGCAGGATGAGTCTACGTACACGTTTTACGTAAAGGGGAAAAGAAGCGTGCAGCTCGATTCTCATGAGTTTTTTGACGTGGAAAAAGAAGTCCGTATTTTAAGGAAACTTTTTTAAAACAAACAAAATTATAGTATCATCATTTATTCCCAAATTTTTTGTTTGTTAAAAAAAATTCTATTTGAAAGCATGAAATGAAAAAGAAAGGGAAATTACAAGGCGAAACCTATAGCGGCTATTTCTGAAAAAAAAAAATATAAGATTAAAATATAGCACAAACGCTAATCTTATTATATAAAGCTGGATGCGCGCGATGTGGTTGCGACACGTAGGATTTTTATAAAATATAGGATTGCGACATGTGTCACTTTTAATGTTATATCCGTTAAGATCGTGACACATGTCTTCGGAAAAAGGAAATTTTTATTTTAAAGGGAAATTTTAATATCTTATAATAAAAACGAAATTTTATATAATAAAATAAAAATAATGTAATAAAAAATTCCTATTAGTATATGGAATAGGTATGTAAACTAAATATCCTAAAATTGTATGGAATAGGTTATATAAACTCCTATTTAAAAAAATCCTATTAGTACATGTAATAGGTATGTAAACTAAATATCCTAAAACTGTATATGAAATTGGTTACATGAACCCCCTATAAAAAGAGAGCTACTGTAGTCTCTTTTTCTCATTCACAAACTCATCAAAGCAAATTCAGAAAATCTCTTTGATTCTCTTTCTCTAATTTCAAAATCATGTCTTTGAAAGTTCAAGAGAACAGTGGAGATTATTTGACTCTAGGTCAATTGGATCGAAATTAAAATTATTTGAATAAAATCCTATTAGTACATTAGGAAAAATCAGAAAACAGGAAACAAACAATTAAAAAGAAAAAATATTACATCCATTATGAGAAGTAAAGAAAAAACATAATTCTATTACGAAAAGGAAAAAAAACGAAAATCAGAAAAAATGAAGAAATAATTAAAAAATGTTACATCCAATAAGAAAAGGAATAAAAAAACATATTCCCATTACGAAAATGAAAAAAAAACAATATATAACAAGCTATATTTTTTAAGTTTCTTTCTCATTAAGAAATAAAATTCATGTCTTTAAAAGTTAAAGATATCAATGAAGAATACTTAACTTTAGATCGATACATGTGTCTAATATTTGATGAAGTGATGACATGTGTCAACACAAGAAAATTGGAAAAATGTAGTAACATAAATAAATAAACTAACAAAATAATATTAAAACAACTAACTAATAATGAAAATGAAAATTTATAATGGTCAGAGGCAAAAACGAAATTGAAAAAGAAACAATATAAATAGAAAACTAACAAAATAATTATTAAGGAACTAAATAATATTAAAAAAGAAAATTTTATAATGGACTGATCTTCTAATATTAAATAGTTTAATTTTCCATGTTTTGTTAGGTAAAAAAATATTAAAAATAAAGATTTCATCATGGAATAATCAAAGTTTCATAAAATAATGAGTCGATTAGATTTAGACACATGTAAATCTTTCTATTTCATATCATGAATTCAAAATAAAAATGTAAAAGACTACATATCTTTATTTAGAGATTTGTTATCGGGTTTTTAATATTATTTTCTTATTTTTAAAATTGATCAAATTTTGTTTAATATTCTTCCGTGATTTAAAAAAATAAAAATAAATAAACCCGCGTATATGCGGGGCCTAATCTAGTAACTAATAAGTAGCCAAAACGCTCATTATATATGGCCAACCACTATTTGTGTATTATGATCATGTACTGATGTACATGTACTAAATGCCATATTTGCTCGGTAAAATCCTTACTGGTCACTCCATTCACTCTCAGGAAAAGGAACCAGCTATAGTAAGGTTACATTAAAAGATATGTACAAGAACAATTAAGGTTTTCGTGAAAGTAAATAGCTAAAACGTATTTGAATTATGGGGGATGTCAAGTATGAAGAAGCACTCCAAACATGGTTTGGAGCTCGAGTTTAGCCATGTCAACCTTCTTATGTTGTAATTTCAATTAATTTCATCAAACAATAGTCACACATGATGTACAAAAGTTTTGGTTTTTGAATAAATTTTACATAAAATTCAAAAAATAAAAATAAAACGTATTTGAATTTTATACTTCGTTCTTTTTAACAGTTAAATTAGTGTACCGTTGTTCGCATTTGAAGTGATTCATTCTACAATAATATTAACGTTTGCTTTAATACTTGTATCAAAATGGCACTATAACTTTTCTAATACTGGATATGAAGAGTATCAAACGCTTCGGAGAACGGCGCCTCGAATTTAAAGATTTTCGATAATAGTCTTGGTTTTCTTGACGACGACACTTCGAATGTACCAAGAAACCGGTGGCAGATTCAATGGAAAAAGAGGTTCAAAAAACTGTTGTAATGTCACTTTCGACGCAACCAATCCTTTTCCTCCGGTACATTTTCTGTATTCTTCCATACTACTCGGTAGCCTAGGCTTGCAATATTTATCGTTATGTATATACTCTGGTTCTATTGTCCACTTACCCCCAAACGGTTTCATGAACATTGCCTTCTCTTTCGAAGTCTCATATATTGCCTGTACACAATAAGCAACAAAAAAACACTAATTAAGTCCCTCAAAAAAACCAAAAAAAAAAAGATTGGTTTTTAGTTTTCTTACGCTGAAATCTTTTCGCCTCTCATTGAAAACTAGAGGTACTGGGACAGATTTAGACCACCAAAGGAACTTCCAGGTCGCAGCTTTTTCCACTTCCACCATCTTCTCTTTTGGTCCATTATCGCTAATAACCTTTTTTGATATGGTTTCCTTCATAAGAAAAAAATAACACATTCTCAAGTATTGATAATTGATACTTAACTCGAATGATACAATGAATAAGAAGACAATAGAACTAACCAGGACTTTGCGGTTTTTAATGGTGTTGAGGTATGCTTGATTGTTGTGACTAGTTAAAACATCGAAGACGGTTTCAGGAGGCAATCCTATTCTAAATTGCATGGTCATTAGGGTTTCACCCTCTTTTGTTTGTTTCACCTTTAAACAGAAATGATATAAGAAATTTAGTAGATCTTCTTCTTTTGACAAAGTTATTTGTTCCTGTATCTTATAAACATACTACAGTATTGAATTAATAAATAAAATTTGTATGCTCTGAAAGTACAAAATTTAATATTACCTCACGATTACACATGTTTATTTCATGTTGCAACTGTGTCAGGCTAAATGTACGTATGGAAATTTGTTTTGCTGGTTTGCTATCTTACCTTCACCTTAGCAGGCCAATCATGCCATGAGTACTCTTTCTCTGAAGCTCTCCAAAGTTTTAACTGCTTCTTCGTTTCTTCACTCTCCTTGTTGGTGTTAATATCTGACACTGACTTAGATTTCACATTCTCAGATCTCTTTGACTCGGTCTACATCAACAAACAGAATCATAATCTAATTTTCTATAATTAAACGACATAGTAGGTTTTGATGATTTGACTTCCAAGGGTTCTCTGACTAAAAGAAATGAAACTGACCTTTGGAGGTTGCTGTGTGTTCTGATTGATCCAGCTACCAAACAAAGGAAAATAACGCATTTCTCTCCGATATTTTTAGTCCACAAATGATACTTGATCAGAGCAAGATAAAATGACGATCCAAAGATTGTATATTTTATGGTTTTTGGTATCCCAAATTTGGAAAACATGCAATATCTTAAACTGAGAGAAAAAATAGCGAGGGGCTGGTGATGGAGTGTACGTATACATTTAAATACGGCGAAACATGAAATGAGCAGCTCGATTCTATGAGTTCTTGACGTAGAGGCAAAACGTACCTAAAGAAAGAGGATACTAAAGGTACTATCTCGTGAGCCTCTTGCGGTTCTAACTTATTGAGTCTCAAAAAGATTTCCATTTTTTCACAGCATGATGGAAAAACCTGTTGATGCAATTGTCAGAACTTGACAGAGAGTTACTCTATTTTCATCAGTGAATTTTGTCTATCAGTTTTGAAGATTGAGCACAGATGAGCATACAACTATCAACTGTGTGATAACATTTTCTAACTTTAACGTTCCATCCATGGTTTGAAGCAATTATTTTGGTGTTAGAATCTTCTTTTTAATGAAGCAATGAAACTAAGAGCTTGGATGTGTTTGCAAAAGAAAAAATAGTGGAGTATAATTGCACTTTTCGCATTTTTGATGTTTGTAGATGACATATTAATCATAGTCACATATAATAATATATTTAATGTACTCTTAAATTTTTCTATTTAAAAGAAGAAAATAAAATTCCGTCCAACAAAAAAAAAATTACAAATTTATAAAAATGTAACTCCGGTTTGACCCCGTCAAACGCTAAGAGTACATCTTTATGATTGTCGTTTATTTATTGAATCGTTAGGTAGGGGAACCTCTCGATTCGATATGCTCGAATTTTGAAGCATTTTAAGCAGAGTCTTGGTGGTGTTGATGGTGATTTCACGGATGTACCAAGAAAACGGTGGGAGATTAAGAGGAAAATCTGGTTGAAAGTATTGGTCCATTGTCACTTTGGATGCAATTTTTCCTTGTCCTCCACTACACCTTTTATATTCTTTTGGACTCTTCGGCACGATATTCTTGCACAAGCGTTTTGAATCTACGTACAGTGGTTCCACTTTATAGCTACCCTCGAACACTTTCATAAACATCATTCTCTCTTTCTTATATTTTGCCTGTTTCCACAACAAGCAAGAGAGACATCTATGTTAAGTTTCACCAATGGAAAACAAAAAAAACTAATTATTGATTATTGTGATGCACATGGAGCTAGAAGCTTCTTACGGTAAGATCTTTTTGGTTTTCATAGACAATTAGTGTTATTGGGATAGATCCAGACCACCAAAGGACGTCCACAGCAACAGCTTTCTCCGTCTTTGCAATCTCCCTCGGTCCATCTTTCTTCAAAACTTTTCTTGATTTGTTTTCCTTCACAAGAAAATATCACACTTTCAAGTGTTGCTATAATTTTTACTCAAAATAAATCATACAATGATAAGGAAAAAAAACCAGAAGTTGGCGATCAGATTCGTCGATTTGGAAGAAGAATGGTAGGTTGGTTGGATTAGTGAACCTGTCGAAGACTGATTCAGGAGGCAATCCAATTGTCAGTTCTATCTTCATATGGCAAAGACCCTTTTTTGTTGTCACCTTCAAACATTAAAAACTAAGAATGTTTTGGGTTCCTTGTATGGCAAGAAATCTAAATATTGAGACTATGTTTGGTGCATTGGTCTTACCTTCACCTTAGGAGGGGCATCATACCAAGGATGCTTCTTCTCGGCAGCCATCCAAAGTTCTATTTGCCTCTTCACCTCCGCTATGTCATAATACTTGAAATCATCTTTTGGTGGCTCTGAATTAGATTTACCATTCTCAGATCTCTTGGACTCGGCCTACATCAACAAACAGAATCATATTCTCATATTCTATTTAACTTACTCGGATTCTGTAATTGATCATGGAAATGAAACTGACCTTAGGAGGCTGTTGAGTGTTCTGATTGATCCAGATGCCAAATCCAGGAAATGCACCCATTTTTCTCACTTACCTAATGAGAGCAAGAGAAAATGACGATCTTTTTGTATGTATTACGGTTTGAGAAATCTTAGATAAACTGTCTGATTGAGAGAGAGAATGGTTTACGTTAAGTTTTACGTACAGCAAAACAAATAAGCGGCCCCGGAGCTCAATTCTCGTGAGTTCTTAACGTACAAGTGAGACCTAACCGAGGAAAGAAGAGATCGAAGGTAGAATATAATAACAACTTTTTCAGAAAATATATTAGGCTTACTTTCTCCAAAAGCTTTAAATTTCTATATTTAGATGAACTGGGATGTATGGTAATTAAACCCACTAAGTCCAATTTCTTGTTAAAATTAGTCTAGTGACTGCAAATGGAGTGCCTCCTTCCGAGAGGGATCATGAGACTAAGAGCAAATATGGATAGAAACATAAGATATTAGTTTTAAGTTGATGGAAAAATGACTTTACGAAGAATTAAAGAACAATACATACGAATGTTACAAATTAAAACGTTTTAGGAACATATCTAGAGATTTAAGATGATTTTATAAAATTAGAAAGGAATCATAAAAGTCTAAGAAAGTTCATTCAAATGAACATCACATGTTCATTGATTTACTAACATGTATACTGTTTATCTGTAGTACTACCAAAGCGGTCGATACCATAGTTAGTACGTATCAAGCGTCTCGGAACAAGACACTCGTCTTTTGAATCATTTTGAGTAGTTTCTTGGTGGTATTGATAGTGATGCCGCGAATAAACCAAGAAACCGGTGGCAAATTAAAAGGAAAATCTGGCTGAAAGTATTGGTCCATTGTCACTTTCGATGCAACTTTTCCTTGTCCACCGCTACATATCTTGTATTCTTCTCGAGTCTTTGGTAACCTTTGCTTGCACAACCGCTCTGAATCTACATATAAAGGCTCGATTTTCCAGCTACCCTCAAACACTTTCATGAACATCATTTTATCTTTCTTATATTTTGCCTATCCATAACGAAACGCAAGAGAAACCCCGTTAACTTTCCCCAAATATGAAACGAAAAATGTTGATTATATATTATTGTGAGGGTTGTGGACAAGTGTCTTACTGTGAAATCTTTTTGGTTTTCATCAGCAATTATAGTTATGGGGAGAGATCCAGACAAGAAAAGGAAGTTCCAAGCCAAAGCTTTGTCTAGCTTTACGATCTCCCTCGGTCCATCCTTCTTCAAAACCTTTCTTGATTTGTTTTCCTTCACAAAAAAATAAAAAAATAAAGATCACACACTCTCAATTGTTGCTATAACTCATTCCACATTTGAATCATACAATATGATTAGAAGATACTAACCAGAAGTTGGCGTCCAGTCTTGTCATCGATTCTGACTAATGGTATGTTTTTTGGGTTAGCAAACAAATCGTAGACTCCTTCAGGAGGTAATCCCACTGTCAATTCTATGCTCATATGGTAAACACCTTTTTCAGTTGTCACCTTCAAAACATCAAAAAAAAAAAAAAAATGTTATAAGAATTTTTAAAGAATGTTTTAAAATATTGATGTAAAGAGTATTTTTCTTTTGGTAATTTACTCTTACCTTAACCTTAGCAGGAGCATCATACCATGGTTTCTTCTTCTCTGCATCTCTCCAAAGATTTCCTTGCTTCTTCGCCTCAGATTTGTCATAGTATATTTCCTGATTATTAGTGTCTTTCTCTGACTCTGAATTAGATTTAACATCCTCAGATCTCCTGGACTCGGCCTACAACAACAGACATAATCATCCACTAGTTTCTAAAGTTACATATATTTGATTTTCTCGGGTTCTCTAATTGATGAAAATGAAATTTACCTTATGAGGCTGTTGAACGTTCTGGTTGATCCAGCTACCAAATTTAGGAAATACATATACACCCATTTATTTCTTGAAATCTAGTCCTCAAATGATACTTACCTGACGAGGGCAAGAGAAAGTACAAGATGAAATTGAAAGAATGATGTATCGTGTACGTTGGGATTTACATTCCGAGAAACAAAGAAACTGGGCGGCTTAATTCACGTGAGTGGTTATTAGCGTGCTGATTCAACCTCTCACGAAGTGCTCTGTTTTGGTGTAAACCTATTTTCTTTTCCATGATTTCTGCCTAATTAGTCAGAATAAATGTAGCCTAAAATCACATGTAACACACAATTAAACTGATGAACAGAATCTATATAATCCTGATAAAATGGGTGATATTTATTTTTTTGAATTGCTAAAAATGGACTCACAGTTCTTTTTTTTCTTTTTTTTTTCCAAAAAGAGAATACTCATTTTTTTCGAACCTTTTAAGTAGGGGTGTTCAATCGGCTATTGGTTCGGTTTTTTTGGTTTTTGTTTTTTCGGATAATCAAAAATAGCTACCATATTAGAACCATATTATTTCGGTTTGGTTCAATTTGGATAGTCTCGGTTTGGTTTTCAGGTTATTTGTACTTTTTGTTTGATTATTATTTTATTATATAGATATTTTAATTTTTCTGGTAATGAAATGATCAAATTCAAATAAGAAAATGTAAATTCATGTCTTATTTTAAAGTATAAAACTCTAAAGATCTAGGTTTTAGTATTTAAGATTTCTTAATTGTTAAATTTTGGTAAATTAAAGATATATAATTTTATATGAAAATACTTTAAACTTATATTATTCCATGTCATATATGTATACTATGTACTATTATATTAATATATAAAACTATTCGGGTTTTTCGGTTAGTTCGGTTAATATTCAAATCATATCAATATCCATGGCTTATATAAAATTGCATTCATACAATTTATACGGTATATCCAAATCCAAACTATATGACTTATTTCGGTTCGGTTTGGATCGGTTCAGTTCGGTTTTACCAAATTGAACAGCCCTACTTTTAAGTTTCAAATATCGTCCACCATCTGCAAAATCTTTTTTATTTAGGGATCAAATTTTGTGCCAACTCACAAATTAATCAATCAAAACGGTCATTATTTTTTTGTATTTTTCTAAATTACCTAATACCATGCCAAAGTCTACAGTTGTTGTTTTCTTCTGCTATTGATAGCAAGCTAACGATAAACATATATAGTCCTTATCAGCAAGCATAATGAAAATATCATGTATCTATTATCCTTATCAAACTGGAAGTTTATCCATTTCTAGTCTTTATCAAATATTCAATGAGGAAAGGCGTCGCTATCTAGAGAACTCATTGAGCCTGTCGAATCTTGGCACACCATTCTTGAATCATTGTGAGCAGAGTTTTGGTGGTCTTGATAGTTTTCCCACGAATGTACCAAGAAACCGGAGGCAGATTTAGAAGAGTACAAGGCTGAAACCTCTGCTCCATTGTTACTTTAGACGCAAGCTTTCCTTCTCCGCGGCTACATCTTTTGTATTCTTCTCTACTCTTTGGTAACCTGTTCTTGCAAAAGCGTTCTTGATCTACAAATATTGGCTCCACTTTCCAGTCACCCTCGAACACTTTCATAAACATCATTTTTTCTTTCTTATATTTTCCCTGTCCACAACAAGCAAGAGGTCAAAACCCAAGTTAAGTTTCACCAATATATTGGTTTTTTTTTTTTTTTTAAGAATGTAGAGAAAAGTTCTTACTGTATGAGTTTTTTCGTTTTCATCCACAATTAGTTTTATTGGGATACTCCAGACCAGAAAAGGAAGTCCCATGCCAAAGCTTTATCCACTTCCACTATCTCCCTCGGTCCATCCCTCTTCAATACCTTTCTTGATTTGTTATCCTTCATAATTAAAATTTACACTCTCAACTCTCAAAGTATTTCTAAAATTATAACATTAGAATCATACAGTTACAATGTTAAGAGAACAACCATAAGTTGCCGCCCAAACTTGTCGATTTGGAAGAGTTCTAAGTCTTGTTTATCAGCGACCAAGTCAAAGACTCCATCAGGAGGCAATCCAATTGTCAATTCTATGTTCACATGGCAAATACCATTTTTTGTTGTCACCTTCAAACACACGCACAACATATTTAGAAGAGATCCCAAAAACTTCTAGAGTCAAAATATCTAAGTAAAGAGATTTGGTTCTTACATACCTTCACCTTAGGAGGGGCATCATACCATGGATGCTTCTTCTCTGCATCTCTCCAAAGTTGAGCTTGCTTGTTCATCTCTTCTTTGTCATAATATATTTCCTTCTTATTAGTATCTTTCTCTGACGTAGATTTAACATTCTCCGATCTATTGGACTCGGCCTACAGCAACATTTATAATTAAAAAGTAGTAGTATATATATATATATATATATATATATATATATATTTATTGTACTTCCTAGGGTTCCATAGTCTATGTAAATGAAACTGACCTTAAGAGGCTGTTGAGAATTCTGATTGATCCAAGAACCAAATCTGGGAAATACACTCATATCTGTCAAAACAATTTAGTTCACAAACGATACGTACGTAATCAGAACAAGAGCAAATGGCAATGCCAAATTTATATATGTTATGGTTCAAGGAATCTTAGATCAAAGAATGATTCAGATTTTGATAAAAAAATACAAAATGAAGCTGAATATGAAAGAATGGCGAGGGCTTGTGGTGGAATAGTGTACGTATACGTTTACGTACCGGAAATGAAAACTAAGTGGCACCTTCGTTCCTCGTGAGTTCTTGACGTAAGTTGAGAATCCATCTAATTCTTTTTCTAAGTGCTCCCTTTTTGCGTATGTCATGTTTCTGACTGACACTCATTTGGATCTAATTCACTAAGTAAGCTGTGAGTAATTCCCTAAAAAATTGCAATAATATACAGTGTCTGTCTAAGCGAGTAAGATGGAATTTACAAAGTTAATGTACACCTTTTTACTTAGGAAGGTTTTTTTGTTAACAAGAAACTAGGAAAGGGTATATAAACCTGTGAAGAATAAGCTTGATCAAACTGAGGTAGAACTTGTAGAGAAACTGTAATTTAAACTTTTGAAGAATAAGTTTGATCAACCTGAGTTAAAATATTCTTAAACTGATATATAACAAAAATGTTCGTATCAAAATTCGGTTAAAAACTTAAAGATATCCTATACGAGCGGGAGCAGCCAAGAGTCAAATAATCAATCGATTAAACCTTTATATAACGTAACTATAACTAAAATTGAGTTTGTGGAAGTCAAATGTTGCGAGCTAAATAATCATTGCAAGTGGGCGCATGGGACCATTTATAATATAATGAAAGGAATGTATGGATACTTTTCTTTTTCTTATTTTATTTGATTCTAAAAATTCAGATGAGTGTGACATTAAATTGAATATAACTGGTGTCTACATATTTTCTCTAATTATCCATTTTCTTCACCACGAAACAATCATGTTCTAAATTTGGCAACAAGCGTACGGTACCCCATACTTATTTGTTACATTTTCAACTGCAATTTGTTTTGTTAATGAATTAGAGTTAATTAGGTAATTAGGTCAGATATAATTAGGTAGAAATAGCGTATATAATTGAGGTCCCTTCTAATGAGTTCGATTGATATATTCTCATCGATGCATATTTTAAGAGAAATATTTTTTTTGATATCTAAAACTGAAATATGACGGATATGAAAAAAATATTATTTCTTTGATCAGTATCTCTGCATATGTTAGGTCAACAACCAAACATTGACTTTCAAATATTACGTGTTTTTTTTATAAGTAAGTTTATGGTTTTTTTTTGGAAGTCTTCAACAATATCCGACGACAATAAAGAAGTCTTCGACGTTTAGCTGTAACGCCCCAAAAGTCACCAACCCAAATAGAAATGTAGACAACAAACTATATTCCAAATAATATTTGGTTAAACGAGACTTCAATTCAATATTGTAGAACTTAGACCATGGCATAAATTATGTTGGTACATTCATACAATCATACTCAACAAATACAAGATGGAATAACCAAATTAGAAGTGTTACGGTTTAAGATTCGATATGTGTGCATCGCAAGATATCTTGGTATAGTGAAATTTTTATATGGTAACTCGTTGATTTTGCCAACATATTTTTTTTATTATTATTTATGGGTACTTCCTACTCAAGTCATATATTAACATGTGGAACTAGTATTATTTTAAAGACACTGTTGTTGAATAATATGAAGAGCTTTTGACATTTTTATTTAATTTGTAAGTAATAAACATGTGGGGGAGAGTATAATTTTTTAATCTCTTGGGCTGGAATAACAGAACCGTTAATTCCACGCGTTAGTCACGGTATTCCACCGTTAGCTTTTGACTGTTGACCAAAGCTTTTGGGTCAAGGCGTCAAGCCAACAAGGTCACCCTTCGCGCGTGAACTAACTAACTAACTAACGCCAAGGCAATGTTAGGTCAACTTCAGACGGCACAAAACCGTGATCTTCATAAAAAAAAAAAAAAAAAAGGTTAACTATCGAGACGACGACACTTGGCGGTTCTAGAGAAACGCTTCCACGTCACAGCACATGTCAGTCCCGTTTTTGCTTCTCCGACAAGTTTTTCAGTTCATGAAATTACATTCTTAACCTTCCGTTTTGAAACGGTGACACGTGGGCGACAATCACAGCGGCAGCCCACCCACTATCTCCCTGAGCCCATCACGCGCTTTTACTCCTAAAGTGAATACCAACAAAAAGAGCGATCTCATTTTCTCATCACTCATGTATGATTTATGATTAATCTAATATTTATCTCATTTTAATAATTTCTCTTTTATTTATTAAAATCACTAATATATAGTCCATCTACTTTAAATTTGTTTTGAAAATAATCTAATTTTTACAATATTTAGAAGTAAATAATACTCCCTCCGTTTTTTTAATGAATTTTCTAGCCATTATATATTGTTTCACAAAGATAAATTTTTTACCTTTTTGATGCACTTTTACAGTTTTCAAGATACAATGATTATATTTGTTGGATTTTTATTGGTTTAAAATTATAAAAAATTGTTTTATTGCAGAAATCTATGCACTAATAATTGAAAATCAACTTTTTCTTAATCTGTGTGAAAAAACTAGAAAATTTATCTTAAAAAAACGGAACGGAAGGAGTAATAAATCACATCATTTCCATGTATTTATCAGTTTCAGTGTAGCCTATGATATGCCTAATTAATTCTTAATATTTAATTCTGCTTTCGTCAGCAAGTATGTAATTTCATCAAATTTATTTGTTTCTGAATGAAACAAAAAGAAAGTAAAGAGGTTTGTTCACATTCGGTAACTTATCTTCACGAGGCACACCAACCATATATAGGCTTAAAGGTCACTATAAAAAACTGAAGACACTTCTGCTTCTCATTTCACACAACCGTCGTTTCAGATTTTCTTCTCCGTTGAGAGAAAGAGAGAGTGCGTTTTCGATCTGATTAACAAACTATGCAGGTTGCTTTTCCTTCGTCGCCGCCGGCGAAATACGTCGGTGACGATCGATTGACAGAGATTTCCATGAAGTTGAGCGAAGATTTCAGCAAATTAGTGTATCTGGAAGAAGGAGAAGAAATTGGAAAATTGGAGAGATCGTGGAGTCAACTCGAAGAATCCGTCGAATTTGACGATGAAGAGGAAGCACGAGAGGAAGAAGATGAAGAGGAAGGAGAAGAATTCTCGTTTGCTTGTGTGAACGGGGAAGGATCTCCGATAACCGCCGATGAAGCTTTCGAGGACGGTCAGATCCGTCCTGTTTTCCCTCTCTTCAACCGCGATCTCCTCTTCGATTACGACAGCGCCGGAAACGACGGCGTATCGGCGACCGACGAAAACGGCCAGGCTATGCGCCCGCGTCTTAGAAAGCTGTTTGTGGAGGATCGCGACGGAGACGGTGAGAAAGCCGCGGCGGATTCGGAGCTCGAACCGCTGGGACCGTACTGCTCGTGGTCAGGTAACACGGTCGAGGAAACGTCGCCGGAGACCTGCCGGAAGAGCAATTCGACGGGGTTCTCGAAGCTCTGGAGATTTAGAGATCTCGTGTTGAGAAGCAACAGTGACGGAAGAGACGCGTTTGTTTTTCTTAACAATAACGTCGTCGGTGATAAGACCCAGTCGTCGTCGTCTTCTTCTTCGACGGCGGCGGCGAAATTGGCCAGTGATGATGATAAGAAGCCAGCGGAGGAGAGCAAGTCAAAGACGAAAAAGGGGAAAGACAAAACGACGTCGTCGGAGAAGAGGACGAAATCGGCGCACGAGAAGCTCTACATGAGAAACAGAGCACTGAAAGAAGAAGGGAAACATAGATCGTATCTTCCGTACAAGCAGGTCGGATTCTTCACCAATGTCAGTGGCCTTAGCAGAAATATCCATCCTTTCTGATAAAATTCGTCAGCGAAAAAAAACCCATAAATGTTTCATAATTGAAATGTTTTAGGTTTGGTGTTGTTTATTTAAAAAATTGAAATTAGTATATGGGTCCCTTCTGTTTGGTAGCTTGGTTTAAATGATAACAGAAAGGTGTACCGTTTTTTTTTTGTTTTTTCAATATTTTGATGTGTAATTTGAAGAGCTTGGCTTGTATTGAACCAATTTGTAAGTATAAGAAAAAAAAAAGGCAGATATGTAACAACTAGTTAGATTTGATTAGATGATTGCATCGATTGTATTACTCTTGTAACAAATTTTAAAAGAACAGTCCGTTTGATATTTTGGTCGGAGAAGAAATGATAAAAAAGAGAGAAAATATGCAAAGTTGGAGTTCTACAAATTAGAGCAACCTGCAAATGAATGTAACCAATTGTGAAGAGCACTCACGTCCAACAATGGGAGCTAAGATGGTTTGTGAAAATGCTTGCTGCACTTCATTTTGAAAGTAAAACTACAACATCATTCGTTTGATGTTTACAATTGATGATCTATCAGTATTCAGTAGTCCTCTCTTAGTTTAAAATAGAGTTCAAAAATATCCGAGGCCATTTTATACGTCGAGTTTGGTATATGCCATGACAGTATCACGGCTCGTAAACGGATTATTAATTTGGCTAATGGGCCTACTATAAGTACATGAATGTAAACCCATAGCTAGTTAGCAGTTTAAGGAAATCCAAAGTCGCACCACAAAGACCCTATAGACGTTAAAGAAGGGCTGCAAAGCAATGAGGCTCAAGAGCGACCTAACTAGGTAACTAACTCTAACAAGTGATGGAAACGAGTTATTTGAACCGGAAACAGAACCAACCTTCACCCGAGTTACACCAACTGACAAACAAGTTAACTGTCTAATTAAGGTCAAACATAAAACAATGTGACTAAGAATTTTTTTTCTTTTTGTAAAATAAATTAATTAGACAAATAGCTTAACAAATCTTTGAACGAACACACCAACCATGATAATATTTATGACGTAGGAAATCTGGTTATAATTAAGAACATTCATCTCTTCGTCGTAAAAGTAAACCGGACAACGTTAGTATCAATCATAGAGAAAACCAATTGGAACTAAGAAATACGAGCATCAAATATCTGAAATTGGTTCCAAGTCTGAAAATCTCCACTAGTTTCATCAACTAATAAAGAAAGAGAGAAATAATTTAAAAGAGGAAGAAGAAACAAATTAATTGGGTCGTTGACAAAATCATTGAACAATGATATGACATCTTTTTCACGAACTTGAGCTTATAAAACCGGAAAGTGGGTCTTTGACATCTGATGAACGTTCTTGCACGTTTCACGATAGTAACTATCGCATACATGCTTCCATGATTATTTAGATGCAAGCGATTCAAAAAGGTCAAAGAAATGGTAAAACCATAGGCTATATAAACGCATGGACAAGTAATGTAGAATCATAAAACAAAAACAAAACCAAGCAACCAAAATAAGAATGAAATCTTCTCCCGGGATGGGGCGTTCAGCCCATCTCGTTTATGCCCTTTGTTTTACTATCATGGCCACAATGGTTGCTGCTTCTTATGAACCATACACGTATAGCTCTCCACCACCACCAGTGTACAATTCTCTACCACCTCTTCCATCTTATTCACCATCTCCTAAAGTAGAGTACAAATCTCCACCACCCCCTTACGTTTACAGTTCTCCTCCACCACCTTCTTACGTTTACAGTTCTCCACCACCATACGTCTACACCTCTCCACCACCACCTCCATACTACTCTCCTTCTCCAAAAGTAGATTACAAATCTTCACCACCTCCATATGTCTACAGCTCCCCACCACCACCACCATACTACTCACCTTCCCCCAAGGTGGATTACAAATCTCCACCACCTCCTTATGTCTATAGCTCCCCACCACCACCTCCATACGTTTACAATTCTCCACCACCATCGCCATACTACTCACCCACTCCTAAAGTAGATTACAAGTCCCCTCCACCACCGTATGTTTATAGTTCTGCACCACCACCGTACTATTCTCCTTCTCCAAAGCCCATTTACAATTCTCCACCACCTCCTTATGTCTACAGTTCCCCACCACCACCATACTACTCACCTTCCCCTAAGGTTGAATACAAATCACCACCACCACCATATGTTTACAGCTCCCCACCTCCACCTTATTACTCACCATCTCCTAAGGTTGAATACAAATCTCCACCACCTCCTTATGTCTATAGTTCCCCACCACCACCATACTACTCACCTTCCCCTAAGGTAGAATACAAATCTCCACCCCCACCTTATGTCTACAGCTCTCCACCACCGCCATATTACTCACCTTCTCCCAAGCCGGCATACAAATCACCACCACCAACATACATCTACAGCTCCCCACCTCCACCTTATTACTCTCCTTCCCCTAAACCTTCGTACAAATCTCCACCACCACCATATGTGTACAACTCCCCTCCTCCACCATACTACTCACCTTCTCCTAAGCCGGCATACAAATCTCCGCCACCACCATACGTATACAGCTCCCCACCACCACCATACCATTCACTTTCCCCTAAGGTTGAATACAAATCTCCACCACCTCCTTACGTTTATAGCTCCCCACCACCGCCATACTACTCACCTTCTCCCAAGCCCACATACAAATCACCACCACCACCATATGTCTACAGCTCTCCCCCTCCACCACACTACTCACCTTCTCCTAAGCCCGCATACAAATCTCCGCCACCACTGTACGTATATAGCTCCACGCCACCACCATACTACTCACCTTCTCCCAAACCTACATACAAATCTCCACCACCACCATACGTTTACAACTCTCCACCTCCACCTTATTACTCTCCTTCCCCTAAACTTGCATTCAAATCTCCACCACCCTCATACTATTCACCATCACCTAAGGTTGTATATAAATCTCCACCTCAGCCACATGTATGTGTTTGTCCACCACCTCCTCCTTGCTACTCCTCTTCTCCCAAGCCCGCATACAAATCTCCAACACCGCCATACGTTTACAGCTCTCCACCTCCACCATATTACTCTCCTTCCCCTAAACCTTCATACAAATCTCCACCACCACCGTATGTCTACGGCTCTCCACCACCACCATACTATTCACCTTCTCCAAAGCACGTATACAAATCTCCACCACCTCCTTACGTCTACAGCTCCCCACCCCCACCATACTATTCGCCTTCTCCAAAGGTTCAATACAAATCTCCACCACCTCCTTACGTCTACAGCTCCCCACCACCACCATACTACTCACCTTCTCCAAAGCCCGTATACAAATCTCCACCACCACCATATGTCTACAGCTCCCCACCCCCACCACCATATTACTCTCCTTCTCCAAAGGTTGACTACAAATCTCCTCCACCACCGTATGTCTACAGTTCCCCACCTCTACCACCATACTACTCTCCATCCCCAAAGGTTGAATACAAATCTCCTCCACCACCTTATGTTTACAGTTCTCCACCTCCACCAACATATTATTCTCCATCTCCGAAGGTTGAGTACAAATCTCCACCACCACCATCATACTTTCCTTCTCCAAAGACCGATTACAAATCTCCTCCCCCACCCTCGTATTATTAAAATCGTGCTATCTAACTAAGATCATACCAAATCTCATATGATGTCATATCATTTTATTTCTTATTGTGCCTAATCCGTTATAATTTTAAAGGTTCAGATGAAATCTTTCGCTATTGAAATTTCATTCAATCATGTTCTTTTATTTTCCTCTTGCTTAAGGGTTGCCCCTAATCCATCTTTGTAAGTCTGTTGCAATTCTATGTATCGTATTCTTGACCTTATTGTTTCGGAATTTATAATGTCTTTTGCCGTTGGTATTGCCATATATATGGATTGCCCATATAATGATTAAAACTACGTTAAATTTGTTAATGATCCGTAATTTCTCATATGTGTTTCTATTTATATCTTTAAGTTAAATGATAAGAATGTTAAAAAAAAAAAAATCAAATAAATATTAATCTATCCATTGTATTAAGCAAAAGAAAAATTAATCAAGAAATAAATTTAAAAAAATACAGAAGATAATGGGGAAATTACCAATTCTAGACCACAATTTGATTTTTTCTAGTCAACTAGACCACAATTTGAATCAAATGCAAAACTAACCTCTTTGGGTAGTAAAATTACCCCACAAGCCCTCATGACCAAACAAAAAAACGCATGCCTCGATTACGATTATAACCTCCAGGAGCATGTAGATCTACCCGTAGATCTACCTGGTAGACAATGTTAGAGGTCTACCTCGTAATAACATCTTAAATTTTAATTAATAATTCAATAAAAAATATTTTTATACAAAAACAAGTATGAATAATTCTAATATAGACATTATCATCTACAAAAAATATGAATGCATACAAATGAATCATTTATAGATAAGCAAAGACATATAGGTTAATATCTATAAAAATGTTTGAGGTCTACCGAGTAAGTCTACTATATCATTAAATTTAAATTTTTATTATAAAAATTGAAAAAAAATATTTTGAGGAAAATTATTTATACATAATTACAATACAGACAACTTGCATCTATCTAAAATATAATTTCATAGATTTGAACCAACTGAACTATGAAAAAAACAAATTAGGTTAAAAGCCTATAAAACCATGAGAGGTCTACCAAGTAAGTCTACTAAATAATCAAATCTTAAATTTAAATTAAGAAAAATTTAAAAAATAATTTGAAATATTTGTTTCACAAATAACGAAATAATAGACATTTAACATATATTAAAAATAAAATTTCATAAAAATCATGAATCTATAAATATCATATGTAAATAGTTCATAAGGATAAGAGTTTGAGTAGATTGTTTAGGGTTTAATGGTGTAAGTTGTAGGGTTTTGAAAAAATTTAGATGAAGAATTGTTTTTGATTGGTTTTACGATTCAATGTTGTTTATTTGTGATATACACTGTAAATTGACAATATGGCAAGCAAATCGTTGCAAAATTGTATCTAAATTATTCGATTTAGGGTTTAGGGTAAAGTAGACCTAACAAGTAGACTGATAGAGTAGACCGAAGTGGAGGTCTACCAACCGTTTTAACCTAGCGGGAATCCCGAAGTTTCAAACAAAAGGGCGGGAACTGGATTTAAATCGAAATTTCGGTAATTTCGTGGTAGACCGTAGCTGTTGATCGAAATGGTAGACTCAAATTAAATCTAATTGAACCGGAATTTTCTACTTAAACCGGAAATTTATCCAAGTATAAAAGAAAGAAAACCCTAATTTTGTTAAAAAAAATCTCTGCTCTCTCTCTCTCGCCGCTCTCTCTCTCTCTCTCTCTCTCTCTCTCTCTCTCTCTCTCTCTCTCTCGCCGTGACTTGTGGCCACTAACTCCCTCTCGCCATCTTCTTCATCTTCTGCTTCTTGGCCTTGGTTTACTCTCTCCCTGGCCTGAGTTTCGAGGAGCGGCCGACGAAGTTTCGAAATGAGTCTCCGCCTCCGGCTCTGCCTCCCGCCCGATCTGTCTCCACCTTCTCGGACTTCTGCGAAGAACCGTGGTTCTAGTCTCCGTCGGCGGATGTCTGCACCGTCGAGATATGTCTCAGCCTCCACCATCCTGCCTCATCCGATCTCAAGCCGCCGTCGGTGGCACTGGTAAGCCATTTATTTTCGCTTCATAGCAGATCTAAATCCGATTTGAGCCACAACATGACATATTGACCTATTTTTCTGGATCTGAGCGCCAAAGAAGCTTTAGAGGATGTAGGGTTCGAGCACATAAGAGAATGAAGCGGAGGAGAATGGTGGGATAAGTTTCGTGAAACAATTCTTCGGAAGTTTCGCTTCTGTAAGTTTCTCCTCTTCTTCTCCAACATCAACTATTTCTCTTCTTATCACCTTGTTGTGTAGATTTTAGTCAGATCTGTAATAACTGTTGTTCTTGGTTTGCAGGTGTAGCTCCTCTTCGCCCTCTCCTCAACCAGGTCCGGTCAAGCCTTTGTTAAACCCACCGAATCCAAACAATGGAAAATTAGAGGTACTACTTAATTTTTGCGGATTTGGTTATATTTTGGGACAATGCATGCTCAAAATCAGTTTTTGTTTTTTTTGCGGATTTGTTATGTCGTGTTTCTGTTCTTAGAAGTTTAAACAAAAAAATGTGTTATATGTTCTAATTAATTTGAGTTCTTTGTTCTAAACAACTTTTGTTCTATGAATTTTATTTCTGATTTGTATTTGATATGGAAATTAGGTGGGGAAAAAGGATGGCTTTGGTCGAAAGGTCCAAGAAATTCTCTGCGGATTTTTGTGATATGAGCTTCTGCAGCCATTGATGCTAAATCTGCAGTTGCTCCAATCGAAAGAGAGGTATGAATTTTGCTTTGCTTTTATATCTCTGTTGCATTTGTACGTGTGTGTATAATCCTCTTTGTAACCTCTTCTTTGACTTGATGTTTTTCTGTTAAAAGGGCTATCTTAACAGATAGTGAAGAAGTGTGAGCAAAGCTAGAGCTAGAGCCTATCGCCCTGTTTTCTTCAGAAAGGCTGGTTAAAACTTACACAGCCACGGAAGGAGAACTCGGAGAGGTAGGAGAAGGCACAAGCCATTTCAACATTTTGTCGGAGATCTAAGTCCAGAGGTTGCAGCATTGTTTGATAGCTTTCGGTAAGTCATTATGCTTAATCAACTGCTTTAGTGACTAGTTTAATTTCTTTCGTTTTTTTTTGCTTTGGTCTTGTTGAACTTTTGTTGATTTGGATTTGAGTAAGACTCACGTTTTACAGTTGGTGTTGCACTGGTTAATGAATATGCTTCCCGATCAGTGGTTGTAGAAGTAATCCTCTCATCATGAACACTTTCTATCTAGACGTCTAAAGCTTCAAGCTTTTTCCTTCCCCGATGCCAAACAAGCCTCCTAATTCTGTTCAGATCCGAACCGAGAGAATAGAGGTAAGCCCGACTGATGTTTGTTTACCGATCTGGAGCTGTTATCATTTCTTTTTTTCTTGATTTTAATTATGAAACGCTTGAAGGCTAAGCCTTGATAACCTTTTGAAACCAATTCTATTGTAACAGGACAGAAGGTCTCCCCAATCAGTATGCCGTCGATGGTGACTAATGAGATGGCAATTGATATTTCATATGCTTTTGGATTTGAGTTTTTTTTAGTCTAAAAGCTTTTGGATTTGAGTTTTTTTTATTTATTTTTGTGTCAGTTTTGATTGTAAGACCTTGTTGCCTCTCAGATTTTTATTAGTATTTTCATGCTTAGTCTTCTTTGTCATTTGCATTTCTCATCATATCAAACTTGCATATCAGATTGGAAACTTGCATAAAAAACTTGAACACAACATAAAGTAGATCTACTACGTAGATCCTCAATGGTAGATTGCATTAGTAGATCTTATTATCAGTCTACTTCTGTTAGTAGACATCTTCAGTCTACTTTCAGTCTACCTTTCCAAGTAGACCTCATCTTCAGTCTACTCTGTGCGTTGTTCATCTACATCAGTTCAAAATCCAATTTTTAAAACTCATGTAATAAAAAAAACAGAAACCATGAACACACTGTGAGTTGTCATTAGCTTACGCAATGAAGGCGGATATGTCCCGGCTGCACTTCGAACAACTATAAACTCTATCAAGCTATGAACCCTATCGTTGGTGATGTACATATGAGGAAAGTCTGAGGGCATTTCACATCTGGTAATGGATAAGATAATTCCACCATCTGGTTCCATATCCAACATATAGTCAGCTTGTACCATGTGTACAACCATCCCGTAAGTAGAACATTCTCCCTCCTTTTCCTTTATCCATCTCAAAATGCCATGACTTGTCTTCCATCACCATCCATTTTCCATAAACGGAAGCTAGACAAACCATTACCTGCAACAAAAATAAACCAGACCACAAAATGGATTAGTAGACAGAAGGCGTAGACCGACAAGGTAGACCCACAATTTGGTCTACCAAAAAATTAAGCTAGATACCTAATTCAAAAGAAAACCGAATATAGCCTTAATTACGCCGAAAGAACATTTCAAACTCACACAGAAGCAAGTAAACAAATAAAAACAACTAACTGTTCGAGAAAATTTCAAAATATTTGATATATTGAAAGGAAAACGACATTTTAAAAAACACATAATAATAGACCTAAAACGTAGACGTTCGGAGTAGACGTTCACGGTAGACCTCCACTTAGGTCTACTCCACGTGGACGGCCACGTGGAGGGTTAGTTTTGCAATTGATCGAGAAAAATGTTTTTTTGGAGGTCTACCTTGTCGGTCTACTACACGTGGAGGGTTAGTTTTGCAATTGACCAAACGTTGACTTTTTCACGAGGTCTACCGTGTACGTCTACCAGAAAACGTAGACCTCTCAATCGGTCTACCAAAAAAAGTAGACCTCTGAATTAGTCTACGCCTTAGGTCTACCTACCGAAAACAGTTTGTTTTGCCGTTGACTCAAGTTTGACTTTCCTCGGGTAGACTTCCGTGGTAGACCTCAGTTTTTTGCGTTGACCAGTAGACCTCACTTGCGGTCTACCGGATGGTAGACCTCAATGACGCAAAATCTCTCCTTTTTGAGGAAAGTCAAACTTGAGTCAACGGCAAAACCAACTTTTTTTTTTAGGTAGACCTAAGAGGTAGACCTCCGAAAAACATTTTCTCTATCAATTGCAAAACTAACCCTCCACGTGGAGTAGACCGACAAGGTAGACCTCAAAAAAAACATTTTTCTCAATCAATTGCAAAACTAACCCTCCACGTGGAGTAGACCTAAGTGTAGGTCTACCACTCATTTTTTTTGTTTGCAAAGGAAATGGCACAGTCAACTCTGCGTTGACCAGTAGACCTAAACTGAGGTCTACTATGTAATGGTAGACCTACACTTCAGTCTACCTTCGCAGACCAAAACTGAAATTCTTAGAATTTTGAAAGAAAAGTTACTGGCCGTTGGAGAAAGGCTCTTCAAGGGCTGATAACTTCAATTTAGGCTTCAATTACGAGTTCCGGTCATCACTAAGCTAAACAATTGGAAATGCCAAGACCCAAGATTTGAGTTTTCTTTTAAGTTTTTGGGATGAAAATGGAGAGAAAATGGAAAGAATAAGAGTTTGTGAGATGAAAGAAGGAGAAATGCTAGCTCCAAAGTGAGTTTTCGGAGCATTAACAGCTCCAAATTGGGTAAAAATGGTGGTTGTCAACATTGATGAAATGATTTTTGGCAATTAAGTGTAGAAGATGAGGGGTGTTTGGTCTTTCAGCAGATCTGGTAGACCTAAATATCGGTCTACCAATCGAAAAAGTAATGGCATTTCGTAATTAATTGGAAAAAACTGGACAAACTTAAAATGAAAAAACAGGAGGTTACTTTTGCATTTGACCACAATTTTGGGTCTAGAAGTGAAACAACCCCGAAGATAATATTAACATGTATCACTATCTAAATTATAGGGTGTTAAATTATTAATCTATAAATGAAGGCTTCCCACATGATAACCTTCTGATGCAGATTACTTGAAGCCGTCATATCCGTCATTTGTTGCTCACTTGCTCTAATAGTACTAGTGCCGGTGCTGTACACTCCGTGAAGTCACGGTTGGCGGTCGCGATTGACAAAATGGTGGTAGAAAAGAGATGTAAGAGTGATGAGAGCCTGCATCAGAAAAGAGATGGAAAAAAAGGGGGGTCGTCAATGAATCCATGTTCCATGTTCGACCACTAATTCATATTTGAATTTAGTCAAAAACCCTAATTTTCACTTTTAATTACGACCCATTTTCGCTTTTTTTTTATAACTCTTGTATCTGGGCAGCTACATTCCCGACTATCCTCACAAGTGGGGTTCAACGCCCCAACGGAATGGATGTTAAATTCGTTGTGGCCGGAACTCGAACCCAGGTGGCGGGTAACTCAGCTGAGAGTCCTTTACCACCAGGCCACAAGTGCCGGTTCCATTTTCGCTTTTACTATTTAAACAGTTGTAAAAGGTTGAGAATAACTGTAACTATCTGAGATCTTTTTTCCTTCAAGTTCAATAATAGCAAAAAAATGACAATTAAACTATATTTCTCATTAACTAATCTCAACAATGTACAGTAATTTCCTTATATACTATTTCCTTAATTTCCTATACCGTAGGTATATAAGTTATATATTTACAACTCTATACCCTTAGACAAACGATTTGAAAAGAATACTAAAAGGATATAAGGAGCAGAAACTTTAGAACGCTAACTGAAACCAAGAAAAAGATGAAGTCCAAAGTCGCACACAAGACTCTGTAGACGTCAAAGAAGGACTGCAAAGCAATGAGGCTCAAGAGCAACCAAAATAGGTAACTCCAACACGAAGACCCAAAGAAGAGCAGAACCAAAAACACGACAGTGACAGAAACGGACATCAACTAGAACCAGCCTCCACCAGAGTCGCATCGAGAAACCGCAAAACACTGACTAACAATATGATATAACTGTCTAAGATCAAACATCAAAACATTAAACAATTTGAATATTTAAATGTGAATAAGAATTTTGTTATTCGTAAGATAAATTAAGTAGACATATAGCTTAACCAATCTTTGAACGAATACACCCAACTTTATAAACTTTATGACATAGGAAATCTGGTTATAATTACGAACATTCATCTCGTCGTCGTAAGAGTAACCAAACAGTTGTTAGTATCAATCATAGAGAACCAACTGGAATTAAGAAATACGACCATCGAATATCTGAAAGTGGTTCCAAGATTGAAAATTTCCACTAGTTTTCCCAACTAATAAGACTAAAAAATGTCTTGAGGAAGAGGAAACAAATTAATTGGGTCGTTGACAAAATGATTGAACAATAATATGGCATCTTTCTTCACGAACTTGAGATTATAAAACGGAAAGTGGGTCTTTGACATTTGATGAACGTTCTTGCACGTTTCACGATAGTAACTATCGCAAACATGCTTCCATGATTATTGAGATGCAAGCGATTAAAAAAGGTCAAAGAAATGGTAAAACCGTAGGCTATATAAACGCATGGACAAGTAATGTAGAATCATAAAACAAAACAAAAACACAAAACCAAGCAACCAAAATAAGAATGAAATCTTCTCCCGGGATGGGGCGTTCAGCCCATCTCGTTTATGCCCTTTGTTTTACTATCATGGCCACAATGGTTGCTGCTTCTTATGAACCATACACGTATAGCTCTCCACCACCACCAGTGTACAATTCTCTACCACCTCTTCCATCTTATTCACCATCTCCTAAAGTGGAGTACAAATCTCCACCACCCCCTTACGTTTACAGTTCTCCTCCACCACCTCCTTACGTTTACAGTTCTCCACCACCACCACCATACTATTCACCTTCTCCAAAGCCAATATACAAATCTCCACCACCTCCTTACGTCTACAGTTCCCCACCACCACCATACTACTCACCTTCCCCTAAGGTTGAATATAAATCACCACCACCACCATATGTCTACAGCTCTCCACCACCACCATACAACTCACCTTCTCCCAAGCCAGCATACAAATCACCACCACCACCATATGTCTACAGCTCCCCACCTCCACCTTATTACTCTCCTTCCCCTAAACCTTCATACAAATCCCCACAACCACCATACGTGTACAACTCCCCTCCTCCACCACACTACTCACCATCTCCAAAGCCGGCATACAAATCTCCACCACCTCCTTACGTCTACAGTTCCCCACCACCATCATACTACTCACCTTCCCCTAAGGTTGAATACAAATCTCCACCACCTCCTTACGTCTACAGTTCCCCACCACCACCATACTACTCACCTTCCCCTAAAGTTGAATACAAATCTCCACCCCCACCTTATATCTACAGCTCTCCACCACCGCCATACTACTCACCTTCTCCCAAGCCAGCATACAAATCACCACCACCACCATACGTCTACAACTCCCCACCTCCACCTTATTACTCTCCTTCCCCTAAACCTTCATACAAATCCCCACCACCACCATACGTGTACAACTCCCCTCCTCCACCAAACTACTCACATTCGCCTAAGGTTGAATATAAATCTCCACCACCTCCTTACGTCTACAGTTCCCCACCACCACCATACTACTCACCTTCCCCTAAGGTTGAATACAAATCTCCACCCCCACCTTATGTCTACAGCTCTCCACCACCGTCATACTACTCACCTTCTCCCAAGCCAGCATACAAATCACCACCACCACCATACGTCTACAACTCCCCACCTCCACCTTATTACTCTCCTTCCCCTAAACCTTCATACAAATCCCCACCACCACCATACGTGTACAACTCCCCTCCTCCACCACATTACTCACCTTCGCCTAAGGTTGAATACAAATCTCCACCACCACCATACGTATACAGCTCCCCACCACCGCCATACTATTCACCTTCTCCCAAGCCCACATACAAATCACCACCCCCACCATATGTCTACAGTTCCCCACCTCCACCACACTACTCACCTTCTCCTAAGCCTGCATACAAATTTCCACCACCACCGTACCTATACAGCCCCCCACCACCACCATACTATTCACCTTCACTTAAGCCTGCATACAAATCTCCCCCACCATCATACGTTTACAGCTCTCCACCTCCACCTTATTATTCACCTTCTCCTAAGGTTGCATACAAATCTCCACCTCACCCACATGTATGTGTTTGTCCACCACCTCCTCCTTGTTACTCCCCTTCTCCTAAACCCGCATACAAATCTCCACCACCACCATACGTTTACAACTCTCCACCTCCACCTTATTACTCTCCTTCCCCTAAACCTTCATACAAATCTCCACCACCACCGTATGTCTACAACTCTCCACCACCACCATACTATTCACCTTCTCCTAAGCCCGTATACAAATCTCCACCACCCCCTTACGTTTACCCCTCCCCACCCCCACCATACTACTCGCCTTCTCCAAAGGTTGAATACAAATCTCCACCACCTCCTTACGTCTACAGTTCCCCACCACCACCATACTACTCACCTTCTCCTAAGGTTGACTACAAATCTCCACCACCACCTTACGTCTACAGTTCCCCACCACCACCATACTACCCGCCTTCTCCTAAGGTTAACTACAAATCTCCACCACCTCCTTATGTCTACAGTTCCCCACCACCACCATACTACTCACCTTCCCCTAAGGTTGACTACAAATCTCCACCACCTCCTTACGTCTACAGCTCCCCACCACCACCATACTACTCGCCTTCACCTAAACCAGCATATAAATCCCCATCACCACCGTATGTCTACAGTTCTCCACCACCACCATATTACTCAACTACTCCAAAGGTTGACTACAAATCTCCTCCACCACCGTATGTTTACAGTTCCCCACCTCCACCACCATATTACTCACCTTCTCCAAAGGTGGACTACAAATCTCCTCCACCACCGTACGTATACAGTTCTCCACCTCCACCACCTTATTACTCTCCTTCTCCAAAGGTTGACTACAAATCTCCTCCACCACCCTATGTCTACAGTTCTCCACCTCCACCACCATATTACTCACCTTCTCCAAAGGTGGACTACAAATCTCCTCCACCACCGTACGTATACAGTTCTCCACCTCCACCACCTTATTACTCTCCTTCTCCAAAGGTTGACTACAAATCTCCTCCACCACCCTATGTCTACAGTTCTCCACCTCCACCACCATATTACTCTCCATCTCCAAAGGTTGAGTATAAATCTCCACCACCTCCATATGTTTACAACTCTTCACCACCACCATCATACTCTCCTTCTCCAAAGACTGAATACAAATCTCCACCCCCAGCCTCGTATTATTGAAATCGTGCTAGCTAACTAAGATCATACCAAATCTCATATGATGTCATATCTTATTTAATAATTCTTGTGCCTAATCCGTTATAATTTTAAGGGTTCATATGAAATCTTTCGCTATTGAAATTTTATTTCGATTCATGTTCTTTTTTTTGTTTTTTTTTTTTTTTTTGCTTTTGGCTAAGGGCTGCCTCTTATCCATATTTGTAAGTCTGTTGCAGCTCTATGTATCTTATTCTTGACCTTATTGTTTTGGAAATTTATGATATATTTGCCGTTAATATGCTATATGGATTGTCCATCCATATAAACTTCATCATGGATGAATAAAGCTATGTTAAATGATAAGAATTTGACAACCCATTACTGTTTTTTTTTCCTTGAAAATAATACACTTGTATTGTTGAGTTTATTAGTTAATATTATCTATAAACAAATTGGAAGTAAAATGTCTCGATAAATAAAGATGTCTCAAGAAATAAAGATCACTAGCCAGTAGAGAAGATACTAGTGATTATATTATTGTTCTCATCAACTATATGTAATTTAGTTATAGATTACATGGACTAATGAATATTGGATCTTCTGCTCCAATTAAGAAGATGATGAAGAAAGTATAATTTGGATTTCCGGCGGTAGTAATTAATTTGGATTTAGATTTTAGAATTAAGGTTTTCTACAGTAAATGAATTAACTTAAAACATATATGCCGTTTCCTTATAAAGTTTTTGGTGGAATTAAAATTTTGGTTTTTTTTGTTTTTGTTAAAGGGTTTCTTATATTTTGGTTTTACAAAATTTGAATACGCTAAAGAATTTTGGATCGGAACTTTGTAAACACGTTTCAAAATGATCAGTTTTATGTATATGACATCTAATTGTGCCTGAATTCAGAAACAGATGAACTGCTAATATATAGTAATATGACTATATACCTAATTAAAATTTCCAAATGGTCACATCAAACAAGTTTATTTAGTTCGACAAAGTTTCGTCCAATCCGCGGTAAGTCGTTTCTCCCGAACTAGCTAAACTATGTATTATAGTATTAAAGTAAAGATGGAATTGCTCATAATGATACATTTTATATATATATATATATATATATATATATATTTTTGTTGGTGTTCTAATATTTTATTGTTACAATTATTATTATTGAAGATCTACTGCTTCTGAATTGGGCCTTGATTAGTGACGATGTACATGACAATGAAACATGCATGTTCCCCAAATTCCAGTTGATGATGGAAGAAAACGATATATATATAGTGTCCGCCAAATTTGAAAGATGTAAATAAAACAAGAACATGTTATAAGATAACTATAAGAAAATAATGAATATGCCAAAATAGTGTTCTGAAGAAAATGGTTGACTTACGACTAAGCTGAACCAGTGACAAACAATTCTAAGATATATATATTTCTTTGTTTATTTATCTCGGGATAATTTATGCTTTGCAGCGAATTTCTATTATCTATAAAAAAAAATTCTAAAGATACACTTGTATTCTATTATCTATAAACAAAATTCTAATTTAATTTCATGTTTTAAAAATATGATATGCATAGTAATTAAATAAAATTAGAGGTGAACATTAGTTATATCATATATTATCTTATTATATAAAGTTGGATACGCGCGACGTGGTTACAACACGTAGGATTTTTAACATTTATAGGATCTCAACATGTGTCACTTTTAAAGTTATGTCCGTTAAGATCGTGATAGGTGTCTTGGGAAAAAAAAAATAATTAAAAAAAATATTTGATAAAGAAAAAATTAAAAAATGAAATTTTAATCTATTATTATCAAAAAAAATATTATATTTGTTATATCCTAATAAAAAATATTTCCTATTCATCAAATTTATTTTTCAAGACATATATTAAATTAAAAATAGTGTAATAAATAAAATCAAACTAGTATATAGTTATGTTATGTAAACTAAATTTCCTATAACTGCATGAAATAGGTTATGTGAATCTCTTATAAAAAGAGAGTTAAGATAGTTTTTTTTTTATCATTCACAAACATATCAAAAAAAATTCATCAAATCTCTTTGATTCTCTTTCTATAATTTAAAAATTATGAATTTGAAAATTCACGCGATATATAGGAATTTTATAACTCAGAAAATTGTGAGATGTGTTTTTCTAAAAAAAATCTGAAAGTATTAAGATAGTAACATATGTAATCACAGAAACAAAAACTAGCAAAATAATTATAAAAAACAACTAATAGTAAAAATTAAAATTTATAATGGACTGAGGCAAAACAAAATTGAAAAAGAAACAATATAAAAAGAAAACTAATAAATAATTATCAAGTAACTAACTTATATTAAAAATATATATATATATATAATGAACTGATATTCTAACTTTAAACAGTTTACTTTTCAATTTTTTGTTAGGCAAAAAAATATTAAATAAAGATTTCATGAATGGAATAAAACAGTTATCAGATGTAGACATGTGCACGTCTTTCTATATTGGATAAAAAGTTAAAATAAAACAAATTAATTCATTTTTCATATATTGAATTCAAAAAAATATTAATTACAGTAAAAATGTAAAAAGATTACCAATCTTATTATTTAAAAATTGTTATCCTGTTTTTTAATATTATTCTACTTAGTAATCAAATATTGTTTAATACTGTTTTATATAGTTCCAATTTTTTCTTTTTCCTGTCTCGCGTCACGTTTCTCCTTTCCTTCCTTTCTCGTTTGGTCCTATTTTATTTTGTTCTGTAAATATTATAAACTAGATTAAACTAAAGTGTTTAGCAATATATATTAATTTTAATAAAACTGAGAATTTTTTGCTAAAACTATTATATTAATAAATAATTATTATTATGAAAATTAAAATATAATATATATATATATATAATTTAAAAAAATTTACCAACAAAATTCTGATATGTTAATTATTTAGAGGTCCTTAAAATGATGTTGCAGCCTAAGAAAAACCCCATTTAATTAACTTTATATGTATATACATATATCATTTTTTAATAGTTCTATATATATATATATATATTGTTTTTAATAATACTTTTTAAGAGCTCTAATATATATAGATTCGGGGCAATCTATATGTTTATAATATTCATCATAGCAATATATTGAATATAATGAGATTGTGCTCTATATAGAACGACATTTTCTTACTTTAACATTGCATATCTATTCTTCAGTGACATCTAATCCAAGAAAAATGACACATACATACTTCATTTGATTTATTTTTCTGTTATTTAGGAATTTGTATATTCATTATTTAGGAACCTGTATACTTAATATAGAGAACATAAAATTTAAAAATATAAACAAATTTCGCACAAATGGGTAAAAAGTATGTGTCATCTTATTTATTATAGCAATACATGGAATATAATCTCAATGTGTTCTGTATCAAACAATATCTTATTTTTTAACATTACATACTCATTTTCTTTAAAATATATGTTCATTTTCAAAAATCCAAAACATGCCATACACACACAAAAAAAGGATCTAAGGTTTGCCTTATTTGAATCATCATTATTTACAAAAGATTAAAAATAACTAATTTTTGTAGATATTTGGCCTAATTTTTCCTTCTTCTTTTTTCTCCAAATATTCTAATTTTGGAGGTTTTTTTATCTGCCATACAAAACGTTTTGTAGATTTTCCAAATTGTTTTAACAATCGTCTCTATCCCGAAAAGTTCTGTATAGATAAACAAACCAATCCCTCTTTTAGATAAAAAAGACCTAAAATCCTCCCATTTGTTACGGATTGTTTTCCTAAAAAGACAAGTTGAACAATATAAAAATAAATCCGGTAATAATAATGTGTCACTGATCTTCGGCTATAAATAGCAGAGTAGAGAGCTCACCTAGTCATCTACGTGTCTCGCAGTTAATCATCTCACGTGCCACGTCAAACAGGTACACTTGAGGTTTCGTTAATCATCTCCTTATAAGTAAAACTGTATTCATTTTCAAGCATACTAGCTACTCTCTAAATCTTTTGTTTACGAACACACCTCTCTCAAGGTCCGTCTAGAAACTAAAACATCTTAATCTTATTTTTTCACTTCACCAATTTTCATGCTTACTGCAAAATCAGATGATCATAATAATGATATATATTTGTTTCTGTTTCACTCGTTTATACGAAACCCTTGTAATTTTTTCGATCCCTTTAGTTGTTATAGTGTTAACTCCTCGATCGTTTCAAAATTATTCTTTCTCTTTAAATAAAAACCGATTAACCGATTTTGGTTTTAAACATATGATCGATTAACTTCTTGTCCAACACTTTTTTTGTTGTTGTTCTTGGAACGTAAAGAAATGTCGACGGAGACGTATGAAGATGCACTTGAAAAACTAGGAAAGCTTCTTTGGTACAAAACACTCTCTTTCTGTCCCAATATGATCCGATATTTTTAGAATTTGCAGGTTGTGGGATGATCACAATCGTAGATCATATAGTACCATACCTCGTACGCTGTGATTAATCATTACAAAATATATATATATATATATATATATATATATATATCTAACTCCTAAATATAGTATAATAGCATGAAATGGTCAATTTGCTTGCAGTAACAAATCGGATCTCGGGAACGTGGCGGTCGCAAAGATCAAAAAGTTAACAAGTGAGCTAGAGGAACTTGATTCCAACAAATCATCAGATGCTGTAGAACGAATCAAATCCGGATTTATCCATTTCAAGACTCATAATTATGAGTACGTAATATTCCTTATTCCGTACGCATCCGTCCAATTTTCATTACTTTTTAATATGGATAAAATTCCACCTTGTTCCCTCCCCCACACTCATATAATAATAGCTATTATTTTAATCTTAGTCAAATAAAAGGGAATAAGACAGAAAAATGGGTTTTTTTTTTAAGTTATGGGACTTTTCTTAATCATGTTCTTGATTAAATAAAAGCTTGAGTTCTGAATTTGATGTTTTTTCTCATTATATTATTGGTTTCATCAATTGGCAGGAAGAATCCTACTCTGTACAATGCGCTTGCCAAGAGCCAGAGCCCCAAGGTTTTGATTCTGCCACTCATTTCATTATTTTTGTCAGTTTTTAGTGATTTGCTTTTCAAGTTTGACTTCCTCTAGTTGTCCATAATAGGTATGAAAAACAAGGAAAAAGCTTTTTAATCCAGTAATGATGGTAACTTCATCGCCAAGCCAGAAAAACACACACTAAAACTAAAACCCTAAAGATAAAAACAAGGATTAAGAGTTAACTAAGACTCCTTCAAAGAGATAAGTTTATGATCCATTATGATTTTTTTTCTTCTTTTTTGCAGTTTTTGGTGTTTGCTTGTGCGGATTCCCGAGTGTGCCCTTCTCACATCTTGAATTTCCAACTTGGGGAAGCCTTTATCGTCAGAAACATTGCAAACATGGTGCCACCATATGACAAGGTTTCGTCCTAACAAAAAGATGTTCATATCTATATTATCTTTATACAAACAACATCCCAAGTTGTTGTAGTGATTAAGCAACGAACTAATATATATAAGATTTTTGTCTTTGGAAACTTTTAGACGAGACACATTGGTATCGGTGCCGCCCTTGAATACCCAGTTACAGTCCTCAACGTACGTACCAACTAGAATTTGCTTTCTTAGATATATTTCTCTTGTCATGCACAAGATGCTTAATAAAAAGCTGATGTGACCTAGTTTCAACCCTAAGAAAATAAGATGTGTTTTGTCACTATCATCAGGTGGAGAACATTCTGGTGATTGGTCACAGCTGTTGTGGTGGAATAAAGGGACTCATGGCCATTGAAGATGATGCAGCTCCCACTAAGACGTAACTAATTAAACTCAAAATGCTAATTTAATCAATATCCTCTAAATTACATGATCAGCCATAAGACAATATCTTGGCAATTGGTTCACTAACTTCTTTGAAATGGCAGCGACTTCATAGAAGACTGGGTCAAGATCTGTAAACCGGCCAAGAACACGATCAAGCAGGATTTCAAAGACCTATGCTTCGACGATCAATGTGCCAACTGTGAGAAGGTAATACGATCAGTGTATCTCCATATTCTGTCTTTACTTAAGAAGCTTGCTGAGACTGTTTCTCTGGCTCGTGCAGGAAGCAGTGAACGTGTCGTTGGGGAATCTGTTGTCTTACCCGTTCGTGAGAGAAAGAGTGGCGAAGAAGAAACTCTCCATAAGAGGAGCTCACTACGATTTCGTGAAAGGCACGTTTGAGCTTTGGGAACTCGACTTCAAGACCACCCCTGCTTTTGCCTTGTCTTAAACACACAAAAACAAAAACATTTTACTCTATGTTGCTTCTAAGTGTGTTCTTATAATCTTCCTTTGCTGCTTCTGTTCCAAAATAAACGAATAAGCTCTAAAGAGCATTTTAGTTTCCATCTTTATAACTCAAACACTCTACAAAGAGAAGATACACTTTTAACACTTGCTTTTATTAGCTTGAGCCTCTCATGGGATGGGATATACGACGAGCTTCCCTGTGGCATGATTCGTTTCCAAGTAAGAGAAAGCATCAGCGACGCGTGAGAACGGGAACGGTCCTTTGGGATCAACCACCGGTTTCACTTTCCCACTCTCAATGTATGGGTTCAGTTTCTTCAAAACCTCGCCGTTTGATGTCACAACGAATCTGAAACCAGGAGGTGTCACTGCTCCGGTCAAGGCCACAACTTTCCCTCCTTCCTTAATCACCTTCACCGCCTTCTCGCACATTCCTTTTCACAAAACAAACACAAGAGTGTTCTTGATTAAAACGTTTTCTTGCAAGAAACTAGATTATGTGTTTTTGTTGTGTTTTATATACCAATTGCGTCAAAGACGACATCAAACTTCTCAGGCAAGTCTTCGATGTCCTCCTTTGTGTAATCAATGGCTAAATCAGCACCTAAGCTTCTCACTAGCTCCAGCTTCTCCGTGCTCGCTGTTGCAGCCACCGTCGAAGCTCCGTAAACTTGCTTCGCCAGCTGCATTCAAATTATGGAATCATTCAACAACCTATCAATCTCCGACTTAGATTGCAGAAGAACAATAGATTTTTTACCTGAATCGCAAGGCTCCCTACTCCTCCGGCGCCGTTGAGAACGAGAATTGACTTTCCGGCGGAGAATTCCGTCCTAACCAGACCTTCGTCGGCGGTTAATATAGCCAGCGGAAGCCCTGCGGCTTGAGCGAAATCGATGTTGTTAGGTTTCAAGGCTAATAGCTTATCTTCCACCGCCGTGTACTCTGCTAAGGAACCGAATTGCTTCGGACCTTCCAATGCTTTCTCGCTCACGTTTGCGTAAACTTCGTCTCCTTCTTTAAACTCCTTCACCGCACTTCCCACCTTCACCACTACTCCGGCGACGTCGTATCCCGGAACAGTCTGCTTCGACGAAGATTCAAATTAAGAATCCAAAATCTTCTCAATGTTTTCAGAGAGTTAGAGAGTGAAATTTTACCGGGAGAGGAGAATCGGTGGCTTTGAATTTCCCTTGCCGTCTCTTTGCGTCGACGGGATTAAGAGCCGCCGCAACAACCTTAATCAGAACCTGATCCTCTTTAATCTCCGGCACCGCAATGTTGCTCTTCAGTTTTAAAACATCCACTCCTCCGTACTCACTGTACACCCACGCCTTCATCTCTTTCGGAATCGACGCATCCGTCGCGACACCGGCCGCCGCGGAAGTGCTCTGAGAGCTCGCCGAGATCCTCAACAATGTCTTGCTGACCGTTTGCACGCCGGATCTGAATCCAACTCTGTTTCTCCGGAATACCGACGATTTTATCGGAGAGCAGTGACGAAGAAGAGGCGATGCACGTCGGAGTACAGGAGTTGTGGCGGTGGTGGTTGCAAGCGCCGCGTTCATTTTTCCAGTCTGCCGCTAATTTCTCCAAACGGCTTATCTCTTTTCGCATCCTCTGCTTTATTCGAATTGTAAAACACTCCCACGTGGCTTTTTATGATTAGTCAGTCTGTTTTTGTGGTTGTCGTTTTAAACTTTTGATCGGAAAAATTGTGGCGTTTCTGTGTCGAGAAGTTTCCGTATTCAAACGGCAAGTAGTTCATCTGTTAATGTGTTTTGTTTCCTCAATACAACTACGAAAACGTCACGTAGTTCTTACAAACCTGTTTGACGCATATTGATGGGCTATAAATTTTAATTGGGCTACAAAAAAGGCGCCATTAGCCGAAACGGTTGTTAAAAGCGCGAGTTTAGAGATCATTGATCTAGGCACGATGACCATAACACCGCGCACAACGAAGCACGATGTGTACACGTGGACTGTTTCACTTGGATCAATGGTCAAGCTTAAAACTCGACCGTCCGTTGGCTCACCTCAAAACTCAAAAAAAAACAGAAAGCTTTTTTCCGGGAATTTCATTGAATGTGACGGCTCGATTGTTTTTGGAAACGTCAATCAGATCCAAAAGGTATGCTCCGAATAAACCCAAATTCTTTGAGAAATTGTATGTTCCTCATATTATCTAAATTTTGAATCTTCCAGTCATACAATGTGATCCATATGTTGTATAAACTTCATTTGATTTCCCTTGTTTCTAGATATATTGTTATAAATCTGAAGAATGTGATCTCCTTTACCAGAAAAATCGAAACTTTGTTGTGGTTAAGATCATATCGAATAATAAAAACTAACTGGATTCAGAACTTTTAGAATCACTGCATCTTTTTACTAGGTCATGCTTATATACTCTGTAACTATTGTGTCTTGTTGCTTGTTCAATGCATGATCTAAATCGAACGATCCAACTTTGAGGATGTGATCATTTGATCTGGTAAGAAGTAATGATTATTTGTCGTTGCAGGCTCTTCTTATTGAAAAAATGGCAGAAACCAAGCCCGGTTTGAGAAAACCAGCTTTCACTAAGGTTGATCAGCTGCGTCCTGGGACAAGCGGACACAATGTGACAGTGAAGATCATTAGCACGAAGATGGTGTTGCAGAAAGGTCGCGCAGATGGTCCTCAGGCTCGTCAGATGAGGATTTCTGAATGCATTCTTGGAGACGAGACAGGAGTTATCATCTTCACCGCAAGAAATGACCAAGGTACTTTTAATCAATGAACCATTTAGTAGACTGACAATGTTTGTGACAATCTGTGTTATAAATTCCAAGGAATGTTTGTGATCCACTACAATTGAAATGTTATCGTGATTTTGGTTGTGTGTGTGTGTGTGTGCAGTGGACTTAATGAAAGAAGGAACAACTGTAACTCTACGCAACGCGAAAATCGACATTTATAAAGGATCAATGAGGCTAGCTGTAGACAAGTGGGGTCGCGTTGAAGTCACAGAGCCTGCAAGCTTCAAAGTGAAAGAAGAGACCAACATGTCCCTTATCGAGTATGAGCTTGTCAACGTTGTTGAATGAGTCACATATATAATCCTCGAGAAATACTCTCTTTCTTCTTTTGTCTCCCGCTAGAGAAACGTTTGAATAATAAAGAAGTACGCAGATTGTGTAACCCTTAATGTTACTGGCATCAAGAAAGAGCTATGGAAAGAGAGAGTGATGCCTCTATAAGTGAATGCAGAGCTTTAGGTTAAGTTGCTTTGCTTGTTTTTGACTTTGTGGCATCTTGTGTTTTGCAATGTTTAAGAATTTTGTGTTATATTATCAGATTGTCAAAAGCTTTACACAAAAAAACAAAGAGCAACTATATAGGCACTATCATAACAAAAACAAAGAGTAAAATCATCCAAAATCACAACAAAACGTTACTGAAAAACACATCCAAACGGATTTATTAGCTGTGATACAACACCCAGTTCCATTTTGACCTCTCAGTAAGTTTCCCTAGTCGCTTCCTCCGAGAATGCATCCGAACCGTCCGCCAAGCCCCCGAGCAGGTGGTCCCCGGTGAAAACCGATGGATCGATCTCCAACAAGTCGTGGGGCTTCAAAGATCACAGGATATCGACTCCGGCCTCCTCTCATCGGAAAGTACGGAAACTGCACTCGGCTTTGCCTCCTCCAAAAAGCAGCATCTTTCGCCTGATGCACCCTAAAAGCAGCAAACTTCGCCTTCCAATTAACCGAGTCACCGGACGATCCACTCGCAACGAGATGCTTAGCTTCTTTCAAGCACTTCTGTTTCCACAAGTCGTTCTCCGACGCCACGTACCGCATCTCCGTACAAACGCAGCACACCTTCGCAACGCTCGAGGCAGGAAGCGACTCCAGTATCTTCAGCTTTAGCTCTGTTGGTAGACGCATCAAACACGGTGGAAGCTCCAAGCCAGACTCATCGCAGAGACCGATCAGCAACGGCATCGCGAGTCCATCTTTCACCATTCTCCAGAACGTGAACACCTCTCTGTACTCGCTACAAGAGCTTTGCTTCTCAAACTTCAACGTGTCCATAACCAAGTCAATCACCGGCACAAACCTCTGCTTATCAAGACGAATCATCCGACTAGAACCGCCTACGATTCCGTAAACTACAACCATACGGCCTAAGCTCTGAAACCTCACTGTCACGGACTCGATCTTGTTCGCATCTTTACGGGTGACTAGCTCAGGGAGAGTGTACTTTAGGGAAGTCGAAAGCAACTCCTTTGAGAAGCTAAACTTATCAGAGCCGTGGTTCAACAGCACAAACCCAGATTCTAACATTACGGCGTGGATTGACAAAGCTATGATAGTTAACTCACTCGTATCCCCAGATTTCTCAAGCACTATCTTTTTCAAGAAGAATGGTTCGCTTAACCTTTTGCTTCCAGCAGCATCGAGCTCCAAATCGAGCTGCTCAAGCTCAACATCCATCGGCTCTGGACCCGTGGATCCTTCCGCTGGATCTTCAACGCCTGAATTCAGATCGATACTCGATTGATCTTCGATATTCATATCAACATCGACTTCTGTGAATCCAGTACCTATCGAATCGTGGTTTCTCTCCGATTGAGGACCTAGGGTTTCAGATTCTCCCGATTTCCCCTTCGAAGATTCGCCATTTGGAACTAGGGCTTGATGTGCCTCGACGGATGAAGCTGATTCGATCTCCTGGACCGATGAAATGAAAGCGGAGTGATCGAGAGAGTAGTAGATAAGGTCACCGGATGTTACGCCAAGAGATCGGAGCGTATCCTCCGGCGAAGGCGCGAGGAGCTCGTCCTTACGATTAAGCGATAGATGAACGGAGGAAGGCGACGATGCATTGATCCGTTGCCGGAGATCATGGAGGGTGCTCGAATCGGCCAATTCGAGTTTTAGTGTTTCTCTGGTCTCGTGTCGTCTCAACCGCAGCTTCATTTTTGCGAATCTTGTGATCTTCGTAACAAGAAAAGAAGATGCAAAGCGTCAATCTTGTATATACAGAAGGCGGTTACTGCTGGTCCCATTTTATGGGCCGTATTTAACGCCATTAATAACATCTTAAAATAAATGGGCTTTTACTGGGCTCATACTATCCAACCCGACCCGGTCAGAAATCGGAGGTCGATGTTGTATTGCGGGTCGGGTCATTCGAGTCTACCCGTAACTGATCCAAATTACCCGAATCCCTAATATATTAAAAGAGAAAACACTTTAAAAATAACCTTTAGTTGATGTGTTATTAACAAGAATGCATGCTGATGTGTCATCATTAGGAGCTTCTCATGTTATTTATAAAATAAGGATTAGTTTACTAGACTAATTACAAACATTGTCATTCATATTTTTGGTTAGAGAATCAAATATGTATAGTTAGATTAATCATATATGAAATTATTAATAAAAGAATCATCATTCTCTTTCCTTAATTGGCAATTACGAAAATTAGTAAATAAGGAAAATATGAGATTCAATTTAATGCTATCATTATATTTTTTTTAAATCATTCTATATCTCCTTTCATCTTTGTTTAACTTTATTTTATAAAATAAAAAATTGACACAATACAAAAAATCTAATAAATAAAATCTAAAACTTTTTCTATATATGCTATGATTTGAATTTTTAAAAACAAAATAATCACTAAAACTATTAAAATTCCCAATATGTTGTTGTGTGTAGGTGTAAAAATATATTATAAAAAATAGATGATATGCAACCATGTAAGTAGGAGAGTAGGTATCTAAATGTAATTTTTTTTAAAAATATTTTATATGATTTTTTAGTTAAACTGTATAATGAAATCAAATAAAATAATATTTTTTATAAATGTATTTAATTTTGATCAAAAATTTGAATATTGCTCCATTTGTTTCAATTTTTCAGTACAAAATTACTTATACTTTTGTTATTTTGACAATTTGGATTTTGCAAGATTGATCTTTTATTGGTTGGATTGTTTTGGAATTATAATAAAACATGTTTTAGTTTTAAAAGAAATAAAAAAAGTTAGTTCTAATCCGTGTAAACACCTAAAACTTCTTATCTTATAAAAATACACTCATTTGAGTTTTATGTATTTTGCTGAAGTCTAGCATATTTAATCTATAGTCTAGCATATTTAATCTATGATCAATGTTTTAATTTGTTTATAATTTTTAAAATGTTTAATTTCCACATTATAAACGAAGATAAAAACCTTAACAAGGTAAAAAAATCTGTCACATAAAATTTTGAAATAGTTAAATATACATTTTTAATTAAAAAATACAAATTCAGAAACCATCTCTAGTTTTATTTAAGGTACATGTTTGGTCAAATTACAAACTTTCTAAATTGAAATTATTTCAAATTATACAGATTTTAAATGGTCCATTTTAATAGTCTGACCCGCTAATACATGATCCTATATCTGAACCGATCCAGTCTCAACGGGACTTGGATCCACTAATGATTGTGTATATATCCCGAGAAACATGAAGCCAAAAAAGAAACATGAAGCAAGCATGCTCAAGATGTCATGTTCAGGTCACAATGAAACATGCAACTTTGCAATTTCGTTTTTTTTTTTTTTCTCCACACTTTTGAATTTTCATTTAGTTAGTTTTGTACTTGTCTTTGGGTTTAAATTTGCCTACCTTGGTAGTTTATTAATAAATTTGATTATCATTCAATATGTTGCTCGTTTTTAGCTTTTTGATGAGATTGAATAAGTTCTTGGTTTGGTTTGTTTACTTATGAAACTTGTAGTTAATGTGCTTTTATTTTAAGCAAACAACTCAATCCTACTTAAAATATGAGTCATACTTTGAATATGAATTCTACTTAACATATGAACCTACCTAAAATATTAGTCATACTTAAAATATGAATCATTTATTGTGCGTCTTTTGTGCGTCGGTCTGTGGGCCTCTTTTGTGCCATTTATTTATACATTTGCGATCAAATTATGAAGTCCTTTTGCTTGGTTGATTGGTAAGGTTTGGGCAGCTTTATCAATTTCAACCCAATTTTTAAGAATCTTTATTCTTGTAAATTTGTAAATTTGTGGGTTGAAATCAAATCAAAAAATGTTTTTCTTTCCGTTTTTCTTTTGGAAGTTTGGATTAAAATTAAAGCTTTAGAACATAACATAAATAAGATAGATAAAAAAACATACAATAATGTTGGACTGAACTTCATACAACACACTATAACTTTTGATTTTATCGTCCTTAACAAAAATAAATAAATAAAACATTAAAATAGATAAAAAGAAGAAGAGACGATACAAAATCACCAATTCTTCTATGTCTTCATCCACTTCGGTCAGCTGCTCAGTTCAATAGTTAATCTTCTTCTGACCTCTGAGAGACAGGCGTCACAGGTGTCATCAGAGTGACCGAAGTCCGAGGATGTGGCGGCACCTGAGTACTCGGAGAGTTTTTTAAGTCTTGTCGTCATCTGCAAATCGTGTTTTGTTAAATTAACTATAAATTGCTAATTTGGAGGAAATTGCATTGAGTTTGTATTGTATGATGAAGAAGTAAAAAGTTTGAAAGAAAACAGTTTCGGTTGCACAAATATATTTTTTTTGTATGATTGGATTGCATAAGTATTTTTTTTTGTTATGATTGGGTTGCATTAGCTGCCGTAGTCTAGCAAAATCTAAGTTTGTTTTGTCGGAATTTGAAAACAAATAGGAAAAAAAAATTAATGTGGATTGTATGCGTTAGTGTATGAATTCAACCCAAAAATATTAGAAAACTTATATAAATGGTAAAATTTCTTCTATCAATATCAAACACACACACAAAAAACCGGATAAATACCAATTACCAATCTATCGGATAAAAAAAAAGACAACTCAGAAAATAAATTCAATAATAATTATGTTGCCAAACCCATTTTCGTATAAAAATGGATTAGAGAAGAAGCGTATAAAGCCAAGAAGATCCCGCCGATAATCATAATTATACAAATCAAATACACAGAAATAAATACAGAGAGACCCACCACACCAATTCGACCGTTGCCCACAACGTTCCAAACAAAAAAACCCCAATTTTTTCTTTATTTTTAAAAACAAAATTGAATTACTTTTCTCTTCTCCTTCCCTCTGTCTTCAAGTACTTGATTACCGTTGGCTCTCCGCGGCTAATTAAAAACCCTAAATTGTTCAATCACAGCAATTCGTTTTCCTTATCTGATACAAAACATCCAAATCAAAAATCCTCTCCGATCCATTACCCATTTCTTGAATTTCTCACTCTCTCGTCTGAAATCACGATCTTAAATCTCGACAAACAATGGCGGCTTTAGCGCCCGGAATCCTCCAGAAGCTGATCGACGGCATGAAAACCGGAGTTAAACCGACCGGCGAGCACAGAAGCTCTCTGTTGCAAGTCACCGACATAGTCCCGATCGATCTTGACGAGAAGAATCTTTTGCCCAAACAAGGCTTCTTCATAAAACTCTCCGACTCCTCTCATTCGATCTACGTCAGCCTCCCTTCTGATCAAGACGACGACGTTCTCAGCAACAAGATGCAGCTTGGTCAATTCATCTACGTCGATCGGCTTGATCCAGGGACCCCTGTTCCGATCGTCAAAGGCGCGAGGCCGATCCCGGGACGGCATCCTCTGCTCGGAACTCCGGAGCCGTTGATGAGTGCAAGAGGAAAGACGGAGAAGGAGCCTGGTTCGAGGCCGAGAAGAGGCTCTTGGGGTCAAAACGGCGACGTTCCGTCTCCTTTCGTGTTAAAGCCTGCGCCTTTGGATTTCGATCAGTGCACGCCGGCGAAGCATAGGCTTGGTGAAAGGAGATTCGCTGCGGCGTCTCCGATGACGACGAGAGGGAGATCGCCGGGAGGCGTTAGGTGTTCTTACGGAGGAGGGATTTTGGGGAAAATGGCGGATCTGAAAGGAGAGAGCCCTGCTTCGATGATGAGGAAGAGCTGCGTTGGCCCGCCGAGTTCGAAGTTTCCGAGAAGCAGAAGTGTTTGCGATAGGGAGACGGCGGCGAAGATCTCTGTTTCCTCTGTTCTTCTTAGTCCCTTTAAATCCTCTGTAGGTACATTTTGATCAGAAGTTTCCTTTTTTGGCTTATGCATTTCTTTGAGAGAGAGAGTTAACAATGGAGATTTTTGCAGGCAAAGAAAAGCAACTCACCGCCTCCGAGTTCACGCACCAGAAGAGCAACATCAGCTGCTTTGGTGGAAGATGAAAGAGATGCTCCAAAGTCTACTTCGAAATTGGCTTCTCCAAAGTATGAATCTAAGCACATTAAGGTGGAAAAGCCAGAGAAGAGCTTGACTCTACCAGGAAGACTTAGCACATTGAGCAAGGTGATTCTTTTTTGGCCACTTTTGTAGTAGCAGTGTAAAAGTGGCAAACTGTATAGTGGTCATACTGAGAGATGTGTTTTGATCTGTACAGGAAGCAATGCAGCAGCGGGACACAGCTCAGAAGATAGCTCTTCAGGCATTGAGAGAAGCTACAGCCACAGAAACAGTCGTCCGTCATCTCAAGTATACACACACCTGACTCATCTTTAGTCGTTTGCATTGTATGATTTTTGAGTTTGAAATGTGATGATAAAGTTCTTGTGGATCTTTTTTGGGACTATACAGGACATTAGCAAATCTGAGCAAATCAGCAAAAGCGGACTGTCCAGCTGCGTGTTTCGAGAAGTTCTTGGAGTTTCACAGCCAGATATCTGAAACAATGAGAGAAATCACCTCTATTGAAGCAGCTGTTTCATCAGCTACAGATAACAAATCCGAGGATGGATCGATACTTAACGAAATCCAGCATAACTCTATTGATCAGGAGAAAACAGCGTCAAAGAGAAGAACCACTTGCGCCCAGAAGCAGCAGCAAACTCATAAGCAGTTGAGGTCAAACGATGAGAACAAGAACCCATCATCAGCTCCTCTTTCCGGGCTAGGAAACACGGCGAGGTTGGCGAAAGAGATAGAGAAGGAAGCTGCAAATTGGTTCATGGAGTTTATAGAAAAGGCTTTGGAGAAAGGGATGAAGAAGTGTAGAGGCAAAGGTGATGCAGATGTTAAGAAGGTTCCACAGTCTCTGATTCTCCAACTTGTAAACTGGGTGGAAGCAGAACAATCTGCTGATAACACGAGACGTCAGGTCCATCCAAAAGCCTCGCATATCACCAGAAAGCTCAGAATCAAACTGAAGAATCCTTGAAACCATATTGAGATTTCCACTTGTACTTAACTACTGTGAAAAGGCTTTTATAGTTTCCACTTATAGAGAGAAATTATTCATGGATTCTATTGTTATTATTCAAGTTTATAAATAGTGTGGTTGTTCTCAAATGTCACAAGAAATGTCTTATAGATAACACACAGTGCTGAAGATAAATTAATCATCATTATCTAGAAAACTTTGAGATCATACCATACAACTCCCAGTTTCACAAAGCAAAAGATTGCTAAGAAGCATACATAGATCGTACCTGGTCCGGTTTAGAGCCAAGCCGGGTTCTTGAGAGCAGTGACAACAGCCTTGACTTGCAAGTAGTTGCTGAGACTGTAGAGACCTTTCTCTCTTCCAATGCCACTCATCTTATACCCTCCAAATGGGATTGTGGCATCAAACACATCGAAACAGTTTATCCAAACGGTCCCAACCTTGAGCGCTCGCATCAGCCGGTTCGCTGTGTCCAGATTCTGTGTGAACACTCCAGCAGCTAAACCGTACCTCGAGTTGTTCGCCCTCGCTATCACCTCATCAAGATCCCTAGGAAACATCAAGAGCCATTAGTAAAGTAAGATGTCAAACAAAAAAAGAAATATTTGGCTTTCAAATTCGATTTGTACTTGAACTTTAGTATGGTCTGAACCGGTCCGAAAATCTCGTCTGTGGCTATGAGCATGTCGTCCTGCCAAATTCAATCGTGAAAAAATTGTGAGAATTGTGATGGTGATCGAGTTGTTAAAGGGTTAAATATTCTGTTTGCTTACTTTCACGTCTGAGAAAACAGTTGGTTGAATGTAGTAACCCTTGGAGCCAAGCTGGCCACCTCCCGCTTGCAAGGTGGCTCCACCGTCAACTCCATGTTTGATGTACTTCAGGATTTTCTTGAATTGCTCTGAGTCAACCTGTTTTTGTATTTTCCAAACAAGTTAGAAATTCTGAAATGTTTTTATTTCTTTCAGTGAGAATGTTGTTACGGTTTCATCATGCAAGGACTCTTCTACCTGTGGACCTTGCTCAATCCCTGACTTGAATGGATCGCCAACAGCGCGATTGTTGGCACGAGCTTTAGCTTTCTCTACAAACTCATCATACACGCGTTCATGTACAAATGTACGCGATCCAGCACAGCAGCATTGTCCCTAAAAATTAGCCAAAAGAGGTTATCAGACAGGGATTGGGATCCATAAAAGCCAAGTACAGATGATTTTATGAGTGATGTTACCTGGTTAAAGAACAAAGCGAAATGAGCGAGCTCCACGGCCTGATCCACATCAGCATCTTCACATACAATGAACGGTGACTTGCCTCCAAGCTCAAGAGTCACTGGCTTGAGGTTGCTTTTTGAAGCCAACTCAAGAATAATCTTCCCAACTTCAGTAGACCCGGTGAAAGCAACCTGCAGAGTGCAGAGGATTTATCCGAAATTATTTCTAAGGCATTATCATTATCAATCACATCGTTCTTCTTGCATCAGCTTTTCCAAGAAACTAGGAAAAACTATGTGAAACAAGATATATAAGAATTGCAGAAATGTAAGGTCACAAGAAGAAGTTTCTCAAGGTTTGTCTTTCAAACCTTATCAATGTCCATGTGACCAGCTACGGCTGCACCAGCTGTAGCACCAAATCCAGAAACTATATTTACAACTCCATCAGGAAGTCCAGCCTGTCACAAATATCACATATTCAGGGAGATACTAATTGTATGGTATTGAATTCAAGTAAATCGGTTTACAGTATGTTTACCTCGTGGAGTAGTCTTCCAACAAGTAGAGCAGATAGAGGAGTTTGCTCAGCAGTCTTGAGGACAATGGTGTTACCGCAAGCTAAAGCTGGTCCAAGTTTCCAAGAAAGCATGACGAGAGGGAAGTTCCATGGGATGATCTGTCCAGCGACTCCAATAGGCTCATGGAGCGTCTGCACATGGTATGGGCCATCTCCTGGAACCGTCATTCCATGGATCTTATCTGCCCAACCTAATAAATCATCCAAGATAAACAACAACACTCAAAATCATAAGGTACAATAATATAATACATGAGTGGATTATTGTATTTGGTTTCACTTTTCACTCACCAGCATAGTAACGGAACACTCTAGCAACCATTGGCACTTCAATCTTGGCGGATTGTTCATAAGGTTTCCCATTATCCCAAGTCTCAAGAGCTGCAATCTCGTCGTTGTGTTTCTCGAGTAAGTCAGCGAAACGAAACAGTATCCTTGATCTCTCCTGAAGAAGTTATTTCAAGCTATGTGTCATTTCAAAAGCACAAATGTTCATATATATCTATAAACACAAAAATGAAACTTTTTTTATTTACATAAGCTGTCATTCTAGGCCATGGTCCTTGGTCAAAGGCCTTGCGTGCGGCTAAAACCGCACGGTTCACGTCTTCTGCATCACCCTCTGACACCTGAGCTATCACTTCCCCAGTCCTTGGATCCAGAGTCGGGAAAGTTTTCCCTGTAACAATAAGGCAGAAATCTCATTCAATGTAAGTGTAACAATTAAGCCTCATCAGATATTACAATTTTGAAATCTGACCTGAGGCTGCATCGACGAATTTGCCGCCGATTAGGAGCTGTGTGTGCTCGACTTTCACAGGCGGAGTGATCGTGTTCTCGAGAGCAGCGGCGGCGGCGGCGAGGTTGCTGTATCTATGAGCTCCTCTGTTTATGGTGGGGTTTTTGCCTGGAGGAAACAAACGAGAATCAATCGATTCGATTTCAGTCGAGATTTTTATGTGAATAATCGATACCAATGAGACGAAGATCTTCAAATCCATATCGAGAAGTAGACAAAAATCTCGATACAGAATCCAAAAAAATCTCCGAGATCGTCGATCGGAAATGAGAACGAGAAAATCAGATAAAAGGACGATTTCAAACAACAGACGATCGAGATTCACATATGAACAGAGAAAACAGGTGAGACAGAGCCTGATCGGAGCTGAGAGAGCAATTACGCGACGAAATGGATCGGATCAGATTTCAGATATACCTGTAAGAGCCAAAAGAGAAGGCGAGGACATGAAGGAGCGAGAGAGCAGCGAAGAAACTCTTCTTGACGCCATGGAAAACTCTTTTTTGTTTTGTTTTGCTTCTCCTCTACAGTGTCACGGTGAGGCTCTCTTTGTATGGGTAAAGGCGCAAAATAAAGCTCTGATAGGTTGCACGAATTAAGACTTTCGTTATTTAACAAACATAGAAACTAACCAATTTAAGTATTAAATGTTATCCATTTCCAGATGTCAGGACAAACGAAAAGGCAAACATGTGCCAAAATTACACGTCGCGACAAGATATTCATATTATATTTTGTTCAACATTTGTTTTTTGTTAAAGATATTCAACACTAAAAGTCTAAAATGTGTAATATTATTTTTTGGTCGGCAACTCTGTATAAAATTAAAATCATTATTAGTTATAAATACAATATTTTGTTTAATTAGCATAGATCTCGAGACTATGCTCACAAACAAAATAGTCAAAATGATAACTAATTAATTATTCAACCAAATTAGAATTTCATTAGAAAATACTATGACAGAATACCTATCATCAAAACTAATTAGTAGAACCGATATTTAGACTGTTAATGATGATCAGGATGATATAAAAAAGTATGGCGCGGTGCAGTTTTTGCGGACCACCCATATAATGTTTTTTTTTTTTTTTTTTTTTTTTTGTAAAAAACCCATATAATGTTTATTCACACTTAAACACGAATAGAGGAGTATTCACACTAAAATGCTTTCAAGGAAGAAGGGATTCGAGATTTTGAGTAGGTCACCTACCACACTAAAACTCTTTGTGTTACGTAAACGAATTCTTTTTGCTATATATAGAAAATCGTTTAAACTCTATCTTTTTATTATTATTAGTGTTATTGGTTAATTTATAACTAGCTAGATGATTCTCCCGCACAAGGTGCGGATATATTAATATATTTACAAAACTAAAATTTAGAAGACTAAGTTAAAACATAACATTGTATTTAAATATTTTTGTGGAGTAGAATTGTGTCTTTGAGAATCAAATATATATATCACCACCACTACCTAAAGAGTAGCTAATGCAGCCATCAAGAAAAGGCCAAATGACATACCATAAAGAGAGCCAGGGCATCGACAAACCAACAAAAATATTGTTTTTGAACTATAAGTTGAAAGAATATTCTTGGTTACACGAAATACCTAAACAACTACTCTCAAAAACATATTGTAGCGCACATGAATAAACAAAAGAGATAATCTTCTTTTTTTAGAGATAATCTTCCTAATATGTATGAGTAATTTTTCTTTAACCTTACCTTTTTGTAATCGGTTTCTCTTTGTGAAGTATAATTATCTGACACCATTTACTGACACTACTTCTTCTCTCGTTTGCTACCCTCTCATTAACTTTTATCTCTTTTTAATACAGTAGGTTTCTTCTTCTTCTGACATCTCTTCTAAAAAATAATTATTGTGTAATGAACTTTTCCCTCCACACGATTTTGGTCTAATGTTTTCGTATAAGATCCAGAAGGCCTACAATGTTTGGAGGCAAAAGTTATAATGTTTTCGTATCAGATTCAGAATTATTTTGGTCTAACGTATGAAGTGAAACACATTATTATTATTTTCGTGCAAAGCGAAACACATTATTTATCTTCCGTACTATCATAATTCATATACTATATGACAGAAGAACATAGCTTGGTTGCTAAGCTGATCACTTGACACAGCACTCTTTTGACTGGACAAAAGTAATGTAAATTTCTCTAGTGGTTATCAAAAAGAAAAATTTATAACGCGTCTCAACTCTAACAAAAAAATTTGGACAAAAGGTTATGTATGTTGTTGCATTGTGTTCCTTTTTTGCGAAAGTTAGGTTCTAGATTGGGCCTGCTATTGCGCTAAATTAGTGCTAGCCTTATCCACCAGCAAGCCCTTTTTTTGTTCTACAGATACTTACCTTCTAACTAACTTATCCTATAAAAAATACATTCTATTTCCGGTGAGCAGCCAATGCAATAATTGTTAGCACAACGGCAACCTTACAGTTACAGCATATATTTACGTGTAATACAGACACTCATCTTGGAAATACACTTTTGCTACGACACGAATCACTTCTCCATAATCACCTTGTTTAGTCTTGTAGTAGCTATATCCATTTTCAATTGATTGTATATAAAATAACTATAAACGTTTAGACGATTGTTTAGACTCCAAACAGTCCAAAACACCACTAAAACGTCTAATAATCGTTTGAATATTGGTTCAAGCGTATCTGACACCATTATTTCTATATAAAATACCCTGACAGTACACTTCCCTCCTTTAGTAACCCTCTCTACGTGTTTCGAACTCATTACGCGTTTGCAAACTTAGACGATGAGTCACAAGCTTTCGCTATCAACTTTGCACGTGAGACAGCGCGTCGCGTGAACGTGTTCAAACTGCGAGTGAGTGAAAAATAGATGCGAATACAAAAGCAGGCATAAAAAAGCCAAAAAGCTAAAAAGCCAAAGAAACCGATATATTCGAGGCAAAAGCAGAGATATCATCACATAATAATTTCCCATAATTTTCTCTCTTTCGAATAATTAAATAATAAAAAACATAAATGAAAAAGATATTGACAGTCATACACCGAATCTCTACTTCTCCTTCTTATATCTTCCGCTTCACTACTTCACATCAACCCAAGCCTGCAACAAAAACCCTAATCCCTCTCTCTCATTTCTCCTCCTCTCGGAGTTTCTCAGGCTCGCTACCGAGTTTAATCAGCAGAGCAACGATGGATGCCAAAGAAGCCTCCCCCGCCGCCACCGATTTGAAGAGACCGAGAGAAGAGGATGAAATAAACGGCGCCGCCGCCGCCGCTTCGATGGAGACGGATAGCCCCGCTCCCGCCGCTAACGGCGATCAGACGAAGGAGCCTGCTTGTTTCTCCTCCGTGATTCCTGGGTGGTTCTCCGAAATGAGTCCCATGTGGCCAGGTCAGGTCGATTCTCGTTGTTGTTTGATTTAAAAAGGGGGGAAACAAAAAAACAAAATTCTGATTCGTTTCTGAGTTTTTAAAATCGTCTTAGCTCACTCTTTTCTCTTGATTCGTCAATTTGATTTTCACACAATTTCGCATAATCGACTTGATTAAGAAGCTGAATTTTTCGATGATCTGAGATTGCAGGAGAGGCACACTCTTTGAAGGTTGAGAAGATTTTGTTCCAAGGGAAATCAGACTACCAGGATGTGATTGTATTCCAGGTAAAACAAAAACAAACGACTCTTGCTAATTGCTAATAGCATCATCTCTCTGTTTTGTGTATGATTTAATCCTTGCTTTTGCTTTTTCTTAGTCTGCGTCATATGGAAAAGTTTTGGTTTTGGATGGAGTAATCCAACTTACAGAAAGAGACGAATGCGCTTATCAGGAAATGATCACTCATCTTCCATTGTGCTCAATCCCTAACCCAAAGAAGGTAAAATCCTTCAAGAACTAATTGAAAATTCATTTTCTGTCTGCTCAAATTTACCTGCGAAGTGTGTGTGTGTGCTTTAGGTGTATCAAAGTGTTTTGCTTTTGAATGTATTGAAAGGTTATTATTGAGCTTACAATTTTCTTCTCCGGTAAAATAGGATGACTAACTCATTACTTGTGGAGAAATAGAGTCACTACATGATTTTAGAAAAACTGGCATAAATGATTACAGTCCAGAGTGATGAGAGGAATGTCCACTAGAGAAAAAAAGGTTGATATGATTGCTTTTTAAGTGTACAAACTTTGATGGCCTCCTGAGAAAGAAATATAAAAGGTGCATTGTCCCATGTTCTCTACTGGAAAAAGTTAGAGAACTCAAGTATAGCTTTATTGGGTAATAATAATATGATTTGAAACTGTTTCAACTGGCTTAAATGATTATCCTCTAGCTTGTTACTGAGAAAAAAAGCTTAATTAATAGCCAAAGCTTCTTTCATCGAAAATTGCTTTTGCTCCCAAGTATTAGTTATGGTTAGTAAAGTGGAGCAGCTAGTTGTTGCTTTTAGAGAGTAAGGAGTGTAACTGATCAAAGCTCTTCTAGTTTTTTTCCATAGGTTTTGGTCATTGGAGGTGGAGATGGAGGTGTCCTGCGTGAAGTTGCACGCCATGCTTCTGTTGAGCACATTGACATGTGTGAAATTGATAAAATGGTGGTCGACGTGAGTGCTCACATACTTTCCTGCATCTCTTGTTTTTGATTAAATGACTTGTTATCAGAGTAAATAAACGTGTTTTTGATCTATTTTTTTCCAACTTGTGGGAATCTGCAGGTGTCTAAGCAATTCTTCCCTAATGTAGCAATCGGATACGAGGATCCTCGTGTGAACCTCGTCATTGGCGATGGTACAATACCTCAGCTTTTATCTCTCTGTAGTTGTCCTTTCTCAACCTATCTTCTTTCAAGCTGATGGTTGGAGGGTTATTACTTATTACTGCAGGTGTTGCTTTCTTGAAGAATGCTGCTGAAGGATCCTACGATGCTGTTATTGTTGACTCCTCAGATCCAATCGGTAACCAACACTAACATTAGATTAACCTTCGCTGTTAGGTTGTACAAATAAAAAACCGGACTTTAACTTTGCTTACATGTTGCTGTTGTGTGTGTGTCAGGTCCTGCAAAGGAGCTGTTTGAGAAACCATTCTTCCAATCTGTGGCAAGAGCTCTTCGTCCTGGTGGAGTTGTGTGTACTCAAGCTGAAAGCTTGTGGCTTCACATGGACATCATCGAAGACATTGTTTCCAATTGCCGTGAGATCTTCAAGGGCTCTGTCAACTATGCGTGGACCAGCGTTCCAACATACCCTAGGCACGTTTAATGACACTCTTCTTTAACATTCAATCATCTCTCTCATTCTTTTCGTTATTATAAACTTAAACCTAAATGTGTAGCATCATTTCACGGTTTTTAAAATTTGCAGTGGGGTAATTGGATTCATGCTCTGTTCAACTGAAGGACCTGACGTTGACTTCAAACACCCAGTGAACCCTATTGATGAGAGCTCCAGTAAATCAAATGGTCCCTTGAAGTTCTACAACGCTGAGGTAAAAAAACAAAACTTTCATGCGTCTAGACAAGACACATTCGAATCCTTAAACTTATGCTCTCGTTGTCTTGGGTGTTGCAGATCCATTCAGCTGCCTTCTGCTTGCCTTCTTTTGCCAAGAAGGTCATTGAGTCAAAAGCCAATTGAAAAGAGGAAAAAGAAGCAACTTGGGAAGGATCGTTGCCCTTATCAAAATAAAAGCTTTTTACAATTCTTAGAATGTACTGTTTGTTTCAAGCATGTTTCTATGACACTGCAAACAACTGCAATCGACAAAGTCTTTCTTTTAGCATTACACATCACATAGTAGCTTTTTTCACCCTTTCTACCATTTACTGAAAAGTCTCTTAACTTTTAATTGATCAGAGCCAAAATCTCCAAGTAGCAGAAGCTATGAGGTTTAGCTTGTTCTACATCAGCACTTCTTCCTCAAAAAACTAGTTTAACAATCATAATCAATAAATTGTTCAAAAGTTCAGGTCCATAAAATCTGATTCCATATGGCATTGAGACGCCATTACGGCTACAAAATCAGTTAAAGAAAGAAATGTGATGATCATCGACCTGCTTCGGTAGATTCTTCAGCGACTCCTTTTCAGATCCGATTCTGCTTGCTCTACCATGAAGTAGGCTTCGTGAAGTGGAGGAGGAGGTTTCTTGAACATGAGTATTGCACTCATAAAGCTTAGGCTCTTGTTCAAACCCATCAAAAACGCGAAAAGCTCCTCTTTCTCTCTCGCCTCTCGGGCTCGTTTCTTGATCTCGCACTTGCAGCCGCCGCACGCACACTCCGGAGCTGGATCGTACTCCGACAAGTCCATCCAAGCGTCGCTCAGTTTCCTGTAATACGTAGCCACCGAGTCGCCGCCTTGCCTCAGCTTCGCGATCTTCCGACGAACCTGGTAGATCTTCAGATCGAGGTTAGGGACGAATATCTGCTTGGTACGTTCCCACAAGTCACGCGCCGTTTCAGCTGAATACAAACGCATTTGAACCTTTTCGCTCATCGAATTTAGCAGCCAACACGTAACCCTCGAGTCGTTCTGTTCCCATAGTTTATAGAGCGGCGATGATTGGTCCGGTTTCTCGAGGGTGCCGTCGACGAACCCTAGTTTGTTCACTATTCGAAGGAATGTTTGGAAACGAATTTTCCAGTGGACGTAGTTGTCTTCTTCCAGGCTCAGTATAACCGGCACCGGATCAAAACCGAAATAAAATTCTCGATCCATGTAATAGGGAGAACCGAAATCGAGCTCTGGAGATGATTTCATACTAGTTTCCGCCGCCATGTTCACTGCTCTGACTTCTTGGTTACGGTTCGTTTCTAGGGCTTTTTTTTTATCTTTCGATTTTGATATTTAATCTCTCAAATATATATAACAAATTTTCATAAATGAGAAAACAAAAAAAAGAGTTTACATAACTGGGCCCAACTCTCTAAGTAGAAGGAGGTTTAGCTTGTTCTACATCAGCTTTCTTCCTCAAGAAGCTAACTTTACAATCATAGTAACGTACAACACAAGCCAACCATTTGACCACATTCCCAACGCAAATGAGACCTACATAGAGACCAGTGTACAACACTCCGTTTCCACTCGAACTCAAACTGCATTTGCAATATAAACAAGGCACCCTCGTGGCTAGAGCAAATACCAAGAACACCAACATCATCCATAGGTCACGCCTTTCATGTCCTCTTCGATATAAAGCAGAAAGAGACAAAGCATCGATTCCACAGATGTCGTCTTCTTCTTCTAAGACTGAAACAACCAAACTCATGTTCCATCCTGCGCTCCCCTTGCTTAACTTTACAGTTATGTACAAGAAGAGAGTGCCTTGAACCAGAACCCCCACCGCGTAGATCAAAACCGGTACTAGCTCGAGGAAGTTTTCGTATTGGGGTAAGAGAGGAGCAATGATTAAGCTTTTGGTCCAATTTGAGAAGAAACCGAAGAAAAGCAAAAGGAAGAAAAGAAAGAAGAAGAGGAAAACAGAGGTTGACAAAAGAAGGACATAGAGAGATGTGATCAGACAAGATCTGGCTCTGTTCCGACATGTTTCGACAGATCTCCTCATCAAAGAAACCATCCCGATCGGTTCTTCCTTTGACGTGTAAACAACCGAAGACGCTGCAACGATCGTGGTGGTTGTAATGAGATCAAGAAAGGAGTAGGGGATGAAGTAGAGCAGAGATGTCTTGATCAGCCATGGAATCAGATCGTTCTCCGACAAGTCCTCCCAGAAACTGTGTTGTTGGGAGAGCAATTGGGAAGTGAGAGATACGGTGGTGGTTTGGAATTGATCATCAGATCATTATCCAACAAATCCTTCTCAAAATTGAATTGTTTAGAGAGGAATTGGCAAGTGAAAGCGACGGTGGTCTGGAGGGAGAGCTCAAAGAAGATCAAGAAACAAAAGAGTGGGAGAGAGCAGAGAAAGATGAAGAAAGCGAGATTGATGTTGCCCAAGAGTAGCTTCACAGCTCGTTTTAGTAGCTCGATGACACTTAGCTTCTCCTTCATCTTCGCTTCTCTAACTTTCTTACAGACGAAGTAGAAGTAGAAGAAGGCAAATCACAGATCTGTTTATGTCTCTGTCTGTAGTAGAACATACATACAAACAATAAATAATTAGTCTTCCATGATAGCGATGGTCGACGTTTTTCGTTGATGTTGACTTATTGACTTCATCTAAAAGTAAACAAGTCTCCCCATGTATGGTTTGAATAGTAGTGGGGATTAGATTAGCTTAAACTTTAAGTTTATTAAAATGTGATTAATACTTTAAAGGCTTAAACACAGCAGAATCCAATGTAATTACTTCTCGTATTATTGGATAGAGTAAAGAAAATATGTGACGACGACAAATTTGACCAAAAAGGGGATAAACATATTGGTGATAAGAGAAATGTTTAAATATTTGATCTCACACAATTTCTCTATGAAGCAATAGCCTTAGCTTGTGATCCAAGTTCCACATCACCCTTCTTCTCCAAAACCCTAATTCTATAATCATGGTAACAAACCACACAAACTACCCATTTGACTACATTTCCAACACAAATCAAGCCTACATAGAGACCAGTGTACAACACTCCATTTCTACTCGAACTCTCACTGCATTTGCAATATAAGCATGGAATCCTCATGGCAAGAGGGAAGAGCAAGAACATAAACATCATCCAGAGGTCAGGCTTCTCATGTCCTCTTCCATACCAAGCTGAAAGAGACAGAGCATCGCTCCCATAGATGCCTTGACCTTCTTCGTCTTCTTCCAAGATCGAAATAACCCATGTTCCATCCCGCGCTCCACTTGTTGAACTTTGCTATCAGAACTATGAAGACAGTACCGTGAATTAGAACAACCACCGCGTGGAACAGCACCGTCGCTTGGCTGCGGAAGCTTTCGAGTTTGCGTGCGAGAGAAGCAATGTACAAGTAGTTGGTCAAATCGGAAAAGAAACCTAAGAAGACAGAGGTGGACCAGAAGATGACATAGACGGATGTGATGAGACAGCCTCTTACTCTGGTCTGACATATCTTGATAGATCTCCCTAGTCCCTACCAAATAAAACAGCCTCAAAGGTTCTTCCTCGGACGTGTAAACGATGGAAGATGTGATAAGTGATGAAGCTGACGTGGACCAATGAGAAGAAAGGAGGAAGAGAGCTTGCGGATAGAGATTCGAAGAAGATTAAATAGATTCATTTTAGCATCTTGTAGCTTTATCGAGAAAATCAGAGGAACTGTGTGGGTGTTTGAGAGAGATCTCTCTCTGCAATTCGGTGATCGTGAAGGCTTTTCTTCCGATCAAGTTGGCCGTCGACTGTTATCGGAGAGTCTCCGGTACTTTCGACATTGTAATTCTTTGTTAAGAGACTAATATCAGTTGGTATCTTAACAAGATGCTGCAACAATCATGGTTGTGGTGAGGAGATCAAGAAGGCTGTAAGGGAAAAAGTAGAGCATAGATGTCTGGATCAGCCATGGAATCAGATCGTTTTCAGACAAGTCTTTCTGATCTTGAGGAGCAAAAAAATCAACAAAACTGAGTTCTTAGGAGAGGAATTGACAAGTGAAAGAGACGGTGGTTTGGAGGCAAAGCTCAAAGAAGATCAAGAAACAAAAGAGTGGGAGAGAGCAGAGAAAGATGAAAAAAGCGAGATTGATGTTTCATGTTTGCCCATAATTGTGGTGGATACTATTTTAATCAACAACTACAGTATATTATATATAATATTTAACTGTGTTCATTATTAATGTATCCGACCTTAGCTCAGTTGGTAGAGCGGAAGACTGTAGTAGTTGCAGATAATCTTTAGGTCGCTGGTTCGATTCCGGCAGGTCGGAATAATTTTTTACTCTGTTTTTGGTTGAATGCGACAAGACAAATTATGGGCAAACATCAATCTCGCTTTCTTCATCTTTCTCTGCTCTCTTAAAATAGTATCAACCATTTCCGCCAGGGATTTGAAGATTCTTGGCCCTGTCTTCTCTCACTCTTCTAACATTCTTGGTAAATATATTTGCATTTCTTTTCTTATGTTACGAGCCTTGGAATTAGATTGTATGCGTTTTAGTCTGCTTTAGCTATATGTATACGTTTAGATGAAGAAGCTGAGAGTAATGATGAATCCATTTTCCTTTTGCTCTCTATGCAGCGAAGGAAAAAGCTATAGCTGTGAGTTTAGAGGCCATAAAGCTGATAGTGACCGCAGAAGAAGTGCTGATCTTGGATCCTCTCCGTCCTGAAGTTCTTTCACTCGTTGACCGACTCAAGCAGCAGTTTCCTCAGTCTCATGAAACAAGAGTTGCACAAGAATCTTCTCTTCTTGATCCGGAAGCAGCAGAGGACTTGCAGAGTCATCATGAGCTTCCTTTTGAGTTCCAAGTCCTGGAGATTGCATTGAAGGTAGTCTGCTCGTTTGTCGATAGCAGCGTGGTAGCCCTAGAGACAGAAGCCTTGCCTGTCCTTGATGAACTAACCAAGAATGTCAGCACCGAGAATCTTGATTACGTTCGAAGCTTGAAAAGTAACCTCACCAGCTTGCTTGCTCGTGTACAAAAGGTAAACAAAGATTGACCTTAATTTACTCTTATGTTGTTGTGACTTGTGATGGAAGGAAACATATTTTTATTTTTATGTTCAGGTGAGAGATGAGATTGAACATTTGTTAGATGACAACAAGGACATGGCAGACTTATACTTAACAAGGAAATGGATCCAGAGCCAGCAGCAATCCAAGGCGCTAGTGCTTGGAGGGACAACGTCTAAGCGAAGCTCTAGTATGGTGACGTGCAATAATACCAAGGAAGATGAGGACGTGGAGGATCTGGAGATGTTGCTTGAGGTGTACTTCACACAGTTTGAGGGAGTGAGGAACAAGATTCTTACGGTGAGGGAGTACATTGACGACACTGAAGACTTTGTGAACATACAACTGGATAACCGACGAAACGAATTGCTCCAGATGAAGCTGGTGCTGAGCATAGCAACTTAGCAAGACATACATTTTATCAAATATATCAAGAGTTGGATAGATAATGCATAAATCACTACCTTATGGTACATTCCTATAAGCTCTCATTCAAGAACTATATACCACCTTGTTAGATATTGAACCTAACATGGAACACAACTTGGTAGATTCTTTACCATAATGATACACTTCTAAGAGAGAAATTTTATGAAATACACCTCTTGAGGTGCAAATTTTCAAAACTACACCTATAGTGTGGAAATTTTCAAAAATACACCTTTTCCCAATTTTAATATATATGTTTGGGTTCACTAATCCTATATTAGGGTTTAGATTTTGGGGTTTAGGGTTTAGATTTAAGGGTTTAATGTTAGATTTTAGGGTTTTGGATTTATATTTTAGGGTTTGGAGTTCTTTTACTAAATGAAAAAAGTGTACTTTTGAAAATTGGCACCATAGAGGTGTATTTTTGAAAATTTGCACTTCAAGAGGTGTAGTTTTAAAATTTCCCCCTTCTAAGACAATAAAAGAGAACAAAAATAGAAAAACTGACAACCAAATAAAAACAAAAACCAAGTTGTATCAAACGGATCAACCACATAGAGTTGAGTTTGAGTTTAGGGGTGCCAAAACCTAAAGTGAATAATAATTAATTATTGTTGGTTGCTACACATTTACATACACATGCCTGAGACTACACATAATCTTTCAATGGTAGATAAGTTCATTTCAAGAAAATAATATAGTAGATAATATTTCTATGCACAATACAGTATTAATATGTTTACATCAATCAATAAATAAACTATCATAATCAGTATTGTAATTTTTTATAGTGAACATGCATACTAACAATAATTAGTAGAAGTTGTTCAAAAAAAAAAAAAAAAAACAATAATTAGTCTTCTATTGAATTGATGGTCGTCGTTTTTCGTTGACGTTGACTTCATCTAAAAGTAACAAGTCTCCATATGTATTGTTTGACTAGTACTGGAGATTTAGTAGATAAGCTTAAGTTAAAGTTTATTAAAATGTAATTAATGTTTTAAAGGCTTAAACAGAGCAGAATCCAATGGAATAACCTCTCTTATTATTGGATAGAGTAAAGCAAAAGTGTGACACCAAATTTGACCCAAAAAAGGCTAAACAAATTGGTGATAAGAAAATTGTTTATTTTTATTGATCTCAAACAGTTTCTTTATGTAGCAATAGACTTAGCGTGTGATCCAAGTTCCATATCACCCTTCTTCACCAAAACCCTAGTTCTATAATCATGGTAACAAACCACACACACTACCCATTTGACTACATTCCCAACACAAATCAAGCCTACATAGAGACCAGTGTACAACACTCCATTTCTACTCGAAGTCTCACTGCATTTGCAATACAAACATGGAAGCCTCATGGCAAGAGCGAAGAGAAAGAACATCAGCATCATCCAGAGATCACGCTTCTCATGTCCTCTTCCATACCAAGCTGAAAGAGACAGAGCATCGCTTCCATAAATGACTTGACCATCTTCGTCTTCTTCCAAGACCGAAACAACCAAACCCATGTTCCATCCCGCGCTCCACTTGCTGAACTTTGCAGTCAGAACTATGAAGACAGTGCCGTGAATAAGAACAACCACCGCGTGGAACAGCACCGCCGCTTGGCTGCGGAAGCTTTCGAGTTTGCGTGCGAGAGAAGCAATGAATAAGTAGTTGGTCGAATCGGAAAAGAAACCTAATAAAACAGAGGTTGACCAGAAGATGACATAGACAGTAAGACAGATGTGATCATACAGCCTCTTGCTCTGGTCTGACATATCTTGATAGATCTCCGTACCAAATAAAACAGCTTCAAAGGTTTTTCCTCGGACGTGTAAACGATGGAAGGTGCTGCAACAATCATGGTTGTGGTGAGGATATCAAGAAGGCTGTAAGGGAACGAGCAGAGATGTATGGATCAGCCATGGAATCAGATCGTTTTCAGACAAGTTTTTCTGATCTTGAAGAGCAAAAAAATCTACAAAATCGAGTTCTTGGGAGAGGAATCGGTAGGTGAGAGAGACGGTGGTTTGAAGAGAGAGCTCGAAGAAGATCAAGAAACAAAAGAGAGGAAGAGAACAGAGGAAGAGGAAGAAAGCGAGATTGATGTTACCAAAGAGTAGCTTCGCAGCTCGTTTTAGTAGTTCATTGACACTTAGCTTCTCGTCCATCTTCATCTCCATTGATTTTGTGCTCTCTTTTTCACGGTGGAAGGGAAAATCACAGATCTATAGCTAGTTACATAAAGTACGAATTAGTCTTCCACTAAGTTAATGGTCCTCATCCTTCATTGACGTTGACTCAATCTATTCTGTTTTGTTTTGAATTTGTAAACTGGTCAACAAGTCCAGTTGAACTATTAGACTCATTTTGTAATTATTTTAGATGGAAATAAGGAAAAAAAAATTTATTGATATAAGCCGTAAGTGTAAACAATACTCATGGGAACAATAAGTTATAATGTAAGACCATAAAAGGGCTTAAACGTAGCAACTTAAACGTGTTACAAAGAAGCCAAACTTTGCTATAAGAAATGCACATACGATCTGTCCAAAGTAGAGGGCAAAATAATTGGTGATAGATAAATTGTTAAAGATTCAATATCTATTTTCATCTCAAAAGATTTCTCTACATAGCAAAAGCATTTAGCGTTTGGACAAAACAAATACCAAACGAAACGGATGCGTCGTTAATCTAAACTAAAAACGCATAAAAAAATCGTTTGTTCTTCATCGTATGTCGTATCAATGATATTAATTGTTGATGTCTATCAGTCTATGTTAGAAGATTTTAAATGAGTTTCCTAGTTTTTTGCTCATTCATTTTCTCAATCCATTTTCACAAGAGTTTGAAATGCAAAATTTTATTTGATTATTTGAATATGTGATAATTTAATTTGTGTTAGGCGTAATTTTGACCATGCAGAAGAGGTAGATGTGTTGTTGGAAAATTGCATTATAAGTTTCACATGAAAAATATACACGATGAAAACCAATATAACTATGTGTAGTAACTGAATTTTTTTTTTTGTTGAAATGTTAAATTTATTAATCAACAAAAAGAAAAATTATATACACAGTTTAGTCCATGAGAGAACAGCAGAGCTAAAGTAGAACAAAACCTGTCTTAAAAACAGAGTTTAGAAAAACAGAGTACAAGAAACTCAAGAGAAAACCAAGAGGAGCCGTGTAATTGAATCATAGTGATTGTATATGACATTTAAAGAAGTAATGAATTTTCTTATCAATTTTTTTGTTATAAAATGCAAATAATGTTTAATGTTTTATGAAGTGCCAAAAGGTTGAAAGGGCAAAAATGTGTGGTTGTGAGAAAATTGCAAAAGTTGAAAAGGAAAAAATGGTGGGTTACATACTTACAGGTGGGTTACATACTTACATTTGCATTTGTTTTCATACCTATGATGAGTTTGTATATCCTTTTTGTTTTCATACCTATGATATTATTATTTATTTATGTGGTATTCCATTTGTTTGGGATATGGTATAAAACACTCTCAATGCTAGATCCATAACAGTGATGAAAGCGTAATTCTTAATCATGTCTTTAGCTCTTATGTCTTTTCCAAGTTTGGCATGATCGAAAAACGCACAAATGTAACCAAGTACATAGAGGAAGAGGCTTGTCTTCCCACTTGTGTTTGTGCGTACCACTACTGAGTTGATAAGATGCTACATGTGTCCAACAAAGAAGATGGTACTCCTGATCTCTGACAAAAACTAAGATGCCTTTCATTAAAATTTCCTCTTGATAATTTCTGAAAGAGAGAAAAATTTAAGTTAAAAAAAAAGGAAAAATTGAGAAGACAAAAAAATCACCATGATGACAGTAAACCTAGTTGGTTCCGACTTCCGAGACTAACAGATTTTTTGCTTCTTTCCAAGAAGGCTTGACACTATTGTCTCCAATAATTAGATCTACAAGTTACCTAGACGAAAGGGGACAAATATATGGAAAAAAAAATGACTCTATAGCTTTGAATGGAGACACAGATCAAAAAATGCAGATCAAACAGATCATATACAGATCATGATCTGCATACAGAACAAATACATATCAAACAGATTAAATAATAATAAAATATTATATTTTATTGAGCAATGAAAAAAATAAAGAAAAATTTCAATATATAAACAAGAAATTTAAAAAATAAAACATTATATAAAATTTAAATTCGATTACAACAGACCAAAAATTGTTTTCAAAAATTAACGTGAAATGTTTTTGTTTGCCCATAATGTATTTGCAATGTGTTCCCTAATGTTAACCATAAAATTCCCTTCTTCTATTTCCATTTCTGCCATCTTGCCAATCTCTATATCTCTTCTTACATCAGCAAAGTCTTCATCTGAAAAATTAGAAATTCTAATAAAATTATGTAGTCCCATTGTCGCCATTACCACTCTTTTTTGAACTTTCATATCATATCTAGGAAATTCACAAAGAATCCTCCACTTCTTCTTCCATACCCCAAAAGTCCTTTCAATAACAGAACGTAAAGATGCATGATATCGATTAAACAACTCTTGCTTGTTTCTAGGAGGAGGACCATTTTCAAATTGTGACATATGATACCGAACAACCACATTCCTTGAAGATCTAAAGGGAGCCAAAAAACCTTGTTTGTTTGGATAGCCAGAATCGACTAGATAATACTTGTCTGGTGGAGGTAAAGGAAAATCAGGATCCCTTTCTTGCGCCATTGTGAGAACTGCTGTATCGTGACATGAGCCAGGTGCTCCATTCCAAACATATGTGAATAACATATTGAGATCACATATCGCCATTATATTAAATGAAGTTATATTGTGCCGGTCCCAATACATTCCTTGAACTTCAGGCTTCACTTTAACGCAAACATGAACTCCATCCATAGCACCAACAAATCCACTAAAATATGGCCAATACGTTGGATCCATTACTAGTCGTTCAGGAATTTGTCGTAGTTCTTGGGTTGTTGGAGTCCTGATATAATCACAAGCAAGTAACTCAGTCGCTTTAAGCACTTCAAAAAATTTTCGATTCACAGTCTCTTGCGTCCGTCCAAATCGTAATCCAACATCTCTTTGAACTTCGTTATGCCCACATATTCGTAGAAACATGGCCACACTCTCTTCAATGCCTACATTCAATGTTGGTTGTAAACCATAACTCGTTTGCAGTTTATCGCACAATGTCCTGAATGCACCAATTGACATCCGCAATAACTGAAGACAAGCGGCATCATCTTCTTGTAACCGACACCAAATATTTCTCCATCCCAGACCGCAACCAGTTTGAATCGGTCCTCTTTCAAAATATTGATTGTAGTAACTTATTGATGGCTGGATTATTAATTCTTCAAATTGCTCATTTTCCAAATTCCACAACTCAATTCTCTCCTCGTAGTTTAGATTTTGGAGACCATGTGATCGTAACTGACATATACGAAAAGCCTGAAAATATGTAGGCATGAAAAAATCGTAAATCAAACTGATTAAAAAAAAATCAAAAAATAAACAATACTTATTCAATATTATAAAACATAACAAAAAATCATAATAAGTAGTTAATAATGTAACCAAGATAAATCATAAATCAAATTGACAGAAAAATACAATGTTCGAAAATACATAAAACATAGCCAATATTATTAAAACATAACATAACTGCGAATAACAAATTACAAGTGGTACTGAACTAATCTTCAGTTCCTGAATCACTTTGATGGATTTGATTTAAATTTAGCCTTGTTTATTTCCCCAAATATTGAATAATCCTCCAGTCCTATGTGATCTTGTTCTTGCTATTTCTGGTTCTGAAGAATAATTTGTGAAACCGAATTCAGGTGATACCCCCCTCTGAACATTTTCTGAAGTACGAACCTCTGATTCACGTGCAACTTCTACTTGACCAATCGTTGAAAATCCACGCTGAACATTTGTTGGAGGGTTCTGTTGCTGAGTATTTGGAGGAGTACCCCATTGTGGAACACTTGATGATGAACCCCATTGGTGAGCGTTTGGAGGAGTGCCCCATTGGTTAGCGGTTGGAGGAGTGCCCCATTGCTGAGTGGTTGGAGGAGTGCCCCATTGTTGAGCGTTAGGAGGAGGGCCCCACTGCTGAGCGTTTGGAGGAGTGCCGTAATAATTCAAATTACGGTTTCCAAATAATAGGAGCAGTAATTATTATTGTGATTTAATTTTAATTTATTATAAACTTTTAGTTATATTCAAAAACTTAATAACTTTTTTCATTTACATACTTATAAAAAAGGAAATCTATGTTACTTATCAAAATTTGGATTTTTTTTGTAAACCCAATCTTGACTAGAAAGAAAAAGAAAAGTTATTTAAATTATTTAGTTTTATTAATAGTTATTCTAGTGTGATGATATATAACAAATTATATATTTTAATGTTTAAACATATACCATGTGAAATAAATTATGTTTTCTTCTTATATATCATTCTATTATATTTTCTAATTTAGTTTATACAAAATCTTCTAATATTATTGTTCTACTTTCCAAAAATATTAAATACTGCAATTAATCATGAAACTACTAAAAAGGTTAAAATGATAAAATAAAAAAAGGCACCACCTTTTGAACCTCAAATTTATTTATTTTAACAAGTAAAGATTTCATATTTCTTTTATAAAAATTACTAATTTAGAAAATCTGTGGTATATTACTCATTATAAGAAAAATTAATGTTGTTCTCAAATATCTTGCTATATGCAAAAAAAAATGGAAAGAAAAGCATACCTTTGATTTGAGAATATTTTTGGTGGATATAATTGTGAGCTCCGAAATTACCTGAAAAATCATATAAAACAAAAAAATATCAAATAAAAGATGAGAGTATAATGCATGTCTATGTATTTCGTCCAAAAAACAAATAATGCATGTCTATGTATATGTTTAGAACAAATGAAATTCACATGATAGAAATATTTATTTGTTATAAATATTGATAGCTAAAATACATATTATAAAATAACATACATGAATTTATTATACTAAAAATGTATGGTTCTATATTAATCTAAATAATATTTTTTACATTTTCTTTTATATAACAAACATACTAGATAATTTTTTATAAATGTACAATAAACATATATAGTTTCCTCTATGTAAGAATTTTGTTATATAAGAGAATCAATATAAAATGTATTAATATCTCACTAAACAAAAAAAACTTATCTTCAACTAAAATTGTTACAGAAAAAAAAGAAGAGATAGTACATAATACCTTTGACAGAATTTGTAGATTTTCGTTTTTCTAAGTGAATAGTGAAAAAAAAATATTTTAGGTGGATTTGGTAAGAAAAATGAGAGATGAAAAAAATACACAAGAAAAACTTAGTTTATTTCTTAAAAGTGTGAGAGAATTTATAAATTTTCGTTTTTTGAAAGTGAATAATGAGTGAAATGAATTTTGGGTTGATTTATAAGGAAAAGAATGAGAGATAAAAGAAAAACAAGAAAAAGAAAAAAGAAAAAAAATGTCTGTTTCTTTACATGCATTGGTGAGCTGCATCTTGAAGACCACTTTTTGGCTACTTCAATGCAGAGCTTGTCATTTTCGTAGTCTCTCTCCTGCATGCAGTTGATAGGCTTTTGCTCTATTTTTTTATTAATTTGTATTAAAAAGATGAATGGGGCAAAATTGCAGATGGGCCTGCATTGGATACGGGCTGCAATTAATCTGTAAATGTTTCATATGTCCATTCAAAGTCTATATGTTATTGCAAGTCCTTATTTCAGTTTTTGTATTATGTCTTTTTTTTTTCGCAAGCAACATATCCTGCATCTGGTATATATCCATTTTGCCTATCTTCCTAAACTCCAAAACAAAAATCACTATGTATATATGTTATTGCAAGTCCTTATTTCAGTTTTTGTATTATGTCTTCTTGTTTTCGCAAGCAACATATGTTGCATCTGGTATATATCCATTTTGCCTATCTTCCTAAACTCCAAAACAACTATGTCGTTCTTAGGCAAGGATATTTCTTATTATAAGAAGAAAACAGAATGGCATACTAGTATCATTCACAATGTCTCTTCTTAAATATCTTGGAAAGGGTATTGTTGCATTTGGATATGTAGCCTATATATCAAACAAAATCACATAAGTCAGAAGGAAGTCAAACAGATTTGGCTGAGCAACTAATGATAGTTAGACAACCTGGTGGGTTAAGTGAAGGAGCATGTATAATAGGCACTCAACAAATGCAAATTCATATTTTCGCCAATCTCGCTTTCTGTGGCAAGCATGTGAATCTGAGAGCAATGATAATAGTAACCAGTTAATAAGTCTATAAATTATTAACAAAAAGTTATAGTAGCTAGAAGTTCAACCATGTGAGATTCTTGAAATTGGAATTTGGGGAATACTGGCATCAAGTAGCCATAAGGCCCATAACTAATGTAATTTTTTTTTTTAACAAAAATTACCCAACCATGATCCTAGCTAGTTCGTAATAGCTTCTATAAAAACTAGAGAAAATCGATAGCATTTAAGGTTGTTTTTGGATCTTAAGGTTTCGAGCTTATGAGTAATCAATCGCTTATAGGGTTGTCTATGAACTGATTATTTTTCGGATGGATTTTAGAGTTTCAATATCGAAAATGTTTCACTGCCGTTATTTACGTATGAAATGATCACGGGATTAATTGCCTACGACTGTAAAAGTTGTCAACATTATCAAGCCTTGGTCAAGCATGTTGCTAAGCTGGGTTGCTAAACAACATGCATGGTGTTCATATGTACAATATGTTGAAGGTTAATATGAAACTAGTCTCCTCTTGTTTGTACTTTATCAACATGATGCTCTGTCATTCCCTATCCCATTTATTCAATTTCATTTTAAAAAATTGGAAACTCATAATGAAAATTGGACGAGCATATCTCAGTTTCAATTTTCTTTTGTCATATGTCGGGGAAAAACAAAAAAAAAGATAGTAAACTTGTGTAAACCATGACATTTTCAATTTGAAATGTGCATAGGCTATGAATTTCGTTATCATTTCATTTATTGAGAAATGCTCATAATGATAAACTTGAACATGGTGGTGATGAATTTAGTTGTTATGTTTAATTCTTTTTTCATACCTATGATATTATTTGTTCATGTATACGTTAAAAGCATTTGAATGAGTTTCCTAGTTTTTTACTATTTTAATTCGTCAATCCATTTCCACAAGAGAAGACAAAGATTAGAAGCATTTGAATGAGTTTCCTAGTTTTTTTCTATTTTAATTCGTCAATCCATTTTCACAAGAGAAGACAAAGATCAGGTACATACATTATGGACAAACACGTTAACAGAAAGTAAGAAAATAAAATTCATTCTACCTTCTCAAAATCAGTCAACATATTGTGGTTGTTCAAGAACATAAGAAACATTTTTTAAATTATTTGACATACAAATGTGCTACACAACAATTGTTCATACCTCAAAGAATGGAACAACCATTTCCAGACATGATATCAACATGTTGCCATCATGCGTATTTGAAACATGCATGAAAATAATATTTGGAGATCAAATAAGTAGTCCAGTGGCACATCAATGGAATTGTGTTCAGAAACCCATACTCTCCAACCATGACTATCATTCCACATTAAGATTAAACTATTTATCAATTTTGTAATGAAAAGTTGTTGGCACACTCTATGCTCATTTCTAATCAATAAGTATCTACACAAACTATACTTTACCATATTTCTAAGACTTAACATATACAAAAGCTTATTCTCTTCTTTACAATTGCACACAAAACGTACAAATTTTAGCTCTAAGTTTTAAACGAATTACTGAATTAAATTTACGAAATCGTTCTTGTATGAGACTAATTACTTTTTTTAAACTACATGGTAACAATTTCTTACAAAATATTTGAAATGATTCATAGTAGCTTGTTTCATAAATGTGCTAGCAAACTAATCAAAATAAAGAAATCAAAACAAAATCTTGTGTCTTTTTGTAATTTTTTGTTATTAATCCTCTAGAAGTGTTGAATTTGCTGATCATTTGTTGCAAATATGTTGCAAGTGCTAATAATGTAAAAATTTGAAAAAGGCGATAGGATTTTTTTTCCCTTTTTTTCCTTTTTTTTTTCTTTTTCTTTTTCCTTTTTTCTATGAATTTGGTTAGTATTTAATTTTTTCCTTTTTTCATACCGATAATATTATTTATTCATGTTTGTGTTAGAAGTTTTTGAATAAGCTTCCTATATTTTCAGAAACTTTCCGCAAAAATGTATAAATCATTCATACATTCAACAATGTAAGATTTTTGAGCAGGACTTTAATTATGAGTCATAGCAAGAAAGAGACATACGGAGTGGCCAGAGAAACACAACGAGAAAGGAGAAATTTGATTTGCTTTAAAAACAAATTTCAGAACAAGTGTAGAACTTTGAATTTTCCTACAAGTATTAATTTTTATCTTTTTTCTTTCTTTTGCCCACTGGCAAACCAAGCAAATTTTGTCGTTCTGATTTTGTTCACAAGTTAAGTTGAATTATTACACTTCATTTTGTAATAGGAAATGAGCAAAGAAAACGTTGATTGATATAACTTATAAGCCGTAGTATAGGAATGTCTTAAATTACTTGGGCCAAGCCATGAACATTGACCAAAATGCAAGCAGAGGGATGAACCCTAGGTGATGAGTAAAACTATTGGGTGAGCCAAGACCGAGGTATAGAAGGCGCAGGGTGAAGAAACAACTTCGTCATTTTCATTAGTAGCTTGGTTGCAGATCAGGGTAAAGGTGACGAGTAAAGATCAAGGCAATCTAAAAAAGCAACAACAAGCAAATCTAGCTGAAGATGGTCGAGATGATGATTGATGACAAAGCTAAGTTGTGGGCAGAGTAGGATGCAGCGCAGCTGCCAAGTGATCCCAGTATCTTGCCTCACAAGTAAAAACAAAGAGCGAAAAACAGTTGAACCTTTTAGATAATGTCACACGGATGAGATATAAAGGAAAGATCATTCAACAAGACCACACCAAAAGCATATATGTAGGGATGATATAAGTAATACTGCAGGCAAAGAAAATATTGAAAAAACGACCTCGGAGGTTCAAGCACGCTGAAGACAGCAAGCCAACGCGGTCTACAGTAGTTCTATGAGAACAAGTCACAGAGCCGTTGGAGAACAGCTTGAAGGAGAATTCCAAATCCAAAATCCATAGTATCTAATAAGAGGCCACAACACCACGACATGTCCATGCTCAGAGCAACCAATCCTAGAAGATCTAATAATAACATAGCAGATATATCCTAAAGGTCGGGCACCACTCTGAGTTCCTTCTTCTTCAGGTTACAGTTTCACACCCTGCAAGAAGCGAGAAGAATATAGACACTTACCAAAAATGGGTGAATCAAAGAATTGTGATAAGCCTAGACACTATGAGTATGATGAAATGTAGATGGAGCTGTTTAGACCCCAAATGCTAATCTTAAGGCTGTTGGTTTACGAGGGTTTCTAAGCAACAAGCTCAAGCATGTGAGAATCTATGAGTTATTGTTGGTCAGGGGATCAAAAGCTGAGAAGCTCTCGTTACTCAAAGTCACAATTGTGTAACAAGTACTGTTTGGTGAATGGAGAGAAGAGAAAAGAACTTTTACCCATTGGCATATGGTGAACGTCGGCCGTAGGGAGAGTCTCTGCGGCGAGGATCATCACGGCGTGAACCACGATACGGTGGTGGGGATCTGCTGTAGCTCCGCCCACGGGGAGGTGGAGTTACACTGCGGCGCCTTGGAGGAGGAGGAGATCTTCTTCCACGAGGACTGATACTCCTGAACAAAATGGAACAAAAACGTATGTCATAAGTGCTTATATGATCTGAATTTAATTAAAGCAGCTCAATAAGAATGTTTTAGCTAAAACTTACCTTCGAGAATGACCATAATCCGGACTCCTACGACGGCGAGGGCTAGGGCTTCTACGCCTCCCATAGCCTCCTCCACGACCACCACGGCGACACTCCCGAGCAAAATGTCCAGGCTCGCCGCATTCATAGCACTTCGAATCCTCAATACCGCCACGACGGCCACCGCCTCCACGACCTCCTTTATCTTTGTGAGAAAGCTCCACACGCCACCCGTTCTTTCCTGAAGAACATGCCTCAATCAAGATAACAATTGATTCAGAAAACAGATTATAAATTAGGATAATCAGAGACGGCTCTAAAGAGAAGAAGACTGACCATCCAATGCCCTGATTGCATCCAAAGCATCTCTCTCGTCATCGAACTCGAGGAATGCGTAGCCTGGAGGCCTACGAGCTACCCAGACACTGCGATTTTTTTGTTCTCACAGAAATAAGAAACGAAATTCGCAGAGTGACCACGAGTCAACAGCTCAGAGATGAGAGATGAAATCACCTGCGAAGAACACCGAAGATCCTGAATTCATCTTCCAGTTCCCTTTCGGAGACTCGCGGGTCTAAATTCCCAACATAAACCCTCGTCATGTTGCAAATTCGCCGGAAATCTGAACGAACGATAAAACCCAGAAAATGAAATGATCAGTTTTAGGAATTTCGTAACTTGGAATGGAGAATCGAATGTTGCGAAGAAATGTTTGGCTAACCGATAAAATTTCAAAACACGGTGGCTGAGAGCCTGAGAATCGAGGTCTTACCAAGAAACGGGGATGTTTTAGGGTTCAGTCTTCGGCGAGGAAAGAGAGAGCACGAGACTGTTGTGGGCTGCCATGTAATTAATTAGATGAACAGTTAAAAGGGTAATTAACTACAGCGGTAACTAGTTAACTACAGTTATTAAGAAACAAAACGGTCTAAAGGCTATGTCAATTCCAAAACAAAACGGTCTAAAGGCTATGTCAATTCCAAAACAAAACGGTTACGAAGAAACTTTCACAAAAAAGGTCTTGATAGTTGCTACTACTCCACAAAAGGATAACTATCATGATACGTTTCTCCTAAATTGAGAGTTTTTAGAATCGAATTAGCTTCCTAGACCTTTGATCTAAGCAAGGTCCATTAACATGATACGTTTGGTTTGTTTGATTCGTTTAAGAATAAGATACAAGATTTAAAGAGTTTTCCATGAACCAATCCATCTCGCTAGTGGATTATTTATTGATCTTTCTAATCTTTTCAAATATTACCAAAAAAGATAGTAAATTGAACTTTTATCCACTATGGTAAATCCGTTTAACTGTCATGGAGTTTAAATGTCAAAACTTTTTTTTTTTAATTAACACAATGTTTGAATTACATCTTTCTTCCTGCATATGTAAGGAGGCTGAAGTTGAGTAAAAAAATGAATCAACACAATAGGTTTGAATTACAAACATGAAATAGTTTTGAATTACATATTTCCTTCTACTTATGTAATGTAAGGAGGCCGAAGTAGAATAGAAATGTCGTACTTAACTTCAGGGTTGACAACCAGAGCTCCAAATCCTTCAACACCCTATTTATCTCCCCACGAATTTTGGAAAACCAAAACCATCTTACCATCACTCGTGTGCCCTTTGGCAAAGACAAGAACCACATGGTCAGGACGTTGTGTCTCACTCAGTGGGGGAGCCAGAAAATTTTGTTACCTGGGTCATTATTACTAGTATATAAAATATAAAATTAATTATTATTTTTAAAAAAATAAACATTTAGGTATTAAAAAAGTAGAATAAATATAATGTAACATGTAAATGAAAAATTGTTTTGGGATAAAATATATGTAGTTTTAAAAATACATCATTTTCTGTATTAAGTTTTTTTTGAAATATTATTTAAGAAAATGATGACATATTTTCTCAAAATGTTTATTAAAAATGTATGGTAAGTGTCCACATTAGCTAATTCTTGCGTTTATCTACAACCAATTTCTTTTTCAGGGAAAGACATATAACAATTGCTAAGGAAAAACAAATCAAATTCCACCCAAAAAAAAGGAAAAACAAATCAAAAACATGTGGAAATTTGTAATCAAAACAGGAAAGAGTAGATAATGAAACTTAATATAAAGAATCGAAGAATATATACTGATTACGCATATAAACATATAAAAATATAAACAAATGATTAAATGAAAAGAAAATATCACAAGGGGTGCAAACATGGAATATGAACTCAAGTTACATGGGTCATGTTTATGTGTTTCTAACCAAATCATGTATGAAACATCAATTAAGTAGCTATGTAAGCACAATATTTTTAAAGTCACATGGGTCAGTTGACCCACGTGCCAATGAACTGGCTCCGCCACTGGTCTCACCATCATACGATGGAACAAAAGGCGTGCGCATGGGAACAACGTGATATATCTCCTATCCAACATCTCAACACACATAAGTATTCTCCATAATGAGCCCTAACATCATTTCTTCCCCAGCCAATTGGACTAGGCAAAAGACCGGAGTTCAAAACAAAAAATGAAGATTATAGAGAGGCTAACACATGCAAAACCTGTGCATGGAGAATATCTATATTTTCTAAGCTTTTGGGAGAGAGGGTAAAGTTTATGCTAATTGTAGAATCCTTTTAATCTCACAAACAAGAAAGAGACTAGCATATTTCAAGTGACATTTTACGTTGGATAATTCATTATTGTTATAATATTTAAGCAAAAGAAATGTGGTATCATAGTTGAGTTAGAAGAAATGGTAAGTTTGATGTAAAAATTATAGTTGAGTTAGAAGAAATGGTAAGTTTGATGTAAAAATTATGGGATAAGTTTAATGTGGAATTAGAAAAAGAAAAAAAAAGTAAAAAAACAATTAATAATTAAAAAAACGTGGAAAGAAGAAAAAATCAGAAAAACTGTTAAATCAAACTTTACTACATGCTATTTTCCATGTTGTAAAAATTTGAGTTGAGTTATCTAATTTACAAAGGAGATACATCAAAATTCTAACTCAAACATACTACATTCTAACTCCAAAAAATTAAAAATAAATCATGATTGGTAACATTTTTGAGTTATGACCATTAATCAAACTTACCACATAATACTACATGTCACCAATCAAAGCCAAATATTCATCCTCTAGATAATTAATGTTACCAGAAAAAACTCATATCAAAGTTGTTTGCATCAACTTGTCCTCCAACAAATTTTGCAAGATCTTGCAATTCATCTCCATTAATTAGAAACATGGAAATCTATAAGCGTGGCTAAGGAAATAAATCCATACACAAAAACAAAATTTTCTAATCATGTTGATGATTTTTTCTATATAATTGAATATTGTTCATCTAAGTTTGACAGTCAAATAAGTTTACTTACTTTTCTCTTTTAGGATCAAGATCACTTATTGATTTCTAATCAATAAAATATCTACACAAATTATACATTACCATATTTGTAGTACTTACATATACTAAATTACTAACACTTATTCTCTTCTTTAATTCGAATTCGTTTAAAAAAAAAAATTATTTTTTAAAACTTTATGGTAATAATTTCATACAAAATAATTGAACATGATTTGAAATGATTCATAGTAGCTTGCTTGATAAATGTGGTAGCAAATTAATCAAAATAAACTAATCAAAACAAAAAGTTGTGTCTTTTTGTAAGTTTTTGTTATTAATCCTCTAGAAGTGTTGCATTTGCTTATCATTTATTTGATGTAAATACAGTAGAAACTCTATAAATTAATACTCGATAAATTAATAAACACGATAAATTAATAAATTTCTTCGATTCCGAGTTGGGCCGATGTAAAATATGACACAATTCGATAAGATAATAAGATAATAACTTTTTTTAAACTCCTATGTAAAATATGGTCCCAAAAACATCATAAATTAATATATCTAAGATATCTAACTACTAAAATATGAATCTTTGACACACCAAACCGATATGGAAACTAAAAGAAAAAAGAAATTTATAATAGTATGGCAAATATGAGAAAATGTAAACAATAAAGTAAAAGTATAGAAATATCAAAAATGAAAGTTAAGAAAATATACATACGAAGGAAAGTTTTTTTTTTAATTTGAAGGAAAATTTAAAAGATTATTGATATTGAATTTTCTTTGTTTGAAATTTTTTTTAGTCAAAATCTATATATTAATAACTCTATAAATTAATAAATTATCAAAGTCCCGACATTATTAATTTATAGAGTTTTTACTGTATGTTGTAAGTGCAAATAATATAGGCTGCTTGTATAAGTTCATAAAGTTATTGTTTCACATTCTTTCTCCTGATTGGATATCTTTATAATAGATTAATTACATACCTATTTCATCATGACTTATACAAGGTTTTGAATACATTTAAATTTAAAAACTCTTCCTATCAAATGAAGTTGGTAATTCAAAGCCTTAAACAACTGGATTTAGTCCATTTTGCCTTGTAAAGGCTGTATTTTGTGTTTGTTAAGGAGTTATATCTATTGCTTCATGGTTATTGATTCTCGATTTTTTTTCTCAAATCTGAAAAGAGAATCAAAACTCGATCACAATTTGTAACACCAGCACAATGCACGTAAATGATCCATATTTAAATGTACAAAAGGAAAGGTTATACAAAGATGCTGGCTCAAACGTGGTGCAGGTCTCTCTATTCAATATTCAAACTCTCATTACGTGTCGGTTTCTCATTGGTCAAACTTAGCCGACGTAAATGGAATAGCAGATGCGATAAAATAGCAATCCCCCCCTAAAGACTTATCCATTCGCGGAAACATTCTGAACCAAGATAAGTCATTCTGGGTCCCACCTACATCAAAGCCTCTCAAAGACTGTGCCTGATGACGTGTCGAACACCCATTCGTTTAGTTACAGCCATCCGTGTAGACCCCACTCATCCCCCACGTGCCTCCCTTTACAAAAGTTGAGAGGAAAACAAATATCGAACACAAATGTCTGGAATTACAGCTCTGATTTACACGTGTCAATACACCCCACGCGCTTGGCCTTATCGAGTGGAAGACGAGAAAAAGGTTGCTGTAAATTGTTTATTTTTTTAAAAAAAGCAGCAAAGAAGAAAAAATAAAGTGTTTATCTGATTTGGATCCAATCAACCCAATCCTCGTTGGCTTAATAAAAAACACGGCATAAATGTCAACGTTATTACATTCGAACCACTAAACCAGTAGAGGGTATTATCGTAGTTTAGCACATGGTTAAGTACTTAGTGACATTCTTAATGCTGCTTTGGCCCTTGGAAGATTTGAGAGGCCACCCTACCCACATTGTGCCCTTTTTAATTAATATCAATAAACTTAAAATAATATTCATTACGATAATGTGTGCTTACATGTTTTAGTAATTTTTGTTTGGTCAAGTTTTTGATTTAAATAATGACTTCTTCTTTTAACTTTTTATAACTTCTTTTAACTTCTTTGCCTTTTGCGTTTTAGCTAGGGTTTAGGTTAAAATTGGGCTACCCAAATCTATTTCCAGCCAATTTCTGCATTTTTATTCGATAATCCTGTATTGGCCCAGATTCCAAACCCAAATTATGGGATTTATATATATATATAAAAAATTGTTACTATCTAATACGGTATATACATGCATGTTGCATTCCCAATGATGCTTGGTCCATTATCTGTTTCTTTTTTAAGATGCCATTTAGAAACATGAAGATAATTCTAAAGATTTTTTTTAATCCTTCATGTCAAAGCAAGAAGATTGATTCTAATCATCTCATCTATAGTCTCATAGATGGAGTAAGACAAATATAATTCTAATGATATAATCCTTATTCTTATCCAAAATAAAAATGGTCGATTCAAATGCTCTCATACATATATGGAGATCGTGTGGAAGTTTAGTTTTTGACCAATTGGGTTTCAAGTTGTTTATTTGTTGCCAACGGATACGATTATTTGTTTTTGAAACGTTACTTGCACTTTCTAGAGCTATATCTATGATACCATGAAATGTCTTATCAACAATTTTTCTTTTATATACATTCAAGAAAATGCAGATACATCTACCACTTCAATATAATTTTGTTTATGAGTCTAAATGGTAACTGCGGAATGTTGCTGAATGCGGAATCTGGCGGAATTAAATTGTAACTTTTTGCGGAATCTGGCTGAATAGTTAGTATTGTGAATGGTAACTGCTGAATGTTGCTGAATGCGGAATGTTGCTGAATGCGGAATAAATCTAACAAATTATTTGTGTAACAGAATAACAAAATATTCATCCAATTAAATTAATAAAATAAATATAAAAATTTACTTGTAAAACAATTAAATATTAGTAAACTCAAATAATTTTTAAAATATGGGATTTAAGAATCATAATTTATAATAATTTATTTATTAAACACCAAAGTTAAAAAACAAATTTCAATTTTTTTTATCGATTTATAAATGAGAACCGTCATAATTGCTAAGCTGCTTAATTCTCTTTCATATTGTATTCATATAAATTTTAGATGGTATAATAACCTAAAAAACTATATTAAATCTTCTTATAATTGAGTTTATTGTTTTAAGTGGTATAGACACCATTCGTTGTTCTCTTGTTTTTGCACAAAATATATGTGTTATAATTATTTAAAAATATATAGTAGATCTTATTATAACTTATACTAAAACAAGTATTAGGTACATCACCTCAATTCGGATATGCTATTCCAAACATTATTATTATTTTTTTGATTCATATTTGTAATTTGTTTTTAGATCCATAGTTTTATTATTAAGATTCCGTTTCAGACAATTTTAAAACCTGAATATTCAGAACTGATCGAATCGGAATACATTTTTTGTTGAAAATGTTTAAATCTAGATTCTTAGAAATATACAATTAAATCATTTACTTTATTATAATAAAAATTAGTAATTGTATTAAAGTTTACACACAATTTTTATCATTACTTTGATTCATCTATGTAAATTTCTTTTTTAGATCCATAATTTATTATGAAGATTCCATTTCAGACAAATTAAAAACCTGAATATTCAGAAATGATCATATCAAAATACAATTTTTGTTGAAAATTTTCAAATTTAGATTCTGGGAAATATAAAATTAAATCATTTACTTTATAATATGAAAAATTAGTAATTGTATTAAAATTTACACACAATTATTATTATTTAAAAAATCACATGTTTTGTCTTTTAGTGATAGATTCTTCAATTCCACATTCCTCAATTCTTCACAATTCTGCATAGTTAACTGGTAAGATTTATTGCTATAATAATTTAAAATTTTATATTAGATTAAGTATATTTTATACTAAAATAAAATTTTATTAATATACTAAATAAAATTCTATACTATAATAAAAGTTAATATTTTCAGTGATATTCCACAATCCCCCAATTATTGAAATTGGTGTTGGGCTAATTAGTTAAAAAAACATCCATAATTCAACAATATCTTTTTTTGGTAAAGGGATAATTGAGAGGGAATTAAATTTAAAGAAGAATTAAAGGGTTTTTTGGGGTTATTAAAATGAAGTAATAAATTTAAAGAAGAATAAAAAAAATGCATTCCACAATTCCTCAACATTCTGCAAACTCCAACTGGTGTATTAAATAAAGCATTCATCAGAATTCCTCAACATTCTGCAATATTGGTGTTACCAGTTAGGGCCTATATCTCACCAAATCACAAAACAGTACTGAATATAGAGAATTGAAATACATTAAAATGTTTTAAAAATATATACACTAGATTGTCAAAAACACAACCATAAACAAATTGTATTTAAGTAATATATAAGTTTAGATTAATTTCAACATAAATTACATATTATCTCGCAATTGTATTTGTATGAATAGATATAGAATCATTCAATATGATCTTACCTTCAAGGTGTATCTAGTTAAGGGATAAACAGATAAAGACAATTACGCTGATAATGTGTTGTAAACCATACTTCTACTAATACAATATCATTTGTATTAAAAAAAATTGGTTGGTTCTAGAAGTAGAACTAGTGTTGGTTGGAGTCATGTTTACCCAAATTTACTTGGATTTGAATTTGACGTGGTTCTCAGTTTGGATAAACTCGTAAACGATGGCCTCAATTTAAAAACAACCAAAATAATGAAATATCAATTTAAAAAGGTTACAAACGTGGACCAGTACCCAAAATACGACCTAGACAGTAGGTTTGATGAGATCTCATAATCGTTTTAATTTAATATACATAAATGAGCATTAACATTTCGGATTGGATTAAGGATATTATATCTTTTTGTTTCAGCCGGAAAAAGAAAAAAAATGGTCCACCACATTATCTAGTCATCTTACCAACCCTATTGTACGAAGATGATAAGAGGATTAAGGACAATAATGTCATTTAATCTCAGCGCCGTAATATTATAATATCCGAAATAAGAAACAAATTAAATAAAGAAATAGATCGTTAGAAAACGTGTATATGTGCATTTGGTATGTATCCGATTTTCTAAATATTTTCCTTTCCTTTTTTTTTTTGGTCTCTCGCATTTAATTTTCCTTTCGATGCTCTTTCTCTTTCCGACTCTCCAGCGAATGTCCCATAGAGTTCTTCTTCTGAGTCCTTATCGTTCTCTTTCGTGAACTTTTTGTTTCATCTTCTCCACGAAGAAGACAATCGACGGTTTTTGTTTTCAGTTTTTTTTTTTTTTCTTCTTCTCGCCGGCGATTAGAAGGTTAGTAGCAGCAGTGAACCACTATTTTTTTATATATATTTTTTTTCTGGTTGTTGGACTTTTATTGGAATTTCGGGAACAGATTTTGATTTCGTTTAGTTTTAGCTGTTTTTGGAACGAAGCTGATTCCTGTAGAAACGGGTTATTGAGCTGTTTTGCGATTTGCGGCGAGAATCACAGTTTCTGGGTTTGATTTTGTGTGAGTAGCTTAGTTTTCAGATTCAGTGAATCGTTTTTGTTTCGGAATTATATTCAATGTGCGAGAATCACAGTTTCTGGGTTTGCTTTTGTTTTCAGGTTATTTGACCATAGAGCTCGCTTGAAAAGTCTTACATTTCCATGGTGTCGAGATCTTGTGCAAATTTTCTCGACTTAGCATCTTGGGACTTGCTGGATTTTCCTCAGACTCAGAGAGCTCTTCCACGTGTCATGACTGTCCCTGGTATCGTCTCTGAGCTGGAAGGAGGCTCTGTTGATGGATCCATCTCCGATGTTAACTCCTCCACCGGGTCCCACGAGCGGAAGATTATAGTGGCGAACATGTTGCCTCTGCAAGCTAAGAGAGATACAGAGACAGGGCAGTGGTGCTTTACCTGGGACGAAGACTCTCTCCTCCTGCAGCTCAGAGACGGGTTTTCTTCAGATACAGAGTTCCTTTACATAGGATCGCTGAATGCTGACGTTAGCGCGAGTGAGCAAGAAGCGGTTTCTCAGAAGCTTCTGATTGATTTCAACTGCGTCCCCACGTTTTTGCCTCCAGAGATGCAAGAAAAGTTTTATCTTGGTTTCTGTAAACACCATTTGTGGCCGCTCTTCCACTACATGCTTCCCATGTTCCCTGACCATGGAGACCGTTTTGACCGGCGTCTCTGGCAAGCGTATGTCTCTGCGAACAAGATCTTCTCGGATAGGGTGATGGAAGTCATAAACCCTGAGGAGGATTACGTTTGGATTCAGGATTATCATCTGATGGTTCTTCCCACGTTCTTGAGGAAGCGGTTTAACCGGATCAAGCTCGGTTTTTTCCTTCACAGTCCGTTTCCTTCGTCGGAAATCTACCGGACTTTGCCGGTCCGGGATGATCTTCTGAGAGGGTTGTTGAACTGTGACCTCCTCGGCTTCCACACGTTTGACTACGCGCGCCATTTCTTGTCATGCTGCAGTAGAATGCTTGGCCTTGATTACGAGTCTAAGCGCGGGCATATTGGTCTTGATTACTTTGGTCGAACTGTGTATATCAAGATTCTTCCTGTTGGTATCCATTTAGGTAGGCTGGAGTCCGTTTTGAATCTCCCTTCCACTGCAGCGAAGATGAAAGAGATTCAAGAACAGTTTAAAGGGAAGAAGCTGATTCTTGGTGTCGATGACATGGACATCTTTAAAGGCATAAGCCTCAAGCTTATAGCCATGGAACGTCTCTTTGAGACGTATTGGCACATGCGAGGGAAAGTTGTCCTGATTCAGATAGTAAATCCAGCACGGGCCTCGGGGAAGGATGTGGAAGAGGCAAAGAGAGAGACGTATGAAACTGCGAAGAGGATCAATGAGCGGTACGGTTCTGCTGGATATCAGCCGGTTATCTTGATTGATCGTCTTGTTCCTCGTTATGAGAAGACTGCGTACTATGCTATGGCAGACTGCTGCTTGGTGAATGCAGTGAGAGACGGCATGAACTTGGTTCCGTATAAATATATCATTTGCAGGCAAGGGACTCCAGGTATGGATAAGGCCATGGGGATTAGCTATGATTCGCCACGCACAAGCATGCTTGTGGTCTCTGAGTTCATCGGATGCTCGCCTTCTTTGAGTGGCGCCATCAGAGTGAACCCGTGGGATGTTGATGCTGTTGCGGAAGCGGTTAACTTGGCTCTGAAGATGGGTGAGACTGAGAAGCGGTTGAGGCATGAGAAACACTATCACTATGTTAGCACTCATGGTGTTGGTTATTGGGCAAAGAGCTTCATGCAAGATCTGGAGAGAGCATGTCAAGATCATTATAACAAACGTTGTTGGGGTATTGGTTTTGGGTTGAGTTTCAGAGTTCTGTCACTGTCTCCGAGCTTTAGGAAGCTATCTATCGATCACATTGTCTCGACGTACAGAAATACAGAGAGAAGGGCGATATTTCTGGACTATGACGGCACTCTCGTTCCTGAGAGCTCCATCATCAAAACCCCTACTCCCGAAGTCCTCTCTGTTCTGAAATCTCTGTGTGATGATCCTAAAAACACCGTGTTTATCGTCAGTGGGAGAGGCTGGGAGTCTCTGAGCGACTGGCTATCTCCGTGTGAGAATCTTGGAATAGCGGCTGAGCACGGCTACTTCATAAGGTAAGCTTTTAACATGAATGGCTCTCTCAGTTAAGAATTTTGGAAAAACTAAGACTTATTTATTCTCTATTTGGATTCAGGGAGAGTAGCAAGAAAGAGTGGGAGACTTGTTACTCGTCAGCTGATGCAGAGTGGAAGACAATGGTGGAACCGGTGATGAGATCGTACATGGAGGCGACCGATGGTTCCACTATAGAGTTCAAAGAGAGTGCTTTGGTTTGGCATCACCAAGACGCGGATCCAGACTTCGGATCCTGCCAAGCGAAGGAGCTTCTGGATCATCTAGAGAGCGTTCTTGCGAATGAGCCTGTTGTCGTCAAGAGAGGTCAACACATCGTAGAGGTCAAACCACAGGTAAGATAAGAGATCTAGCTTCATTCTTTTGTGAACCAATATTGGTGCAAACGCCTCATACCTTCTTATTGATTGCAGGGAGTAAGCAAAGGACTAGCGGTGGAGAAAGTGATACACAGAATGGTGGAGAATGGGAACCCACCGGACATGGTGATGTGTATAGGAGATGACAGATCAGACGAGGACATGTTTGAGAGCATATTGAGCACAATGACAAACCCTGACCTCCCAATGCCACCGGAGATCTTTGCATGCACGGTGGGAAGAAAACCGAGCAAAGCCAAGTACTTTTTAGATGATGTCTCCGATGTGTTGAAGCTTCTAGGGGGATTAGCTGCTGCATCGAGCAGCTCGAAGCCTGAGTATCAACAAGAAAGCTCCTCGCACTCACACGTGGCGTTTGAAAGCATCATCTGATAAAACACACAAAATGGATCATGAAGAAGTGTGGTCAGTGTGAGGAAACCAAAACCAATATATAACTTGGAGGAAATGATTGGGATTGGGGGTTGTTACGATTGTATATGAAACGGTTAACATGGGACTTGTCGTCTGTGTGATTTTTTTTGTTTTGTTTTTCCAAAGCTTGGGGAAGGTGTTTTCTTCTACCTCTCTCCTCTCTGTTGTTTTCTAGAATTGCAGTTTTCATCTCTTTGTATAGAATTCGATCTTTTTAAGTCTCTTTTGGTGGTTTGTATTTACACGGAGAAACCAAAATGGTCATCAAGTTGGTTTTTTGTAACTCTTTCACATAATGTTAAAAACTGACTAATCTTGTGAGCTCTAAAGTAGATTTGGGATCTGGGAGAAATAAAAATGAAGAACGATGTTACGGTGTCGTTTGAATATAAACCCCTAAACATTACTGTCATCTGTGTTTTCGAAAAGCGACGTCGTTGGAGCGGTTTTAAGTAAATAAACCTTTTGCTAACCTCAAAATCTCAAATTTTCCCTTAATGCAAATGCCTGCTAATTGAGCAAGTAATAAACACTCATTTGAAAGATGATTAAAAAGGGAATCTTAAAATAATCAGCAAAACCATAAAAATCTTGTTACATGATTAAAATATTGTTGCGCCGACGTTTGATAGCGTGACACATGTGTCACTCGTTTACGCCTCTCTCTTCTTCAACCTTTTTCCTCCTTCCTTTCTCTCACAGATTGTCCCTACTTCCTCCTTCAACCATCACTGTTTCCTGCAAATTCATAACCTTTTTTGTCCTCCATCGCCAGAATAGTATCTATCATTCATTCTTCCTTTTCTTTCTCCACCATTTCTCTGCTTCTGTTAGATTTATGAGCTAGGGTTTTTGTTTCCCCTCTTCGTCTTTCTCACTTCGCTATTCGTCTCTCTCCTGAAACTAAGTAATGAGTAGTAGTAACTTTCTGTTTCTGGGTATTACCATTCTGCTCTTATCTGGGTTTGTAGCTTCAGCTCCTTCAACGACTTCACCAGCAAGTTAGTTTTTTTCACTCTGTTTTTTTTTTCGCAATGGGGTCATTTTTCATCCTGCTCTTTGCTTACATCAATCTGTTCGTTTCCTTGCAGAGATTGTTAATGGTTTCATCTCCAATCACGGCACTTCCCTCATGAAATGGTTATGGTCCTTCAAAACCTCAACCAAAACAGGTTTTTCAGATATTTTCCATTTCCTCCTTCTCACAGATTAAGATTATGACGATATGATTTTTTTTTTTTCTAATTTCTGGGTGTTTCTGTTCATAATCAGCGGTTTCTGCGAAATCGAATGTGAAATTCGAGAATGGGTATATAGTGGAGACGGTGCTAGACGGAAGCAAACTCGGAATGGAACCTTACTCTCTCGAGGTCTTACCCAATGGCGAGCTGCTAATTCTGGATTCTGAGAACAGCAACATTTACAAAATCGCTTCTTCCTCTCTTTCCCTATGTAAGTGCCAATTTTTTTTCCGATTTCTGTCGCATTGTACTATTGATTTTGCGTCAGACGACGTGGATTTCAATATTTTGATGATCCTCTAAGGATCTTGAATACGGATGGAATCAAGTTTTTTTTTCTCTGCCTGCACGTGAAAAAGAAACTATTTTGCTTACCTAATTGCAGTACACTGTGCACATGGACTATACTAATTACTGTACAATAGAGAGATGGTCAAGAGCACAATGAATGCTTTATTTGCAGCTGTTTATAGAAACTAAGTGATAAGATTAAATCTTGAATATAGCAAATTGTGACTCTTTTGGAACAATGGCAGATAGCAGACCGAGGCTTGTTACTGGCTCCCCTGAAGGATATTCGGGTCATGTGGACGGTAGATTAAGAGACGCCATGTTGAACAATCCCAAGGGGCTTACTGTGGATGATAGAGGAAATATCTATGTGGCAGATACTGTTAACAATGCTATCAGGAAGATCAGTGAAGGAGGTAACTTTTTGTTTCATGCTGTTTTATGGGGAAAAAATGTTTGCTTGGTTTTATATCTATGTGGCAAGAATGAGTTTGAGAAAGATGCAAGAAATATGCAATGGCAGGAGTCACAACCATTGCTGGTGGGAAAACAGTTCATGGGGGAGGTCATGTGGATGGTCCGAGTGAAGATGCAAAGTTTTCGAATGATTTTGATGTTGTTTACGTTGGAAGCAGTTGTTCCTTGCTAGTCATTGACCGTGGAAACCGAGCCATTAGAGAGATTCAGCTCCGTTTCGACGACTGTGCTTATCAGTATGGAAGTGGCTTTCCTCTTGGTAAAGATTTACATACATTCGTTGCTGCTTTCGTTTCTTTAATCATATCCATTTTCTGAGTTCAATGCTTGTATAATTTTGCAGGGGTTGCAGTTCTTGTAGCGGCAGGTTTCTTTGGTTATATGCTTGCTCTCTTGCAACGTAGGGTCGGTTCTATCCTTTCTTATAACACCGTAAGTCTCAAAACATTACCATCTTCGGCTTCTGCTACCATCTAATAGCTATAACCAACATTTTTTGCCGGTTGTGTTTATGTACATAGGATCAAGAAATATATGAAGCCGTTCCTGATCAAAAGCCTATGAAACAAGTCAGGCCACCTCTGATTCCAGCCGGAGATGAGCAAGAGAAACAAGAAGAAAGCTTCCTCGTGCCGTTCCAGGTATTCATGTCGAATGCTCGGTTGTTTTTAGCGGAGCTGTGGAGTGGAATGTTCCCTGGTCTCGGAAAGAAGCAACGAGTCAGCTTCAACTTCAACCTCAACCATCAAGCAACAGAGCATTCTGGTTTTAGCACAGCTCCATGGCCGCCGATTCAAGAGAGCTTTGTGATACACGAGAAAGATGAACCACCTCCCGTCGAGTCCAGGAATCCCACTCCCAAGAAAACTTACGCTTTCATGTCCAAAGACGCAGAGAAAATGCAACAGCTGCGCCAGAGCCGTGCTTTGTACAGAAGCTTGGACCCTGAATTCCTCCAGGTGCAGCAGCAGCAGCAGCAACAGAAGCCACAGCAACGGAAGCAGCAGCATCACCGTAGGCAGCACTCAACGATCCCACACACTGTTTATGAGCAGAGCAGTGAGAAGACTGAGTTTGTGTTTGGGCCAGTCCAGGAGCAAGATCGGAGGCGTGTGGCAGCAGAAGCTAATGCTAATACTCATCAGAATATTCACTACAGAGCACACCAGTTCGTGAGTTACCCATATGGTTACTATTCCTATACATGAGAAGTTGATTGATAATATATGATAGAGAAGAAACAATGGGGATTTTTGGGTATAGGTGGGGGTTTTTTGAGATCTTTCTTGTAAGAAAAAGTAGCGAACTTTGATTATTATTCCGTAGCATAAAGAAAAAAGATGAGCACTTTCATAAAGATTCTTAAGCAAACGTGTTCAAGCACAAAGCTACTTCAATAACTCCTAGAACATAAACATTTACAAAAGATACAAACTTCTTTCATGTTCTCTTAAACGAAAACTACTCAGAAGAGGAAGAAGAACCACGAGCTGCAGTGTTTTCCTCAGCCAACTTTGAAAACCCTTCAACATGAACCTTAATAATGTCATCTATGGTTGCAGCACGTGGAAGAGACGAACCAGTTTCAGTGCGTTCTTCGTCGTTATTAGTTTCTTGCACATCGTCAAAGGTAATAAGGTCCTTAAGATCATCAGAGTGTTTCAGAGAAAGCTGCGGCTTTGAGTAGCTATTGTCGTCTAAAATGGCTACATTGTTGCGTTGACAAATGAAGAAAAGAGGAGAAACCATCGAACTTACTAATCTACTTAGTGCAGAATACATAAGGAAAAGGTGAGAAACGATCATCATAACTAGTCTACTTAGAACCGAGTAAACGGTTGATCCAGCGACAAGGTTTCTAATGCAGGAGAAGAAGGTCAGAGCTTGTTCCCCCAGTTTGATTAGGAGAAGCTTCGATGTCACGATGAGCGAGAGGTGGTTCACTTCTTCCTGTCTATAACGATTTGGTTAAGAGATCTTTGATATGAAGTTTTATACAATTACTGTGAATGATAGGTGAAAAGGAAAACTTACATGACGAATGATGTAAGGACGAGAAGCAAACCCAATGGCTAACCCAAGAAAGCATGAAAGGACAATCCCTATTGACCAAAGAGAGTATGTCCCTAAATCTGGAAACAGAGAAAGAAGAGTCGTTGTAGTTTCTAATAGCAGTGTGTATCAAACCAACGAAAAGATTACTGTGAAGAAGAACATACTAGAATGAGAGCTTTCGAGGCAATCTTCCTCCTTTAGATTTATTTGCCGGACCAATTCGTTTCCGTGATCAGAAACAAGCAAGCAACATCTTTGAGGCACAAAAGTTATCTCGAAATCGTTAGAGAAAGTTGCATTCTGTGCTGGTCCGTCTCTATGTCCGATATCCTTTGAGATTCCTCCAGCAATGGTGGTCACATAACCTACAAAGTCCGGCCAACAAAAAAAAAATGATGCATAATCGAAAAAAAACTAGCATTCAAGCAAAAGGGATACAAGAAAATGGATAAAACACCTGAAGAGCTGATCTTGCGTATAGCTTTATTGGTCTTATCAGCAACGTAGACATTCCCTTTAGCATCCACAGTGAAACCACGGGGCTTGTCGAACCGGCTGTTACCAGCTTTACCATCTACATAACCGGGATTCCCGTCCCCAGCAAAACGGTTTATCACACTATCTGCACAAACGCACACACACACACACACCGGATGAGCTAAAAATGTAATTGAAGGAAAGATAAAACAAAAAGTTTGAAAATTTTCACTTAAAGACTGGAAAAGTTTAAAACTTTCACACACAAATACACAAGACTTGCAATCAAAAGCCACAAGCACTAAGATTTATTTATGCATTCATGATTCATAGATGATGCAAAAAGTGTGGCTTTGAGTGTTTTACCGACGGACAAAGGAAATGAAGTGGTGTAGAATGTGCTGCCGGAAGTATCAAGGACGATCAGATTAGAGGATCCCGGTAGAGCATGGATCGTGTGTGGATTCAGACCAGTCTTGTGTCCATCGACCACCGTCGTAACCTCGTACCCGTCTTCTAAAACAAGCTTACCCTCGACTGTAAAACAGAATCATAATCATGAGAAAACACAACCGGAAAACTAAAAATTCGATTTTTTTCGGTTCGGGAAATTCAACTAAATTAAACAGTTTCGAGAGCAGAAATACGAAAAGAAACTAACCCGGATTGAAAACGACGAACAAGAAGAGAAAAACAGACGAAAATCCCCAAGCCATGTCGGAATCGAGAGCGATAGAATTAGAAAGCGACTGTGTGATGATGATTGATTACTTGTTTTCGCTGCTTAGCATCTTTAAAGTTTAAAGTGTCTCTCCACTACTTCAAGTTAATACGCTGTGTTGAAGTGTAGGGAAGAGAATTTGGGAACAACCATCATAGAAATGGCCCAGTATGGGCCCATTTTGTGTGTTAAGGAACGCATCTCAAACGTTGCCGGTTTTATGATGGAAATGAAAGTCATGTTTTTATACAACGCATTTAATTTGGTAAAATTTGGCTTACGAAGACTGAGAAAGAAAAAAAAAACGAGCATCGTCGTCCATCGAGATCCAAATCCTCAGTTTCTTTTCCATTTCTCGAATTTTGATCAGCTAGTCGGAGCTCCGGTAACGGATTTGGACAATCCCGGCGGCGGAATTCTGCTGCGTGGCTAGCTTTTTTTTTTTGTTTCTCGGCAGATTATTCGTAAAGTTGCCGGTGGGCCAAGGTCCAACTCTTTGCACAACCAAATCATGAATCCGTTTTCTTCTGGTACTCGTCTAAGGTAAATTGGATTCTCCTCTTTCTTTCGTTTTTTCATTTCAGTTTCAGGTTGCCTAGTGGTTTCTGGTTCGATCAGCTTACAGACGAAATTTTGATATAAACATAAAGTATGAGTGAAAGAAGGATTTGTTGGAATTGAGCTCGATTATTTGATGATTGAATTCTGATTAAAGTGTTTTTTAATGGCCTGTATCGGAGATGATTTTGGTTTAGGTGTTTCTGATTTCCATAGGATTTTGCTTTAGTCCAAGAACATGATCAAACCAAGGATTTTTGCATCATTTTTGCTTGTTTCTTTTGAATAATGAAAGTCGAATCAGTTTGATTTTACTTATTGTATGATAGTGAAGTTAAGAAGACGTTTGAATATGATGATCCAGGGACATGATCCGATCAATAAGAGCATGCAAAACAGCTGCGGAGGAGCGTGGCGTAGTAAGAAAAGAGTGTGCCGAAATCCGAGCTTCCATTAATGAAAATGATCCACACGATAGGCACAGAAACCTTGCGAAACTCATGTTCATACACATGCTGGGTTATCCGACACATTTCGGGCAGATGGAGTGCTTGAAACTAATCGCATCACCTGGATTTCCAGAGAAGAGGATTGGATATCTTGGGCTAATGTTGCTTCTTGATGAGAGACAAGAAGTGTTGATGCTCGTCACAAATTCACTAAAACAGTATCCTTACTACTCATTAGTATTATTAATCTTAATACCTTGGCTTTTGCATGTATTATAATTTAGATCACTTGATTTTTGGTTGCATTGCTGTGGTGGAATTATATGGAAATAGGTTTGTTCCTGTTTAACCTTAAGTCACGTGCAGAGATCTTAACCACACGAACCAGTATGTTGTAGGGCTCGCGCTATGTGCTTTAGGGAACATTTGTTCTGCAGAAATGGCTCGTGATCTTGCACCGGAAGTAGAACGATTAATCCAGTTTCGTGACCCTAATATCCGAAAGAAGGTGAAGTGTTTTCTAGTTTCTGTTAGAGCCTGATGGAGTTTGGTTGTTGTTATTTTATTTGTTTTCTTCATTGCTTTTACCATTGATGTTGTTATTATACGCAGGCGGCACTCTGCTCCACTAGAATAGTACGGAAAGTTCCAGATCTTGCAGAAAACTTTATAAATGCTGCTTCTTCGTTGCTTAAAGAAAAGCATCATGGGGTTCTTATAACAGGAGTTCAGCTTTGTTATGAATTATGCAAAATCAATGATGAAGCCTTAGAATTCTTCAGAAAGGTAGATTGATAATTTTCTATAAACCAATCCATTTATGTATACATGAGCATCGATCGGCGTATTGTAGTGTAATATGCTTCATAGAACATGCGTACATGTCCCCACAATGATTCTTCTCTGATATATTCACTTATAAATATATCACTGAACTAAAATGAAGTAGATAGTCAGTTTGACAAAGCCTTGTCTCTTTGTATTGTATCTGCAGAAATGCACGGAGGGATTGATAAAAACTTTGAAGGATATAACTAATAGCGCATATCAGCCTGAGTATGATGTTGCAGGGATCACAGACCCTTTTCTTCACATACGGTTACTTAAGCTTCTGCGTGTTTTAGGCCAGGGTGACGCTGATGCTAGTGATTTGATGACTGATATACTTGCCCAGGTTAGTCATAATTTAGAATGTGATTCTGGATATGGCTCACCATTTTCACAAATACAATGTAATTCCCTTTTCAGTTGTAATAAATATACCTTTTCCGAAAAAACGTTGTATGATAGCTATGTTCTCTGATATGATAGAACTGATCCTGTTCAAATATTGGAGAACGAATTTTTTTTAGCTGATAGGGGTCATGAGCTGACACTCTCTTTGGTAGATATAAGACTTGTTGGGTACTGAGATCTCCCAGACTTTCCCATGGGTTGAATTTTCCCTCTTTTGATACCAGTGTTGGTTTTCTTAGCGAGTACTTATGTGTGGCCATATAAGTCTGTAGGTTGCGCCAATCAGTTCTATTTCATCATAATGAAGTTGCATCTCACACCTGTTACATGCCTTGTTGTGAAAATCTTATGAGTTCAGAATCAGGGATCTACTGTTGGTTACTTTGTTTTCTTGGTTCCTTGATCCTTGCTGTTGCTGAGAGACATATTTATTCTAGTTAGTTTCATGTTTTTGTAGGTGGCAACAAGAACTGAATCAAACAAAAACGCAGGAAATGCCGTACTCTATGAGTGTGTTGAAACAATCATGGCTATTGAAGACACCAGTAGCTTGCGTGTGCTTGCTATCAATATCTTGGGAAGATTCTTATCTAACCGTGACAATAATATCAGGTTTAAACCGTACACCTCAATATTTTATTTTGATATAATTATATGATATTATATGTTTTAGATTAGAACTAGCTTGCTTGTTTTTTCTTCTTCTGTCTCTCCTCTTGTCTGCTTAATTCTATGGAGACATTGTGCTCTTGTTAGCAGCTAGTGCTTCTTTCTTAATAATCGTTTCATTTTGTGTTTTCTCACACTTATTCTCTCAGAAATGTTGCATTCCCCTTATAAATACTCTCGTTTTGTCAGATATGTTGCATTAAACATGCTGATGAAAGCAATCGCTTTTGATGATCAAGCAGTGCAAAGGCACAGAGTTACAATCTTGGAATGTGTTAAGGTATTGTTCTTAGTAATACCCACAAAATATGTTTAACGATGTTAACTGTAAGTAATTTCTTAGAGAAGGAATACATATTAATCTGGCTTCTGCTTCCATCAAATTTAGGACCCAGATGCTTCTATCCGGAAAAGAGCTCTTGAGCTTGTCTCTCTTTTGGTGAATGCAAATAATGTCAAACAACTGACAAAGGACCTAATTGATTATTTGGAAATCAGCGATGAAGATTTTAAGGAGGATCTTAGTGAAAAAATTTGTTCCATCGTTGACAAGTAAGTATTATGTTCGAGATGGGAATGTTTCTCTGGGTGTCGTGTTAATTGAGATTTTAAGCTGATTTGTTAACAATTTGGATAATGTAGGTTTTCGCCAGAGAAAATCTGGTACATTGATCAGATGCTCAAGGTTCTGTCGGAGGTATAGATTCAAACACGAGACAGTTTATGATCTATATAAACTTGTTATGAGTTTATGGCTTTATGCCACTCTCTGAAACCGTTCTCTGAGAGTTTATGGCTTAAGCTCTAATGATTGCGTTGTATCGGTTGTAACCCTACTGTCCTCTATTCCATGTTAGTAGGCTGGAAAGTTTGTGAAAGATGATGTGTGGCATACACTTATTGTTGTCATAAGCAATGCATCAGAGCTTCATGGATATACAGTCAGAGCATTGTACAAAGCAGTCTTGACATATTCAGAACAGGTATGTCTTATTTTTCTAGTGTTTGATTGATTTCAGTCCTTAATCTGTGTATGCCTTCCTAATATGGTTTCTTTGAGATATTAACCAGGAGACCCTTGTTCGAGTGGCGATATGGTGCATTGGGGAATATGGTGATCTATTGGTTAACAATGTGGGGATGCTTGGTATTGAAGATCCAGTGACGGTGAGCATTATAATACACATTTTAACTCATTATTTGATCCATGTTAATATGAAAATGCTCTTGCTTATTGGGATTTCTTGTTGACTTTTAAAAACGTGTAATGACTAGTTGACTTCCTTGCGCAGGTAACCGAATGTGATGCAGTGGACGTTATCGAGGATGCCATTACTCGCCATAACTCAGATATGACTACAAAAGCAATGGCATTGGTCGCTCTATTGAAGCTGTCATCCCGCTTTCCTTCTATTTCAGAGTAAGTTCAATTTCAGGGTGCTATCTGTTTTTATGCCAACTAGTTCATCTAGTATCTGTACTTGTTCAACTTCAACTCTACACAAGATGCATACGTGTACCAAAGATAGGAATAGTGAATTTTGGCTGTATAACATACAATAAGAATAGTCTTGCGTCATCTTCTAGGAAATGATTAGGAATACATTATACATGTACATCCATGTCACCAACTCTCTTGTGGTAACTAAACAGTTTTCTAAAATTCAATGGCAGGAGGATTAAAGATATAATTGTGAAGCAGAAAGGGAGCCTTCTCCTTGAAATGCAGCAGAGAGCTATTGAGTTTAATTCTATTCTGGACAGGCATATAAACATCAGGTGGTTAATGAAATCCCTTGTTTGTCTCTTCCTCATCCATCTTCTGTTGTAGACTTTCATTTTCCCTCTCTCTCTCTCAAAGCTCATGAAAGCGAGGTCTCTGTGCATGTAGGTCTTCTCTGGTTGAGAGAATGCCGGTACCTGATGAGGCTGCCTCCAGGGCGAGGAGGAGTGGCTCTCTGCCTGCATCAGATTCAACAATGTCCAAGCCTTCCGTTAGCATTCCAAATGGTGTTACTGCAGCTCCACTTGTGGACTTGCTTGACCTTGATTCTGATGATATCCTGGCTCCACCTACTTCATCTGGTGTAGATTTCCTTCAGGATCTTCTCGGTGTTGACTTAGGATCATCGCCAGCACAATCTGGTTCGTTCTTTGGCGTCTCTGCAGATTTTGCTTTCATTTTGTGGCGTGCTCAGTTGTGATTCGTCTCTGAATGAGCAATCTTTTAAAAGTTTAGTTTCTTGTGTCACTTAGCAAGAAGATAACTCATGCTTGATCTTCTTCTCTTTTTTTTTTGCAATGTTTCAGGCGCAACCCCGCCTCCAAAAGCCGGCACAGATCTGTTGCTAGATATTCTATCAATTGGAACACCATCCCCGGCACAAAACAGCGCATCATCAATTGATTTGTTATCAACAGCTGACACACTCTCTTCACCAGCTCCATCTAGCATAGCAACGACTGCGCCTAGCGGTATGTTTGATTTGTTAGATGGTCTTTCACCAAGCCCATCGAAGCAAGGTAAGAAAAAACTCTTGAACTGAAAAAAAGAAAATCTATATAACACCATTGAAACTCTTTTAAAAAGAATAATAAGAATTTGCTTTTCCTCATCATTGCAGCAACCAATGGTCCAGCATATCCACCTATTGTTGCATACGAAAGCAGCTCCTTGAAGATTGAGTTCAGCTTCTCAAAGATGCCAGGGAATCCACAAACGACAAATGTCCAGGCCACTTTTATTAATTTATCTCCTAATACTTTCACAGATTTCATCTTCCAGGCTGCTGTTCCAAAGGTGTCATTTCATCTAAACTCTTCTTCCTTCTTGCCTTATTATCCAGTTTTCAATTTTAGCTAAAACTTTGTTCTCGGAAATTTTCCAGTTCCTTCAGCTGCACTTGGATCCAGCTAGCGGTAACATACTCTCGGCTAGTGGTAAGGTCACGCAGAACCTAAGAGTTACTAACAGCCAGCACGGGAAGGTATATACACAGCTTCCTTTTTTCTAAATGATGATCCACACAACTCAATCTAGATTGGTTGATCCTCTGGATTCAGTGACTTGACACTAAAAATGGGTTTAATGTATATGGCAGAAATCCCTTGTGATGCGCATGAAGATTGGGTACAGAGTGAACGGAAAAGATGTGTTGGAGGAAGGACAAATCAACAACTTCCCTCGCGGGTTGTGAGTCTGATTGTGTTCTCATTATAAGGACTTGAGTGTTTGTGTCTTGCCCGAGCCGTTGATGCAAGCAAAAGCAGCTTTGACCTCCCAATTTTTCTTTCTTCATCCGTTTCCTGAAACAAGTACTATGGGTTTGTTTGGGATTTTGAGGTTCTTGCTTGGGGGTTTCTTTTTGTACAAAAGTTCCGATGTTTGGAATCGGAAAGTGATCGAGGAAGCACACGAGTTTGTCTCTTTGTTATCTGAGAATGTGATTCATATTTCATAACCATAACCCATATGATGTATCTCCAGTTACAACTTCGTCTTGCAAACAAGTTTTGGATCATGGATGTTGTCTTAGTTTTGGCAAATATATTACAAGCTTGACATGATCAACAGCATTCCTCTTCTATGAAGCCAATTCTAACGTGTCTTGCAAGTAAAAGAATCAATCAACTCGTTTCTTACTTTTTATTTTTTCTTGGATTTGAACATTACAAAATCTTACATGAAAGAAATTTCGAACCTCGAAATTACCAAATAGTAAGTAAGAATTCGTGTGACTTCCTTGCTTGGTTTGGATATGATTTTGAAGACGACCTGTGACTTGGGACGTGATTAAATTATTATGGAGGCAAATTTGAAGATCAACGTAGAGATCCTTGCCTACTCTTTCTTACTCAAATGTTCTTTTGGAGCATAATAACAAATTGTCGCTCATCATTATAACCAATCATGATTCCATCCCAGTTTTGGACACTCTTTAAAAGTCTAAAACCCACCAAAGAAATAATATTTGACTCTTCCTTTTTAAAAAGAACATTTTTAAAATATTTGTCCCAGAAAATGTTCTTCTTTGATTTGAAAAGTTTTGAACTAATTAAACTATTAAACTTGCAAGAGAATAAGCATATAGCTGTATAACTAAGTAGAATTATGATTACACGAGAATTATTTTAGCAACCAAAGAATTTCTATCATCACGTTTTCTGGCCTTAAGTCTGGGTAGATGATTCTCATCTGGTGTAAGGTGCTTTCCATGTAGCCTAGAACTCCATGTACCCCTTCCTATAGCCGTTGCACTTCTCTTATCGAGTTATGTGCTCAAAGTTTTGTACCAAATTCGTACAAAGTTCCACTTGAATTCCTGAAAAGACGACAAGAGCCCATGCAATATTATTAGGCTTTCATAGACATTCAATTCCCAAGAGGCCATACAATATTATTAGGCTTTCATATACACATGTGTACCAAAATAATGGTCGGATTAATTAACTTTTTACTTGACACATTTCAAAGATTGTTGTAGAAAAAACTTTATTAATCATAATATTATTGAAGATGAATAAAAAGGGTTCCATCTTCTATGTTGGACATACGTATTCTCTGATCAAGTTAGTTGTGGTTTGCACAAGTGGGAAGGCAAGTGGTCTTCCACGACCTGGTATCTCTGCGCTTTTTGCGATCCTGGCCAACTTGGAAAAGATGTAAGAGCCAAGGAGAAGGATAAAAAGGACGTTATCATCATTGGTATGGAACTAGCATTGAGTTTCCCTTATGCCACATCAAAGAGAATGAAATTCCGAAAGAAATTGTCCCGGAGTTTCTCTGCACTGATTATGAAACTCCAACTGCTGATCAAATTCGCTTTTAGTACAACCCGGAAAATAAATGTAGACAATGTTAACCGTACGTAATAGTTGTCTTAGAGAAGGAATACATATTAATGTGGCTTCTGCTTCCATCAACAATTTAGGACCCAAATGCTTCTATCCGGAAAAGAGCTCTTGAGCTTGTCTCTCTTTTGGTGAATGAGAATAATGTCAAACAACTAACAAAGGAGCTAATTGATTATTTGGAAATTAGCGATGAAGATTTTAAGGAGGATCTCAGTGCAAAAATTTGTTCCATTGTTGAAAAGTAAGTTTTATGTTTGAGAAAGTGGAAGACCACTTGCTTTAATCTTTTCATGCTCAAAAGAGAGGGGTGTTAGGATGAGGAGGATGGGAAGGTTACTGTGAGTGGTTATTGAGACTATATGCTGATTTGTTAACAATTTGGATAATGTAGGTTTTCGCCATAGAAAATCTGGTACATTGATCAGATGCTCAAGGTTCTGTCGGAAGTATAGATTCAAACACGAGCATTTTTATGCTTTGTTTTAACTAGTTACGAGTTTGTGGCACTCTCTGAGAGTTTATTATCTGAATCACATTTACATCTTCCTTTTTTTTTCTTGTCCCGTCTCAAAGTATCTACATTACTTGATTCACATATCCGAAAGCGACGTCGCTTTTGAGAAGTCCGGGTATCGGTAGACTGACCACCACAAAGCGTACCCTTGAGAGTCAAGTATCCTGAATCATCCATGACTCTTCTAACTATAGCTTTCCGTTCAACATGCTTCCCAATCTCAAAAACCCGACGAAGGGCTCGAGCACTCTTGGCCTTGAGTCTCTCATTCGGCGGCTCAACGTCTTCAGTACCAGTTTCTATGGCCACTCTCACAATCTCTAACTTGGACATGACATCAGTACGTTGTTCCACCTGAAACAACACTTTTTGGTGTCAATTTTCGATACGTTATTTATTGTCACCAGTTGATAATTTATACGCAAAACTTATATTTGTGAGTGACCTATCATTTGCACAAACTACAAGTTCCAAATACATAGAAATCCAATCAGTGGCTTCCCACTCTGATTTCTTCACCTCCAAAAGCAAGAAAATATATCAGGGCTTGCTTAATTGATCATTACCAAAAACAAAACTTAATGTTGTGTATTATATACTCCATCCGTTTCACAAAGGTGTAAATTTTGTTTGATCACTTTACATTTTTAATGAAATTTTTAATAAAAATTAACGTAAAATATAAGGTTTATTGATTTTCTTAATACTTAGGTGTGAAAAAGAGTAGAATGATACTCTTTGTGAAAGAGAGGGAGTAATAATCTTTCTTACCACGTAAAATCGTTTTTCATCATTGAAAGCATCATCATCTGATGGCCAATCAGGCATTTCACCTTTGAAGATACCATCTACTCTTGCGCCACAATGAAAGTGAGGCATGAATGGCTTGTGGGTGGTCACTGTGAAACATTATTATTAATCAGAAAGCAAGGTGAGATTTTTATACAATTGACTCGACTTTTATGAAGAACAAGAAAAAATGAAAAACAGTGCACCACAAGTCACCTTCGCCTTTAAGTCTAGCAATGGAGCACGTCATATTCAACTGGCCATATTTTTCTTCATCAGCTCGAACCTGAAAGGTTTTCAGGGACGTGTTGTCAGCTGCTTCGTGTGCAAGCAAAGTAATGTAAAAAGAGCACACGTGATTTGGTGTCATGTTGAATTTCACCATCTCAGCGAGCTGGAAGCTTGTTCCCTGATAGATGATAGATGATCAAAGAAAATTAAATGAATGTGGTAACATCATAGCATCGTGTACGTATGTTGATAAAGGCACTAAAGGAAAGAGATTAGTTTTGATTACCTTTAGCATATTGTAACGATGAAGCCCCGCTTTAGTTACCTTTCACTTATTTTGCAACACAATTAGAAGATATATAGCTTAGGTAAAATAAAATACAAGTAAAAATTAAAATGAAACAACAAAGAGTGAGTATTTAATCTGGTAATCCAAGTAAAAAAAGTTAAATTACAAAACTAATAAATAGTTACATTGTGTGGTAGTATCAACGCCAAAAACAATTAGATTATGGACCTCTTTGCGTTGGGAGCTCTCTCTCTGTGTCCTCAATGTCATCTAAGTGCATGATGCTTTCACTCTTATTCATCATACTGGTGAAGTAAAAATCGTATCTCGTCGTATTAAACCAGCGGTCCGGTATTCCGCCGACTGTAACCTTTCTCAGGTCAATTTTTTTGCAGATCATAATAGAGAATGTAATAAGGGGAGACAAGGTAAAAGGGTGCCAAAATAGCCTCGCCGTTTTGAGTTGTACCATGCACCATGAATGCAACGTCGTTATCGACTAAATGCATCTGACAAGGCTGCAAAGCCAGAGGTTTCTTGGACCATCTTCCACCATCTTCCAAGACCCATAAGTCCACCAAACCCTTCGGTACAAGACGGTTATGATCAAGTATAGCTGGTTTTCCACCATACTCTATAAACCCCATATGCCGATCTTTAACCCCCTGAGGCCCATCTATTGTAGAAAGCGAGTACGGCAATTCCATCTTCTTAAACTCTTCAGTTCCCACATCAAAACTGACTAGGATACAATGAGTCATACAAGTCACAGCCAAATAATATATAACTCCATTGATGCACAGCCCAACTCTTGTAGGCAAGTGGTGTGGGGGCGGTTCATGATGCTCCATTTCTCTCCAGTAACCTCCTGCTTCGAGTACCAAGACCGAATACTCCGTGGCTATCATCTCATAATCTTCCGAGCATATCACAAAAGCGTAGACAACTTTGTATTGATCAAGAACAGGGTCGTGTCCGAAAAGGTAGCTGCCATACTCACGAGAGGCTTCTTGAGGAGCAAGGTCGGTGCCGGTGCGGGGCAAGATTAGGGTTTGTCTGGTGGTGGGATTATAGATACACATATCTCCACAAGAAGCAGTGCATAAAACCAGGCCGCGAAGAGCCACCATGGTGTGTGTTCCCCACCCCCACCATGGCATGGTCAAATCTGGGACCAAAGACTCAGCGTTGTTACTAGACGACGACGATGGTGATAATGATAGCAGTAACCGCTCCTGTTCGTCCCGCAAACTCATGTACAGACGAGGTTGCTGCGGTCGGGACGACGCCATCGTGCGATAAAGGTTGGTAAAATATCGGGAATGAATAAGAGCATTCCAGCTCTTTGACACGCACTTGAAACTCATCAGAGCATTCAGGAGGCAATCTAGCCAGGATCTCGACCTCCACATCCGGAGGAGTCTCCGAGCTGTCTCCTCCTCGTCTTCTTTTTACTCTCGTCATCGCTCTGAACTGATCGAGTGAATATTTTTGCTTCTCCAAACATGCATACATAATTATAGGTAAAAGGTTAACATTATTCTAATTAAAATGGAAAATTACCTATTCTCTAAACCGAAAAAAAAGAAAGAAGAAATCCAAAAATAACTTCTAAATAAAAGGTAAATTATCTATTGAGAGATAGTTTAAGGCGAAGTTACTCAGTTTGGTTTATGACTAGCTTAGCGAGACAATGATATTTGGATTATATCTTCTTGGATTATGGATCTTGTCTTAGTTTTGACATTCCTCTTCTATGAAGCCAAGTCTAACGTGTCTTGCAAGTAAAAGAATCATTACAAAATCTGACATGAAAGAAAATTCGAACCTTGAAACTACCAAATAGTAAAAGTTCGTGTGACTTCCTTGCTTGGATTGGATAAAGACGACCTGTGACTTGCTTTGAAGATCAACGTAGAGATCCTTGCCTACTCTTTCTTACTCAAATGTTCTTTTGGAGCATAATAACAAATTGTCGCTCATCATTATAACCAATCATGATTCCGTCCCATTTTTGGACACTCTTTAAAAGTCTAAAGCCCATAAGAGTTCCGAGGTCGCTTTTTACAAGTCCGGGTATCGGTAGATTGACCACCACAAAGCTTACCCGTGAGAGTCAAGTATCCTTTATCATCGATGACTCTTCTAACTATAGCTTTCCGTTCAACATGCTCACCAATCTCAAAAACCCTACGAAGGGCTCGAGCCTCTGCCAAGCCCTTGAATATTATGTAGACATGTGCACTCTTGGCCTTGAGTCTCTCATTCGGAGGCTCCACGTCTTCAATACCAGTTTCTATGGCCACTTTCACAATCTCCAGCTTGGACATGACATCAGTACGTTGTATCGTCTGAAACAACACTTTTTGGTGTCAATTCTCAATATGGTTTTTGTCATCATCAATTGATGGGTTTGTCAATAACTGATATGCAAAACTTACACTTGTGAGTGACCTATCATTTGCACAAACTACAAGTTCCAAATACATAGAAATCCAATCATTGGCTTCCCACTCTGATTTCTCCACCTACAAAGTCCAAGAAAAACATATCAGGGCTTGCTCAACTAAAAACAAAACCTAATGTTGTGTATTATATAAAATAATCTTTTCTTACCACGTAAAATCGTTTTCCATCATTGAAAGCATCATCATCTAATGGCCAATCAGGAATTTCACCTTTGAAGATACCATCTGCCTTTGCGCCACAATGAAAGTGAGGCATCCATGGCTTGTGGGTGGTCACTGTGCAACATTATTTGAGATTTTAATAAAATTGATTCAAGAACAAGAAAAAAAATGAAAAACAATGCATGCACCACAAGTCACCTTCGCCTTTAAGTCTAGCAATGGAGCACGTCATATTCAATTGGCTAAATTTTTCTTCATCAACTCGAACCTGAAAGGTTTTCTGCGACGTGTTGTCAGCTGCTTCGTGTGCAAGCAAAGTAATGTAAAAAGAGCACACGTGATTTGGTGTCATGTTGAATTTCACCATCTCAGCGAGCTGGAAGCTTGTTCCCTGATAGATGATCAAAGAAAATTAAATGAAAGTGGTAACAACATAGCATCGTGTACGTACGTTTGTTGGTAAAGGCACTAAAGGAAAGAGATTAGTTTTGATTACCTTAAGCATATTGTAACGATGAAGCCCCGCTTTAGCATAAAGGTCGACCAATATACGATAAGGGTAACGACAATCACAGTGGTAGCGCATCAGTCCACCCATCATTCCATTCGAGAAATCGAAACCCTAAGACCCACCAGCGAAATAATCAGTATATATAGGAACAACCTAGAAGCAATGGATTTCTCACAACCCTAAGACCCTTCAGCAACATAATCAGTCTATAAACAACCCTAGAAGCGATCATAACTTCCTCTATACGCTATTAAGAAACTGTGATCATGGTTAGGGTTAATTCTGTGAACGAAAGGAACAATCTACCAAATCACAATTATATATAGTTTAAATTCTCTAAACAACCGTGTAGAAGCGATCGATTTCGCAAAAAAAATCGAAACCTAAGACCTATCAGCAAAAGAATCAGTCCATAAACAAACCTAGAAGCGATCGAGTTGATCAGTTTACTCATGCAGCTATTAAGAAACTAGGATCATTAATTCTGTAAAACAGAGAAACAATCCAAGAAAATCTCTAAACAATAAGAAGATGAAAGAATTACATCGGATTCCTCCACTTCACGCCAGTATTCAGTCGCATATCTCTCAAGCTCCTCCGCCGTAAAATACTCCGTCGGCATGTTCTCCTCGTGGTAGTGGATGCGTTTTTTTTTTCTCTTCCGATCCAAGCGATATGTCACATATCATATGTGACCTTAAATTCCTCATCAGACGGATGCATTTATGGGCTTTAGTTGGGCCTTCTTAACCCAAATCTCATCTATGATTTATGAAACGAACAGAGTTCTCTCGGTGGAACGTAATTAGATTGCTACATTACCAACTCTCATAAAGAAAATACGAAGCTGTGTTAAAATTGGTACTATCAAATACTAAAAGTTCATGTGACCTTGTTGCATTGGATATGATTTTGAAGACAACCTGTGACTGAGGAGATCATCGTGACGTAATTATTATGAAGGCAAATTTGGAGAATCAACGTGGGAGTTCCTTACCTACTCTTACTCGAATGCTCCTTTTAGAACATAATAACAAATTATTGATCATCATCTTATTTTATCCCCACCGATAATGATTCCATCCCATTTTTGGATACTCTTCTAAAAGTTTAAAACCCCACCAAAGAGATTATACATTTGACTTCTCTTCTTTACAAAAAAAAAAAAAATCCATTTTTACAATATTTTTGATAGAAAACAATCTTCTTTTTACAAGAAAATCATCAAAAGTTCAAATTTGAGGTTAATATACTTCAAACTACAAAACTCAGATTAGGTTTCTCAACACAATAGACTGATTAGAATTTAGAACTGGGGACTTAACAGAATCATCCCCATATAACATTATCAAAGAACAAAGCTTATTCCCCTCAAAACAACACAAAGAGATTCAGCTACAGAGACACAAAGAGACCACCACTACTACAGTATAGTGTTAAAACAAAATGAATTTCCAAAAAAAAAACTCAAAATCAATGATTTAATTTAATAATCAATGCCAGAAAAAATTCTAGCTAACCACTTTGAATCCTGTACCTAACCTTTTTCCTTTCTCATGGACCCTGAAATCTCTTACCATTCAATGACAACCCAGCAGAAACTGTACTTCCAGATGCAGAACAAGCATAAGAAGATGCAGATGATGAAGTAAAAGGACCAACCAGATTGGTCTCTGCTTGATTCCCAAACTTTGATCTTTTATTTGACCATTGCCAGATCTTCGACACAGAAAAGCTCTCACCTTTACTTCTCATGTTTATCTTCTTCCCTTCAACACAACTCTCTCCTTCTTTCACATTCTTCAGAGCTTCGTTGTTAGGACACAAAGCCACAACCAGATCCGATTCAGCAACTATGTACTGATAAGACCCCATTGAGAAACATCTCCTGTTGTCAAGATTGCTGTTCACACTCACACACCCACTCGTCTCTCCTCCTCCTTCTCCTCCTTCTCCTCCTTCACCGCCATTGTTATTCACATTGGTGCTTCTAAACTTGCCAAGCCTCACTGAGAACACTCTCTTCCCAATGTCGTTACTCTCCGCCTGTTTCTGCACCGGAGAGACCCTGGCTCCATCTTCCCCGGCGGCGGCGGCGAAAAACCCGAAATTGAAATCCGGGTTATCGAATTGGTGACCCAGCGGGTAAAGGGTTCCTCTGCAGAGCGGGCACGTCGAATTGGAGAGGAGCCACGTGTCGATGCAGTCGATGTGGAAGGCGTGGCTGCAAATCGGGAGCAATCTAAGCTTGTCGTCTTCGGAGAATTCGCAGAGACACACGGCGCAATCGAACGGCTCTTTCGAGCCTTTGATCTCTTTGTAGAGGAAGACGGGGAGGGCGTCGATCAGAGCTTGATCTAGACCTGAATCGTGGAGATGGAAGAGCTGCTGGAGCTGTCTTTGGTAAGTTTCGGAGTCGGAGAATTCTGGGTTTCGATCGGAATCCGCCGCTGATGAAGAAAGGCTCGATCTTTTCTTCTTTAAGTAATATCTCACCACCAAATGTAGAACGCTGCAGATGAAGAAGACGACGGATAACAGAACGATGATGAAGAGAAGGATTGGGCTTATTCGATGACCGCCGGAAGATGATGAACTAACGGTAATAGGAGGAGGAGAAGGTGAGATTCGGATCGAGTTTTCGAATTTGAGCTGGGATTGATGAATCATCTGAGACATTTTTGTGTGTGTTTCCCTCAGGTGATGAAGAACAGAGACACCATTTACTTTTAGCTTCTCTCGGATTTAATCATAAACCCCTCAATTTTTGATTTTTTTTTTCTGTGGAACTGAGAAAAAGAAATCGGGATTCTAATCGATTTTACAGTCAAATGTAGCAGAAATTTTGGAATCTGAAATGATGGCTAAACAGATTTGACACAACCAGAGAGAGAGAGAGCTACTCTCATTACATTAAGGGGAAAATATTAGTTAAGGTGATTAGTTAGGACTTAAATAAATGATTAGTTAAAAGCTTAATTAAATGAATAGTTAAGGCTTAGTTAAATGTGATTAGTCACTGAAAAATTGATCATACAGTTCTCTTGTTAGGCCACCAATCTTTTGTGTTTTTGAAATTGATAATTGTGGTGTGGAGCCCTACGCTTGATTCAGGGATCTATAGTTCCTAGCAGTTTCGAAGAATATAGAAAAACATACCGAATAAAATTAAGGCTTCTTAATTATTGTTTTCTCTTTCACACTTTAGCGTTTTTGTTTTGTATTTTTGTAATCACTCAGTAGCTAAAAGCCTAATACCACATTTAATTATCCAATGGTAGGTATCAAGTCATCAATAATAAGGGAACAATCCACAATACTCGTTTATCGTTGCCATTAATTTTTGAAAGGAATCACTCAACTAAACTAGAGGTTTGAAAGGAACTACTAATAGATTTTTTAATCCAGTTTGGAGGAAACCATTAACCACATGGTAATGTCAACAAATGATTAAAAACAAAATTCGAGTCTGTCAGCATTGGAATTAGTAATGTAAACAAAAGCCTGTCATCACTTCTTTTGAGAGAAGAAGATAAGCTACAAATTCATGGGCCGTAAGGACCCATAAATGATAATCTTTGTTAATAAAAGCCCAAGTCGTATAATTTTTCTTCTTTTCCATACGAAGTTAACGCACACAAAGATTAATTAAGAGAATAACCAGAATCAAATTAGAACAAAAAATAAACAAAAGACAAAAGAATCATTTTTGAGAAAGCGAATACATATCGGAAAGAGTTTTGAGAAACGTAATTTTCAACTCCAAATGCATGATATAATCAGCAGTCTTGGAAAAAAGCAGACCCGGTTGATTTAATCTTCGCCCGCCCGGTATCAGCACTCGGAGCCTCCTCATCTTCATATGGATCGACCCGGATCCGGAAACTGTACCACTACTGCTTTTCTTCATCTTCTTCGTCTGCTTCCTAAACGATCTCGACTCTTCCATATTGCCCTTTTTATTTTGCTTATGACAACAGAGTTGTGATTGTGATGGCAATGGACGTGAGTGTGGTCCATATAAATAGTCCCAAGGCTTCATAGTTTTATATTGATTTTTTTCGTGCTTCTTTTCTATTTATTTGAAAGAATCAAAAATTGCTTTTATAATCCCAATACTCACGTTACGTCCCTTTGCACTGAATATATCTGCATGGTTCTCTTTTTTCTTCAATAAATAAATTATTTCATGAGCAGTATCAATCGACAACCACTGAACCACATGATTCGTTTCACTCCATAAATCTCAAAACACTTGATTCAAGACATTGTTTTCTCAAAATATAATGACAAATATTCTCTAATGTATAATCAAGTAATCATAAGCTTTTTACCGAAAAAAGTAATCATAAGCTTATAGTTCTGTATATATGTATACTGTACAAAGTAGTACATACAGACTTAGTGTGGAACAATATGTGTTGGTTAAATCATATTAAAAAAATATGTATGGTATAAGAAACATATGATTATATAATGACTGTGAGTATAAATTATCAATATATGATACACTAGTCATGGATTTGTTGCAAACAGTTGTTTATTTGATTAGTCACATCATCCAAAATTAATTGCAAAGGCATGCAAAGTGCAACCCATAACTTAGCATGTGTTTTGCCAACTCATGCACAGTGGCTCTTCGGTTTGCTAAAGAGACATGAGTTGATTGGTTTCGTGACTTTCGTCTAATTAAACAGTGTGCCGTTTAAACATTTTCGTCTCGACATTCTCGTTAGTTTCTGTCTTAAAGGCGCAACGAAAGCCCAAGTATATAGATATGTAATGGGCCGACTTAATTTTTCAATCGGATTAAAAGTAACATTTTTGGTATTTGATATATAGATCTCAATGTAAAATTTTAATTCGGATCAAAAGTAACATTTTGGTATTTGATATCGTATGATTCAGTGGAAAAAAAAATAGATCTCAATGTTTACTCTTTGTTTTTCATAGTTAGGAAATAAAGACAACATTGGCGTAAATTTACCACAGTTTATTTGGGTGTCTAGAGATGTCATGTCCATCGATTTTTCTGACTGAGTTAAATAAAATTCTGATAGTCTCTATGCGATTTGCTAATCCAGTATAAAATATTTTGGTTGGATTTGAGGGTCTGGGTGCCCATCGTTTCTTATGTAATTAAAGATTTTTTATATATATTTAAGTATAAATATTCTTCCTTTTTAATTAATTTAAATAAATAATAACAACCAAATTGGCTTGGTAAGAATTGTTTAGTACACAAATTTTTATATGAAATGGAATCCGGTGATATGTAATTAAGAAATGAGTTGCATGCTAATTAATTATTATAATCATCGGTCCAATGAAAATATGAAAATCAATATATTATTCATCTTGAAAGCCTTACGAGTTTCTTACAACCCAAAATGCCGAACGTATTCAAAGATACTTCAGTAAACGAAGACATATATATATATATAGGCCGTTCCACATATCATTAAAGTTTTTTTTTTTTTTTTTTTGGTAAAATAACATATCATTAAAGTTCTTAGACTGTTCCTTATAAAGACGAACCTTTGTGATTTAGAAAAGATTATAGACGAAGATCTTGATCGGTCTCCTTCAAGTAGTTGATAAGAGTCTCGATGATGAAGTGTGGTTCTTTGATGTCACGGCGAATCTTCTCGAACTCGACGGTCCACACCACGTTGCCACCGCTCCCGTGTTTCTTCGGAGTGACCGTGACAATTGCTTTGACCGTCTTGTAGCTTTCCGAGATTAGACAGCCACTCATTACCATCGTCACCGTTCTCTTCTCCCTATCCGTCGTCACGGTGTTGTCCTCCGCTACGTGGAGAAAGAAACGAGTTAAGTGTTATGATCGATGATCAAGAAAAAAATATATGAATGATATGTACGGAGATTTAAATATTTAACCTGTTTTGTCAAAAGGGCCGTTTACGTCGTCGGTGAAAGCTTTGAAGAACATGTCAGCCGGAGACTTAATTTCAAGCTCACCAGAAGAAACTCCATGCAGTGCCATTTTCAATTTTTTTTTTCTCTGAGTGTATATGTTTTGTGGGTTTGATTATAATCGTTTCGATGAAGGTGTTATATATAGAGAGTAATGAAAATTGCATTAACTAGTTTTACCTAACCCCACTCATCGAACAATTTTTTCACCATATCGAATCTTTCTATATTAACCTAACCAAAAGCTTTAGCGCACTTAAAATTTACTTAATCCCACTCAGTTAATCTACGTGGCACATGGGAGAGCAAATAAATTGTACATTATCACCTGACTGTATGAATGTATCAATTACCTCAAACCAAACGAAGTAGTTTACTTCGTAACCGACTCTCCTTTAATACATTTTTAACTTTTTGTAGTATGGATAGAGCTGTATATGAACTGATGTGCATGTGATAAAATTAAAATAATTTTGACTAACGAACATCACATGCTCTAGTCATTCAATTTACACTTCTAATTTCATCCTTGCAAGAAAAAAGCTCAGGAAATTGACCGCTGCGTTATTGACACGTTGCTGGCCAGACGCAAAAGAAGGAAATGCCAACTCGGACATCAGTAAAAACTGCAAACCAAGTTCGTATATTTTTTACTGTTTTTGGGTGGCAAGAAAAACATGTTCTGGCCAATCAAATGCACTAGCACAGAACTTTCCTTTTTGGAAATGAGTTCACATTCGTGTTCATATGTAAACGAAATTAGCATTAACAAACTTATTTATAGATAATTAAAAATTAACATTTTGGTGCTGGGATAACCTTTTACTCGTTCTTTTTCCTTTTCGGAAAATAAAGATAGTTGGCTAAAACTTATTAGTCTTATACTATACTACTATATTTAATGTCTAGAGTTGACTAGTTGTCCATGGTTATTCTTATGTAAAGATAAATTTTTGATTAGCGATGATAAGCATAACAGTACATGTATCTTGAGAAAACCTTTATTACTTTCTTAAAAAAATATATTATTAGGTAGACTATTGCGAATTTGATGGAAATAAATTGGTGTTGAGATATACTCTTATAAAATAAATATCAGTAAATGGTCAAGTCACCCAGCTTATAATTACAACTCTTGATTTCAGTTACTATTATCTCATTGTAGCCAACACGGTAGCAGTGCCACGTACCGTAGCACTATATATCCATAGATTACACTTATAGTAACTGAAATAAATTATTTATTAGTAAAATTATTATATCATATTAATTCTACTTGATTAAGTAAAAGTCTCCAACCTTTTTATAATTTTTTTGAAATTAAACTATGGTAAATGTGATTTATTGTCTTTTTATAACAAGTAGAATATATAATAGTTTGATGATCTATACTAATAATAGTTAATTAGTGCGATTTACTACTATAAACCTTAATTTGGTCCAAACCTCCTAGTAGATATACATATTTGACGGTACTACATTTGTCCATAGTGTAATGAAGAATTGAGGTTCGTTATTCTTATGATCATTTATTATTTTAGGTAAATCATTTAGTTTCTTAACAAACGTAAAAACCAAATTGGCCGGTTAGCTTAAGAGTTAAGAGTTGCGTTGTACAGACTAATACTGTATTGTCTGATGGAAAATCGGAGATCGTTAATTACTCAAGTAATGAGTTGCATACCCCTACATTGTCTGAGTTACCCCTTTAACCAAATGCAGATTAATTTAACCTTTTCTGAAATTTTCAGAAAAAACAAATTATGAAAATATAAAGACAAAAGAACAAATCGATATATCATTCAAAATGAAAGCCTTACGAGTTTGTACACCCCAAAATGTCGAACGTAATAAAAGATACTACAAGAAACATTAGGTTCCATTTCAATGAAATTGTTAGATTATATCCTCCTACACTAAAAATAGCCTATATATTAATAAGATTTTCATCGGTCTCCTTCAAGTAATTGATAAGAATGCTGATGATCCAGACTGGATCTTCGACGTCACGGCGAATCTTCTCGAACTCGACGGTCCACACCACGTGACTACCGTCGGCCTCGTCTTTCTTAGGAGTGACCGCGATGGTTGCTTTGAACGTCTTGTAGCTATCGGAGATTAGATTACCACTCATACTCAGCTTCACTGTTCTTTTCTCCCAACCCACCCACTCGGTGATCTTCTCCTTCGCTATACGGTGAAAACATAAGCCATTAATCAAAGGTTTTGATTGATGCTCGAGAAATATGAATAAAATGTGGAAGAGTTCAATGACTTACATATTATGTCAAAAGTGCTGTTTATGTCGTCGGTGAAAGATCTAAAGAACTTGTCCGCCGGAGACTTGATGTCGAACTTCCCGGAAGAATCTCCATGTAGTGCCATTCTCTCTCCCTATATGAGTTATGAGTTAAAGTTATGCTCCTTTCGACGAAGGTGTTTATATATAGAGAGATGAAATTTGCATTAACTTTTGTTCACCTAAGTCCCCACACATCTAACTTTTTTTACCATATCACTCATATGTATCAAGTAATTTTTAGTAGTAAGGATAATGGTCTAGTCAATTTTGGTTTTTCTGCCTGTAACGCAATTTTCACTAAAAAAGATGCGTGCATCAGTTTATTGGATAATATCGAATCTTTCTATATATAGCCTTACAATTTTACTTCACCACTCAGTACATTCATGTGCCACATGGTAAAATAAATAATTATGCACACCAACTTGATATCATCTACCTAATGTATATGCAAAGTAACTCTAAACAAGCGAAGCAATTTACATCGTAATTGATTATAAACCGGTGTGTATATGTGATTAAATTAAAATAGGTATGTGAATATCATGATTCATGAACAATTAATAATTAATGATCTAGTCTTTCTTTTTTTTTACTGTCGGCATGTTTCACAAAAAGATGATTGCATCAGTTTATTGGACAGTAAGAATACATCGTGTTGCTTGACACACAAGAAACTTAATAACCGTGTTCAAAGTCATGTTTTTTCTTCAAGTTTTTGGTTAATTTTTTTTAGAAGTTGTAATAGCAAAAAAATACATTGTTTGCAATTTGGGTTGACCGTGGAACCGACGGAGCTGGCCGGCGTAGGTGAAGTGAGCGGTGGCCGGTGGCGCCCGCTGGAAAAGTCTCTCCTTTAATCAGAAGACACGTGTTTCCTTGTTGGAGAAGCAGCCGTGCTTCGACAGGCTTCACAGGAGAAAGACTTCTGCAAGACAGAGTCACGTGCTTCTGAAGTCAAGTGCACGTGTTGCTCACCGTCACTTTTTCCACTCCGGTTGGCGGCGATTTCTATCCTAGTTCTTATAGTACCGATCTGGATTTCACGGAATGTGCAGCGGCACAGTCCTTGATTGGCCATAGAGAGAAGAGGAAGAAAAACAACAAAATATATAGAAGAGCAAAACGGCAATAATGAAATAAATGACAATAAGCCAATATATTATGCATGACAACATATATCTATCTCCACATGACTCACCTAAATTTTTATTTTATTTTTCTTTCTTCGAAATGATTATTTTGTGGGTCCCTGAAAGATACATAAATTGTGTAGACGTAAGTTATTTCATCTACTTAAATTAGCTTAAAATTTCTCACCATTTGTACTATATATGTAGACTAATTATCATTACCAAAAATGATTATGTGAACAATTCTTAATGAATTCTGACAAATGAGTATTCGTGAAATAAAATATCAGCAACTTCTCAAGTAACTCAACTTACTAATCTTAATTTTAAGTTTTAACTACGATAGGAGTATCCAATGTACTGAATTAACACCATTTCATATTTTAAGAATAATTAATTCACTAAATCAGTACAGCAAAAGTCCCCGTGCATCTCCAGGTCTTGACACCTAACCATTTTTAAGTGTTCTGGAGGTGACACCTCAGCAGCCAATCAAAACATTTTAACTAATACAGCTCAGCGTTTTTTTAACCACATCAACCTATTGTCTCTCACACTAAAACGCATCACTTCATCAACAAAATTTGCAAAATCGATCTCGGTAATCGATCCTTCGTCGCTCAAATTCATTCCTTAGTCTCGCTTCCTCTCGATCTACACATTGGGATTAATCACTGGTTTTCACTCTTGATTAATCCCAATCTCTTTCTCTCTCTCTTCGGAAGAAGAACCTAGAGACTCATCAAAACTCGGAAGAAGAACCTTGAAACTCTTTAATTGTGTGGTTGACGACGAATCAACAGATCGGGAGATGGAAAAGGAAAATAATTTTTGCTGGGTCGTTCCTCTGTTGTCTAATCCTTATGTTCATCACTCCCAAAGTTCCTCTTAATTCCTTCCGTCACCACGTCTTCGCCGATAAGCGCAATTTCATGAGGTATCTCATACACACACACTCACTCTCTTTACCTCTATCTCTCTGTCTGTCTGCCTGCGTGTAATAACGACATGTGTTTTGTGTTGAATTGATAGAACAGGAGTGCCAAATACAATGAATGTGATGACCAACTTCCCCTTTCTTATTATTGGTGTTCATGGTTTCGTTCTTTGCATTGGAGGAAGCTTCTTCAATATAAGGTGCTTCTCTCTCACTCTCTCTATCTCTCTCTCCTCTTTTAAATTTGAGTAATCTAGATTGCTTATGATAGCTCAATATATATGTAATCCAGTTTGAAAGGTGAAATCTGGGATACACTGTTCTACGCAAGCATTGCAAGCATAAACATAAACAAGATTGTTTCTTATAAAAGAATTTAGTCTAAGTTAAACTTTTTTTTTTGAAAAATCTCTTCATCTGAGTATGTGACAATTTAGAATCGATAATCCAATTGCATCTCTTGTCTTTTTTTGTTGTTGTTGTTGTTAAAGGCCTGCATCTTTTGTTATTTATTACTCGAATGCTCTAACTACACTCAATTGTTTTACATTTAGATTTTTTACATAATCTAATTTTAGATAATTCTATATTCAAATAAATAACTGCTTCTGGTTTTTTTCAATGTATAAAATAAAAGTAAATGATATTATAATTAAATTTTGTTTTCCCAGTTTCATTTCGGACAATAAAATTAAGAAAACAAATGTAATCCTCTCTTGTACAGATCGATAATTTCAGAGCTTCGGAACGACCACCGAACACAATCAAACAACACGTCTATAACAATCTTCTTTGAGCCAAGACCTAATAGTAAACCATTTTAGTTTAATAGGAAAAGTTAAGTAATATCTTAATTAAATTAATTCAAACATAAGAAACAATTAAATGATATTCTTCCGCAACGAAGCGTGGGTATTTACCTAGTCATTTCTAAACTATATATTTTTGCCACGTTGAAAAGAGAACAACATTCTCTTTAGGAAACGATTTTCATGTTTAAAGATAACAAATACCAAAAAAAAATTTAAATACCACAATTTTTTTTAACGCTTATTACTTTACCGACTCTTACCTTTTAAATCTTTTGTGATAGTTTTGAAATATCAGGATTGCTAGTAGTTTTAGATTTAAACTAACAAATTTGCAGTTTAAGATTCTTCTCAAAAGTACAATTATGTTTAATTATTCAAAATATTCTTCAAAAAACTTATATACATTTAAAATTGATACTTTAATTTCATAACATATGTTAAAAAAAAAATGATATAAATTTTGGACAGTAGCTATTACTAAATAACAACGTCTCTTCCATTAAAAAAATCTATAAATTAGTGTATTGGACTTTGCTTAGACATGCAAGCCTATCAGTACAAAAAAAAAAAATCATATCTTGTAAACATGTTTGTTTGATTCTCTCGAGTGGTTTTTATTCTTTCTTATGTAATGAAAACTCTCATATTAATTTTTTTTTTTGAAAAGATTATTTTATACGAGCCCATTAGTTTATTATTTATTTATGAATCAACGTTAAATCATTTAGTTTCTCATCAAAAATAACAACTAAATGGTTAAGTTAAGAGTTACCTTCTACATATATGATTAATTAGATGAAGAAGAACAACATAATTATAAGAATCTTAATGAAGCGATTAGGTTAATAAATCCGCATGTCTCAGTTACACATTTAATGAAATGCAGATTAAGATAGCAATATTGTGAATTATCGACCCAACAACAATATGCAAATCAATATATTAATTATTCGTACCTTTACGAGTCCATACATCCCCAAATACCAAACGTTATAAGAGTTTCATGCATATATTGCAATAAACATAGATATAACTATATTATATATGGGTTCCACTTTTGTTTTATGTGTAGATGAACCTTGCAATTTATAGAATATTTACTTAAGAAGGTCATCATCCAACTCTGTGAAGTTTTTGTGAGCCACGTCGACCAGGTACTGTGGGTCTTCGATCTCTTCGTAAAGCTTCTCATACTCGACGGTCCACATTACGTGACTACCATCGCCTTCTTCTTTGGGAGTGACGGTGATGGTTCCTCTGAGGGTCTTGAAGGCCTGCAAGATCCCTTCCCGGTTAAATTTCACCGTAATTATCCTCTTCACCCAGTGTATAGACTCGGTATCCACATCGCCTTTTGGTGAAACATAGCAATGATGAAGGGTCTTAATAAAAGTATAAAATATATAGAAATTGAATAATGAACCAATGAGATGAATGTAATGTAGAACAGTAGAAGAGTTACCTTTGCCAGGGATTCTCAACGCGTTTCCGACGATAGCTTTAAAGAATTCGTCAGCCGAAGACTTAACGTCAACGACAGTAGACAAAACTCCATTTAGTGTCATTTTCTAAGTACTTATTATTTTCTGAATCTTTCTTAAGAGTAATGTTGTGTGGGGGTTGATGATGATATTCGTCTCAATGAAGGTCTTTATATACACAGAAGTTTGTGAAAATTACACCAATTATTTAACTTAATTACGTTCATATAACGTTTTTTCACCATATGGAATATTTGTAAATTTGCCAAAAGCATTTGAAATTTTTGCTTTCACCCACTCAATTTAATTTAAAGTTAAAGTACGTATGTATATGGGGAATGAGATAACCGATGAGTGAGCAAAAGTGTGATTACTCTGTTGGAAATGAGTTTTTGCGTAACTGTTTACATCAATCACTTTAACTAAAAATGTGAATGCTTGAAGTTGTGGGTGTGAATTGTGATGCCTTCATGAGTCACCAATTGTTTTTTTCTTCAAAGTGAGTGTATGTTAAATTAAAGAGAGTTCCTACCTAGAAGAATATATAAGTTTGCATAACTAATTTATTTTATGGGCTTAATTTAGCTATTAATTTGACCCTTATGCGTTCATTTATTTTTATTACCTTTTAAAAAGAAAAATATGATTTTGTCGACCAATGAGAAAATTGGTGAAATGAAAATGGTTTATACTAATGAATATTATCTAAGTCACTGAACGTACTCAAAAAACATTTTAATTTTGACACCAAGAAAAATATTAAATTATACATTACATAGAAAAATATATTTGATTATTAAAAAGTGATTCAAGAAGATATATATAAATATTAAATGGTGTAACTCTATTTTCAAAACATATGTAAGGTATATCCAATCCAAATTAATTTTCATTATTTTAAATAGAAAACTTTATCATCCCTTTGGAGAAAAGTAAGTAGTGAAACAATATTTATAAAACTTTAAGTTTGTTACTATACAAACCTCTAGGTCTGAAGCTTTTGTAGGTATATATGTATTTGACTGTCTAGACTTCACATTATTTTACATTTGTCATGGAAATTTTTAATTAATTCTTATATATCGATATGCTTAATTTACTCTTGATAATTCGTTTCGTTTCTTAACAATATTAACAATCAAGGTGGCTAAGATTAAATTTGCTTTCTCTATATGTGTTTTTTTTTCCTTTTTTTGTATGTAATGGAGAATGGGAATTTCTTAATAAAAAAAACAAGGTGGTTGTTTCAACACATCTCAGTTACTCATTTAACAACAACATTTTTTTTGTTTTGTTAAAGATTTAATAACAACATTTACCTAAACAAATACAATGAACAAGTTGGTTGTGGTAAATTGTTCATGAAAATATTTATCTTCGTCATGAGTCACAAATCGTCAGTTTTTGGGTCAAGATGAGTCCTTAAAACAAATTAAAGTGGATATCAAAGAATTGATATATTGGACAGATCTAACTGATTTTATTTGCTTAATTTAGAAAGTAATGGAACCATACGCAACTGATTCTTATTGATTACTTTCAAGAAGAAAAATATGATTACGTGGACCAATATTGTTTGATGGAATTAAAATTATTTTGACTAATGCATATTATGAAGATAAGAACAATCTCGTCCCTTAAACCAAGTTTACTTTCAAATACATTTACATTTACATTTTTATTCAAGACTATATTTACTGTGACTATCAAATTGAGCAACTTAGTTTTCATAACATATGTAAAGATTATCAAATATGATTTTTATTTAACAATAAGAGTATTTGGAGTCTTTCGATTACTGAAAGAGTATGTCTGTCTGATTTGCTAATTATAATTGGTCCTAAAACCATTTGTGTACATGCATGTATTTGACTGTCTAGAGTTGTACTTGTCCATTGCTTTCCTTATGTCAATGAGATCTTTACTTCTTAATATTCTATATATAGAAATTTTCTTGAGAGTGGGAAGAAAATGAGAGTAATTATTCTCTCTGGACCCACCTAAACTTGTTGATGTCAAAAGAATTTGTTATTTTCTGGGTTGGAAACTTCTTCACTCTGCATAACTTGATAGGAAGATTTACTTTCATTTCGCTCTAATTGATTCTTTACCAGTCAAGACCAAATTGAATAGGTTAAGAGTTGCCTTGTTCATTCGTTTGTATGTAATGGTGGAGAATCGGATTATATGTCTTACTTAAACAATAAGCCACATAATCATAACTCATGTTCCTTACCAGTAAAATAATCAAACATGGATTTAATTATTTAGCCCCTAGAATCGTCGATGAAACAGCATAACAATAATATGCATGCAAGTCGATATATATATAGAGAATTACTATTTCTTAAAAGCTATAAGAGAACGTACGTCCTTAATTATTCTGCAAATAAGCATCGGTATATACATATATAGAAGAGGGTTCCACTTTGAATCACTCAAGAAGAGACTCATCCAATTCCGTAAAGAACTCGAGGCAATTGTCCCTGATGAATGTTGGGTCGTCGATTTCAGGGCGGGTCTTCTCATACTCTATGGTCCATGTCGCACGGGCAAAGGCATCGCCTTCCACATGAGTGACGGTCATGGTTCCTTCGAGCTTGCTGTACCAATCAGGGTTTTGCCACGCGGGATTCGTCTTGTCGACTGTTGCATCTATGGACGTCTTGTACCACTCTGCAATCGGTATGGCGCTCATTTTACACGTAGTCTTCATCCTAAACAAAGGTTTATCATCAAGCATGACCTCGACATCCACCGTGCCTATGATAAAACAGAGAAATTAGGATTTCAATAAAGAAATAATGAGTTTACGATGAAAATCCTTTAACAAAAAGAAATAATGAGTTTACGTATGAGATATGAGAGTTACCACTGCCTTTAGGGCGACCCATTGTCGATTTGTAAGCTCCAAAGAATTTGACCTCATCAGACTGAATATCAAACTCATCAGACAAACACCCATTTAGAATTGCCATTCTTTCTCTCTCTTTTGGTGTGTGTGTGTGTGTGTATGTTTGAAGTAGATGTTGTGTGGGTTTGATAATAATCTACTCGATCAAGGCGTTTATATAGAAAAAGATTTGTTAAAATTTACATCAATTATTTTTTACGGTTTTACCTTACCCCACCATCTAACTTTTTCGTCATATGGATATTTCTAAATTTAGCCTAAAGTTTAACAGACGGCTATAAACATTTGCATTCTGGTTAACTTCACCCAATTTGTTATTTCTTTCTACTCAATATCAAATCTCAAATAAATGAAAACTCCATCCAATACCATATTGTTATTCTCTAATTGTTATTTTTTTTTGTTTCTTCTTGAAGTATGTAATGTATGCGACGTGGAGTTCGTATATACAGACAATGTTATAAAAAAAAAATCATTTACTATTTTACTTAACCCCACGTATTTAATTTTTTTTTACCAAATACATAATCTTTCAAAAAATATTTTGTTGTAACAATACATATTTTTTCAAAATTTAACCAAAATTTTCAGCTTTTACATTTTGCTTCACCCGGGTAAATCAATCGTGCAGACCAAACTGATATAGGCCATGAATGTTTGATTAGTTTTTAGATTTTAGATTTTGGTGATTCCCAGTTGTTTTTTTTTTAATAAGCGACGTGAATGTGGTGAAACTAAAATAGTTTTACTAATGAATATCATGAAACATATATAGATGAAAATAGTTAATTTACTTTGTGAAATACAAACACTTACACAAATTGGTGTTTTTAATTTTATTGTGGAAGTATATAAATTATAGTTTTAATTTAACGAAACAAAATTTCATGCTGCCATTAAAAGAGACTCATTTGTTTTTTTAAACTTCATTTGCATTCTACTTATCTCAATTAAGACCGTCTAAGTATAGAAAAACTGTACACACCACAATATACATTGTGTAGTAGTAGTTAGTTAGATTCTTATTTATAAGTTGTTTTGAGTAAAGTATGACTATGTTGAAATTAAAGCGAGGTTACGAAATTTTTGTTAATTTCTCTTAACTAGAAATGACAATAATACAAAAGTGTTTGCTGAATTGCTCATCACATCTTCATAAGCCACCAAAAGAACGTAGTCTTTTCTTTAGAAAGAGTCAGTTGTGGGTCCCTGCGTTGAAAAAATATACAAAGAGTGCTAACCCTTTTTTTTAGTGCCAACTTTTTTTCATCTGCTAAATTGGAATACTTAATAGATTTTCTTTTGTTTTCTAAAAAAAGACATGGGTTACGTTGATGCTAATTCCATGAATTGAAAATAGTTTGGACTAACGAAGGAGTATCAACGAAAAAAAACAGCAAATTATTCAAGTAATCACTCAGACTTTCCTATTTGATTTTTCAATTTAAGAAAATTTTAGAAGAGAAAAATTTTCATTGCAATTCAAGAAAATTATCAGTTCTTATGTAATGAAAACTCTCAAGTTAATCTTTTTAATAGCTTATTAGTGATTAAGTGCTGGATAGAAGGCTGCAGTTGGCGAGTTCGAGCTACACCTGTTGGTGATTCTACACAATTTACTATTCGCAAGTATGTTGCAGAACATACATGCTCTGTTACAGAACGGTCTGCTCGTGCTCGAAAAGCAACTCCAGATATACTAGGCGTATTGTATAAAGATTTTGTTGGTAGTGTTGATTCAATGGTTAAGCCAAAGCATGTTTCTCATGCGATGAATTTGAGATTTGGTATTAAAGTAAGTGGTTACGTTTTCACATATTACTATCTTCTTCGTTTTTGTATTGATTACTAATACACTTTTTACTGTAGATGGACTACTGGAAAGCGCATCGCACACTTAAAAAAGCACGGAAGTTGGTTAGGGGTTCTGCTGAAAGCGGATACGCAGAGTTACCTACGTACTTACACATGATAAGAAAGGCTAATCCGGGAACACTTACTCGTCTCGAAGTTGATGAGAATCAACGCTTTAAATATCTTTTCCTTGCATTTGGAGCAAGCATCAATGGTTTTCCCTACATGAGGAAAGTGATTGTGGTTGACGGAACATTTTTGAAAGAAAAGTACAAAGGAACGCTGCTAACTGCATCAGCACATGATGGTAATTTCCAAATATTCCCTATCGCTTTTGCAGTAGTTGATACAGAGAACAACAAGTCTTGGGAATGGTTCTTTAGGCAGCTTAGCAACGTAGATGACGAAGGGCTTGCAATTATCTCTGATAGACATAAAGCTATTGCGAAAGCGATTGGGAAGGTTTACCCTATGGCTAGTCGTGGAGTTTGCACATATCATCTTTATAAGAATATTCTGCAACGCTTTAGAGGTCGTGATGCGTTTCGTTTGGTTAAGAAAGCGGCGAATGCTTATAGACTTACTGATTTCGAGACCGCTTTTGAGGAGATAAAAACGATGAATCCATCATTACATAGGTATTTGGAAAAAGCTGATGTACAAAAGTGGACACGTGTTCATTTTCCCGGTGAGAGATACAACATTACTACGACTAATATCGATGAATCGATGAACAAAGCCCTCTCGGAGGCCAGGAGTTTGCCAAATGCAGGACTCTTAGATGCAGTAAGATTAATGATGACGAGATGGTTTTCAGATAGAAGGAATGATGCAATGTCAATGAAGACTACACTTACACGCGGAGTAGAGAAACTTTTAGAGGTATTTTACAATTTGATTTATTTCATTTTTCAGAATATGAAGTAATTATTTCATTCCATGTCGCAGGAACGAGTAGCCTATGCACGTACGCTTACAGTTCAATCAATTGATTTACATCAATCTCAAGTCACTAGTAAAACATCCTTACACGTTGTTAACTTGACGGAGAAAACATGTTCTTGCCGACGATTTGATTTGGAGAAGTTACCATGTGCTCACGCAATTGCTGCAGCTGAGGCAAGTAAAGGTAAAACGTCTACGATATCACAATGTCATCGATACTTTCTGAGCAATTATTTGTACAATTCGTATTCGACTTCTGTCATGCCGAAAGATGATGCGATTCCTGTTCAAGATGCTGTGAAAGACAAAGTTTGTCTACCTCCGGTGGTTCACCAACCTCCGGGAAGACCCAAAAAATCAAGAATCAAATCAGTTTTGGAGAAAGCAGTAGAAAAAAAACGGCCACGGAAACAACACGCCTGCTCAAGATGTCATTTGGTTGGGCATAACTGCAAAACTTGCCCATCTGCAATTTAAATTCCTTACGTTTGCATTTTAGAGAAAATTTCAAATACTCTATGTTTCTGTTTTGGTAAGCCTCAAATTTATGTTATTTTCGTAAGCCTCAACTCAAAAATAGATGTTTTTTGAATTTCATGTTTGGGTTTTCCTTACTATTTAATCCTTAATATATGAACGCAACTTTAACTTACTACTTCCTATTTGCTTACATACTACTAAATATTATATGTATGTTGCATGTGTATTATATATTTATATATAAATCGTATACATGCACACGTAACATATAAATCATATACATGCAGAAATATTCATATGATTAAGAAATAATTCAAATTACTAAATAATATTGTTGCTTCTAAATACTAATGCTTAACGACCAAGTAACTTCTAAATTTGTTCGACCACTACTGAAATCAAATAGCACGAGGAGAATCCAATAACCGTAGCTCGCCATCCAATTGGGTCTCATAAGAGATTCGCGGATGTACCACCTCGTCGTAAATCTCAGCGGCTAGCTTCCGTCATATTTCTGGAATATTTGTGTCGCTTAATCCATCAAATGTGCTTCCGAGAGCAAGACATTCTATGTACTTTAGAGTGTACACACCACAATCACCTGGATTGTCATTCTGTGGAATCCCTTTTGTCAACCTCTTCACAGTGAATTGCTTAGCGCTCTTCTTACGAAAGGTAGCTGGTACCATTACATTCAAGATTGCAGGGATCATCTTTGCAAGAGGCCGGCAAAACTCAAGCATTTTCTTGTCTTCTTTCACCAGCCCAAGAATACAGTCGTACACGTGAATCTTCTCCTTCTTCAAATCAATGTCCAAAGCCACCCAGTGATTGTCGTTTACGTGAAGGCATGCATACAAGTGGTCAACATCATCAAGCCACTTCTTGTTTGTCACCGTGTCAGCAGGTAATGTCCCGTTAAACACACCTTTATATTTTTCAGGGATTGTCCAGGTCTTGGGATCATAGCTGTTGTAATCGCGTACAATTACATCAACGAACCACTGCTGTAAGAATGCAATCCGTGCTGAATGATACGGAGATGGACTGCGAAGAGACCTTTTGGTGAACATAAGCATCGTGGAACCCATATGCTTTAAATGAAAAAAACAAAAAACACCTGTTAACATTGGACAAACAAAACATACAACAAACAGAATAATGAACACATATGCTTACCGAATCACCTAACCAGCCATATGAATCCTTCGACCATTCCTCTCTTGGAGTGATAATGATTTTGTAGAATTCGATATTAGTGTCCCATGTTCCATTTGGTTCCAACCTAAGAAAGTGATTTGAACTAATGTTAAAAAACTGAAAAGGTTACTAATAAAATCAAAAAGAATGAGCATGGTAAAATAATGAAGGAAAGATTTACTCATCAGGCTCAATGAAATCCAATAACCGTTGAAGTGTACTCTCCTCCACTTCTGCAAATGGATCATACGCTGCCACAGAGGGAATTACTCCTGCGATGATGCGCTTCACAGTAGAGTTTTCTACGTACGGAAAGAGCTGCGTCGATGACAATTTCGTTTGACGTTTTTCCACAACTGCACGGCCATCCAAACCCGTAACCCTGGTTAGGAGGGAATTTAGTCCTGCACTTAGTGAGAAAACAGTAATTAGTTTGTGTTTATTTTTGGGCAATGCAATTGAGCATAAATACATCACCTGTTTTCAAACGTCTTGATTTTTCTTGTATAATCGGGTCTGACCATGTATCCGCAGAAACAGTTTCTTTTTTTATTGCTTTGGTAGGTTGTAAGGCTTTCACATGGACTTCTTGGTTGACACCTTTCTTGGGATGCAAGTTTGTCTCTTCTACGGGTTTTTTTCTTTGACTTTTTTTATTTTTGACAACACATCGAATAGGGAAATCTTCATTTGACACAACCTTTGTTCTGACCAGCCACGACTGTAAAAAACAAAAAAATCAATTAGATTGTCATAGATATATCTCTAGTGTGAATAAGCCTCACAACACGGTTTATAAAAGTCTGACTGACCATTAAGATTAAATAATGCCGAACCTACAAGGTATTTGACTATTATTATACTACCGTACAACGTGACCCCTTACAAGATATTGAACAACATAGATTCTAAAAAAGGAAGCAAGAGACATACAGACCAACGACATACAACAATCAAAACTACAAGATCTTCTAAGACACAAGGACAGAACTAACGTACCAAATCATTACTATTCACTTCATCGTTGGCAGTTGAGTTGGCAACGTCATTGTTGTAATGGGCACTTGAGTTGACGACGTCGTTGTTGTCACGGGCACTTGAGTTGACGACGTCATTGTTGTAACGGGCACTTGAGTTGACGACGTCGTTGTTGTCACGGGCTTGTAAAAGATCTTTTAGTGTTTGGATATCTTTCTCTATAGTGGCCATCTTCTCCTCAACGGGTTTTACTCGCACGTCGACCCTAACGTCGATAGCACCATCCAAACGACCAACACCTTTTTAGGAAGATTGTTGTCCATGTTGTCCATTTTTTCCGTTAGCTTTTTCATCATATCCACGATCCCACTTATCCTCAAGAGCTCAAAAAATGACATTCATTGATCACCACCTTCACCGTGACGGTTTTCTACCGCCTCTGCCTCTTTAGCTAGAACCTAAAATGTCAAAGAACAACAGAATTCTTGAAACAATATTCACCTCTTAAATGTAATAGTTGCCTAGGGAGAAAAACAGAAAAAGACGAGTGCAATGAAAGGAAAAAAAAAACAATGTGTCGAGAAAAATAGAATACCTCTGGAGCGTCTTCCTCATTTGGACATTTTGCACCTTTTTCTTCATGTTTCTAGACTTGTCAGCTGCACTAACTCCATAAAAGTCTTTGCGTTTTTTGGCCTGTTTCGTGATCTTTTTTTCCACGGTTTCATTTTTGTCACTGTCATTGTCCCACGCATTTTCATCAAGCCGATTGTGTTTTAAGTCTTCGAGCAAATTGTCAACCTCTTCATCAGTGACCTCGTCATCCCACTCAGGATTTACTTCGTCACTTAACTGTGGGAAAAAATGCCTAACACGAATCTGAAAACAAAATGAAACAGTATCCAAAAACCGAGTTAGTACCAAAAAAATGCAAAGATTTCAGAAAACAGAGATACGTGTATGTACACAATAAGTAAAAGATATTTACAGAAATAGTCAAATAAAGAATACAATGCTCAATTAGGCATTAACATAACAGAATGGTGATAGTTAAAGAGAATATTTTATCTAAATAATGAGACATACCTTCGAATGAGTTTTTTTCTCAGTGGCTATGAAGTCCCTTGAACTCAAATCTTGGACGACCCCACCCCATGAAAGAAGTGGAATTTCTTTTTTCTTCTTCTTCTTCTTCTTCTTCTTCTTCTTCTTCTTCTCATTGTCTTCTTTTGCTTCTCCAAATCTTTTTTTATTTCCATACAATTCTCCTAACACCAACAATGGCCTCATATGCCCAAATAAGCAACACATGGACTAAACCACATAACGTATATGACTTCTTCCCAGTATAACTTGCTATCTTTATCGAGTTCATCAAACTCTTGCAAGCAACCCGACCCCAGGGATAGCTCTCAAATGCTTCTGGATCAAGTACTCTCTTGGCACACTCAAGAGGAATTCGAGTCTCCGGAGAAACGCCAAAGATACCTATGGACAGAAGACACAACCATCCAACCATTCTCCTCTTCTCGAAACTCCAGTTCGTGCATCTGTCTAGTACCAATCGCAACTGATTCAAGCAAGGTCCTCTCGATGTAGGAACTTCCATTTCACCCCAAAATGGTGTATGGTCGAACTCAAAGCTGACAGAAGTTTTAAACGGCTCACAATTCAGGCCTGTAATATTCCCAAATTCCAACAAAGACAAACGAATTGGCTGGCAATCGATCAACGACCACAACTCATAATTCTTCTTTGTAGCCAACTGATGCGTTAGTAGATAGTGGACAACCTTGGCAGACCATATAAACTTAACATCTTTCAGTTTAGCTATAACTCCAATAGAAGAGTTCTTCACGGCATCCCAAGCATCTATTCCAATTTTTTCTTCCACTGTTTTTATGTTGGACACATAGCAATTATAATTCACGCTATGCTCTTGGAGAGGAGCTCTTCCCTTTCTGAAGAGAAGTGGGGGATATTTCCCTCTACCACTTGATGCAGCCCTTTCTAGCAAGACAGAAAATAAAAAGAAATCACCTTCCAATCAAAATTAGGCCACAAATACAAACTAGGAACACCAAATCTTTACTATATAATCAAGTCTGTTATGTATGAAGTTTAATGTTCTGAATTTCTAAGTTATATCAAGTCCGTTCCCTCTGTTTCATGAATTTCTTACACAAATCAGACAATTTGGAAAAAATGATCTCAATCTCGAAGCTATTCTCAGAAAATATGAAAATTTGGTTTTGAAATGCAGATAATTTGAAATGCAGATAATTTGAAGCTACTCTGAGAACAATCCAAAGCTACCATCTCGAAATTACGTTCGTTCAATGAAATAAAAACACAAGTCCGAGAAGTTTACACTGATTGGGGAGACGGAGTCGACGAGGTGAAGAACACTTGACTGAAATTGAATAGAGGGAACTGAAATTAAGAGGAGAAGAATAGGCGGCAGGCGGAGGCGGCGGGCGGAGGTGAAGAGATGACGTGAGAGAGGCGACTTCGTAATCGACGTCGGAGACGGCGACGGAGTTTAGGTTTTTTTTTTGGTAAAAGACAAAGTACAGAATTTTAATACGAATTTTAATTGTACAGATTTTAAACTTAATAATAATAATAAAAGTAAATGGCATAATTATTTGAGTCTCCTAGGGGTATTATGTCATTTCAAATAAAATCAGTGTTAATCTAGTAAGTTATGTTTTGGGTATGTTTACTAGGTGTTAGTCCAGTAATTTAAGGAAAAAATAGTGTTACTCTGAGTAATTTCTCTATTTTAGAAGTTCTCAGAAAAATTAACAATCAAGTGGTTAGGTTAAGAGTTGTCTTCTACGTATATAATTCAGTTTAGGTGAAGAAGAACAACATACAGTAATTATAAGAATAAGCAGCAGTTAGTTGCATAATTCCCGCTGGTCTCAATACACATTTAATGAAATGCAGATTAAAATAGCAATTTTTGAATATTATAATTATCGCGATAATACGCAAATCAAGATGTTGTATAGTATTAATTATTCGTAGCTATACGAGTCCATACATCCCCAAAGGCCAAATGTTGTACGAGTTTCATGCATATTTGCGATAAACATATATATAGGTTCCACCTTTTTTTATTTGTAGATGATACTTGCAAATTTGCAATTTAGAGCATATTAATTTAATGAAGAAGGTCATCATCCATCTCTGTGAAAATTTTGTGAGCCGCGTCGAGCAGGTACTGTGGGACTTCGATGTATTCGTTAATCTTTTCGAACTTGACGGTGCACATTACGTGACTACCATCGCCTTCTTCTTTAGGAGTGACAGTGACGGTTCCTCTGGGGGTCTTGAAGGACTCCGAGATTTCATCACGGTTAAATTTCACCGTAATTATCCTCTTCACCCAATGTATAGACTCGGTATCCAAATCGTCTTTTGGTGAAACATAGCAACGATTAAGGGTTTTAATAAAACATATAAAAATTGACTAACTAACCAATGAGATGAATGCAATGTATAAGAGTTACCTTTGCCAGGGATTCTCAACGCGCCTTGGACGATAGATTTAAAGAATTCGTCAGCCGGAGACTTAACGTCAATGACAGTAGACAAAACTCCATTTAGTGTCATTTTCTAAGTATTTTTTTCAATCTTTCTTAAGAGTAAATGTTGTGTAGGGGTTGATGATGATATTCGTCTTAATGAAGGTCTTTACATACAAAGAAGTTTATGAAAGTCACACCAATTATTCAACTTAATTACATTCATATAACGTTTTTTTCACCATATGGAATCTTTTTACATTTGCCAAAAGCATTTGAAATTTTGCTTTCACCTACTCAATTAAATTTAAAGTTAAAGTTCGTATATATATTGGGTATGAGTGAACCGATGAGTGAGCAAAGAGTGTGATTATTCTGCTGGAAATGAGTTTTTGCGTAACCGGTTACATAAATCTATTTAACTACAAATGTCAATGCTTGAAGTTGTGGGTGTGAATTGTGATACGTTCATGACTCACCCAATTGTTTTTTCTCCAAAGTGAGTATATGTTAAATTAAAGAGAGTTCCTACTTAGAAGAATATATATGTTTGCATACTAAATTTGTTTTATCGGCTTAATTTAGCTATTAATTCAAGCCTTACGCGTTTATTACTTTCTGAGAAGAAAAATTGATTATGTAGACCAGAAATAGGTGAATTGAAAACTATTTTGACTAATGAAAACTGTATCATCTAAAGTCACGAACTTACTCGATTATCGAATATTAGTTTTTGACACCTAAGAAAAATAATTCATTTCTACATCACACGTAAATATATGAATTCAAGTAATTTAAAATATTCTTGACAATTGAAAAGTGACTCACGAAGATATTTGTAAATAAGAAATGGTGTAACTTAATTCCTTTGGATAAAAGTAAGTAGTGAAATAATATTAAGATTTTAAGTTTGTTACTATACAAACCTCGTGGCTTGAAGCTTTGTACGTACAGACTTGCCATTGTATTTGACCATACAGACTTGCCATTTTATTTCATATGTCATGGATATTCTTAATTAATCTTTATATTTGATAAGTTTAATTTACTCTTCATAATCGGTTTCGTCTTTTAACAAATTAAGAATAATTGGCTAGGATTACATTTGCTTTCTCCATATGTGTTAAGTCTTCTGTATGTAATGGAGAATGGGAATTTCTTAAGATTATGCTTGATTAATATTTTCAAAACTTACGCAACTAGTCGAGCGTATAAACTCAAAACGGTAATGCATGAGCGTTTGGGGATGAAGTTTTTGGTTGAATATGAGTCCTTTAAACAAATTAAAGTGGACACCAAGAATTGATCTAGTGGGCAGAGCTAACAGATTTCATCTGCTTAATTTAGAAAGTAATTGAACCATACGAAACTGACTTTTATTGAATACTTTTCCAAGAAGAAATATATGATTACGTGGACCAATTTTATTTGATGAAATTAAAGTTCTTTTGACTAAAGCATAACATGAACACTCTCGTGAATAAACTAAGTTTACTTTCAAATACATTACACTTACTTTTTCATTCAAGACTACATTTACTGTTACTATAAAATTGATAAACTTAGTTTTCATTTTTGATAAAGAGCAACTTACTTTTCATAACATATATGTAAAGATTATCAAATATGAATTATTTTAACAATAAGAATATTGGGAATCGTTCGATAATTACTGAAAGAGTATGTCTGTCTGAATACGAAAACCATTTGTGTACATGCATGTATTTGACTGTCTAGACTCTAGAGTAGTACTTGTCCATTGCGTTCCTTATATCACTGAGATCTTTACTTCTTAATATTCTATATATAGAAATTTTCTTGAGAGTGGGAAGAAAATGAGAGTAATTATTCTCTCTGTACCCACCTAAATTTGATGATATCAAAAGAATTTGTTATTTTCTGGGTTGGAAACTTCACTTTTTTTTGTTAAAGGGGTTGGAAACTTCACTCTACATAACTTGATAAGATTTACTCTCATTTCTCTCCATTTGATTCTTTACCAGTCAAGACCAAATTGGATAGGTTAAGAGTTGCCTTGTTCATTCGTTTGTATGTAATGGTGGAGAATCGGATTATATGTCTTACTTAAACAATAAGCCACATAATCATAACTCATTTTTCACAAAAAGAATCGGATTATATATCTTACTTAAACAATGAGCCACATAAGTCACATAACTCAGTTCCTTACCCATTAAATTAAGAGATAATCAAACATGGATTTAATTATTTAGCCCCTATATTAGAAATTAGAATCGTCATACAACATAACAATAATATGCATGCAAGTCGATATCTATATATTACTATTTCTTAAAAAGCTATAAGAGAACGTACGTCCTTAATTATTCTGCAAATAAGCATCGGTATATATATATAGAAGGGGTTCCACTTTGTATGCCTCAGAATCACTCAAGAAGAGACTCATCCATGTTCGTAAAGAACGCGACACAATTGTCCATGATGAATGTTGGGTCGCCGATTTCAGAGCTGGGCTTCTCAAAGTCAATTGTCCATATCGCACGGACAAGCTCACCGCGTTTCACTCTAACAACGCTCATGGTTCCTTCGAGCTTGCTGTACCAATCAGGGTTTTGCCATGCGGGATTCGTCTTGTCGGTTGTTGCATCTATGGACGTCTTGTACCACTCTGCAATCGGTATGGCTTTCTTGCTAAGCGTTCTCGTGACTATGATAAAAACAGAGAAAAATTAGGATTTCAATCAAGAAATATGTATCGAATGATGAAATAATGAGTTTTACGTAATGAGAGATAAGAGTTACCTCTGGCTTCAGAGAGACCCATCATCGAGTTGTAAGCTTCAAAGAATTTGTGAAACGGAGACTGAAGAATAATCTCGTAAGATAAAAACCCATTTAGAATTGCCATTCTCTCTCTCTCTATTAATTTCTGTTTTCTTTTTTTTGAAGTAGATGTTGTGTGGGTTTGATAATATCTCTCGATCAAGGCGTTTATATAGAAAAAGATTTGTTAAAAATTACAGTAATTATTTTACCCTACCCAACCATTTAACATTTTCAACATTTGGATATCTCTAAATTTAGCCAAAAGCTTAATAGACGTCTATAAACATTTGCATTATGGTTAGTTTCACGTCTATAACCCCACGCATTACTCCTTTTTTTACCATATACGGAATCTTCAAAATTCAGCCAAAATTTTCAGCTTTTGCATTTTGCTTCACCCACCAGTTAACAAAATAATTTGTTATACAGGAGGGTAAATCGTTAGTGCAGACCAAACTGATATGATCTTCATAATGTGTCAATTACATCAATTACTTTTACCTTAGCCCACCATCTAACATTTTCATCACTAGGTTTAAAGCCCCGCGCAAGCGCGAGGTTTTTCGCGATAATTTTTTAGTTTAGTTTTATTTATATTCATTGATTTGAATAATGATAGTTTTGTTTTGACTTTCATGTTTTTGTTATTTTTTTAGTTAACCTAAATACTAATACTAAAAAATATGAATAATTTTTAAATTTTTTTTCTAACACTCCATTTTATCTCGAGTTTTCTATTTCTAAAAGTTTAGCATGTTATAAAATTATGTTTGTTTACTTCTATTAGACTATATATATGCATATCCATTTGACTCAATGTTAAAATTTGTAAACATAATGTAAAATCGCATTTGCACCCGAAAGAAGATGAAAAAAAATAATATATATACTTTTACATATCTACTTTGTTGTGGTAGCATGTGAGTAATTTTCATATTATAGTAATTTTGTAAATATAAATTATATTTTTGAAACAAACATATCATAATCTTTAAAATTTTCATGTTTTTCACTGTAATTAAATTTACATATAAAAACTCCACTTCTATTTTTTTAAAAATCAAACTCTAACTCTAATTTCTGATTAGCTTTGTATTATCTCAATTAATTTATATTCAATTTTTTTAACTTGCAAACACATTCTAACATTTTTAAATAGGATAAATCATTTGAATAAAAAAATATACTATTTCAAGTTAAATATTTCTTTAATCCATTTCTATTTTATATTCTAACTTTTTGATAATTTTAAACATCAAGTTATCATATACTATATATTTATTAATTAATTAATTTATATTTGTTTAGTTTTAGTTATATTGAAAATATGAACAAATGTAAAGAAATATGAATAGTCATGTATTTAATAAGTATTTTAAATACAAATTAATATTTTGTGCTGATGTGGACACTCTAGATGGAGAGAACACTCCCTAATTATATATAAGATATTGATATTTCTAATTCTTAATCTAGCCAAAAGCTTAACAGACGGCCAGAAACATTTGCATTTTGGTTAATTTCACCCAATTTATTATTTTCTAAATTTTCCACTCAACATCAAATCTCAAAAAAAAACTCCATCCGATGCCATATTGCCATTCTCTAATGTTATTATTTTGTTTCTTCTTGAATTATGTAATGTGTGCGACGTGGAGGAGTTCATATATACAGACAATGTTATATTATATTATTTTACTACACCTTTATCAAAAAAAAAATTACTATTTTACTTAACCCCGCGTATTCAATTTAGTTTTTTTTTTATTTTACCATATACATACATAATCTTTCAAAATTAAGCCAAATTTTTTTTTTTTTTTTGTTAAAGTTATGGAATTCAGGGTTAAAGGGCTCAGAATAATGTTAGAAAACAGTTCTTTTCCTTGACCACAAAGGCCTCATAAACAGTTCTTAAGCCAAAATTTTCAGTTTTTGCATTTTGCTTCACCCGGGTAAATCAATTGTGTAGGCCAAACTGATATAATCTCCATAATGTGTGAATTAACTCCAACTCCAACTAAGCAAAGTATGGAGCCTTGTAACTGATTCCCATTTGTTTTTTTTTTCAATAAGCGACGTGAATGTGGTGAAACTAAAATGGTTTTACTAATGAATATCATGAAACAGATATTAAAAAATGAAAATACTCATTTTAATTTGTGAAGTACGAAAACTTACATAAATTGGTGTTTTTAATTTTATTTTTGAAGTATATAAATTGTGGTTTTAATTTAACGAAACAAAATTTCATGCTGCCATTAAAAGAGACTAAATATTGTTTACTTCATTTGCATTCTACGTACTATCTCTGTTACTACATTTGCATTCTAATATATATTGTGTAATAATAGTTATTTAGATTCTTATTTATAAGTTGTTTTGAGTAAAGTATAACTAGCTATGTCAAAATTAATGTTGTGATACGTTGGAGGTAAGAGTTTTGTGTTCATATCTCTTACCTAGAAATGACATTTTTTTACAAAAAAACAAAAACAAAAAACTAGAAATGACAATAATACAAAAGGGTTTGCTGAATTGTGTTCATCACATCTTCATAAGCCACCAAATGTACGTAGTCTTTTCATAAAAAAGAGTCAATTGTGGGTCCCTGCGTTGAAAAATATATAAAGAGTGTTAACTTTTTTTTTTTTTTTTGCCAGGAGAGTGTAAACCCTTTTTTCATCTGCTAAATTGGAATACTTAATAGATTTTCTCTAAAATAAGGACATTGATGAATTGAAAATAGTTTGGACTAACGAAGGAGTATCAACAAAGTAAAAAACAGCAAATTATTTAAGTAATCACTCAGGCTTGCCTATTTGATTTTTCAATTTAAGAAAATTTGAGAAGAGATCGAAGAATGTTAATTGCAATTTAAGAAAGTTATCACTTCTTATGTAATGAAAATTCTCAATTTAATATTTTTTAATAGCTTATTTTATAACCCCATTAGTTTTTTTTTATGTCAACGTTAAATCATTTAGTTTCTCAGCTAAAGTAACAATTAAGTGGTTAGGTTAAGAGTTGCCTTCTATATATATGATTCATTTTTAGGTGAAGAAGAACAACATAATTATAAGAATCTTGATTAAGCAGTTAGTTGCATAAATCCGCAGGTCTCAGTACACATTTAATGAAATGCAGATTAGAATAGCAATTTGTGAATATTATAATTATCGGTCCAACAATAATACGCACATCAATATAGATTTATTATTCGTAGCTATACGAGTTCATATATCCCCAAAGGCCAACAGTTATAAGAGTTTCATGCATATATATATTGGTTCCACTTTTTTTTGTAGATGAACCTTGCAATTACTTAAGAAGGTCATCATCCATTTCTATGAAGATTTTGTGAGCCGCGTCTAGCAGGTATTGTGGGACTTCGATGTCTTCGTTAATCTTTTCGAACTCGACGGTGCACATTACGTGACTACCATTGCCTTCTTCTTTAGGAGTGACAGTGACGGTTACTTTGAGCGTCTTGAAGGACTTAGAGATCTCATCACGGTTAAAATACACCGTAAGTATTCTCTTCACCCAATGTATACACTTGGTATCCAAATCGTCTTTTGGTGAAACATAGCAACGATGAAGGGTTTTAATAAAACATATAAAATTTGACTAATGAACTAATAAGATGAATGTAATGTAGAAGAGTTACCTTCAGCAGGGATTCTCAACGCGCTATGGACGATAGCATTAAAGAATTCGTCAGCCGGAGACTTAACGTCAGTGACAGTAGACAAAACTCCATTCAGTGACATTTTCTAAATATTGTTTTTTTCAATCTTTCTTAAGAGTAAATGTTGCGTAGGGGTTGATGATGATATTCGTCTCAATGAAGGTTTTTATATACATAGAAGTTTATGAAAATCATACCAATTATTTAACTTAATTACATTCATATAACGTTTTTTTCACCATATGTAATCTTTCTATATTTGCCAAAAGCATTTGAAATTTTGCTTTCACCTACTCAATTAAATATAAAGTTAAAGTATGTATATATATTGGGTATGAGTGAACCGATGAGTGAGCAAAAGTGTGATTTTTCTGCTGGAAATGAGTTTTTGCGTAACCGTTTACATCAATCTATTTAACTACAAATGTCAATGCTTGAAGTTGTGGGTGTGATTGTGATACGTTCATGACTCACCAATTGTTTTTTCTCCAAAGTGAGTATATGTTAAATTAAAGAGAGTTCCTACTTAGAAGAATATATATGTTTGCATACTAAATTTGTTTTATCGGCTTAATTTAGCTATTAATTCGAGCCTTACGCGTTATAATTACTTTCTGAGAAGAAAAACTGATTATGTAGACCAATGAGAAATAGGTGAATTGAAAACTATTTTGACTAATGAGAACTGTATCATCTATAGTCACGAACTTACTCGAATAACGAATATTAGTTTTTGTCACCTAAGAAAAATATTTCATTTCTACATCACACGTAAAAATATATATACTTGACTATTAAAAAGTGACTCACGAAGAAATTTCTAAATATTAAATGGTGTAACTTAATTCCTTTAGATAAAAGTAAGTAGTGAAACAATATTTAAAATTTTAAATTTGTTACTATACAAAGCTCGTGGCTTGAAGCTTTTATAGTAGGTACATGTGTATTTGACCGTATAGACTTGCCAATTGCCATTGTATTACATATGTCATGGAGATTCTTAATTAATTCTTATATTTGATATTTTTACTTTACTATTGATAATTCGTTTAGTTTTTTAACACATAAAGCTAACAAACAAATTGGCTAGGATTACATTTGCTTTCTCCATATTTGTTTTTTCTTCTGTATGTAATGGAGAATGGGAATTTCTTAATAATATACTTGATTATTAAAAAAGATGCGCAACTAGTCGAGCGTATTAACTCAAAACGGTAATGCATGAGCGTTTGGTTAATTGCTTATCACAACATTTATCTACGTCATGACTTAGAAACTGTAAGTTTTTGGTTCAAGATGAGTCCTTTAAACAAATTAAAGTGGACACCAAGAATTGATATATTGGGCAGAGCTAACTGATTTCATCTGCTTAAATTAGAAAGTAATGGAACCATACGAAACTGATTCTTATTGATTACTTTTCAAGAAGAAAAATATGAGTACATGGACCATTGTTATTTGATGAAATTAAAGTTCCTTTGACTAATACATATCATGAACACTCACGTCACCTAACTTACTCGAATAAACTAAGTTTACTTTCAAATACATTACATTTAAACTTTCATTCAAAACTATATTTACTGTTAATATAAAATTGAGCAACTTAGTTTTGCTTTTTTGATAAAGAGCAACATACTTTTCATAACATATATGTAAAGGTTATCAAATATGAATTTTGTTTAACAATAAGAATTTTTGGAGTCGTTCGATAATTACTGAAGGAGTATGTCTGTCTGATTTGTTAATGCATGTATTTGACTGTCTAGAGTTGTACTTGTCCATTGCGTTCCTTATATCACTGAGATCTTTACTTCTTAGTATTCTATATATAGAAATTTTCTTGAGAGTGGGAAGAAAATGAGAGTAATTATTCTCTCTGGACCCACCTAAATTTGATGATATCAAAAGAATTTGTAATTTTCTGGGTTGGAAACTTCACTCTGCATAACTAGATAGGAAGATTTACTCTCATTTCTCTGCACTTGATTCTTTACCAGTCAAGACCAAATTGGATAGATTAAGAGTTGCCTTGTTCATTCGTTTGTATGTAATGGTGGAGAATTACTTAAACAATGAGCCAATTTCTTTACTCATAAAATTAAGAGATAATCAAACATGGATTTAATTATTTAGCCCCTATATTAGAAATTAGAATCGTCATACAACATAACAATAATATGCATGCAAGTCGATATCTATATATTACTATTTCTTAAAGCGATAAGAGCATGACTAACGGGGACGCTTAGTAGGCATCTTAGAGAAAATAAGCATTTAATTAAATCAAAAATAGAGATAAATCGAGAATCCGACGCTTACTTAAGCTTTTTAAGCGTCGACGCTCATGCCACATGTCACATTCTTATTGGAAGGTGATAATGAGAAAGAAAAAAAAAACTCATTCTTTCACTTTCCTTTTCTCTCTTCTCTCTCTTTCTCTCCCGTCTTCCATGGCTTATTTGTTGCCGATACATCTCTTGGATCTTGGATCGATTTTGAACAAGAACGAAGTCGGAGAGGACGTCTCACGTCTGTGGTGTTTAGCCAATTCGAATTTCTGATTTTGCAAGAGAATCGGCGAATAAGCTAAACGAAGATAAACCAATTCGAATCAAGGATCCTTCTTCTCTTTGCATACGCTAAACTGAAAGTTGTCGAATCTCGAGATTTGGAGATAACAGAAGGTTATGAGACGGAGATATCAGAGTTGAGACAGAAGCTTTAGCTAGTTGGGAAGAATATGAAGACAACCGAGAATGAGAAAGCGAAATCGGAGCTAAAGTTATCATCTTGTCACAATCAAATTCATGTTAAAGATTCAGACTTTGGATCGGTCGTTGGATGATTGTTATCAACAAATGATAAAACTGTCAAGAACAAATGATAAACCTCTTCAGCTAGCCACCTTGGTGATGTTAATTTTTTTTTCGTTCTTAAGCACCCAACAAGATTCTCCCATTGAAGTATAGAAAACAGAGTGTTCTTAGGAGAGGTGCTTAAAAAAATTTTAATCATAAAATATATGATAAGCATTTCATAAGCACCATTGCGTTATACATGCTCTAAGATTCCTTTATTATTCTGCAAATAAGCGTCGGTATATATAAATAAATATATAGAAGAGACTCATCTGAACGTACGTACGTACGTTCCAATTTGTATGCCTTAGAATCACTCAAGAAGAGACTCATCCATTTTCGTAAAGAACGCGACACAATTGTTCCTGATGAATTTTGGGTCGTCGATTTCAGAGCTGGGCTTCTCAAACTCAATTGTCCATGTCGCGCGGACAAGGTCATCGTCATCCAATTTAGCGAAACTCATTTTTCCTTCGAGCTTGCTGTACGTACCAATCAGGGTTTTGCCACCCACGATTCGTCTTGTCGTTTGTTGCATCTATGGACGTTTTGTACCACTCTGCAATAGGTATGGCTTTCGTTCTAACCGTTCGCATTTTCTTCACAACAGGTATATTGTCCACGTTATCTTTATCTCCCGTGGCTATGATAAAACAAACAGAGAAATTAGGATTTCAATCAAGAAATATGTATCGAATGATGAAATGATGAGGTTTACGTAATGAGAGATAAGAGTTACCACTGGCTTCAGAGAGACCCATCATCGAGTTGTAAGCTTCAAAGAATTTGTGAAACGGAGACTTAATATCAAACTCATCAGACAAATACCCATTTAGAATTGCCATTCTCTCTCTCTCTCTCTATTAATTTCTGTTTTGTTTTTGTTTGAAGTAGATGTTGTGTGGGTTTGATAATAATCTTCTCGATCAAGGCGTTTATATAGAAAAAAAATTGTTTAAAACTACAGTAATTGTTTACCTTACCCCACCATTTAACATTTTCAACACATGGATATTTCTAAATCTAGCCAAAAGCTTAACAGACGTCTGTAAACATTTGCATTCTGATAAATTTCACCCAATTAATTATTTTTTTAAATTTTCCACTCAACGTGAAACTCATTCCATAATCTCAAAAATAAAGATATCATTTGCCTAATGTGTCAAATAACTCCAACCTCCAAATAAGCAAAAGTATTTACCTCGTAAGTGAGTCCCATTATTTTATTTTATTTTATAGAAACTATATAAGCAACGTGAATGTAGTGAAGGTGAATTAAAATTGTTTTATTAATGAATATCATGAAACATATATTAATAAATGAAACTAGTCATTTTATTTCATGAATTACAAAAAATTACGCAAACTGAAAATTGGGTTTTTAATTTGATTGTTATAGGAGTATATAAATTGTGGTTTAAATTTAACGAAAAATACTTTATGCTGCCTTTAAAAGAGACTTAATTTTTATTTATTTCATTTGCATTCTACTTCGCTCAGCTAAGACCGTGGAGCTATACAATCAAACACACAATATATATGTTGTGTAGTAGTAGTTAATAAGATTCTTACTTCTAAGCAGTTTTTAGTAAAGTATGACTATGTCGAAATTAAAGCGAGGTTACGTTAGAGATGAGAGTTTTGTGTTCTTTTCTCTTAACCCGAAATGACAATGATACAAAAGATATTGTTGAATTGCTCATCACAACTTCATAAAGAGTCAGTTGTGGGTCCCTGCATTGAAAAACAGTATAATTTTTCATATGCTAATTAAATTGCAACTGTAACTGGAACCGCACTTACTAGATTCCTTTATTTTATTTTCTAAAAGTAAGTATGCTGACGCGAATTGAAAGTACATAGTTACTATATGAGTATCCAATTTCCAATTTATATAACTGAAAATACATAGTTTTGACTAACGATCAGCAAATGTTCAAGTCACTCAAACTTACCTATTATAGTTACTGTATGAGTATCCAATGTGTTTAGTACCATTTCATATGTACATTACAAAAAGAAAACAACACCGTTCAAACAAATCGTATCTGATTCTAGAAATATAATTTTGTATCTTTATTAAATTAACTTTTAAATATTCAAGAAAATTCACTCAATTTTTGTGAATCCTTCTGCTTACAAAATACAAATTCTTAACAGATTAAACTCTTGTCGTATTTTAAGAATTATACTACTGTATTTGGTAGGTATTTTTGTTATTCTTAAAGTTATAGTTGCAATGTTAGAGAATTTCTCAAAAACAAATATACCTGATTAATTATTTAACCAATCCTTCAAAAAGGCTTTTATAAATATTAAATTGAATATTTAGCTCTCAAAACATATGTTAATTAAAGTTATCAAAAATTATTTTGGATCATAGCTTTTAGTAAATAGTAAATAACAATGTGTCTTCGGTTAAAAAGTCATACATAGTATTTGTGGAACTTTTATTAGGTAGAGTGTGGGATTTGACTATTTGTGGAACTTTTTTGAAATACTACTATTTTGTCGAAAAACTTGTTTAAGTGGTACTGTTGTATATTTTTCGATTCATTAAACAACCTAACAAAAAGAATGGTTCAGTTGTCTAATGAATTAAAAAAAAAAAAAAAAAAAAAGTCAACAATAATATGCAAATCGATATATTATTTCATGGCTTTACGAGTCCATACATCCTTATCAAATGCCAAACGACCCAAATGTTAAAAAAACATCCATGCATATACTGCAACATATATAACGTAGATACATAGTATATAGATATAAGCCACCACCCACCACCACTACTATATTTAGAGATTTCTATATGTAGATTAAACCTTTGCGATTTAGAACAGATTTATTTACAAAGCTGTGATATCGATTTAGCAGCTGTGTCGATCTTAATGAACGTCTGGAATCTTCCCCAACTCGAAGCTACATTTCACGTGGCTACCGGCACCGTCTTCCTTAGGAGTAATGCTGATAGTTAAATTGAGCGACTCGTAGTTCCTCGAGATATAAGTGCCCATCATTCTTATCGTAGCAGTGTTATTATCCCAATCCTCATCATCAATATCCACGTAGGCTTTTGATATGAAACATAAAAAGTAGAGAAAAACATTAGAGGCTAAATCGAGAAATATGATGAATCAGTGAGATGTATGTTCGAAAATTACCATAGCCTTTTAATGAGTCAATGAAAGCTTTAAACAATTGGTCCTCTGGGGACTTAACGTCAAACTCAACAGATCTTCTCGCAGCATGGTGGCTTAGATCATTGGTAATATTCTCGAACTTGACGGTCCATATCACGTGGCTCCCATCACCGTCTTCCTGAGGAATAATCGTGGTGATTACTTGTAAAGACTCGTAGTTCCTCATGGTGTGAAAGCTTTCCACGGTTACCGTAGTTTGTCTCCTCTCCCTATCCTCAGACTCGAACTCCACCGTAGCTTTTGGTGAAACATAAAAAAGGAAATTAGGGTTTTCATCGCGAGATATGAATTAAATAATTAATATATGAGACCTATGAAATGTAGAAGAATTACCATCCTCTTGATCAAATACTTCCATGAAAGCTTTAAACAATTTGTCTGCCGGAAAAGTGACGTCAAACTCAAATGTAGTTCCATGTAGTGCAATTCTCTAATTAATTTTTGTTTTTCTTATGTTTTATGTTGTGTGGGTTTGCTTATAATCTTCTCAATGAAGGTGTTTATATATAGAGTTTAGGACAATTACATTTAATTGTTTTACCCAACCCCTCTTGTCTAACTTTTTCACTCTGTGGAGTATTTCTAAATTTTACCAAAAGCTTCAACATTTTAATTTTGCTTTCGCCCAATCAAGTATGGTACATGCATGTAAGTAAATAAATTGTGCGGACCAAATTGATTTCATCTGTCTAGCGTATCAATTAACTCCATTAAAGCTGTGTTTTTGGTTATTGACTTTTTTTTGTACTACATTATTAGAGAATATGACTATAAACTAATGTGAACGTTATAAAGTGAAAACTAAAAGATATTCATCAATTGGTGATGAGCGTTTGTGTAACTGTTTTCAGTAACCACTTTTACTAAAATGGCAACCCTCAAGTGTGAATTGTGATGCGTTCATCATGACTCACCAAATGTTTCATTATCTTTTACTAAACTCTGAACAACAAAGCTAAAGCAGAAAAAGAATAACAACAAGATAAATTCAGAATTACCACACCAGGTTGATTCTTCCTTTAAGATTGATAGGGAGACGGAATTGTAAAGTCTCAGAACACATGATCCAAAAGACTAGAATCGTTGCCTCAAGACCAAAAACAAAACACCATTTAACAATATGCCTACAACCAAATTCCAGTCCACAATATATTGAGTTGCTGAGGATAGACGGAAGGTAGACTTTGAGATCAGTTTTCTGTAAATCCAAGACAATCAAATGGTCACAAAACGCTCGCAAGGAGGTGCTCACTGTCTCAATGCATTTCTCTTGCTAGCGTAATTCTTCAACTGTCTTCTGTCAATACTCATACAATTTTCCAAAAGACTAATGAAAGTCAGGATCTTCCTCATTCAGATAATACCATTCAACAACAAGACAAACACAAATTACAAAGTCACAACTTCTATCAGTTACCATCTTAGAGTCATCTATGAAAGAATACATCTTAAGGACTCAAATCTGCAACATGAGAGATACTAATTCTTATGAAACATTGCCAAAATTTACTCCTTTTTGATGAAAATTTTGATCCACCAACAAACTTCAATATAGCAATTCGGTGTTACTAATGGAAAAACTCACAAATAAGTGATGAAAGTTTAAAACTTTTTCACATTCAGCACAATTTAACACTCAAGAGAACAAAGGCGTTACCTTTTAGCAATACGATTCATCTCGTGGTTTGCTCATATGTTCCTTTACTGACATCTGTTGAACACGAATCCTCCATCTCTACAATACCGAAACAGCCACAAATCAAATCTCATTAAACCCTTTTATATATTCACATTTACAAACAAAGTCTTATCTGGTAAATGCATCCATTGGCATTACAGTATGTGTAAAACACCAAACAAAAAACTTCTTACAGCCTCAAGAGGCAGTCATGATTGCCAAAAACTTACTAAATCTAAGATTCACTCACTCCACATTCGAACAGAAATCTCTTGTACTCAATATGCTTCCTCTATATGCTTCATCTGTGGCTTCTTAATTCGCTGAATCGACCATCAGGCAGAGCTATCTTCTGTTAACAACCAAAGCAAAATCTGTAAAACGAAATATGTATTACTCAGAGGAGAGCTTATGTAAACTGACTCTGTATTCTGGTGACGAATCATGCGATGACCTTGTGAGGTTTTGAGGAGATTATTGTGTGTAGCGTCACAATTATGCAGAAACCAAGAAAAGGAAGCAGAGTAGTGAACAAAGCACCTGTGTTTAACAGAAGAAACAACCTGGTTACAGACTGGAAAAATACAATTAAGAGTACGCAATGCTAAGTTAAATCAAGATCCCAACAAGAATCTGAGGAAGGTTAACAAGAAGCAAAGAACTGAACAAAGCACATGTGTTTAACTAAAGAGAGACATGTTTACGTGCTGGAAATACACATTAAGATGAGTATGCAATGCTAAGTTTAATAAAGAATCTAATGAATCGGCTTAGAATAACACCACGGAAGCATCCCTTAAACACATTGATCCATACACAGTAAGAAAAGGGTTCCAATAAGACAAGAACATGAATCTGAAAGAAAACTCAAATCATTAGCACTCCTAATGGATGGTAGCAGAGATATATGTTCTTACATGGGGAAAATTGTGGTGATTTTGACCTGATACACTCTCTGTGGTGCTCACAGTCTCACAGAATTTCTCTTGCCGGCGCAAATCAGGTAACTCCTCAGCTGACTTCTGTCAATACTCATTAAATTTCCAAAAGACTAATGAAAGTCAGGATCTTCCTCATTCAGATACAACAAGTCAAACTCCAAATACAAATCCACAACTTGTATTAGTTACCATCTTAGAGTCATGTATGCCAGAACTAGGAACAGCGTCGTGCTTCTCTTCACAGTTAAGATCATCAAGTCTATTACTTGTCTTATCTTCTTCAAAGTTTTCTACTGATACACCATATTGCTTCAGAATATATCTCAAGGACTCACTTCTGCAACATAGGAGAAACTAGTTCCATGAAACATCGCCAAAATTTACTTCTTTTGATGAAATGAAGAAATTATTTACAAGAAGTAGAACCACACAAATCTTAATTTCTTATCATTACTGACTCAAAATCCACACCAACAGTTTCAATCTTGCAATTCGGTGTCACTAATGGGAAAAACTCACAAATGAGTGAAGAAAGTTCAAAACTTTTTCCGCTTTTAACACAAATTGACACTCGGAGAACAAAGTCATTACCTATTAGCAAAACGATTCAGCTCGTGTGCTCATATGTTGAACACGAATCATCCATCTCTACAATACCAAAACAGCCAACAGAACAAAATTTGAATACAAACCAACAAAAATCCCAAAAGAAAAACACAAAACAAATGGGTATCTTCGCTTGTTGCCTAACCTCTCATAGAGAGAATCAGTGAGAGTATGATTCTATTCTCTCTCAGGAAGGAAAGTGAAGAAAATCTCTCCTGAAGGGAAGCAAGAGTTACCACAGAGCAGAGCATCGAGAAAGAGCTCGCTACGGAAAAGTCATGAGCCAAAGCCCAAAACTTTTCAACGGCGATCCAAGATGTGAAAAAACGACGATAACAGGAATCCAAAGATCTTTGGCGAATTGTTGTTCATCACATAACTTTATGAGTCACCAAAAGTATTTTTCTTCTAAAATAATTGGAGACTAGAATGGTGAGTTGAATATTTAGTATTTAAATAAGAGTTAAATAATTTGTTAAAAAGCACTTTTATTATTTCATCAAATTTGCATGTGGCTCACATAATTAATCTGATACTCATTTTTAGTAAGAAAAAATAAATTGACGAAGTCTATTTCCTATTAAGAATATGAAATACTTTAAATTTGAAGTCTTCACACTTTATGCAATGTATTTTTCAGCGTATGGACAGCGAAACTGAGTCATTTTGAAGAACAAACAACTTTTTTATCTTTTTTTTTTTTATAAACACCCAAACCGATCCCATGTATGATTCCATATTTAGTTAAGAAATTCATTGACGGAAGAGAAGTACATTAAGATTGATTTATGCGAAAATATGTTGATATTTTTTTCATAATGTTCATTAGAGTAAAATTCGGTTCAAGATGAGTCTTTTAAACAAACTAAAGACGCATATTCTTAATTTAGAAAGTGAAGGAACCATACGCAACTGACTATTACTGATTACGTTTACAGAAGAAAAATATGATTACGTGGACCTATTTTATTTGATGGTTCTTTTGACTAATGCATGAACGACTCACTAGTCAGTAGTCACTACCACCGTACCACGCGCTCATGCTACTAGTTCTTGTTCGTTTCCTCATTACACCCTCTTCTCAAAATGGAATAAAGAAGAGTCAATTACGTAACAAGCTTCGCTTAGTTCAAGTTACAGATTTTCGTTTGTTAAATAATAGTTAGGGATTAATGATTTAGTCTACTTAATCGCTAAATGTATTAAATAATTAGACAGATTAAATAAAGGTTGCGAAAGATAATTGCAATTATAGGTTACTACTTAGTTTGGGTAAGTTGAATAACTTCATATATATATATATATAATACTCATTAGTCAAAACCATTTTATTTTCATCACAATTTTTAGAATTATTAGAAGAAAAAATCAAGCGCCACCCAAAACAAAGTTACGTAAAATGATTGCTTGATTGGAGTTAATGGATACATTAGTGAAATTTGAAATTCACCGTTTTTACATATGTTATATGAAAATTGCATCAATTACTCATACCTAACTCCACCCATCTAACATTTAAATAAAAAAACTTTACCTTACAGAATTTTTCGAAATACATTTAGCTTCCACATTTCATTTACTTAACCCACTAACTGTGTATACTCTGACTCTTTTTAGTATGTATATAGACTACCTCATCACTTGAGTTCCTTCAAAACAAATCTACTTTCTAATCTAAAAAAAAAAAAAAAAAAATGAAAACAAGACTATGGATACAAATTTTGCTTCCGAGCTGATCAAGGGGACCATCAAAGGCGCAAATCTTGCCAAGACTAAATGTGAAAGGCTGATCTTGATCGACGCACTCCACCGAATGACAAATCCAGTTAATCGTGCATTTTCTCTTGATTTCTTCGCTGTTGTTGAGAGTACGGCGAATGTGACTCGTCGTTACATGTAAGTATATTGCAATCGTTTTCAAGTGTTTAGTTTATTTATTTATTTGTTCTCTACTATAAATAAAATACTACATTCTCTATACTTAGGTTGAACATAAATAATCTGTTGTATATAGTATCAATGTATTATATATTTATCTGTTGTATAATTAGCAAAACAATAGTATTGCCTCGACTGTTACTTATTTTAATAGTGTTTTTAAAACCTAAACAATATATTACATATTTTATGAGCGAAATATATACTATCAATAGAAAAACATATTGAAAGAGACATGTATTAAGAAAATATCTAAAATATAAGAAATATTTGCTTATTTTTTGCTAGACTAGGTCTAAACTAATGCTTAATTTTAGTAAAATATTATGTATAAAAATTTAATTATGTTTTTATCATATGATATTTCTTTTATCTTATTTTTTATTTGGCGGTAAACTTTTATTTTTAATACATACTATTTTTTGATAAACTATTTCATTAGTTGAGATTTTCTCTTTTTAAAAAATGCACCAAACTAAATAATTAAGAAAAAGAAACTTTTACTAACAATGTGGTCTAATAGAATCATTAATCTTATACACGTGAGGTTAGATTGTGAGAAAATCTCACTTCAACGAAAATATACTAGGGAAAAAATATTATTTCTGCAGCTAATTTAAATTATTTAAAGAAATTAAAAGGAAATAAGATGAAGAACAATTATCAAAAATGGAAATAGAGAAAACGAAAACCTATCTGATTATGGCGAAAACCTTCTCTCTTTTCAGGATCCTTTTGGTAACTACGTTATTCAAACAGCTCTCTCTGTAGTCACGGTATGTCTAGAACTAAAACAGATTCTTGTATGATACAACTAAAGCTTTAAAGAAACAGAACTTGAAGTCGAGTCCTATTCGTTTGATACAATAAAAGATTCTTGTATGATACAAAAACAAAACTGTTTCTATGTATTAATTTCGGGCCAAGAAACAATCCGGTCTTAATAATGTTCGATTCTCTTGTTAATTGGACTTGTCTACAAATCTTATGGTTTTACTAGGTAGGTTTCACTTGTTGTTCCTTCCATATGTTTAAACTTGATTATACTCCAATTATCAAACTTCGCAAATCATAATAAACGGATCAACTTTATTCAACTTATATTAATAAGATAAAACCTTAAAGATCATACGAAACCCTCTTATATTTTCTATTAAGGATTTTTCGTTTTTAGATGCTGGATCCCTTGAGGAGATACTCATCAATTTCTTGGAAGTTCTTGACAGCAAAGTCCTTGATGGCGTGTGGATCGGGGATCTCATGGCTGGTCTTCTCAAACTCACCGGACCATTTCAAAATGCTACCACCGTCCTTCTTAGGAGTAACGGTGATGGTTGCTTTGAAGGTTTTGTAATACTCCATCAATTCGCCGCCAATGATGCTATACGTCCAGCTTTTGTTCTCCATATCCACCGCTTCAATCTTCTCCGCCGATATCTTCACCAGTGCAGATCCTTTATATAATAAAGAGTAGAAACAATGAGAGATCAAATATGTAGCTAATTATAGGGTTTTGATTATAAGTTTGACCATCAAGAAACATGAATCATTCTTTTGTTGAAACAATGAAACATCACTAGTTTTTTTTTTTTTTTTTTTTTTTTTTTTTTTTTTTTTTTTAAACAAAATTTCTTGCTGAATGTAATACCGTACTCAATCTTGGGTGCCAAGATTAACATGACTCACTCTAAGCAACTGAAATAATCACACGTCTGAATTATTAATGGTAAATTATATTCACGATGAATTAGGACAATATTAAGTAGTGGTACCTTCTCCATAGAAAATGAGGCGAATGGAGCCAGGAGAGTTGCCATCACCGGCAAGAACTTGGATGGTTTTATAGTCGTGAGGGAAAGCTTTGGGCAGGAGATTGACGCCATCACCGAGAGCTCCCCAGAACTTCTCCGGCGGAGACTTAACCTCAACCTCCACATCAAGAACACCAGTGAGTCCCATTTCTCTTGCTGAATTAAACTCAAATATTACTTTGAAGTATTTGTTTGTTATAATAAGCTTTGTCAATGAACGTTCCTATTTATAAAGAGAGGCTTTAGAAGCACCAGTGATATGGTAATTGCATTAACTATTTGGGACAACTCATCATCCAACTAACTTCCCATGCTATGGGTCCTATGAAATTTAACCAAAAGCTTGTGCATTTGCATTCTACATTGTTATCCCACCCCCATCATGTTGGTGGATGCATTAAATTAGTGCATACCAAAACGGCAAAATCCACCGGCCAATTTAGTTTATTTTGGATTTTTATACATCTACCTCTCTTTTTTTTTTTCAGATCCTTACCGATTTATCTAAATATTCGGTAAATGAACTTCAGTGAATATTCGGTAAATAAGTCAGTAATCTAGATGTAGCATTAAATACACATGCGTGTAATGAAATTGGAGGATGTAAGTTTTGAAGAATATAATACACACCAACCAAATTTTAATTATATAAATATAGTCTTACCGAGTATTTACACACCCTGAAGGAACTTTCGAACAAAGGATTATATTCCGAGTAAATTATATCTACTTCACCACGTAGTCGTATGGCTTCATTTGGATCATTGTGTGAGATTGCCATTAACTCAGATGCAGAACCAAGTGAAGTAACACGTTTCACGTGATTGGTTTTTATTACCTGTTTGGAGAAAGGCATTATAACTATGTGGATTACTATTTACTACTGACTTGAAAAACTGTTCAATATATAAAGGAATTTTCGAACAAATTAAGGATTATATTCTGCGTAAATTATCTCTACTTCACTAGGTAGTATGGCTTCATTTGTGTGAGAATACCATTAACCCGGAGGTCCCCGACGCAGAACCAAGTGAAGTAACACGTTTCACATACTTTTACCACCGGTTTTGAGAACGACATATAATAAATACGTGGACCAATGTGAAAACACCAAACATGATCATGATGAAATTCAAATGTTTTTGAATAATGCATTATGAAGTAGATGTCAGTAAATGCTCACATCACACAACTATTCGAACATTGTTGGAATTTTTATTTTGGTATAATATTTTAACACTTTTAAGTTATGAAGATCTATTGGGATATATTTCTTTTTCTTCATTAGGACTAGAAGTTGATCGCCTACATGTTTGCATAAATACATCGACCTTATGATATTATCAATACAAGTTAATTTCAGAGATTCAGAATTTGTCAAGATGTAAAGTTCCACTCTTTAATAAAAGACGAAGGCAAATTCGATTGTGGTTACCTGGTGAAAGTGAAGTTGGGCTCAGAGATTCTCAATGGCGTGCTTTACCATTCGGCCCAGCCTACCACACCTTCACCAATCGCTGGTGTAAACGGCGCCGTTGCACCTTACTTTGAAACTGGGTGCCGTCGCCGTTTGGGTAAAACGCGTAGAAGCAGACGCAGGGAAGATCCAAATTATCCTAAACCGAATCGGAGCGGTTACAATACCTTGTACTCTAAGCATACAAACTAATGCAAGACAAGAAAAGTAACTCAAGGAGAATAGCATATGTTTTTCTCTTGAGAATACTAAGTATTTGAACTTAGTTCAATGTTGAATCTTGAGGTATGCAATGTCGGATAAAGTTCACATGTGCCACCACTCTATCTATTTTGATGAAAGTGTATATTTGCTAAGAAGCAAATATGTGATTTTGGAAAAAAATCCAAAGCATAGAAGATGGAAATTAAAATCCAACTTGGAAAACTATGAAAAAATAGTTATATGTGAAGTAGAATGCGAGTTTGATGAGAATTAAATGTGTTTTTTTTTTAAAAAACATTTATTCTTTGGAAGACTGCTCGTTGTTCACTTAAATCTTATAGAGTTGCTGAATCAAAATTATGAACTCTTAAAAGATGATTATTGCTAAGTGGCATGTTTTGAGTTATCTCAAGAAATGTGGGGGAAAAGCATTGCTTACCACATAAAGTTATTGACAAAATGTCATATGAACTTTGAAAAGGTAAAGTACATTTGTACAAATACCTAAAAGTGTGGGGGCATAGCAAAAGTTGCAATGCCACCCTAAAATGTTAAACAATTGATCTCAAATGGAGTAATCTTAATAGATTATATCTACTTGAATGACAACCTAGGATCCAATTAAAGGTGTGTCATGAGATCAAATTGTAAAATCATCAAGAGGAATGGGTTTAAAGCCTATGACTTAAGAGGAGTTTGATGGTAACCCTACCTAACTGATTGGAGATCCCATGAAATAGGTTCAAGGGGAAAACTAAGTCAAACTGAATCAACTAGCACTGGGAGACTCATGTCTCTACCCAGTTCCTAGGATGATGAACAGTGCTACCTGTATGGTGTAGAGGATAAGCTTTTGCTTTTAATGATTTGGGTCCATAACTTTGAAATATACATGGAGTATGCAGGATACTCCTTTAAACAAAGTTAATGGCGAATCACCTTGTGAGTGTGAAATGGGGCCGTTTCTAGGAGAATAAATGAAAGGCTATATTCTCCAAGTTCACTCATGATTATCCAGCAAGTTCACGGCCAAAATGAACACAATAGAGAACCTGATTCTGTGAGAGAATGAAGCTGTGTTATAGCTATTGTCTCGGTTTACATCAAAGCCCGAGAGGTTCAAGACATCATGTTCACCTCTTGGTCGAGTAAATCCGATAGTTATACAGTGATTTGGTTCAAGGCTGAAAAATGCTACCAACTCATATACAGTGGATTTTTCGTTTGTACTCTCAAAAGTCTTTTTTCGAGTCTTCATATGTTTAGTGTCATTTCTATTCATGTGGGGGATTGTTGGAACTCAATTGTCAAAAATTGAAGTTTTTGAATGAGAAATGTGTGTCCAAAGTTTGTTGTTTGAGAAGCACAAAATGGGCAAAGTAAATAATGGAGAAGTCTTGACAAGGATAAAAACCTTGAGAGTTGAGACTATATTATGGGAGAGGTTAAAACTTATGCTAAACCATACACACGCGCGTGGCGGGCTGAGTCGAGTGGGCTCGGGCTCGGGTTTCGGTTTGAGTTTGGGTACATGGACTTAAGTCTAATAACCCATCTTTCTTATCAAGTTTTGGTTTTGTAACTGATCACTACAAATATCTAAACTTGGTCAAAAAGTCTTTGAACAATTAATCTATAGATTAATGTGGTGTCCTTAATGACCATAATAAAATCTCCACTAATGCTCCAAGGAAGGGAGTTTCTACGTTGAAACAAATGGCCATAAAAGAGGCATTTGTGTTCTTGAGAAATCATTCACACAACATGGAAAAACAATCTCTCACCTTCTTTTCTTCTTTATTTTTCATTTTTCTCTTTTTGCCTTTTTTGGTCTGAGAGTACACACAGAACAAAGCGTTCGTTAGGCTTCTGATTTTGAGTGCTGCTAATCAGAAGAAGGTGTGGTTGTATCTTGGGATTCTGATTGCATCAAACCGTCACACTACGGGCAATTAAAGAATTAAGGAAAGAGTGTCTCGCCTCCACACAAACCATTCTTTGTTCATCATATTTTTGGTATCAGTTGTTGTTTCTTAATTCTGTTTTATATCAATATATTTTCAATTATTCAGTTTTGCCATATTGCTGAAATGATGGTCTTACAGTCTTAATTCTTTAATTTTTTGTTATTAGGATAACGAAAAACTGATTAATTGTGAAGTTTTGATAAGAACATGAAAAGTGATAGTCTTTTATGTTTATTGGACTTAAATATTTCAAAACCGTTTTTGCTTTTAGATTGCACTAACGTTACTGATATCTATTTAAGTTTTTTTTAAGAGCAGGTGTTCATGTTCGTTTGATTGAACGGTTACAGGAGTTCATTCTGCGATTGAGACTAATTTTCTGCAAGTTAACCGAGTTGCATCTAGTTTTACACGTTGCACTTACGGTCTTTTGTTTTGCAGGAGATTTTGGATTATCTCTGTTGATATTATTTTCTGCAGTGATTGAGCTATTCGATCTAATGATTTCTGAAATTTACTTTAATTTCTTTGAACTGCTTTGTTTGGTCGACTGTTTAGGAGTTTTGTTCTTTTGATCTCTGCAGTCAATCTTCAACCTCCGTAGTATGGTCTATTGAAAATCTTGATTGTTGTTTGACTTAGTTCACTCTTTAAGTTCTGGTTTAAAGTTCTGGTTTAATTCTGGTTATTTGACTATGATTGTTGTTAGTTATTCGGCAAAGTCTCGTATTGACTTTGTTTAAGAATTTCGTTGCTCATTTGTAGAACTTTAAACCTGAGCCGTGTGCAAATCTGGTTGAGAGCTTTATGTTGGCATAATTTATTGTTTTCCCAGAAGTGGTGATATTATAATAAGCAATTTTGCTGTTGTCTTTTTCTGGAAAAATTATTTTTGATTGTTTTGCATGTACTTGCTAAGTACGTAGCTTACTTTGACGTATGCTTGCATTGAAATTAGAGTATTAATTTCTGAATTTGTATATTCATTTGAACTTCTAATTTTTTGGTATATTGTTCAGGTTTGCTTGTATGCGAATCAGATGGAAAGAAAAATATTAACATGAAAATGTTAAAATATTTTTTCGATGGCAACAAGTTTGGTGAGTTGACAACCCAAATTGGGAAGGGTCTGCCACCTTAAACTGTGTTTGCTAAGTGGATTGGAATTCTGATATTTATCGGAATATCCAAATCTTATTTATACCAAGTTGAGGTTGAAGTTTTATGGTTATAAATCTAGTGAGTCGACGCACCAAATTCAGTTTGGTAGTGGTCTACCACACATGATTGTACCATATATATTATGATGGTTATCAGATTGTATGTCAGTACCTTGTACTCTAAGCATACAAACTAATGCAAGACAAGAAAAGTAACTCAAGGAGAATAGCATATGTTTTTCTCTTGAGAATACTAAGCATTTGAACTTAGTTCAATGTTGAATCTTGATGTATGCAATGTCGGATAAAGTTCACATGTGCCACCACTCTATCTATTTTGATGGAAGTGTATATTTGCTAAGAAGCAAATATGTGACTTTGAAAAAAATCAAAGCATAGAAGATGGAAATTAAAATCCAACTTGGAAAACTATGAAAAAATAGTTATATGTGAAGTAGAATGCGAGTTTGATGAGAATTAAATGTATTTTTTTTAGAAAACATTTATTCTTTGGAAGACTGCTCGTTGTTCACTTAAATCTTATAGAGTTGCTGAATCAAAATTATGAACTCTTAAAAGATGATTATTGCTAAGTGGCATGTTTTGAGTTATCTCAAGAAATGTGGGGGAAAAGCATTGCTTACCACATAAAGTCATTGACAAAATGTCATATGAACTTTGAAAAGGTAAAGTACATTTGTACAAATACCTAAAAGTGTGGGGGCATAGCAAAAGTTGCAATGCCACCCTAAAATGTTAAACAATTGATCTCAAATGGAGTAATCTTGAATGATTATATCTACTTGAATGACAACCTAGGATCCAATTAAAGGTGTGTCATGAGATCAAATTGTAAAATCATCAAGAGGAATGGGTTTAAAGCCTATGACTTAAGAGGAGTTTGATGGTAACCCTACCTAACTGATTGGAGATCCCATGAAATAGGTTCAAGGGGAAAACTAAGTCAAACTGAATCAACTAGCACTGGGAGACTCATGTCTCTACCCAGTTCCTAGGATGATGAACAGTGCTACCTGTATGGTGTAGAGGATAAGCTTTTGCTTTTAATGATTTGGGTCCATAACTTTGAAATATACATGGAGTAGTGCAGGATACTCCTTTAAACAAAGTTAATGGCGAATCACCTTGTGAGTGTGAAATGGGGCCGTTTCTAGGAGAATAAATGAAAGGCTATATTCTCCAAGTTCACTCATGATTATCCAGCAAGTTCACGGCCAAAATGAACACAATAGAGAACCTGTTCTGTGAGAAATGAAGCTGTGTTATAGCTATTGTCTCGGTTTACATCAAAGCCCGAGAGGTTCAAGACATCATGTTCACCTCTTGGTCGAGTAAATCCGATAGTTATTACAGTGATTTGGTTCAAGGCTGAAAAATGCTACCAACTCATATACAGTGGATTTTTCGTTTGTACTCTCAAAAGTCGTTTTTTGAGTCTTTATGAGTCATTTCTATTCATGTGGGGGATTGTTGGAACTCAATTGTCAAAAATTGAAGTTTTTTTTGAATGAGAAAATGTGTGTCCAAAGTTTGTTGTTTGAGAAGCACAAAATAGGCAAAGTAAATAATGGAGAAGTCTTGACAAGGATAAAAACCTTGAGAGTTGAGACTATATTATGGGAGAGGTTAAAACTTATGCTAAACCATACACACGCGCGTGGCGGGCTGAGTCGAGTGGGCTCGGGCTCGGGTTTCGGTTTGAGTTTGGGTACATGGACTTAAGTCTAATAACCCATCTTTCTTATCAAGTTTTGGTTTTGTAACTAATCACTACAAATATCTAAACTTGGTCAGAAAGTCTTTGAACAATTAATCTATAGATTAATGGTGGTGTCCTTTATGACCATAATAAAATCTCCACTAATGCTCCAAGGAAGGGAGTTTCTACGTTGAAACAAATGGCCATAAAAGAGGCATTTGTGTTCTTGAGAAATCATCACACAACATGGAAAAACAGTCTCTCACCTTCTTTTCTTCTTTATTTTTCATTTTTCTCTTTTTGCCTTTTTTGGTCTGAGAGTACACACAGAACAAAGCGTTCGTTAGGCTTCTGATTTTGAGTACTGCTAATCAGAAGAAGGTGTGGTTGTATTTTGGGATTCTGATTGCATAAAAACGTCACACTACGGGCAATTAAAAAATTAAGAAAAGAGTGTCTCGCCTCCACACAAACCATTCTTTGTTCATCATATTTTTGATATCAATTGTTGTTTCTTAATTCTGTCTTCTATCAATATATTATCAATTATTCAGTTTTGCCATATTGCTGAAATGATGGTCTTACAACAGTTTCTATTGTGTGCCGCACCAAGGAGCTGGTATGGTCGGAAAAGTCACCGTCAACTAAACTGCCAAGGAGTTAAGTTCTGATTCGAGTAGAAGCTTATTTACAATTGCAAATGTATTATGGAAGAGTGTGGGTTCGGAAAACCACACTCAAAATTTATGTGTATTTTGTAGGGAGAAATTGCCTGTGGAATCAGAGGTTAGATTCTGATGTAAGTCGAATGATTCGTAGACAAATATTTGACGAAATCGGACTTAGGCTAATCGAATAAAGTGGTTACAAAACCGGCCTGAAAAGACCATGTAAAACACTAGGATTCGACTAAGCAAAAGAGATGGAAATTAGGTGGTGGCTGCGCTCGTGTAACGAGCTGCCTACGTACCCTGTTTTAGGGATCAAGCCAGAACGTAGTTCGATTGTAAGTTGTTCTCTATTTCGAGTCGTTTTCTGAAGAGAAATGACCACGAAAAGAGCTAAAGGGGGTGAAGATGACGATAAATCTCAGGTTATCGGAGTGATCCGAAGGTTAAAGATTATGTCAAACTTCTGCCGGAAGTGATTTCCGGCTAGAAAGATCAGGGCTTTCTGGGATTATCTCAAAGACCAAGGATAAGATCGAAGAGAAAAGATATGAGAATATCTCAAGACGAAGAAAAGAACTTCACTCTGTTTCTGCTGTGAAAAGATGATGAGAAGAACTTTAGTTGTGATTTTCGATTGAAAGAATTGTTCTCTCAGAAATGAGAAGGATTAAACTTATGCCTTGTGATCAAGAATCGTCCTCCTTTTATAGCTCCGAAGTAGATCGCAACCTCCTCCGCGTATCTCGTCCACGTGCAACTACCGATCCCGCTATTTCCGGATCTGAACGATCAAAGCGAGATTCTCGTTTGACCCGTTCAAACTCAGCTTGCGGACTTGACTCCGTCGAGCTAGAGCTCGACTTCGTCTTCACAAGTAGCTCGGACAGTAAACAGCTGGATTTTGGACAAGGATATTTGGTGGGCTCGAGGTCATTTTACTGGGCCTGAGTGGACTTATCTTGACCTTAGGACTTAGGTGATGGGCCTTATGGGCCGGATTTCTGGAGGAAATCCAGGTACAACAAAGAAATTGTTGGATTATTTAACAGGATTGTATAATGCTATTGTTGTAAAGATACTGGTTATGTTTCTTTTGTAAATAAAGTTTGGTTTATGTCTCTACTGTTGCGTTTACTTCCGTTAATTATGGACCGATCGTACGGTCTTTAATAGGCCCATCACGAATTATATTTACGATTAGGCCTAACTGATAAGGCTCATGATTTATTTCCAAAAATATACGGAAACAAAGCTGCTTGCTACAGTAAGTGACAAAAACAAGAAAAATTGATTCAGAAAATCAGGAATCTGCAAAAACATGTTTGATGGCTCTGTGTATTAAGTTATTTAATTATTATAGTTAAGTTGTATAAATCATGGATTCGAAGAGCTTCAATTATAGTTTTCCGGTCGAATATAACAGCTAGAGATCGGTGTCGTATGTGCATTATTTAACGAACTTGTCCTCGTTAACACATTAAATATGTCGTTTGCACCAAAAAGAGCACGTGAGCGTTGTCAAAAACAAGCTGTTATATGGAGTGATTAAAGATTCGTCTCGACATACGGACAGATTGCATAACACATTGTCATGTGATATGATCATATGAGTCATGTGATTATGACCTATCTACCAAAAATCATAATTTAATTGGGTTAGTCCAAGAACCAGCTAACATTTATTTTATTGTACTGAGCTCACGGATCCTGGACCATGTATATGGACGTATAGTATAAGTAAAGCGATGGAGATTTATTTTCTTTTTATGTTCATCAGAGTTTGATCGTTATAAAATGCCTTTCCGTTGTACGGAGAGTGGGAAACGTATAAAATGAAAAATTACAAGACCTTTTTTTCTCCAAATTATGAAGCTGGCTTTGACCCTATAACGTGGAGACAGTGAAATACTTGAATGCTTAAGAAGGTCACACAAGATAATTCATAATTTCTTTAACAAAAAATAATTCATAATTTACATGTTGTTTGGTATATGAGACTAATTAAGGTCACTGAAAATAACATCTCAGACGATTTGGGTGGGAGAGAAAACAAAAATCATTATAAATCTACGAAAATAATGATTCCATGGCATCCCATCTCAATGGGTATCTCAACTCAAAACAACAAACAAAAAGTACAACAAAATTGAATAATATGAGATTTTGAAAATTTTAAAAGTTTAATTATGTTATTTAAATAAATATCACTAATTATAGTTTTTATATAAATATAATTGAGTACATTTAAGATGTAATTTGCTATTTTCAAAATACTAATAAATGAATTTATAGTTTAAGATCAAAACTTAACTTAAAATTAATTACTTAAGTACTTTTTTTTTTAATAATAATACTGTACTTAATGGAGGAAAAAAATTGTAATAAAGTTCTCAAAAAGAAACATGAAAAATTAATATGGAAGTTAAACACACATGGAAGTCAATGTACTACACTACTACTAGTCTACTACACAGAAGGGAACAAAGCAGCGTCTCTCTCTGATGGTGATGGAAATATGGAAATGGAATGAACCGCTTCTATTCTATCACACAATTAAACTCTGCGTTTCATTTCAAGAGCTTCATCATGAATATCTTCCACATTTCGGAGAAATTATCCACTGTTTTTGTGGTTTATGCTGTTTCTGTGGAGCCCACCCCACTGTGTATATATTATATGCTAATGTAGCCTAGATTCATATACCTATGGGTCAAGGTCTTGGGTTCATTGTAATTTTTGCAGAGAAGGAAGCAAAAGAAGAAAAGGAGCTTGTCTGCGACTTGAAGGAGCTTCAAATTCCGAAAGCCTGAGCAAATGGGTTGTGTTCCGAAACGTTTCTTTGTTGCATTTCTTCTGTTGGGAATCTGCGAATACGCAGCTGCTAGTTCTACTTTCCCTCTGGCACGACCTAACTGCACTGACCACTGCGGATATGTTAGTGTTCCTTACCCTTTTGGGATAGGCAAAGGTTGTTATAAGGACAAATGGTTCGAGATTGTCTGCAGCAACTCATCAGACCAACAGAAAATACTTTTCCTGCCAGGAATTCAACGAAGAGTGACTTCCTTCAACCTTGGAAACGTTTTCACTACATCGGTGTACAGCAAGTTTTACATTCAGAGTCCATTGAAAAGGTCAGGTTGTTCCAATGGAGATGGTGATTCATCGTCGTCTTTGGATCTGAAGGAAAGTCCATTCTTCATATCAGAGAACAATAAGTTCACAGCTGTTGGATGTAACAACAAGGCGTTTATGAACGCCACAGAGACAGGGTTACAAATCGTGGGATGTGGGTCGACATGTGATAATTTTTCACGGTCTTACAAAGACGCTAACCAGAGTTGTGTTGGTTACAAATGCTGTCAGGTGACTATACCATCTGATCTTCAAGTGTTTAATGCAACTGTTGAGAAACTAAAACCAGGTAAACAAGGATGTCAGGTCGCCTTCTTGACACAATCCACCTTGTCAGGATCCTTGTTTACGCCTCCTGAATTACCAGAGTACAATAGTTATGCAACAATGGAGCTCGAATGGCGTCTTGATCTTTCCTCGACGTCTTCAAAACGTGTGCTATGCATGAGCAATACATTTTTGGAAGATAGATATCAATGTTCGTGTAGAGCTGGTTATGAAGGAAATCCCTACATACCTGGTGGATGTCTAGGTATGCATTAACTTACTTCCCAGTTTCAATACAGAGATTGAGTGTGGTATAGCAGTCTCTAACTTATGTGAAAGCTTGGAATTTGTTGTCCATAGACATTGATGAATGCAGAGGTCCACATAAAATCTGTGGAAGGAGCAAGTGTGTGAACGAACTTGGATCATTCAGATGTGTGAAAACTTGGCCAGCTATGTTAGGTAGGTAAGTTTAATATAAAGTTTCTGCATAAGCCCAGTCCATCATCTTTCTAGATTGAAAATGAAAAAGACCAACTTACAATGCAGGTGGAGCTCTAAGTTCTGGATTGTTGCTTCTGGTGGTTGGTATGTGGTTGCTATGCAGGGCTTATAGAAAGCGGAAAGCAGCCAAGCAGAAGAGGAAGTTCTTCAAACGAAACGGAGGTTTGTTGTTAGAGCAGCAAACGTTCTCCCTTCAAGGCAGTGTCAACAGAACCAAACTGTTCAGCTCCAATGACCTAGAGAAGGCAACAGATAAGTTCAACCCTAACAGAGTACTAGGGCAAGGAGGGCAAGGTACAGTATACAAGGGAATGTTGGAAGATGGGATGATCGTCGCTGTCAAGAAGTCCAAAGCATTGGAAGAAGAGAATCTTGAAGAATTCATCAATGAGATCATCCTTCTGTCACAGATTAACCACCGAAACGTTGTCAAGATCTTCGGATGCTGTCTTGAGACAGAGGTACCTCTGTTGGTGTATGAGTTCATTCCCCACGGAAGCCTTTTCGATCATCTTCAAAACCCGTCAGAAGATTTCACAATGACTTGGGAAGTCCGTCTCTGCATGGCCTGTGAAGTTGCAGATGCCCTCTATTACCTGCATTCAGCCGCCTCTATCCCAATATACCACAGAGATGTCAAGTCAACAAACATCTTACTGGATGAAAGGTACCGAGCAAAAGTGTCAGATTTTGGGATTTCGAGATCTGTTCCTATAGATGACACTCACCTGACAACATTAGTGCAAGGAACAGTTGGATATGTCGACCCTGAGTACCTTCAGTCAAGCCACTTCACAGCGAAGAGTGATGTCTACAGCTTTGGGGTTGTGCTCATTGAGCTCTTAACTGGAGGAAAACCTGTCTCTCTTCTGAGGCCACAAGAAGTCAGGATGTTGGGGTCTTACTTCCTCGAAGCCATGCGAAATGGCAGACTTCATGAGATTCTCGATGCTCGCATCAAAGAGGAATGTGATCAAGAAGAGGTCCTTGCAGTAGCCAAACTTGCAAGAAGATGTTTGAGCTTGAACTCAGAACATCGCCCTACCATGAGAGACGTGTTTCTCGAGCTGGACAGGATGCAATCCAAGAGAAAAGGCACTCAAAGCCAAGCACAGAATGGTGAAGAGCATGCACAAGTCCAGATCGTGATACCGGAGTCTATGTCACTCAGCTACTCTTCTCCGAACATAGTCGTTGAAAACAGCTCATTCTCACTGGACTCAAAACCACTCATGCCTCAGAAGACACAGACACAGTGACTAGAAAACCAAAGCTCTTCACCTTCCAAGACATAATACTTAAATAAAGAATGGTATGCATCAATCAACCTTTTAATACTTGCGTGAATGTACTACTAGTTCTTGTATCTGCAATTTAAGTTTTTCGTGTTGTAAACAATAAAGGAAATAAAAAGAGACAAAGAGAAGCAAACAATTTGTATAACTCTTAATTTTATCTTTCACGTGTTTGTTCTATACATCTCTATGTTGGCCAAGTGGATACATAACAAAAGATATATCGAAGATGGAGACTTAGTGATCGTTTAGGAAAGACACGATGTGATGAAACCAGTGAAAGTAAGCAAAGACGGTGTGCTTCAGAACCGTTTTGGAGTGTATAAACACTCGGATTGGATCGGGAAGCCATTAGGAACAAAAGTATTCAGCAACAAGGGCAAATTTGTATACCTGTTGGCTCCCACTCCGGAGCTGTGGACGTTGGTTTTGAGCCACATGACGCAGATTAATAAACTTGTAGCAAGTATAACGTGCAAGTCAAGGCATTGCTACAACCGCCCAGTACTGAGGGCCTAACATCATGTTGTCTTCGACCTATATAAAACGGCAATCACTCTGCAGTCATAAATTAGAAACGACAAACAAGGCTCTTCAAATGAGTCATCATCGTTTCTGTTTGAAGCAAAAGTTTATTACTAACCCAAATGTTGAATGTATAATTGGATACGTTAAACTTACAAGTATCCTAGGACTTGCTAAATTATGAAACTTATATTGCTTTACGAAAATTATAGATCTTCTACAACTCTACATATAAATAAATATATCCATCTCCATCTCTCAACGGACGAATGAAAACAACTTAATAGATAGTAAAAACAAATTTATTTGAAACGAAATTGGCAAGGAAACACTCTGATAGCAGCATCTCATCTCTCTCTCTCTCTCTCTCAAGATACAGATACGTATGTTACGGCATGAACACATAAACTAGTAGAATCAGACAAGAGAACCAAACCGAGATCAAAGTTTCAAAGTCATTTTCAAGATGCTCTCATTTTCTTTTGCTTCAAGTACATGTAATCTTACGTATTTCTTCAGCTCTACCGTCTTTATCTCTTTCTCTCTCTCTAGAGCCTCGGTTGTTGAAATACTGCTGTTGAGTATTTCAGAAATCTAAACCCTCAAAAAGATCAATTTAATATAACTTGACACTTTTTTTTAAAGAACAAGAGAGACTTCATACACTACTTCTATATCTCTCTCATCTCCAATCACAACAATCTTCTCTGTTTCTCTGGGAGCAAGCAACTAACGTACTTAGCATCAGAAGCTTCTTTCTCTATTTGGATTTTGGAATGATCTCCTAAAGACAGACCCCCAAAAAGCAGAAGCTATGCATTTTCCTCTTGTTTCGGCTTGGAACAAGAGAAGGAGAAGCAAATCCTTATCCTACGATTCGGATCCATGTACGTTCCTTTTCTCCATCCTCTTCGCCAGATGGCATAAACGTATGTTATGTTTACCTTCTCGACATTACTGTTGCTGAATAAAAAGGGTGAAACTGAAACTAAAACATTCTTCTCAGGGGTCTACAGAGCAGCAGAGTGCTGGCAAATCGAAGACCAGACGTCGACTCAGCCGAGGAAACGAAGATACGGGTCATCAGTTTACACCCTCAAGGAAATGGAAGAAGCCACAAGCTCCTTCAGTGATGACAACCTCCTCGGTAAAGGAGGCTTTGGCCGAGTTTACAAAGGCACTCTAAAATCAGGAGAGGTGTGAAAGTGAAACATATTTTGCTTTGAATTTATGTCATTTACAGAGGCTTTTTGTAATGTTAAAGTATACATATTATCTTTGATCCTTTTTGCTATTTCAAAGGTTGTTGCGATCAAGAAGATGGATTTACCTCCGTTCAAAAAAGCTGATGGAGAAAGAGAATTTCGTGTGGAGGTTGATATTCTGAGCAGACTCGATCATCCAAATCTTGTGTCTTTGATTGGCTATTGCGCAGATGGAAAAAACCGGTTCCTAGTATATGAGTATATGCAAAACGGAAACCTGCAAGATCATTTGAATGGTAAGTACACTGTTATAGTCAGAGTCAATTCCAGCAAAGCAACTAAAATGCTGTCTTTTATCACAGGAATAAGAGAAGCAAAAATAAGCTGGCCAATAAGGCTAAGAATTGCACTTGGAGCAGCGAAAGGACTCGCGTATCTCCATTCAAGTTCTTCCGTTGGGATTCCAATTGTGCACAGAGATTTCAAATCCACCAACGTTCTACTAGACTCCAATTATAACGCAAAGGTGTGCTTCTAAAGTAAATGAATAGTTTATGCAGTACTAATATCAAGCATGCACTATTAAAAACTAAGACGTGAGTGTTATCATCCTTGCAGATATCTGACTTTGGACTAGCAAAGTTGATGCCAGAAGGAAAGGAAACTTGTGTCACAGCAAGAGTTCTAGGAACATTTGGCTATTTCGACCCAGAATACACATCGGTATAGGCTCTTTACTTATATATTTTCACATGATTCTCTACAAATAAGCAAGGAAGGACAGTTTTCAAGCATAATCGTTTTTCATTTTTGCTGTGACAGACAGGTAAACTTACTCTACAAAGTGACATTTATGCATTTGGGGTTGTTCTGCTAGAACTACTTACTGGACGCAGAGCAGTTGACTTAACTCAGGGCCCAAATGAACAAAACCTGGTGCTACAGGTAAAACAGCTCTCCTAGTTTCAACAGATCAGGAACTTTGCATATGCCTAAACTTGCTTATTGTTCTCTACGTTTTTCAGGTAAGGAAGATACTTAATGATAGAAAGAAATTGCGTAAGGTTATAGATCCAGAGCTGTCACGGAATTCATACAGCATGGAAGCTATAGCCATGTTTGCTGATCTCGCATCAAGGTGCATCCGTATAGAGAGCAGCGAGCGACCTTCGGTGATGGATTGTGTTAAGGAACTGCAACTAATTATCTACACAAACTCGAAGGGTGGTTTGGGTTCGACGATTCCTACATTCAGAAGGCTCTAGACACAGGATTCTTCGAGACCAGTAATATGTATAACAATCATTTTTCCAAAATTGAGAGGTTACTGATGAAACTGATAAAAGATAAAGAAAACAATCCTATTTAAGAGTATGGAAAACTAATAATAATTTCAACTTTCAGCTGCTAAAGTTTTATCAAACTAGACATCATTTGGTTTGTGTATATACTATAAAGTCACCAAGTAAAATCGGGTCAAACAGTACACATCTTTGTATAGTTTAAAGTATTTTCCATGAATGTTTTGCTTGAAGAGAGATGAGCATATGATACACATATATATATTCAGGGGTAAAGCCTTTTCTGTTTCCTGTTTTCGTCTTATGCTCAAACATTGGACCGCACATTATACCAGAAGCAGAAAACAACGTGTAAAGCTACGTCTTACTAAGATACGAATTCAAAGACATACCTCTACTAAGGTCATATAAACAGCAACAGTAAGAGGACGGAGGTACCAACCCATGCTCTTGATCAATTGACATGTAGCTCCTGCATGATGGAGGAGTCAATCAAAAACCAGTTTGCAGTTAGTTGGTTAACCTCGAGGTTTTCGTTATGATTGAGGCACGAATTTTCCAATTTTCGTTACTGGAAACACTGTACCTATGTTCACACATTGGCAGAAGAGGTCAGGTCATTATCAGACCCCACCATCTGGTCCATCTCTACCGAATCTGAAGGGATGGTGGTGCAAGGTGGGAGCTTCTTGCGCATCAAATGCTTACGCCGCTGTAACATTAAAAGGATCAAAATGGTATCTGTCTTCACAACCTCGTATCCTGCTTTCCTGTACATTTTGAAAGGAGCCTCATCGACCATCCTGCAGTGCAAGTAGACATCTTTCGACGCACTAAGCTGAGATATCAATTCTTCACTCGCCTTCAACAAATGCCACCCAATTCCCCTCCTAACCAACACCATCACACAAACCAAAACACTTAGAATCAAAATCAACATTCATAACATCCCAAAATCAGAGAGCGATGAGACTAATTACCTTCTAAGGTCCTCTTTCACAGTCATGTTGCAGACATAAGGTGATTCTTTGGGAGGAGTCGGAGAAGGAGGCGAAGCATTAGCGCCTCGTTTGTCGAAGCAAACCTCCACTGTTCCAGCCATTTCAGCTTCCTCTCCATCACTACTACACGAATCCGATTTCTTCCTGTAGAATCCAACTAAGGTCACTGCGTGTGGCAACACTTCTCTCCTCTCAATCAGATACTGCTTCACTAAGAATCTCAACACAGATTGATAACCAGAAGGCAATAGCATCGACTCGCCGAATGACTCAGCTAAGAGCTTCACCGTAGAATCCATCTCATCGGCTCTCATAACCCGAACCCACATCGATCCCGATTCGAGCTCCTGAAAATACGCGAATCCTTCAAGAGCTTTGAGCTTCTCGAGCTCCGCGTTACTCAAAAACCTCCCCGTACGAAACGATTCCTCGAGAAAATCGTAGCTTCCGGTAGTAGATTTCGTAGCTTCTTCGCCACCCGTTTCGGTGGCTGTGGTAACAGAAGAAGAATGCGGAGACGGAGGGAAAGCGAATCTGACACTGGAACGGTGAGATCTACACGAATACAGTGAAGGATATCTAGAACTAGAAGAGAGACCAAACTTCGCCGATCGGCTCGGATTTAGAGAATCAGCAGAAAAAGCAAGTGAGATGCTTACGGCCGCCATTGACACACACACAGAAAAACTTCGACACTCTCCGATTCTGGTGGCTCTTCAGTAGTCGCAAATCGTTGTAACGAAATAAAATGGATAAAATAACTGACAAAGATGACGCTGATATATTATCTTCAAAACGCGGCGTTTTTAACTCCGACGTAGGCCTGTTAAGTAATTGGGCTTTGGGCCCATAATGTGATATATATTTAAATATTTTCCGTACCACCGCGTTTGAGACGCGCGATTCAGACAGAATCCGGTGGAGGAGCAGCGAGGCCGCCATGGATCCAGCAGGAGCATCGGTGGCCAACGACATCGGAGGAGGTGGAGGAGGGGGAGAAGGCGAGAAATTCGCGGTGGGGAATATTTATTCGGTGAAGGTGATCACCGGAGATGAGTTCCGAGGGATCGTCATGGCTTACGATCCCATTCCCAACTTTGTCTTTTTCGATATCCTTGGATGCTACTCGTAGCTTGTTTTCTATAATTGTTTCAAAATTTTGAGGGAAATTTAAGATTTTTTGCTTTCGCTATAGATTTAGGGATTAATTTGAATTTGTGGAATCCTTGACGAGTGATTGGTTTTTTCACAAGAGGGTTCGAAACCTAGACCTGGGCATTCGAAGAACACTCGAATGGTGAATGCGAATTTCATAACCGGGCTTTCGTTTCTGGGGAAAACCGAAGATCCGCTTGTTACAGGCAAGTGTTCGGTTAATCTCGACGGACTCCGAGCTAAAGAGGCACTTGCTATCAGGTGAAAGCATTGTTGTTGTTGTTGTTGTTGAATCCCTTCGAATGCGAATTCTTCATGCTTTTGGTTAGCTTTAACTGTGAAACGCATTGAGCAGGCAAGCTGAAGCAGATGCTGAGAGAATGGGAGTTGGTGTTACCCCAGAGGCGCAGAGCATCTTCGACGCGTTGTCTAAGACGTAAGAATCTTTCCTTTTTTTGGTTTTGGAATTGAAGAGATTTGTGAGTATGTGTACAAGCAGAGATCTTGCTTGGGGTTTCTGTGTGTTTGTTGCTGATAGATATGGTAAAGTTTGGGACTAGATCTTTAATCAGATGGTTGTTGCTTAGTTTAACTATAAGTTCGTTGTCAAACAGCTGCATGTTTTGGAGGATTTGTTTGTAGCTTCTGTTTTGTTGTTGGCAAGGTAAATTGTTAGATTCTGGACTTGATTTAGTGTTTGAATTGCTCTACGTTCCCTGTTGATGATTGCTTTGAAACTATATAAATGCAAAGTTTGTCTTTTTCTCCCTTGAGCTGTAGTGTTTGAGTACAGATTTATATTGTGTTTGAATCAAATTATCCAATTTCAACATGGTTTTGGGCTATATATGGTGTGTGCTCTTGTGTCAAGTGTTCTTGAGCCTTCTCTGGTAGTTGCATGGCTTTAGACTACATATCCTACACATATTCTTAGTTTCTAATCAAATGTTGGTATGCAATTTCTCATTCAAATGAATCACATGTGGTTTCTTTCTTTTAAAAAGGCTTCCTGTGCAATGGGAAAACTCAGACATATTGGTGATGAAAGAAGTACGCGTTCGTAGCCCGTACCTATCAGATTGTGTCTTTGGAGGCACTGATGCTGCCAACAACCGAGTCAAGAAAGTGGTAAGTGTCACTTGCACATCCTTCTGTGTAGTGTTTAATCAAAGCTTATGGTGTTAAAGTCTCTCGAGTGATATTGATGGATCATTTGGCCTCATCACAGCTTGAGCTGGAGAGACGTAGGTTGCAACTCTTTGGCACATAAACGGCCATTGAAAGGAGTCAGGTCTGTGAAATCGCGACAAAAGCGTCTCAGATCTGATCGGCCAACGGAAAGTGGATATGCTCTGCTTTTCGCTTGTTGTTGTCTTTACCTAGAATCTGTTTTATTTCTTTCTTATAAGCATATTAGAGAAGTGTATTACATACATCAGCAGCATAAGCCACTTTTTAAGACTTTTCCTTTCATATAAACCACTTTGTGATCTTAAGATCTTGAGTCACTTTTCTTTTTTTTACTGTTCAACAGGTTTTAATACCATCATACTCTTTAATCAGAATATATAATAGTATAGAAGATCTAGGCAATCCATTTATCATATTGTGTAGTTGACATGAAACCATTTTATTTGTGCAAATGGGAGAGCAAATCTCATCTCTAATTTCTTCATATTCTAAGTTCCAACAAAGCCAACTCCAGAGACGAGAAAAGCAGCAGCTTGCATGAAGAGATAGAGATATAACAATGTGTTCCCAAAGGCAAGTCCATAGCAAGCACAACACAATAAGTATATCCCCACAATGATCTCTTTTGAGTTTATTCTGCAACCAACAAAACTCAATTTTTACTCATTAGCAGTTTCATATTTAGTATTTGATTTATATTCCTTTCAAGTAATTACTCACCTTTCGAGAAACATGTTACGGGGTTTTCCAATATGGGGAAGTAGCTTAGTCTTAAGAGCATCTCCTAGTTTCTCAGTGACAACCCATTCGTTCACTCTTCCTCCTTCAAGTACTCCGATGAAAGTTCCCTTTGTCCGGTGCATAGACATTACGTTTTCAAACAAAACCCAAAATATCACGAGATAAAATGATCTATACAAAAATAAAATACATATATCATTCACGTAGTCAAAGGATACAGCAGAAATAGGTAATATATCCATCAAATTGAATTATGAAGACGTAACTTAACCTTGGTGTTGCAATGACGATGAAGAGAGTGATCAGTGAAGGAATGTAGAAAGTTGACCAAGCTGGAATGTTGACTTCGGGGAAGAACACGCTTGTAGGAAGAATAACGCAGTAGAAGAAGAAAGTGAAGAAGTGGACTATGATCTTTCGTAAGAAAAAGAAGCTGTAGATCAGATACAACTTCTTCCAAATCGTCACTCTCTGCTCATTATTACATAGATTTTGTTACGTAAAGGTTAGATGATATATGTATGCACTCTATTAATTATTTGTATAACTATTAACATAATAGAAAATAATTAGTTTTTATATGACTTGGTTTTACTAACATGAACCAAATGACACTAGATAAAACCAAAATCGTCTTCTAACCCATAAGATTAGCAAATCAAGTTCAGCTTCAGAATCACTCGTTTTCTGATTGTAGCATAAAAGAACAAAGAAAACCGAACAAAGATCTAAAATTGATGATTGGTTAAAAGTTAACACAAAACAATTCTATCTCCATCGAGAGGTGGTGACCAATCAAGAAGAAAAAATGCACGTCAGCCTCACATCACATGGCCCTTTTGTCTCTCATTGTACCACGAAGGGCAAAAAAAAACAAAGTAGTGTGTGTTTGTCAAGATGAGTTAAAGTGATTTAGAAAAACACCTTATTGCGAATAACTTCCACAATCATTTTCCTGAAGAGATTGGCTGGACCACAAGACCATCGATGTTGCTGGAATCTAAAGGCCTTAAATTTGCTCGGTAGCTCGCTTTTCACCTACAAACTCAGTGTGCATATACATAATGTAATTATTACAACCTTATTCTTTTGATAGCAACATGTGTGTACATCAATAATTCAATATAGATATCATTGCACATCAATGAGCGTTACTTTTAATGGGTATAGTAAACTTCCCATGCGAGGTAAGGTTTATTTTATTACAAACTAATGGTTAGGGACAGAATCGAATTACCGTGAGGTCATTGAGGAAGACAAATTTCCATCCGAGAAGACCGGCACGAACGGCTAAGTCCATGTCCTCAACGGTGGTCCGATCATTCCATCCTCCAGCTTCTTCCATCGCCGCCAATCTCCATACACCCGCAGTTCCTGAAAGAGATCCCATTTTTGTATATATGTAACAAAGATGGGGAGTATAATGAAATTTTTCATTAAAAACAAAAAATTGATAAGAAAATGCACCATTAAAGCTAAAGAAGGCATGTCTAGTGGATCCAGATTCTTGCTCTGCCATAAAGTGATAGTTGAGGGACATCTCCTGCATCCTCGTCATCAAGCACTTGTTTGCGTTCACTGCCATGAACCCCACTTACGTAATCACTTAATTTGAAAATCGACTTTTGTTACATCAAATAAATATAAGGGACCTAATGTACATGTAACATTACTAACATAGTAGAGATATAAGGTATTCAGTTTATTACCAACTATGTATATAGTTTTTGACTTTTGAGATAGAACAATACAAACGTTGACACTCAGTATGAGAGTTGAAACTGAAACATATGAACTTGTATAATTATTGTTAAAAAAAAATCAATTATTTAATGATCTTTAAAAATTTTGAATGCATGTCAAAACGTACTGAATCTCCATCGGGCTTGAACGAGAGCGACCTCAGGGTTGTGAACAAGGAAGGGGATAGAGCGTTGGAGGTAATCAGGCTCCGGTTGGAAGTCTGCGTCGAAAATGGCGACATAGTCGCATAGCTTCACGTAGTTGTGCTTCATGCCTTGTTTAAGAGCTCCAGCTTTGTAGCCATTTCTGTTGTCTCTCCTCTCACACTTTATGTTTATGCCTTTGCTTTCCCATTTTCCACATTCCGTGTTCACCAGCTCCTGCGATTCAGTCTACTTCACATTAGTTTTTGTCACAAAAAATTAATTGATTTGGTTAATTAGCAAGAGACCTTGATGGTTTCATCAGTGGAATCATCTAAAACTTGAACAATTATGCGGTCCAATGGCCATATTAGTCTACATGCAGCACCTATAGACAGTTGAAGAACCTGCGGGTTAAAAACATGTCATCGGTATTAGAAATCTCATAAGTCATAACGATAATAATAATAATAAAAGATAAAAAAACTCATGACGATAATGCAAGAACTTGAATGTAGTAATTGAGAAAATTGTACTACTACATTTTCATTGTCAATTAGATTTGAAATGAATCTTATTTGCGAGTTCATGTAATACATAGAACAAAGAGGTATTAATATATAAATTGCACGTAGAGATACCTCTTTTTCGTTGTACATAGGGATTTGTACAAGGACCATGGGGTAGGTTTCATGTCCAACCTCGATATCCTCTTGCATCGGCTCCCATTTATAGACTTTTTCTGGTTTTCTCTTAAATAACTTGACATAGAGTACTACGAGGTTCATGTAAACACCTTCTACGAAAACTAAGAGAGAGACAATCAAACAGACAGCCACCAAAAACTTGAATACTGGAACTATAAGAAAACTCCTCGTTTGACGTATCCAGGTCGTTTCGATGCTTATCCTCACGCCATTTATGGATGCTTCAAGCCTCTTGGGGGCTACAGCTGCATCTTCAGAACTCCCTCCATGCTACAAAGATGAAAATTTTCTCAGAACAGAGAAAAAAAAGAGAGAGCGATCGAGTGGTAGAAAAATATGATTCCTTAATTACCATTATAGAAAGGAAGGCAAGAAATGAATCTTGTAAGAAGACGAGAGGCTTCAGAAACATAGTCATTGTTCTTTCGAGTCTAGTTTAGCCACTAACTAACTTCAGGAGAGATTCTGAATCTCTGTTTCAATGGTGCATTGCATCTCATTTAAGCACTGCACAATGTACTTTATTTTTTGTTCTTTTTTCTTTTTATTATTACTTTTTTATCGTTAGGACTTTAAGACTTTTTGTTTTTAGTTCGGTTGGTCCTAGACTCCTAGATAGTGTTGTTTACGGTGACAATGTAATACGTACTGTTGATGATTGTTTGGAGATGCTGATGAGTCACGAGCAGTAGTATCGCATCTTGAAACCACACAAGAAATAAACAACAAAAATTGAAAAAATTGAACTCCACTCACACACATTCGTATTTTTCACGTGATGCATTTTGCACTCGTACTAGTTTAATAATGTTGAAGTTGAAAATGACAACAATAAGTCAATAAAACCACACAAAAAAACCTCAGAACAAGCAACAGAGCTAATATGGCTTTGTAGTTTGTATCCATTGGGATTATTGGGCCCTTTATTAGGTCTTTACTTTTGATTTACTAAAAAATTATAAACACCAAATAAAAACAAAATGGCTTCGCCCGGGTTCGAACCGGAGACCTTCAGTGTGTTAGACTGACGTGATAACCAACTACACCACGAAACCAGATGTTCACTAATGAATTAAAAAATAAATAACCTCACTACTCTCTCGGTAGATTGTAAACCGGCCAATTTCGGTTGGAGTTTAACTGAGCCTTATCCGAACCGTACCAAATCTTCAGCCCTAAACTTTGAGAGTTGATTGAGACGGTGAGACCTGATGACCACCTGACGCAGACCAAAACCCGCCTTAAACCCCATCGTCTTCCTCACTCCGGAGAGAGAGCTCACTGACATTTTCGCACCCGTAGCGAGCAATTAATTCAGTGATTAACATCCCTTTGCTTGGTACGTTCTTAATTTTACATTTGCGATTTAGTTTTCGCTCCAGCTCATGCTTTCTCTCCTTAATTCCGATGCATTCCCGATTATTCCTCTACTGTTTTACTTCGCCGCAATTTCTCGTGGAGTAATTTTCTCTTATCCACTTCAATTATAGATACCCCAGATTAAGAATCCTCGAATCCAGATCGATTACGAGTAATTAGCGTTAAGATTACCATCAGGAAGCAGAATATCATAGTGATTTTGAATTTAGCGTTTTTACAATCTTAAACCTAAAGTTGTGTGCTTTGTTTATCCATAAATCTTCAGTGAAAAGGTAAATGAACTGCCTCTCTCATGCGCGTTTATACATTTCCTTGGGGCTTCTCAAGAGATCAAGCTATGTCACTTCCCAGATTCCGTGGAATCAGTGCTTCTTCTCAAACCCCTGTTTAAAGCCTTCAGCTGCGACTGCGATTGCACTTGGACTCTCTAGCGTTCACTGCTATTCCTCGAGATCAAAGCCTGCTAAATCAAGAACGTCAACAACCGCTGTTCCCGTTGCGGATAAAGAGAAGGACGCCTTTTTCGTTGTTCGGAAAGGTGACGTTATTGGCATCTACAAGGATTTGAATGATTGCCAGTCTCAAGTTGGATCATCGGTGAGTGAGTGAATAACATCTTTTGTATGCTAATGTTATTTATACTTTCTTGAAAGATTGGGATTGTTAAACAGAGATTGTTTTGACTGGCAGGTGTTTGATCCTCCGGTGAGTGTTTATAAAGGTTACTCGTTGCCTAAAGACGCTGAGGATTATCTTTCTTCTGTTGGGTTGAAGAAACCACTCTACAGTTTTAAAGCATCGGATTTGAAAGACAACATGTTTGGCGCTCTCACACCTTGTCCTTTCCAGGTTAAGAGTCTTCTTCTTTCTTGTAATGTGTTTTCTTGGAGATTCGCTGCAACTTCTGTGGTTCTAGATGTGGTTATTAAGTAAGCGCCTCTCTTTAAATTTGTTCTTTAGGAGCCAACTTCTTCTAAAGTCATAGTATCTGAAGAAGAGGACACCTCAGAGATGATGTCAAAAGTAAGTTAGGAAAAGAGGTTTCGATTCATATATTATATAGTTTGAAGAAATAGCTAATGATTATGAGACAAAACAATATAAGCTCATTGCTTGATTTTTCCAGGATATTACTTCAGCTTCCACATCAGTGGCAAAGCTCAATGAGCTGGAGTTATCTACGGATACTTCAGACGTGAGTTGTGAATATATTTTGTACTTATCATAATTTCGATGCAGAATGATTTTTCTCAATTTGGTATGTTTCTCCTTCATCTCTTGTGGTAGGAAACTTGCATTATTGAGTTTGACGGTGCATCAAAGGGAAACCCCGGTCTCTCTGGTGCGGCGGCTGTACTGAAAACGCCGGAAGGAAACTTGGTATGAATCTCATTCTGAATCACAATGTTATTAGAGAATTGCACAGTGTCTTGATATCATTTTTCTTTATATAATAAAACAGATTTGTAGAGTGCGTCAAGGTTTGGGAGTTGCCACAAACAATGCAGCAGAATATCATGGATTAATCATAGGACTGAGGCATGCTATTGAGAAAGGTTACAAGAACATTAAAGTGAAAGGTGACTCCAAGCTCGTCTGTATGCAGGTTCGTCAATTATAAACTATGTATATATATCTTTGTGGAACCATATCTTTTCACTTTCATAATGCTTTGTGAGAAAAACACAGATTAAAGGTCAATGGAATGTAAACCACGAGGGACTCGCGAAGCTGCACAAGGAAGCAAAAGAACTTAGCAGCAAATGTGACTCTTTCAGTATCAGTCATGTACTTAGGGTACTTTATCATGTCCTCTCTCTCTCTCTGTAGATAAATGATGTCAAGGTCTTGTGCTTGAGAGCAAGATTACAACTACATGGCGTTTTCTTCTTTTGTAGAATCGGAACGCTGATGCGGATGAACAAGCAAACTTGGCTGTTCGACTTTCTGGTTAGACAACCCTAGTCTCCATTCTCTCTGCATTTGATGATATTATAGCAGATAAACACTGAAATCTAACCAAATCTACTCTTCATTATATGTAGAAGGACAAGTTGAAGTGGCGTGAAGGCTTCACACTTATTATCCCTCGACGAAGATTGATTTTGGTTTGTTTTTCCGCCGCCTTATCCAAATCTGAATAGCCTGAAGAGGAAAAGCTTTCATTTTTCATAAGAAAACAACATTTTGGGGTTTAAACTCTCTCTGTTTTCTTGCAGTTTATCACTAGAAACTGGTGAAGAGCATGGGGTAGGTTTCGTGTCCAAGTTCAAATCTTGAATGAGCCATAGAGAGTTTTCAGAAAATGAATGCAAGCAATGTGGGATCGCTCAGAGAATAGAGAAACTGAGACACTTTCTTCACTTCAGTTTGATTTTTGCCTTGCTTCGCTCAAACTTGTTGTACCTTTGAAATACACGCGCTCGCGTCGCGCGTGAAAGTTTGATATTTGTTTAGTTTAGTGGGCTTAGATTGACATCCATTAGACCCATTAATGTGAACATATTGGCCCATTGGCTATTTGCTTTGAACATTTCGCCGACTTGGAGCTCAAGCAAAGCACAGTTCTCCGTTGAAAGCTTGTAACTGACTTGTTGACCACAATCTTCAATAGAAACACCATTTTTTCTCTTTTGAACGAAAATGCGAAGAGAATTCCCAGAATGTTGACGAAGGCGCTTTGGATTTTGAAACCCAGGTGTGTTCTAGGAGGTTCTCTCAACCGTCGACCGGTTACTTTCGCTACTCCGTCGCCGGCGTTGTCTTCCGGAGCTATTTCCCGATCGACGGCTGATGCGGCGGAGATTAACGCCGATGATGCGATTGCGTACTCGTACCCAGCTGAATCGCCGACTGCGATGCCGGTGATGATGCCCGGTCATCTTCAGCCACGTGTCGTCGTGTACGACGGAGTCTGTCATCTTTGCCATGGAGGTACAATGCCTTTCTGTTTCTCCTCTTTTAAGCTCGGAACAAAGTTTATTGCTCGATTCCGTCTATTGATCTTGTCTCAGTTTTGATGAAATGATTCGATTCTAGTTGTTTTGGTGGAGGATAATTTGATTTCCAGTCTTAGTTCTACGAAATGGGGGAAAATACAGATCCGGAGTTTTCGTTTCTGTAGCAATCGCATTGGTTCACTTGAAATAGGACGATTGTTGTGGAAAATCTGAGTTCACTAAGAAGAAAATCTGCAGTTTCGTGATTCGTTTCCTTATCACATTGATTGACTTGAACTATTGTGGTAGAAATTTTGAAATCTATAAAAGGGAAAATGTGAGAATTACTTTTCGGTTGTAGAATATTGAGTTTTTGGATTGTGTTCTGCTTTTAGCTATATTCCTCAATCGAATTGTTAGTTTGTAGCTCAGTAATTGGGTAAATGTAGGTGTGAAGTGGATAATAAAAGCGGATAAGTACAGAAAGATAAAGTTCTGTTGCCTTCAGTCTAAAGCCGCTGAGCCGTATCTAACAGTGAGTGGAGTCACAAAAGAAGATGTTCAGAGGCGATTTCTCTTTATCGAAGGTCTCGGATCATACCATCAGGCATCAACAGGTATTGCAAATCTTTTCTTTTGACAGAATTGCTTAAAAGTTTCACAGATAAAGAGTTGGTAAGAGTTAGCTGAAACATATCCAGCTCTTGTTTAAGCAGTCTTTTCACATGAACTCGCTCTTGTGAAATGCCCAGCTGATTGGTTGTTTTACATGGATTTTGTCAGTCTCTACTTAATTATCAGCTTAGTAGATACTGCATAATAATGACTGGTTATGATGTCCTACAACAACGTTATGTTCTTGGCTTGTGCTTGCGTACTGACGACTGCTTATGTCTATGGTTTACTTTATAGTTTGAGATTTCATGATACACATGTTTTCTTCAAACCCATAGCTCAGTAACCAAATCATGGATTTGACATTTTTTGACTCTGCAGCTGCGCTTCGAGTGGTATCATACTTGCCTCTGCCTTACTCTGCATTGAACGCCGTCTCCATTGTTCCCACTCCTCTGAGAGACTCAGTGTATGACTATGTGGCGAATCATCGGTATGACTGGTTTGGAAAAGCTGAGGATTGCTTGGTTCTGAAAGACAAAGAGCTGCTGGAGCGGTTTATAGACCGAGATGAACTCATTGATCGATGCTAGTGACCACCCTTGGACCGGTTTAGAGTCTGCATATTGAGGGAATATAATTAGAATTAACTACTTTCCACAAAGCTTATTAGGTTTGTCATTTGTGTTTTCTGAGTATCACAAAGTCTTAAAAAACCTTCCAGAGAAATAGTTACCTAACCAATCATAATCTTCGTTGCTACTTCTCAATTACGTCAGATAAATTCATGTATTCAATTGTATTTACATGCTTTCACATCTGAAGACAATGAATCAAATTGAGTGATTATGAAAACGAATACCTTAATCAATTTGACATAAAAAATCTTATATATTGGTCATTAATTCAACTTTTACTGCGTTGAGAGTAAAAAAGTAGGATAAATTCTACTCATGAACCAATCTTTTATACGAGACAATTAATTAAATATTTAAACTAGAAATGTGTTGGGTCCACCCTAAGGCAGAATCCCTCCAAAAATAGGCGTATGCCACTTGGCGTGGAGAGCACACGGTATTCATTAGTAAAAGGCGAAAGAATAGTTCGCTTTGAGCTCACCACATGGCTGCGTGGTTTTAACATTTGGAGACTGAAGTCTATTTATAACGAAGTTTCCACTACCAAAATCTCTCAGCTTTCCGATGTGGGACGCTGAAGATATCCTTATTAAAAGGCCTCTGTCGCTGTGGGTATTATAACTAGGCCCATTAATTACGATAACAGATCTCCTTCCTCTAGCCTTTTTGTTTTTTTCAATCGTTTGGTCATTATTGCTTGGATTTCGAAAAACGAAATATTTTTTTCGTTTAAGTTTAACACAAATCTGTTAATCTCACTAGTGTTTTTCCTAGTGGTAACAAATTCGGCTTACTAATTTTTTCCTTTATATTAAAATTAAACTTCACCAATATCTTTGCTTGGTTTTTATTTCGCTCTTCTGCCTAATATAGTATGATCAAAATACTTTAAACATAACTTCTAGAAAGCAAATATACTCATATTTTCAAATATCACTATTTCAGTCAGTCACTTTGGACTATAACAGTGGTATAGTATGCCATACAATATCTCCCATTTATATAATCTATAAATTCTTCCGTTTAATAGTTAAGACTGTTAAGTTATAGTCTTTCTTCTTAAAAGGAGGTGGGAGTCAGGGAAATATGTGTAGATACTAGATTTTGTAAGAAACCAAAAACACTTGTCGATCCCACGTTTTTTTGATATTACAACACACTGGAGTGAGAATTTGAACCCTAGAGTGACTCTCTCTTTCCTTTTTATCATTCATTATCAACTATCCTCTTTTTCGTTGGGCTTAATTGGTTTGTGTGTCTCCTGTATCCATAATAAGCTTCGAGATACACGCAGATATATTTATCCTAAAGTGAACTCGTTATAATATTCTATTCTTTTCTCTAATCACATGTATTACTCTATTTTCATCACCCCATTTGTACATTTCTCTAATCACATTATATTACTCTTTGGTCATGTAGTTAGCTCTCGCAGTCTCTCTAATGCTATAAAAGAGGTTTTGACTTTTGAGTTTTCTTGAAGAAGCTCTTCGATGACGTCTTCCAGCAAAAGCTAACTCAGATGCTCTCAAGACTTATCAAAATCGCAGAGAAATTCAATGTAACTGTCTACATGACCAACCAAGGTTTACTTTACTTATCACTAGATGAAATAAAATAATCGATTCTCTTAGTTTTTCTTGGTTGCACTATTAACTTATAGAGTATAATTTTTTTTGTTTGGTGGTTTTGCAGTCCTAGCTGTTTCAGGCGGCCGGTGGTCATATCTATATATATTTTTCTATGTAAGTTCAAACTTCAAACCATATCTATGTTTTTCGATGCTCATAAATGTCATGAATGATGTATTTATTTAGCTAGTCTCCTTACTCTAAGTGACTTTGTTTTTTTAAGAACAAATGTCAAGAAAACTCAAAACTCATAAAGTTTACATCTCGAAATCTAAGAGATCGTAGTTTGAGTAGCTGAGATAAGTAAATCAGCTACTGTCTATTTAAATCCATAAAATTTCACAATAAGGTTGCTTGCATCTGCCTAATAAACTGACCAAGAACAATAAAAAAATAACTTATAAACTTAACCTCAGATCAGAGATTAGAGATAAGAATAATGCTGAAACCCAAATTTGGAGCCAAAAATTCTGTTCTAGTTTCATTCAGTTGCAAAATACGGACGAAACGAAAGGGAACAAATGAAAAAAAAATCCAAATCAAGTCGATTTATTCAAATCTCATGTTTCTTGGGACCTTTTAGGTTTGTGTATTTTATTTTCTCCGCCGCTTTCCAGATCTTATATTTTATTTTTACATTTTGTTTACTCTTTTACTTGTCACGATCGATACCTAAGATCTTAAGACACATAGCTAGGTTTTCTAGGTTTTAACATAAGTTTTCGACTTCTCTCTCTCTATTATCCGACCGATAACGAGCAGTAATCATGAATTCACATTCCATCCCGTATGATCTCATGATCGAGATATTCTCGAGACTGCCTAAAAAATCAATCGCTAGGTTTTATTGCTTGTCGAAGCTATGGTGTTCCACGTTTAACCGTCCAGATTTCGCCGAGCTGTTCTTGACCAGATCCTCTGCTCGCTCACGTCTCTTGTTTGCAGTCCAAGTCCAACAACAAGGCAACGTCCAACATGACGATAAATGGAGCTTTTTACTCGTCGCCTCTTGTAGCATCAGCAACAAAGCACCGTCCAACAAGGCACCGTTGTCGTCGTCGTCGTCTCTTGTAGCAGTCGCCGATTTTCATAGGGAGTTTCCTCCGACGATATATCGTACTAGTAGGCGATCATATTCATGTGGCTATGCTTCTGGTTTGGTCTATTTCCATGGTATGCATGTCCCAGGGAAGGGTTTATCGCCTGTGATATGTAACCCTAAAACCGGACACTATGCGACCTTACCTTATCTGCCACGGTACATAAAGGCAGATAGCTTTTTTGGGTTTGATCCGATTGTGATGTAGCGTATCTTTGCTACATTTACGTATGCTGCACGTTTTTCCTTTTCTTCCTGGTTTTCCTTTTCGCATTGGTTTTCCTTTCTACTATAGAGTTTTACTTATTTCTTTAGCTACGAAGAGAATAGGGTTTAAGGTGTTTCTTCTCTTCTTTTATTATAAATAGCCTAGCTATGATCTATTGTAGGACAGCTTTTGATTTAATAAACTTAAGAGAACTTCTCTTTTGAAATCGATATCTCTTGCAATCTCTTTTGAGTTCAAGTGGATTCGTCTCTAGGTTACTTTGATCCCTACAGGTCGAATAACTTAGTGTTTACGCTACTACGTCGCTGCAACAGTTGGTATGAGAGACAAACGATTCTAATCATGCCGCCGAAGAAGCTCCAACAAGAGACGACCGACGCTTTTCGTGGAATTATGACAGAATTTCGACATGAGTTACGTGACATACTACGTGATTCTGTTGAAACAGCTGTTCGTGTTGTGCTTCAAGAGCAACAACGACCTCCACGAAACCCTCGCCGTGATGAGCAGATCTTCGAGGATGATGATGATGAAGGTTTGGATGATGACAACCCGTTTGGAGGACTGAGAGAGCGTCCGTTACGTCCACCGGCAGAATTACAAGTTCAACGAGCAGAGGGAAATCGTTGGGAATCCGGTTTTAAACTTGATTTGCCTGATTTTCATGGAACTTTAAAGCCGGAGGAAGTGCTTGACTGGATCAGCTCAGTGGAGGAGCTGTTGGAGTTTAAACAGGTGCCAGATCAGATGCGAGTTCCATTAGTGGCTACTCGTTTCAAAGGAAGGGCCTCTGCATGGTGGCAACAAGTGAAAGAACAAAGAGTCCGAGCTCGTAAAGAACGAATTGCATCATGGGACAAGCTGAAGCGTCTCTTGGGCAAATCCTTTTTGCCGTTCAATTATGAGCGTACTTTGTACACACGCTTTCAGAATTTGCGTCAGGGCAATCGATCCGTTGATGATTACGCGAGCGACTTCTATACAATGTTGTTGCGAAATTCATCCGTGGAAACCGAGGAACAATTGGTATCTCGTTTCATCGGAGGTTTACGGACCCAAATTCAGAACCAGTTACTCTTATTTGATCCACTCTCTGTTTCGGAAGCAAGTCGCGAGCTGTTCTCATCGAACAGAACCTTCAGAGTTCTTCTTGGGCTACATCGACGTCAAGGATTCGTCCTTCTCTGCCGAGTGATTCCACTTCGGGAATCAATACAGATACGACTTTGGGATCCAATACTTCAGCTCGTGTAGCTGAACCGAATGGTACCCCACCTTTACAAAGAACCAATCGACCAACAACATTTAAATGTTTTAATTGTGGTGAAACAGGGCATCGACAAGCTTCATGTCCTAAACGTGTCCTATTGGGTGATGAAGAGGTTGTCTACGACGAATACAACGATGAGGCTGAGCACTTAGAGATTGATGAACAAGTGTCTGGTGATGTTGGCACAGCCTTAATGTTACGTCGTACTTTCTTGGCACCACGTGAAGTTGAAGAAAATTGGTTGCGGTCCAATATCTTTCAAACATCATGTACGATGCGGGGCAAAATTTCTCGTTTGATTGTCGACTCTGGTAGCTGCACTAATGTTGTTTCTGAAGAAGCAGTTTCCAAGTTATCTTTGCTCACAGAGCCTCATCCAAAGCCGTATAAAATTGTGTGGCTCAATACCAAAACTGATGTTCGTATCTCCAAACGATGTCATGTTCCATCTGCTGTACCGGCTTTGCTTATCCCAAAGAAAGATGGTTCGTGGCGTATGTGTGTCGATAGCAGGGCTATTAACAAAATCACAATCAGGTACCGTTTTCCCATTCCAAGACTTGATGATCTCCTCGATCAAATTGGCCATGCGACGATTTTTACTAAATTGGATCTCAAAAGTGGGTATCATCAAATACGTCTCCGTCCCGGCGATGAATGGAAGACAGCGTTTAAAACTTGGGAAGGCTTATTTGAATGGTTGGTCATGCCTTTTGGTTTATCCAATGCTCCTAGCACTTTCATGCGTGTCATGAATCAAGCTTTACGGTCTTTTATTGGTCGCTTTGTGGTTGAAGATTTCGACGATATCTTAATCTTCAGCTCTTCTTTGTCGGCTAGCCTAGATCATCTCTGTGATGTGTTGAGTGTTCTACGCCGTGAGAAACTGTTTGCGGCTACAAAGAAGTGTGTTTTCGGCACCAATGAGGTTTTGTTTCTAGGCTACATTGTGTTTGAACGTGGTTTACAAGTTGATCCAGCTAAGGTCGCTACAATACAGACATGGCCTACTCCTCATACCCTTACTGACGTGCGCAGCTTTCATGGATTGGCTTCATTCTATAGGCGTTTTGTCCATCAATTCAGTAGCATCATGTCCCCAATAACTGATTGTATCAAGGCCACTCCGTTCGTATGGACCAAGGAAGCCGATATCGCATTTCAACGTATCAAACAGAAATTATCATCAGCTCCGGTTCTTGTGCTTCCAGACTTTGCGGTGGCATTTGAATTACATTGTGATGCTTCCAAGCTTGGGATAGGAGCGGTTCTTAGCCAAGGTGGTCGTCCTGTCGCTTTCTTTAGCGAAAAGTTAGCTGGTGCTCGTGGTCGCTATAGCACATATGACGTTGAATTATATGCTGTTGTTCAGGCTGTTAAGCATTGGAGGCATTATCTCTTTCATCAGGAGTTTGTTCTCTATACAGATCATGATGCATTGAAACATATGGGTTCTCAAGATAAGGTTTCGGCGTGACATGCTGCTTGGTTCTCTTATTTGCAACAGTTTACTTTTGTGATTAAGCACAAGGCAGGTACGTTGAACAAAGTTGTTGATGCCCTGAGTAGGCTTCATTCTCTCCTAACCACATTACATGTTTCAGTCCCTGGTTTTGAGGTTTTATCGGAGTTATATCCACAAGATCCTTTCTTCGGTAAAATTTGGTTGGATGCAAGTCAAGGAGCGATTTCAGAATACTTTGTGTTTGATGGGTTTCTGTTTCGAGGAAACAAGTTGTGTATTCCAGACTGTAGTCTCCGCCTCCAGCTGATCCGTGAGTTACACAACGAAGGACATGTGGGTCGAGATCGTACTCTTCAGCTCTTGTCCAATTCCTACTTCTGGCCTTCTCTTCGACGTGATGTTGAACGCTACGTCTCCCGTTGTACTGTGTGCCAGAGATCTAAAGGTCATGCCAACAATGCCGGTCTCTATTTGCCACTACCTATTCCTACTCAACCGTGGACCGATATTAGCATGGACTTCGTTCTTGGCTTACCTCGCACTCAACAAGGACGTGATTCGATTTTTGTGATTGTCGATCGGTTTTCTAAAATGGCTCATTTTGTACCATGTAAGAAAACCACTGATGCGTTACAAGTTGCAGGCCTCTTTTTCCGAGAGATTTACCGTTTACATGGCCTTCCTATATCCATTGTTTCGGATAGAGATTCGAGATTCTTGGGCCATTTTTGGCGTTCTTTGTGGAGATTATTGAAGACTTCTTTGGACATGAGTTCTGCTTATCATCCACAAACGGACGGGCAAACGGAGGTCACTAATCGTGCATTGGGAGATTTACTTCGCAGCTTGGTTGGTGATAACATACGAACTTGGGATAAAGTGATTTGCCAAGCAGAGTTTGCTCATAATCATGCTGTAAATCGTTTACTGGGTTGAGCCCTTTTCAAGTGATCTATGGAGTGCTGCCTCGTGCTCCTGTTGACTTATCTACGCCACCGGATAAGACTCGATTTCATGCTCGTGCTTGTGACACAGTCGAAGAGTTTACCGCATTACATCAACGGGTCAAAGAAAATTTGGAGAAATCTGCAGAGAAGTATAAAGCAGCGGTGGATGTTCATCGCCGAGAAGTCCAACTTAATGTCGGAGATCTCGTTTGGGCTGTTTTGACAAAAGATCGTTTTCCACAAGGTCAATACAACAAGCTTAAACCTCGTAAGGTTGGTCCACTTGAGATTATCGAGAAGATTAATAGCAACGCTTATCGTCTCCGTCTTCCTCCTCACATGCATACGGCGGATGTCTTTAATATTAAACATTTGGTTCCTTATCTACCTGAAGACAACATGGCGAATTCGGGGGCGAATTCGGGGTCGAATTCTTCATCACCCCGGGCGACCTGATTTAGCGTATCTTTGCTACATTTACGTATGCTGCACGTTTTTCCTTTTCTTCCTGGTTTTCCTTTTCGCATTGGTTTTCCTTTCTACTATAGAGTTTTACTTATTTCTTTAGCTACGAAGAGAATAGGGTTTAAGGTGTTTCTTCTCTTCTTTTATTATAAATAGCCTAGCTATGATCTATTGTAGGACAGCTTTTGATTTAATAAACTTAAGAGAACTTCTCTTTTGAAATCGATATCTCTTGCAATCTCTTTTGAGTTCAAGTGGATTCGTCTCTAGGTTACTTTGATCCCTACAGGTCGAATAACTTAGTGTTTACGCTACTACGTCGCTGCAACAGATTGACAAGCAATTCAAGGTATTGTTCATGGCTTATCCATATGGTCCTGGTCGTCATAAAATTATGACACTAGGTAGTGAAGCAATGATGTGGAGAACGATAGAGTGTTCCTTAAGACATGAAATTGTGAGTGAAGGAGTATGCATTGATGGGGTTTTGTATTACTTAGGTGAGGAAGAGGAGGGTGAGAATTTGGTGATAGTTTGCTTTGATGTTAGGTATGAGAAATTCAAATTTATCTACCCCGAAGGCTTTTGTCGATTGATAGACTATAAGGGTAAATTAGGTGTGGTTTACTGGGAGGATGATAACGTTAAAGTCGATGGTGATGCCATTGGGTTGCGTGTGTGGGTTCTAGAGTATTCAGAGAAACGAGAATGGTCCAAATATGCCTACACTTTGTGGGATGATAACTTCTTCTTCCATAATGGCTCTTATGTTTCTGTCGCTGTCGTTGGAGTGACTGCTAAGGGTGAAATTGTTTTGCCCATGACCCATTATACGTCTAAAAAACCGTTTTATGTTTTCTACTTCAACCTTGAAAAGAACACTCTCCAAAGTGTTGAAATCAAAGGTTTGGGAGTTAACAATAAATACTCTGGGAAACGTAGAGTTTACACCTTTGTGGACCATGTAGAGGATCTTAATATCAACGATGCAAAGCTTCTCAAGCAAATTAGTATCTATAATAATCTATGCTCCATAAGTGAAGACAAGATATCTGTGGGAAGAAGAAGAAGAAGATAGAGAAGATAGACACGATAACTGGAGTTAGGTGAAAGGATCCCAAATAAGTTGGGCTTTAATTTTTGGTTTTATAATATTTTTTGCTCTTACATTTGCGTTAATCTTCATATAGTCATGTGCGTTCTAACTAAATCAATAATATGAAAACAGCACGGATGATATTATTGATTTAGAAATGATGAGAGATAATTTAAAAGTAGACTTGAACTGTTACTTTTGGCTTCCCATCTTCACAGTACGTAGCCTCTTTGCCTTGAACTGTTACTTTCAGGGCAAAAAACTGACGAGAAAGAATCTGGAGACGTACGTGACAAATTTCATTGTTTGAGTTGATTTGTAATGCAACCGAGTTGAGTATTATAAGGGTTTCCCTCGTAACCTTGGAAACACTCGCAGTTGTAACCCTTTCCACGAGTAGAATCCACACACGTGGCATTCCATCGACCCATACGCGTAGCTCGCCGCTATGAGAAATGTTGATCACTTCACGGCCTACAAGATTAATCGCTTCTATGACTCTTACATGTGACTTTGAAACTAGGATCTTCATGATAGTAGCAACCTTGTGAAGTGCCAAAACGTCACAATTAGTTACCCTTTTGGCACTTCACAAGGTTGCTACTATCCTGAAGATCCTAGTTTCAAACTCACATGCAACGTGACAGAGAAGCGGTTATCTTAGTTTCAAACTCACAATCTTCTCCATAATTCTCTCGCTTCTTTGCTTTCTCTCTATATATGTTACTCTAAACTCGGAGTCTTGTTTACATTAACCCATTCTGCTTTGCTAGTGTTTTTTAACCACCAAGCCAATATATTCCACGGAGGATGTTTAGGTATACTTTGTTATCCCCATTTATTTTCCCAACGTGTATTTCCCTTTGATTTTAATTTTATAGGTTAACAAGGACCACGTGGGTTGCTGCTTGCAAAGTCAAGAAAATGAAGGTATTCCAGACAGAAACCAACTTAAAATTTATAGTATTGTGATACCATATGTCTTGTTTTTCTTTCTTAATATTCATTTCCACCTCAAAACACTATGAAAATTGCCATTATGGGGAAGATATAGGACTAGGTAAGGATCCTGATCATAACACGCCTCATGTTTTATTTTGAAAAACTTCTAGTGTTACTTAGTGGCTTGTTTTCTCCCACTATAACACATCACATTTAGATATTTAATTTATTATGAGTAATTAATTCGGAAAAAAATGAATGAGAGTTTTCTCATGTCTATTAGGCCTCTTACAAAAAAACGTCAGGGCTCTTTCAATGATACGTTTACATCTTCTTTTGATGTAGATCAAGTGAAGCACATAACAGTATAATAATATGCCATACAATATTTCCACAAAGAGCTGAGGATTGCTTGGTTCTGAAAGACAAAGAGCTGCTGCAGCGGTTTATAGACCGATATGAACTCATTGATCGATGCTAATGAGTAATGACCACCCTTGGACTGATTTAGAGTTACCTATTTTCCACAAAGCTTATTAGGTTTGTAATTTGTGTTACGTTTCTGAGTATCACAAAGAATAAAAAGTCTCATAACCTTCCAGAGAAGTAATTACCTAACCAATCATAATCTTCGTTGCTCTACTTCTTCTCAGCTACGTATTTACGTCAGAGAAATTAAAGTATTCAATTTTTTTTATTACCATGCTTCCAAATCGTTAATTTTTGAACAGAGACAGTCGACAAACTGAATACAGTTGATCAAATTGAGTGATTATTAAAAGGAATACTGAGGATTTAATCAACGTGACATGAAATTATCTTCCACTCGTAAAAAGCCGGATAAATTATCTTCTACCGAGCTAGTCTCTTCTATACGAGACTAAAAAATTTAATACTAGAGATATGTTGGGTCCACCAAAAAGGGTAGAAACCCTCCAAAAATAGGCGTATGCCAATTGGCGTGGAGAACACACGGTATTCTTTAGTAAAAGGCGAAAGAATAGTTCGCTTTGTGCTCACCACATGGCTGCGTGATTTCTTCTGAGGGAGCTCAAGTGCATTTATACTGAAGTTTCCAGTACCAAAATCACTCACCTTCCCGATGTGGGACACTGAAGAAATCCTTATTAAAAGGCCTTTGTGGCTGTGGGTATTATTACTAGGCCCATTTATTACAATAACGGATCTCCTTTAGCCTTTTCTTTTTTTTTTCAACCAGTTGGTCATTAGTCAATTACTATTGCTTAGATTTCTAAAAACGAAATAGTTTTTTTCGTTTTAAGTTTAACACAAATCTGTTAATCTCTCACTAATGTTTTTCCTAGTGTTAACAACTTCGTCTTACTAATTTTTGTTTTATATTAAAATTATACTTCGACAATATCTTTGCTTGATTTGTATTGCTCTTCTGCCTAAGATAGTAAGATCAAAATGCTTTAAACAGAACTTTTAGAAAGCAAATATACTCGTGTTTTCAAATTTTATATTTCAGTCAATCACATTGTATAAATATGAGTTTATGGGTGACGACTTGTTCATTTCGTTTTCCTATGTAAAAGAAATTTGGGGTTTTTTTTTACAGCTTTATTGGTTTTTTAATTTTTACATCTGATTTTCTTGTTTTTTTCTATAAATATTTTGATTTTCTTGTTAATTATTTAAAATAATAGTCTAAAGTTTCACTGGTCCTTGTTTTATGAATTCTACGAAAGAGTAAGGAAGTAAATGTTAATCCAAATTTTTTAAATAGAATACACTAAAGCGAAACATATTAAAATTAAATAACCTACAAGATGGAAAATCTAATGTTGTGATAGAATCTCTATTACTAATAAAAGTTGAGCCTATATGCATTAGAGGCTGTCCACCTAGGATTTAAAAGGTTGAATTTGATTGGTCCATGTCATTATTTTTATTTTTTTTTGCTTTTAAATTAATTTATGTAAATTTTCTATTTTACATATTATTTATTAATTAGTTTTCAGTAAAGATAATTTCTCTGATTTTACAATTTACGAGAACTGAATTATAAGTTTCCTATTCATAGATTATCTAAATTTACATATATTATTAGTATTAGTTTCTTTTTTAGTGGAAAATTTACACATGTTTTAAGTAATTATAGAAATAAATTTCCTATTCAGCCAAAAAGATGCTATGGTGTAGCGGTTATCACAATTGTCCTAAACGCAACAGGTATCGAGTTCGATCCTTTGCAGTCCCCTGTTTTTTTTTTAAACCGTTTCAAAAATAATTATATGGACATTGCCATTAGGTTACCACAACAAAAAAAAAAAAAAAAAAAATCAGACATCGGCATCTCCAAAACGGGATCTGCTACATCTTCTTCCCCTTTTTTCTACAAACCCTAAAACTGCATCTCACAAAACTCTCTCTCTCTCTCCACCGTCAAACAACAAAAACCCATTCTTCATTTCCCAGATTTCGTAAATCGAATTGGATTTATTTTGCCCTAAACTCCCTATTTCGCATTGTTGCAAGTTTGAAGCTTCAGTACAACTTCAGTTGAGGGAGTATTAGACCAAAAATGGAGAAATTCGGAATCTATTACTAAGATAAGTCTTGTGATTTGACTGTACAATTCGGCTGCTTTAATTTCTGGCGAATTTAAGATTGCTTCTTGGCATTTTTTTCTTATTTCTTCTTCCAAATTTATTTCTTGGTTTCATTATTTCGTTTTAGTCTAGAAGATTCTTGAAAAACAAATTGGATATTGTTTGATAAAGATTAGGATTTGGATAGTTCCTATTTTTGTAATTATCACTTCTCTAATTTCCTTATTGTACAATGACATTGATATACATTGATTCCTTTTTCCATTAGGAATAAGATGATCTTAAATCCTATATATATGTGGTCTTATTGCCACATGAAACCAAGTTCAGAATATACATTCACATCTCTCAATCGATTTTTATAAGCCATGGCAAATTCATGCTCTTCTGTTTCTAATCAGTTAAGCCATACTTTGGTTTTCGATGATCTAAAAAAAGGTTTCAACAATAATGATTTGCTTGTCAGAGTCATCCACTTTTGGGAGGCACGAAACGTTAGAAAAGGCGGATTACTCATGGGTGTAGAACTCCTTCTCATGGATCAGAAGGTATTTGCAAATTTATGTTTAATGTTTTTTTTACTTTGGCTATGTTTCTACCAATTCGTAATATATTTCTGATTTATGTTTTCTGATTTAATTTTTTGCAGTCATCTGTCATTCATGCATTCATTCTCGCTAACTGACTAAGCATATATGAAGCAGCCTCGAAGGCTGGAGCTGTTTACGTAATCCAAAAGTTCTTGGTCCTTGACAATAACAAATCCTACAAAGTCACTTCTCACAAATTTCTAATCCAGTTCACAGTGAGAAAACAAGCAAACACTGAGAAAACCCAAAATTTAACTCGGTGACGTTATCGAAAATCATTTGACCAAAAAATCAAACCATCAATCGGCGATAAAGGGGAAATTCGAGATTGGTACCTAAGTTAATTGAGAAATTCAGAGCGAGAGTCGAAGGAGATCGAAAAGAAGAAGAAGCGTGAGCTCTCCCCTGGTAATAACAAGATTAGCAACAAAGAAGAGGGATCTAAATGATGAGATGGTTCCGGTGGGAATAAGGAAGAAGAAATATTGTTCGATTGTGGTCGGCAAATGAAAGAAAAAGAAACGAAGCATTTCTAATTTCTATGAGATAGGAAAACCGAACCGTAACAAACCAAAAGAATTGAACCGGGAATTGGAAAAACAATTAAAAGATGATGACCACGGGAAGAAGAAGAAGCCATATGATATGGAAAAAGTGGGAATACATTTAACACGATTATATCATATGAAACAATTAAAAAAATTATTTTTTACTCCTGATCTTTCTGATTCCTTTCTTCCCGTCCTTAATGATCTGTAAAATACATTTATATTTTATTTTTTTTCTAGATATAAGACTTTTAAATATAAAAACAGTGATTTAAAAATAAAGAGATGAATTTATTGAATGGAATTAAATGCAACATAATTAAAATTACAAAAAAAATTAAGTATAAATCATAAATTCATAGCTGGAAAAGCTAAACAAATAAATAAAATTAAAAAATAAATTAAGAACTAAAATATGTATTAGACTAATATTGGATAAGTTTGCCAGATAACCTTTATTGGATATAAAAAAAATTGTCTAATGAATAGTAAAATTAAGGGATTAGTTTAAGAAATTTGAGGATTGGGCTGTTGTATGTTTTTATGACAAAAAAGATTTTTAAAAGGTATCTTACTTATTATGACTACTTATAAAAATAATTAAATTGGTTAGGTAAAAAAAATTAAAAGTATATTACAAAAAAAAGTTTATTAAAAAAAATTATAAACAAAAATTGAAAAATAGTGAAGCATTTTAAAAACTTTTTTTAATAAATGAAACTATTATTTTCATCTCTTATCAAAGAAACAAAAAAAAATTGATGACTCGAACTTGATATACAAATATTCTTAATTGAATCATACCTTTTCTTAATATTATTGAATAAAATTAAAATAAAGAGGACATAAGATTTATTTACAAATATTAAAACGGAACCCGCGCGTGCGCGGGTAAAACACCTAGTAGGAGTCAAAAGTCGGTGATTCTGAGCACTTCACAATCCAACATGGAAACGTACGTAAACACCGCCTCTCTCTCATCTATATAAACGCACACCCATACACACACTCTCAATCTCTCATAATCTCATCCAAACGACAACTAAGCAGCAAATCTATTGTTATTCTCTAACTATGTCGATCACTAAAGCATCGCATCTTGTCTTCAACTTTGCATTAACACTTCTACTGTTCGTGTCTCTTGCTCACGCCGCAGCTTCCAAACCGACTACGGAATGTCCGGTCCAATCCATCTATCAATTCGGAGATTCTATTGCCGACACCGGAAACCTCATCCGCAACGGTCCTGTCGGAGCCAGATCTCACGCAGCCAGATTCCCTTATGGCCAGACGTATTTCCACCGAGCCACTGGTCGTTGTTCCAACGGTCAGCTCATGGTCGATTACTTGGCGCGCACGCTTCGGCTCCCTCTTGTCAACCCTTATCTCGGCGGCAGAAACACAAGGTCAGGTTTCAAGAACGGTGTTAACTTCGCTGTGGCTGGAAGCACCGCCCTCAACAGCTCCTTCTTCGCCGCGAGAAACCTCCACGTTCCCACAACCAACACGCCTCTCAGCACTCAGCTCGCGTGGTTCAAGACTCACATGCGTTCTTCGGTGTGTCGCGGTGTATCTTCTTCCGATTGCTTGAAGCGGTCGCTTTTCATGATGGGTGAGATCGGAGGCAATGACTACAACTACGGTTTCTTTCAAGGAAAGCCCATGCAAGAAGTCAGAAGCTACATCCCTCACGTGGTTGGAGCCATCACATCCGCGGCTAGAGAAGTGATCCGAGCAGGTGCGGTTAACGTTGTCATCCCGGGAAATTTTCCGGTGGGATGTTTTCCGATATACTTGATGTCTTTTCCCGTGTACGATCCAAGAGCTTACGACGACAAAGGATGCTTGAAACATCTCAATGGATTCGCCATGGATCACAACAACCAACTCCAAGAGGCTGTAGCGTCTTTGAAGATGGAGTTTCCTAATGTGGTTATAGTTTACGGAGACTACTACAACGCGTTCCAATCTGTTCTGCGTCTGGCCTCTGCTTTAGGGTTTGACGAGAGAGTAGCTTTGAGATCGTGTTGCGGGATCGGTGGAGCTTACAACTACGACGGGAAGAGGCAGTGCGGAGCATTAGGAGTGCCGGTATGTCCGAGTCCAGACAAGTTCATAAGCTGGGACGGAGTCCACTTGACGCAAAAGGCCTACAGACACATGTCTAAGTTCTTGAACAAGAACATTCTTTCACAGATAAAGTGTACTTAGAGAGGACAGTGTAATATTAAGCAAGGTTTTTTAATGTATGCGTGGTTTTATGTAATTATTCACTTAGCTAGTTAATCAAAACACTTGTCTACAATCACTATTGGTTTATTGAATCATAATCGTCTCCGTACAATATATGATGCTCTTAAACAACAACAAACACAAATTACATCTTGTGATTTTACAAGTCATTATCTCAAAGTGGTTCTATGGTGTAGTGGTTAGCACTCTGGACTTTGAATCCAGCGACCTGAGTTCGACTCTCGGTAGGACCTTGTTTTTTGTTATCCAATTCATTGTTACCTCAATGTTTCTTCCCCAAACTCTAAATAAACTCGTTAATGCTGCGTTCAGATCTTTCTCCTTCACTCATAGTGGAACTAATGGTGTGAATAAGTTGTCTATGCTTTTAAACAAATCAAATCATGCGACGATTTAATGAGGATACGTAATTGTGATTGAGCTTTTAAAGTGATGTGGATGAAATTATCGCATGTATCCGATTTGGTTTTACATGACTTTGACTTACTGTTATTGCTAAAGCCATGTTTGCATAAGGACAATTGATTCTATAACGGTAAATTAATACCAAGCTCTATCTTTTGGATTAGACAACACAAGATTTCAGACTAGTTACATGTTTGGTCTACTAAGAAGTAGAACCCTCCAAAAATAGGCGTATGCCACTTAGCGTGGAGAACACACGGTATTCTTTAGTAAAAGGCGAAAGAATAGTTCGCTTTGTGTTCACCACATGGCTTCGTGATTTAACAAGCAAGAGAGTGAAGTTTATTTATACTGAAGCTTCCACAATCAATCTCTCTAAGGTTTCCGATGTGGGATGCTAAAAATCCTCATTAAAAGGACTTGTGGGCTTGTTACTCTAATCTGCCTAGATAGTAATTATAAAACAGGCCTATGTATTACGACTAACAAGATCTCCTCAAGCCTTTCGGTTTTTGGGTTTCAAAATATCGTTTTAGTCTACAGAGACAAATACAACACATTTTCAATCCTACACCATGCCACTGCTTTAGGAACCGGCTGAGAGTTGCTTTGAAATTGTGTCCGTCCGAGTCCAGAGTCCAGAGTCCAGAGTCCAGAGTCCAGACAAGTTTATAAGCTTGGACTGAGTGCACTCTAATGCAGAAGGCTGTACAGATACATGTCCAAGTTCTTGAACAAGTGTACGTAGTAGTCTACTAGAACAAGTTTTTAGTCTATCCGTGATTTATATAGTTATTCAATTGTTAGCATTTTCTTCTAAGTTTATCATACTTGTTTCTTGTTTTTTATGAAGAATACCATGTGTAGGATAAAAACAGGTTTTGACTTGTTTATTAATCATAGTAAGCCAAAAATTTCTTCACATACTTGTTCACATTCAGACCCACAGTTGGTTTATTACATCATTATCATCTCCGTACAATGCTTTCAAACAACAGCAAAGACGATACATTCCGGTGATTTACTAAGTAGAATCATATTTCATTCCCTCTCTCTTTCTTCTTCCTTACAAAAATCTACAAATTCGTTAATGCTCCGATCAGAGCTTCCTCCTTCACGCATTGCCTAAACGTCCAAATATTTTAATATATCCGAGCTCTCTTAAACTTGTTGCGGGAAGATGTGGGTATTGTTGACTAGAAGAACTGAGTAGTGATCTTATTTTAAACAATTAAACATCATCCTCAAAAGAAGCACATAGAGTGCATAAGCTTCTTGTAAGAGGGAATCTATGGGATGACATTGACTCTAATTAACATGAAGTGGAACTTTAACGAGAAGAAAAGATGCGTTAAAGGCTGAGCAAAAAGAAAAAAAAAAAAAAAACCTCAAAGGTATTAATGTTTGGATCATCATATGTAACATTTAGCCTTTAAGAAAATTTCAAAAACTCAGGACAAAGAAACATTCGTTGTAACATTCAATTCCAAACAAAAAAGAAGGTACATCATTCCATTTTTATTGATATGGTACTCTTCTTCATTGTGAATCAGGATCAAGTTAGAGGTGAAGGAGAAAGCTCTTCTAACCTGGTCTTGACTAAGTATGTGGCCAAAATCTGTTTCAAGCCCAAATGGTCTATTGATCGAAACATGAGTTTGTCTAAAATCTAAGGTTGACAGAGTTTGAGAATCAATTATGTTTGACGTGTTTGTAGTAGAGTAGTTTAACGCAATATTCGTTGCTACTTAATTACGTCGGACAAATTCAAGTATTCAACCCCTATAAGGTTTTTGCGTTACAAAGAACCCATACTTGAACAGCCATTATCCACTTTAAAGACAAAGATAAATTCATGACCTTCGATATCTAAAGAATCAAAGTGAGGAGAGACAAAAAAAATATTCAAGACTTATGTAATGTTGGGCCCATTCGAGAGCAGGACCCTCCAAAAAAAAGGCGAAAGAATAGTACGCTTTGTGTTCACCACATGGCTGCATGATTTTTACACTCATAGAGCGAAGTGTATTTATACTGAAGTTTCCACAATCAAACTCTCTCAGCTTTCCGATGTGGGACGTTGGAACTCTTTACTAAAAGGCCTTTGTGGCTTTGTGGGTATTATTACTAGGTCCATTTAGTAGAAGAGGACAGTGCCAAACTGCCAACAACAATGTTTTACAGTATGCTTAGTTTCACTTACTTATTCAATTATTTTACATAGTGTTACAATTTGATTTATTGAATGATTTGAATCATAATCATCTCCGTACAACAACAACAACAACAACAAATTACATTCCGTGTGATTTACAAATTCCAATTTCATTGCCTGAATGTTGTTACTTCCTTAAACTCTCCACAAACTTGTCAATGCTCCGATCAGAGCTTCCTCCTTCACTCATAGCCTTCACAGCCAAACCTTTCCACTTCTTAGCACTCTCTCTAATCTCCACACTACTCTCTCCTTCCATCACTCCTTTCAAACACCTCACCACCTCTCCACTCTTCACAACTCCATCTCCACCTTCCTCCTTCGCTCTGTACCCAACTCTCCAAACCTCCTCCACAAACTTAGCATCACACATCTGATCACTCCACTGAGGCACACCAACCATCGGCACACCCAAACTCAAACCTTCCAGCGTCGAGTTCCAACCACAGTGAGTCAAAAAGCAACCGATCGACTCATGCGACAAAACCTCAAGCTGGTTACACCAAGAAACCAGCATCGCTCTGTCTCTCGTCGCTTCCACAAACCCTTCAGGCAGTTTCTCGACGTGAGCTTCTTTGATCACCCACAAGAAGCTCAAGCCCGATTCTTGCAGAGCGGTTGCTATCTCCGCGAGCTGTTTCTCAAAGAGGATCCCAAAGGAGCCAAACGAAACGAACGCCACTGACTTTGCCGGCTTAGTCCCGAGCCACTCCATACATTCCTCAGAGATTGGCTTCAAGAGACTCGCGCCATAGTCTTTATCGTCTTCTAATCGTTCGTCGAGGTACGCAGATGGGATCATCGGTCCGATCAACGTCGCTCTCATCGCCTCTGATTCTCCAATTTCACAATCCTAAATCAAAACAACAATCCTTAAGTTCCATTTTCAATTGAATTATCAAATGATTGATTCGATTGGTCACTTACTTGTGTTTCCAAGCCGTGGAAGCCATTGACGAAGAGCCAATCGGCGTTTTCATGGTTAGGGAACTGATTGAGAAGAATCCGTCCGTGTCCACCGTGGCTCAACCAGTGTCGTCCCATGAAGGAAGGAAGCTCGTCGTAGCTCAACGCCGGCAATCCGCGGACCAGATACGGCGACGAATCGGGATCGGCGGGGAGAGGAAAGTCTCCGTTGGAGAATTTACGAAGCACGGAACAGACGGTGAGGTTGTTGGTGAAGAAGGAAGCGGCTGAGATCGAATTAGATCTGGCGACTTCGAGTCCCCAAGGAAGAAACGAGTCGTAGACTAAGCAATCGATCGGGGAATCGGTGGATTTGAATTTCTCGATGACGCGTGTTAGGGTTTCGGATCCGATGAGCTGGAAGGATTCGGCGTAGTCGTCGACGCTGAAACCGGGGGTAGCTATGGGGATGAAATCGTATCCGTCGGAGATTGGCTCGACGGAGACTGACGGCGTGGTGATGGAGGAGGCGGTGTAGGTGGTGGTGGCGATTGTGACTTTGACTCCTTTGGAGACGAGACGTTTAGCGAACTGAACCATGGGGTTGAGGTGGCCTTGAACTGGGTAAGGTAGTATCACGACGTGGCCTTTGAGTTTGTTCGTTGTTTCCGCCATTTTAGCTCAATTTGATTACTGTTTGTTTTCAAAGGGAGATTTCAAAGGGAAGACGACGAAGAGGGAGAGAAGGAAAGAAAAGTCTGAAGTAATGAAGAAAATTGACTTGTTTATAAATGGTCGAACGCATTGTTCACGTTTCGCGTAGGTGACACCTACCTAAGTATAATAAACTAATCGCTAATCTGGTTGATGGAAATCATATTGTATTATAAGAGCAGTCTCTATTATATTGATGGAAATCATATTGTATTGGACATAAATCTCGGTTTTCATGCAAATACTCCGTATTTGGCGTTCAGTTTCGTGGGTCTGATTTACTTCGAAATTTAAAATCCCTGGTTCCTCATTTGCATATGATATAAGTAATTAACACGTTATGATTTATGAAACTATCTACTTCACAACTCACAAGGGAAGACACATGTTCCTCGAGAATCTGTACAAAAGGTTAAAATAAACGACTACTCTAAAAGAAAGAATGTTAATATAACATTCCCACCTAGAAGAATATACAGGTTTGCATAGCTAATCCTTTATTTATGGGCTTAATTTAACTATTAGTTAGAGCTTTATGCGTTAATTTATTTTTATTATCTTTTAAGAATGAAAACTATGATTTTGTGGACCAGTGAGAAATTGGTGAAATGAAAATGGTTTTTACTAATGAAAATATCATCTAAGTCACTGAACTTACTCGACTAACATTTTAATTTTGACACCTAAGCAAAATATTAATTTATACATTACAAATGTAAATGTATTTGATTACTAAAAGTGACTCAATACTATATTTATAAATATTAAATGGTGTAACTTAATTTTCAAACCATATGTAAGGCTTATCCAATACTAATTAATTTTCATTATTTTTAAAAGAAAACTTGATAGTCCCTTTGGAGAAAAGTAAGTAGCGAATCAAGATTTCTAAAATTTCGAGTTTGTTACAATACAAACCTCTTGGTCTGAAGCTTTTGTGGGTATATATGTATTTGACTGTATAGACTTGCCATTGTATTACATATCACATATGTCATGGAGATTCTTAGTTAATTCTTATATTTGGTATGCTTAATTTAGTCGTGATAATTCGTTTCGTTTCTTAAAAAATCTAACAAACAAATTGGCTAAGATTAAATCTGCTTTCTCCATATGTGTTTTTTCTTTTGTATGTAAAATGAACAAGTTGGTTGTTTCAACATATCTTAGTTACTCGTTAAATAAAACTTAGAAACTTTGAGCCCTTCTATTACAATCATCGATACAACAGTATAATATGAAAATTCTTATATTAGTCATCTTGAAATCTCTATGAGTAAAAATATCGTATGTATAATTTTAATTTATTATTTATAACTAGTGCATATACGCCAGTCAGATACAAATACAATTTATGTATAATTAATTATATATATATATATATATACTTGGGACCCACTTAATTAGTCATCACTCATCAGTCATCACTCAACCAATCGAGCATATCAACTAAACGGTAATGCATGAGCGTGTGGTGAATTGTTCATGACAACATTTATCTACGTCGTGACTCATAACTAAAGACTCGTCTGCTTAATTTAGAAAGTAATGGAATCATACGCAACTCATTCTTATTGATTAATTTTCAAGAAGAAAAATATGATTACGTGGACCAATGTTATTTGATGAACTTAAAGTTCTTTTGACTTATGTATATCATGAAAAACATGAAGACATGAACACTCTCGTGGCCTAACTTACTCTAATAAACGAAGTTTACTTTCAAATACATTACATTTAAATTTTTATTCAAGACTATATTTACTGTTACTAAAATTGAGCAACTTAGTTTTCATAACATATGTAAAGATTATCAAATATGTATTTTATTCAACAATAAGAAATAATATATGGAGTCTTTTTACCAAATAAATATATGGAGTCTTTCAATAATTACTGAAAGAGTAGGTCTGTCTGATTTGCTAATTAGAATTGGTCCGGAAATCACTGTGTACATGTATTTGACTGTCCAGAGTTGTACTTGTACATTGCTTTTCTTATATCACTGAGATCGTTACTTCTTAATATTTTATATTTCGTTTTTTCTTTTCTTGAGAAGGGAATAAAATAAGAGTAATTATATTACTCTCTCTGGGCCAACCTAAATTTGATGAATTCAAAAGAATATGTTATTTTATGGGTTGGAAACTTCATTCTGTATAACTTGATAGGAAGATTCACTCTAATTTCTCGACATGATTCTTTACCAGTCAAGACCAAATTGGATAGGTTAAGAGTTGCCTTGTTCATTCGTTTGTATGAAACGGTGGAAAATCGGATTATCTTACATATAATCCACATATCTCAATTCCTTACTAATTAAATTAATCAAACATGGATTTATTTAGCCCATATATTAGAATCGTCGATTCAACATAACAATAATATGCATCCAAGTCGATTTATTACTAGTATTTCTTAAAAGCTATAAGAGAAAGCTGTAAATTTACATCAATCTCTTTAACCAAACAAATTAATGCTTGAAGTTGTGGGTGTGAAATTATGATGCCTTCATGACTCACCAATTGTTTTTTTCTTCAAAGTGAGTGTATGTTAAATTAAAGAGAGTTCCTACCTAGAAGAATGTATAAGTTTGCATAACTATTTTATTTTATGGGCTTAATTTAACTATTAATTTGACCCTTATGCATTAATTTGTTTTTATTACCTTTTAAAAAGAAAAATATGATTTGTGGACCAATGAGAACTTAGTAAAATGAAAATGGTTTATTCTATTGGATATTATCTAAGTCACCCACTCAATTTAATTTAAAGTTAAAGTACGTATGTATATGGGGAATGAGATAACCGATGAGTGAGCAAAAGTGTGATTACTCTGTTGGAAATGAGTTTTTGCGTAACTGTTTACATCAATCACTTTAACTAAAAATGTGAATGCTTGAAGTTGTGGGTGTGAATTGTGATGCCTTCATGAGTCACCAATTGTTTTTTTCTTCAAAGTGAGTGTATGTTAAATTAAAGAGAGTTCCTACCTAGAAGAATATATAAGTTTGCATAACTAATTTATTTTATGGGCTTAATTTAGCTATTAATTTGACCCTTATGCGTTCATTTATTTTTATTACCTTTTAAAAAGAAAAATATGATTTTGTCGACCAATGAGAAAATTGGTGAAATGAAAATGGTTTATACTAATGAATATTATCTAAGTCACTGAACGTACTCAAAAAACATTTTAATTTTGACACCAAGAAAAATATTAAATTATACATTACATAGAAAAATATATTTGATTATTAAAAAGTGATTCAAGAAGATATATATAAATATTAAATGGTGTAACTCTATTTTCAAAACATATGTAAGGTATATCCAATCCAAATTAATTTTCATTATTTTAAATAGAAAACTTTATCATCCCTTTGGAGAAAAGTAAGTAGTGAAACAATATTTATAAAACTTTAAGTTTGTTACTATACAAACCTCTAGGTCTGAAGCTTTTGTAGGTATATATGTATTTGACTGTCTAGACTTCACATTATTTTACATTTGTCATGGAAATTTTTAATTAATTCTTATATATCGATATGCTTAATTTACTCTTGATAATTCGTTTCGTTTCTTAACAATATTAACAATCAAGGTGGCTAAGATTAAATTTGCTTTCTCTATATGTGTTTTTTTTTCCTTTTTTTGTATGTAATGGAGAATGGGAATTTCTTAATAAAAAAAACAAGGTGGTTGTTTCAACACATCTCAGTTACTCATTTAACAACAACATTTTTTTTGTTTTGTTAAAGATTTAATAACAACATTTACCTAAACAAATACAATGAACAAGTTGGTTGTGGTAAATTGTTCATGAAAATATTTATCTTCGTCATGAGTCACAAATCGTCAGTTTTTGGGTCAAGATGAGTCCTTAAAACAAATTAAAGTGGATATCAAAGAATTGATATATTGGACAGATCTAACTGATTTTATTTGCTTAATTTAGAAAGTAATGGAACCATACGCAACTGATTCTTATTGATTACTCCCTCTGTTTCAATATATAAGGGGTTTAAGGTTTTTGCACACAGATTAAGAACCTATTTAATTTTTGTACTTTTTGAAATAAAATATATTTTATCATCAATTCCAAAACATTTCAACCAATGAAAAAGAAATCTACAGAATATAAATAATTAAAAGTAATAAAAACACATTTACTTTTGCACAACTCCTTATATTTTGAAACAAAAACAAAACTCTAAAACCCCTTATATATTGAAACAGAGGGAGTACTTTTCAAGAAGAATAATATGATTACGTGGACCAATGTTATTTGATGAAATTAAAATTCTTTTGACTAATGCATATCATGAACACTCTTCCTCTCTGAGTATTTGTAATAGTTAATAGGAATCTTCCACCGTCTTGATTGGGGGAAAATGTAATGCAAAAGCTGGAAACTTTGATCTGATTAAAACGAAAATGTATTCATCATCTGATGTATTTTGAAAAATAAAACTATTTTATGAGTCAAGAATTGAAGACCGATGTTTCATCAACGAGTCATCACACCCCTCATGGCTCATGCATTACCATTTCGAGTTAACAGATTGGTGAACAGAATTCCTCGTATCCAACTGAACGACCCATTTTGTGGCTAATTTAATAGATCTGCGTGGTTTAGGTAGATGAATCACTTTTCTGTGGGGTTAATTTTTTTGATAAGTTGGAAAATGTCCTTTCCGCTGTATTCCTTAAGATTTTCACCAATGACAGAAATAGCACTCGTGACAAAATTTGTAAATAAAGAAAACCAAAGGGACTATATTTATCAAATTGTTCTTTTATTTTAATAATGAAATTTCGTCATATGTAACTTTTAACTAAAATGGCAATGGATGAGGGGACGTAATGTGTTCATGACAAACCTATTATCCCCATCAATTGTTTTTCCCCCCTCAAAGTGAGTATGATACATTAAAGCGAGTATGGAAGAATAGATATTTATGTGTAAATTGTACATTATTACATATGCTTTATGAAATTTGCGTAATTTAATTTCACCTAACTCCACTTATATTTTTTTTTTGAGAACAATCATATCAGAGACTAGTATATATAGAGGTTAAGAGTTGAGAGTTTTAGTTTCATACACAGAAAAACACTTCGTCCAAAAAAAACACTTCGTCAAAAAAAAATATATATACACAGATCGATGAAACCATCCATGGGTATGACTGTTCCACGGTTGAATTTGGGCTGTGGGTAGCTCGCGCAGAGGCAAAAGCAGTAATCGATCTACCTACGATAGCCCATGCAGCGGCGACGGATTACCTAGGAGCGGCTCTTGGAAAAACGGTGAATATGAATAGAATTCTTCAAATGTAAGAACTTTTCAATTTATAAGATTTATTGTGTATTTTATATACCTTTAGAAATATCTCTTTCTGTGATTTTACACGTTTTAATTTTTTTACATCACGTGATATTTTTGTAGGGAACATAATGTGGACGAGAACTCTCTCTGCGTATATTATTGTGGGAAGGCAGACGGAAGCGATGACCACGCAGTCATGAGGATCGAGCTTGACGTCAATGAAGACGGTTTTTACGTCGGAAAGGCTCACGTCCACAGTAACCGGCAGGACTTGGTGGACGCAATCACGATTCTCCTCGGGCAGTGAAATCGCGCCGAGTTTCACATCGACATCGTCACAGGAATCTTATTAAATATAATTCAATAATTAGTCCACATACATATATATATCGTATATGTTATATATGGTTCCTCTTTACGATGTTATAAAGAAGCTTTATTAAGATGAACAATATATACAGGATGTCGATATGTATGCACTTGCATGTTCGAAAACTCATTATGTGAGCCGATCCATATTTAATAAAATTAAAGTAGTTTTGCCTAATGCATGAGTACGTATCATCAAATGTTCAAGTCACTTCAACTTTCCAATTTTAGTTTCATCAGTTGCTATAGATACGAGTATCCAATGTGTTTAACACCGTTTAATATCTTATAAATTGTAGCTAATTGATTACACCTGCTTAATTTAGAAAGTAAAGGGAACCATACACAACTAATTCCGATATATTACTTTTCAAGAAAGAAAAATATGATTATGTGGACCAATGTTATCTGATGAAATTCATGTTGTTTTGACTAATGCATATTATGAACTCTCGTCACCAACGTACTCGAATAAACCAGGTTTAATTTAAGTTACTTTCAAATGCATTACGTCCCTTTTAAAACTGAGTAACATAAGCTATATATTTATAATTTTATTCAAGACCAACTTTAAACATTGAAACTAAAATTGTTTTACTAATGAATATCATGAAACAGATATTAATAAATGAAAATAGTCATCTTAATTCATGAAGTACAAAAACTTACACAAACTGAAAATGGTGTTTTTAATTTTATTGTTACAGGAGTATAGAAATTGTGGTTTTAATTTAATGACAAATACTTTATGCTGCCATCAAAAGAGACTCAACTTTTTTTTACCTCATTTGTATTCTACTTATCTCAGTTAAGACCGTGGAACTATACAATTACACACCGCAATATATATTGTGTAATAGTACTTGATAAGATTCTTCTTTATAACCTATTTTTAGTAAAGTATGACTATGTGTCTATGTCGAAAGTGATGTTACGTTGGACATCAGAGTTTTGTGTTCATCTTAACTATAAATGACAATAATACAAAAGGGTTGTTGAATTGTTTAAAGAAGAGTCAGTCGGTTGTGGGTCCCTGGCATTGAAAAATATAATATATAAAAAGTGTTAACCTTTTTTCTTTCTTTTTCTCCGCGAGAATGTTTTGTGATCCGTTTTTTTTCATCTGCTAAATTAGAGCCATATTTAATTAATATCATTTTTTTTTCTGAAAAAAACGTGGGCTGATGCTGATTCGATGAATGGAAAATCGAGTTTTGATTAACGAAGGAGTATCACGAAATAAAAAAACAGAAATTTTTCAAGTGATCACTCGAACTTTCTAAATTTATTTTTCAATTTAATTTTTTTTGAGAAAGCGTGTTTTATAAGCCCGTTAGTGTTTTATTTGTTTATATGAGTCAACGTTAAATCATCAGCAAAATTATAACTAAGTGGTTAGGTTAATAGTTGCCTTCCACATATTGTAGATGATTCATTATTAATTAGATGAAGAAGAACATAATAATTATATGAATCTTAATTAAGCAATTAGTTTCATAAATCCGCACATTTAATGAAATGCAGATTAAGATAGCAATTTTGTGAATTATTATAATTATCGGTTCCAACAATAATATGCAAATCAATATTCTCTCCATTTCAAATTAGTTGTCGTTTTGGGAAAATGTATCTGTAATTATTTGAATGTATCTATAATGCAAAATATGTCCAGATACGTCCAAATATTTACAGATACATTTTGCCAAAACGACAACTAATTTGAAACGGAGGGAATACTAATTATTCGTAACTTTGCGAGTCCATACATCCCCAAATACCAAACGCTATAAGAGTTTCATGCATATATTGCAATAAACATAGATATAAATATATAATATATGGGTTCCACTTTTGTTTTATCTGTAGATGGACCTTGAAATTTAGAGAATATTTACTTAAAGAAGGTCATCATCCATCTCTTCGAAGTTTTTGTGAGCCGCCTCGACCAGGTCCTGTCTTCGATGCCTTCGTTATATCTTCTCATTGTTCTCAAACTCGACGGTCCACATTACGTGACTAGTTGACTACCATCGCCTTCTTCTTTTTATTTGTTAACATTAAGCGATTTTTTTTTTTGTCAAAGGATTTATTCTTAAGCGATTTCGTAGTACGTACTAACAACAACAAAAAGCCAATTAAAAAGGATAAATTAACCAAAAATCGAACATTGTCTATTGGCAAAAATCGGTATATGCATCTAATTTTCATCAGCAATAGAAATTCACCACAACAAATAACTCTATATTTTAGATTTGGTTAGTAACCGTTTTGAGTGAAATATTTGTATTCTCTTATAATTATTGTACTTTTAGGGATAAATTCTCTTCGGTCATATTTTGTCAGTGATTTTCCTGTTACAAATTTACCATTACATGATTCCCACGTTTTAGAGATAGAAGTGTTGTTTTTCAAAGTACAATGAAAGATGGAACAAGTTTGATTTTTCTTTCTTCTTTAAGATATCAGCCATGCATGATATATACTATATTATATGTATGTATTTTATTCTTCTACCGTCTTGATCTCATCCAAGATAATGTTCATTTCGTCTTTAATTCATTACCTCTGGTCGTGTAATTATACTATCTCTATAGAAAACAATTGTCAATTACCTCTGGAGTATGAATTAATTACGCTTCTGGGATTGACACCTCATCACCCCAGGAGTTGCCACGTCATTTTCTTCCCCTAAAAATAATAATGCAAAAAAAAAAAAAACAAATTGTACGTCAAATCGAAAGCGTTAAAATCAAAACCGGGCTTCTCATCTCACGACCATTCCGCCGTTACAGAGTCTCTCTCTTTTCCGGCACTTAATGGCCGTCTTTTACCTCAGATGTAACGCTTCCTCCCCTTCAATTATCATATTCGACTATTCAATTATCATATTCAATTATCTTACCTCTGACATGTATTGTTTCAGGAGATTAACACCCTATCGACCTAATCATGTTTGCAATAGTTTTCAGAGTGATAAACACATCCTGAGGTTTGTGTTTGTGACTCATCTTCCTTCTTTTGCTTTGTTGATATGCAGTTTTAAATGTGAATAGTAGCCATTTTTATTGTTTTGGTTGCTCTTGAAAGTAAACTTAAAACATGCTCAAATGAGCTGATTGAGATGAAATGAAATAGCTCAAATGAGCTTTATTGTGCAGAAACTAAAAGAAAGGAAAGAACTTTAGATTGTCACCAAGAACTCAAAAGGATTTAGATTATATCACAAGAGATAAAATGGGAGGACTCTCAAAGTTTCCATCTTGATTGTCATTACAAGCATATTTATATGAAGAAGAGATATCTAGAAACCCTAGAGTACATGGGCTAATGTTATGGGCTTGTGATGGGCTTACGGTTTCACAGCTCTTTTCAAGCGGTTTTGGATGAAACTGAGTCTGTGAAGTTGTATTGATTGATTGCTGTTAGCGTAAGATCCATGTGTTCGTTGAAAGAGCTGACCTTTTATTTTGGGTCTAAAAACAGGTTAAAAAAAACAGGACATACCCTTGCACACAAGCTTTGTAACATTCATGTGGCATCCAAACAGTGACGTTTCACGAGGTAAACATTCTTTTCTTTTCAGTTTTCTAGTCTTGCATATATTCCTCATTTGGTTTCTGCTGATTGGTTGTGGCGATTGATTTGATTCCCTGTTTGTAATAGTAGATTCAGTCCTCAATCCATACATTAAGCACTCAAAACCAACACTTGACCAAAACAAATAATAGAATAACATAACCATGAAAATGTATATGGCCATCAATCGGTTACTTAGCAAGGTTGTTAGTGGATTTTCACACATTGTATTTGGGACAAATTAATGGTCTTTTTAAAATTGCCTCTTCCAATGTAATTGCTTTCGTATCTATCTATATCCTTCTAACATTTCTGGTTTATATATTCTCTCTCTCATGTGCATGCGGTTCGTTTTATTATTATACAGTTGACACTTTTAAATCTTGGTGAACAATCACCATCACCATGACCCTAAGAACCTATCTATCTATTTGTTCTTTTCCAGATTCTTCTGAAAACTAATTCCGGAATTTACTTGGGAGAAATCTTCCGTACGGTGATGAAAACAATAATTTAAAGCTTTGAATAGAATTGGTTCTTTGATCTCCTCTCTATGATTCGTTAAATTTCTCTGTCTTTGATAAACTATAAGAATGATGATGTGCTAGATCACTTTACAATAGTTTGCTTTCTAACTAACATTTCTTTCTATCTGCTAAGTTTATGAGCTTAAAAATACCGTGTTAACTTTGTAGTGTGAGACGGAGAGAGATGAAGCTGACAGGGGCAAAGGAGGACAGTCCTGCAATAGAGGGAGATAGGAGATCATAAGGAACTTGAGGAAGCTGACTCGGGTAGAGTGGCGTTCACATTGGAACCACAAAAGATGCATGACGTAGTGTTCTTTTCGTAGTGATGACCTTTACCCAATTGTTGTCGTTGCAGATCTCATTGGTTTGTCAACATCAAGACTCATTGGTTTGATCGAGGAAGAAGAACACAACGCTCTCTTTCACTTTCAGACATTCAATTAGGAGAATTAATCAAGCACAGTCGAAAGATCAATTTGAGGGACTCAGGAGTAGTTGGCAGATCGAAGATGGTTTTCTTCTTGACAATCGACTTTATTTGTCTTTCGATTTATGTTCATCAGTTGATGTCTGAAACTGGAAATAGAGGAGGGTCGTGGTCTCGTGGACCCCTTATGTGACCAAAATCATTTTTTTTTTTTCTTTTTGTTACAAAATGTTTGAGAAGATTGAACAAACGGGAAAAGTTTTCACTTGAATGATCCAACATTATGTTTGTGAATTGTGATGAGAAGAAGAGGTGTTGCATATATAATAAAGAATTTCGGTGAAGAGGGCGTTTGTTTTTGAGCTTTGCATTGCACATTCATAAAGGACAGAGCATTTTCGTCCT